TTCTATTCAATTTTTTAATTTCCAATCCAATCATAATATCCTGGGTAATGCAGTGTAACCAATACAATAATTGACTCGGTGCAATGTAAACCAAAAAAGGATGAATTTATTAATTTGGCCAATATAAATAATATAAGTTTTGTTCTTTTTTTCTGTGCGCGCGCGTGATACTGGGTCATGACAAACTCAATCACTAATTGTTACAATAGACAAACATGTTGAATATATTTCCACGTCTGTTCATTTTAATTGTAGAAATTATTATTCACAAATGCCACATGCAAAAAAAATTCACATAAAAGAGCACAAAAACCCCTTGTCTAATCGTTTTTAACCATTACCTCTTTCTTACACTTGACAATTTACTTGACACATATATCACTACTCTTAACATCAAATTACTCTATAATAATTATTTAAATAGAAATGGTCGTTTTTATTGTTGGCAGATCAAAGCTTGTTAATTATGCAAATTGTGTTGGTGGTTATAGATGCAATTATCCTGGCTGTAACAATACCTTTGATACCAGTGCTGAAAGTGCAGCGTGTTATAATGGGCATGCTGCTGCTGCGGCTGCGGCTGCTAAAAAACCAGCAAAGTAAAACTATGATAATATGAATATTCGTGATGGAGTCATTCATGGCCGAGCACAAATACGTCGATACAGTGGTATTTTGCCCCACCCTACAAGTTGCGAATAAAAACAATACTCAAGAAATAAATTATACTACAGCTCATTTTGTCCGACTTGAGATATGCAAGTGGCTAGTTTTTTTTAAGAAAATATATTTTAGGTTTTATAGCTATTATCACTTTATATATATTTTTAAATAAATATCAATTTATATATAAAACTGTTATGTAAGAGGGGGTGGGGAGCACTACTGTAATAATGTTAGATAATGGGTGTGAAATTATAAAGTTTTTATTACTAGTGTTTCTAAAGTGCTATTATCGCCGGCCTTGCCTTATATATATCTCCTTGTCTTTGTGGCACTCACTGGCAGTCGTGTGCTCTGTTCGTGAGAACTAGTCCTTATAAAAGTAACCCAGGTCTCTGATATGGCATAATTGGCATGTCTGTATTCTTGCACCCAGTAATCCATTTCGGGACAGGCAGTATGTCTGGATATCAATTGTGGCGCCTAATTTGATCCCCTGAATTTGCCCATATCAGATCCATCTGTGAGCTGACGAGAATCTGTCTCATGATTTTGCCCTTAGCATCTACCTCCGTATCCTCGGGCTGCGTAACAAACATAGCTGCCCAATCATTATTATTTGAATAAATTAATCTTTATACATGAGTACTGTAAAAAGCATATTTCTTCCAAACCCTCCTCTTTGCTCAACTTAAAAACACTAGCTGTAATTCAAGCTTTAAATTTAAATATTGGTCAGATGAATGTCGTCTGTTTAAAATTACCGCTCGTTAATTAAAATTATTTATATAAATCACTACACGAAGTGCGGATTTAAAGAAGCACGCATAAAGGAATTTCGTTTTTTTGAAATAAAAGGATCGTAATGGGATACAAATTGAAAATGACAAAAAAAGCTGGTAAAGATGGTTGACTGCCTGCTTTAGAACAATACTTGCCAATTCAAAATTCTGCCTATTTCCACTTTATTAATTATTTACTAATTTGTTTTCTCTTTCTTGAACAATTTATTTTATAATATACTTAAATTCTCTCAATATACTTTTTTTTACATTTCCACATCATTTTTTATAACAGTAAACAAATGAGGATTAACGCTTTTTTATATCAACCATGAGCTTAGCAAATTGGAACAAAGTATGCAAATAGAGGTTTACTTTATCGAAAAACGAGTACATATAGACAGTCAGCGACAAGCGCATCAAGATCTACTTTTTTTAAAATATTTAACATTATAATTCCTATTACTAAATTTAGCTACTTAGACAAGAATGGTAATTTCATGAAAATGGTAGTATTAAAAATTACAAAATTATGAAAGAAATATTTGAAATTTTCAAGAGGGGTATTCTCCATTTATCGAGTTTGATGTTGCCAAGTTACTACCCCTTCTTAAAAACCCAAGCTTAATCTAAAGGGCAATAAAATATTGCTTTCCTCTAATGAAATACAACCAGATTATCGAACAGCTAATACTAGTTTTAATCGCGGTTATGATACGAGGTATTTAAAAATTGCATTAATTGGAATATGGGGTAATTACAACAAAACAGAAATGTACCCCAAGTTGCCTAATCCACGTTTCTGACCCCTATTTCCATCTTCAAGCACCAACACTGTCAATAACGTTGTTACTGCCACAATGTCCATTTCCGATATTACTGGCTCACATTAAATGTCAACAAGACTTTTACACCGCCGCCCACACCGTACTGTTGTTTCAGCTTTATATCTGCCATTTTTAAGACTTTATTTAATTAGTTTAATTTGTCTTGTACGTCCACACTTATGCTCAACATACCCTACATTCAAAATATTTTTAACTTAAATTATTTATTTAAACTAAGACATGCATAACAAAAATGCATAATTTGAAGGAAAATACTATAATCTTTAAAAAATTATTTGTTATTCGAGTCTTGTCATTTGTTTATTTGATATGGCCAACTTAATGCAGTTATTTTACTTTACCACATATGCGGGCAGATATATGCATTATTAAATCAAATGCAAATGAGGATACATAGTGTTGGCAGCGCAACAAAACGTTATTTTGTTAGTTTATTTTATAACTAGTTCAACAACGTCAACATAGCAGCGCTAATGGTCTGTGTCTTACTTTTTCTTAATTTTAATCATATCTTTTTCAAAAGGGTCTAATAAAAGTGAATGCAAAGCAGAGCTGGTTGGTTAATCAAATATCTCAATTCTACGACTAATAATAATTCAGTGCTAGGTTTAATGTCTACCATCAGTCCAACTGGCGATATGAGTCCGGCGGGCGCTGAGGGCGTGCTGTGCCAGAACGAACTGTCTGCAGGCAGCACCCACTCAAAGCGCAGCAGCAAGAGGGCAATAGCAACGCGCTGCTCAATCAGTGAGAACCTCATGCCCATGCACTGGCGAGACCCATTGCTGAACGACGCAAATGCAAAAGGAGAAACACCCTTGGCATTTCCACTCTTGTCGTCTGCAAACCGCTCGGGAATAAACTTTTCAGGCTCCGGAAAATTATCGGGATCATAATGAATGGCCCACGTGTCGACGGACACGACGGCACCCTTGGGGAGAGTGTGTGCGCCTAGTTGCACGGGCTCAGAGAGACGGCGCCTGATGTTGGACAATATCGAGTTTCGTCTTAGGGTTTCTTTGACAATAAGGTCAAGGTATTCAAGCTTTTTGATCTGCTCGTCATCGGGGTAAGCGTGCATGTCGTCGCCCATTACGCCGATGACAATGTCGCGCGCCTTATTTTGAATCTCTGGATAGCGTGCCAGCTCCATCATCACGTAGGAAAGCGAGTTTGCTGTGGTATCGTAGCCAGCAACGTAAAACAGGGCTATATTATCGCGCAGCTGTTCTTTGGTCAGTGGCGTTACTGGCTTGCCGCGCTCGTCTAAAACTTTGCCCGACCTGGACATAATGTATGATTCGAGCAGCAGTGTCAGCAGGTTGGCGTTGTTGCGCTCGTCCTCAGTGAGCGATTGCATCTTTTCCATTTCAGCCAGCCTCTCGTTGATAATGCCGTCGATGAACGAGTGGAATATGTGCAAATACCCCCACTGCCTAACGCGCTCCCCAATTGGAAAAAGGTCCAGCCACGGAAACATGTTGTACACTGGATGCAGCATTGCGCCGAGAAGAGAGTCGTACATTGCATTCTGCTTGTTTCCAGGATTGCGCAGCGCCTCGAAATTGTAGCCCATGATGACATGCCCAAGAACGTCTAATGTGGCCCTGCGAAACACACTCAACACGTCGATTGGTCTGTTAGACTCGCGCTCGATGACGTCCATCAGCTCAACCAGCGGGTTTTCAAACATAATTGTCGGCCAAGAGCGGCGGAATGCCGGGCTGACAACAGCGCGGTGGCCGCGGTAGGCGCTGCCGTTTTCAAAGGTCAGCGACTTTCCTGTGACGCGCGGGCCGAGCGTGTGCGGCAAGATCTGGCGCACATTGACCTTTTCATAAATGTCCGAGTGCATAAACACCAATCGCGCGTAGTCTGCCCTGCCGATGTTGTACTCCCACGCGCCAAACATGCGCGTCTTGAATATACCGCACTGTTTCATGTATGGCATCTGCAGGCTTTGCAACACCGGCAAGCGGCCTATTGGACCTTTTGTCATCCAGAGCAGGGTCTTGTACGCGGGAATGTGCGGGATGCTGCTGTTCTGGCTGGTCGGCTGTGGTGCGAGCGTGGTGCTGACGAAGTACAATACGCCCGCTGTGGCCAAAGTCAGCGCCCAGTACATGAATGTATCCTGAAACACATTAAGAGCGCTGGATACAATTGTGCTGAGCAGAAGAGACATTTCAAGTACTAATATTGTTCTAATGTAGTTATGATAACTATGCTACTAGTTTAATTGGCATTTAAAAGTGCAACGCGCGTAAGCAAAAAAGGGATAGTATAAGGACTATGCTTTGACATTGGATATCAAGCGCAACAAAATGCGTAAAGTTGCGACTTTATGCCAAAATGCATTTGCCTTCAAAAGGCGGCGGATCTGCACAATAAAAGCTGACAATGCAGAAAAACATATGTCATGACCAGGTCATGAATGTTCTCCTGTAATGGCTTAAAAGTGAGATTTGCACTGACACTCATTGTTTGTGTGTGCAATTTTGAAGCCTTTTTGGGTCATGGGTTGGCGCAGTGGGGAAAAATGATTGTAATCGATTTTTTCTCTTGCATTTCAACGACGAGTAATCTGGAGATAATTAATGCCAACGCCGAGTCTTCACAGATTGCATTGAAATCTATTTAAATCAACTGAATAATAGATATTCTGTGTTTCGAATTGTTTATCCATGTATTGCAGATTAATTCTAGAATATTATAAATGAGGCACCAGTCTATTGAAAAAAAGAGCTGTTTGCGCGTTGCACATTTACTTTTTTGTGTTATAGTACAAGGCAATATCTATGTATCCAAGTGCACGCTATTAATGCAAGCCTTTAAAGAATAAAGCAAGGCTTTTCATTAGCTATTTTTTTAGCTGAAACTATATGTAAACTCAAACTTGTGGCAAAAAATGTATTTTGGAGTAATTAAAATTGAAAACGATTAATGGTTCCTAATAAATCCCAAGTCGATATCTTTGTTCTTGTTAGTGTAATGCTTATGCCAGATAAAATTGTCATCCTCTTGGATAAACGCAACATTACGTTCACCACATCCGGAATTAACCATGCCACCAAATACAAAGTCCTCATTTCTTGTACCATTGTACTTGAATTCCGTGTCCAGGCAATTGAGAAGATTCTGGTTGAACATGTAAAATTTGCCGTTTCCGTACAACGCACCATGCATAGTCATTGGGTTGGTTTTGTCATTCCGGCGCGTGAAGTGACTAATATATACGGGGTGGTTGGACCCTGTGTTGTTTCGCATCAAACCAAGTACGTACTCCCTGTCAACAAACGAGTCATCGTCCAGCTTGATAAAAATTCCATATTATCATATGACTTGATTGCCCTTGAAAAGCATATTGTTTTTGCATCTAGCGTGCGCCAGGTAGAAGTTTTGTTGCACACAATCTCGCATCCTGGCTCCTCCCAGTCGCACACGGGGTACAGGTAGTCGCCGAACCAAGTGTTACGGTAGAACTGCATGTCCGTGTTGCCGGTAACTGGAAAATGATTGCTAAGCGGTCAAGCAGCTTTTGATCTTCGACGGGCAGGCGGTGCGGGCGGTTTGGAGGTCGAGGAGGTATTTTTGGTGATGCCGCCGGGACTGGTCCAGGGGGCGGCCACACGCTGAATACCCCCCAATAGTTGTTTTTGTGTAATATGTAAAGTATGCTGGTCGCAATAGCTCCTAGGACCATCAGAAGCAACACCAGGACACGTGGCCGGGTAAATCTAATCAGAACCATTGTTTTTAGTCTAGACCTTCAGGGTGCTCACACTGCATGTGGCAAAATGCAAAGCAAAATAAATATGTTTACAAAAGAAATAAGAAAAAACACTAAGGGAACAGGAAAACAAAAAATTGTCACAAATAAATATTTGGGCAGCATGCAAAAAAATTGTGATGCAATGTTCCCAAAAAACCATAGTTGTTTATTTTTCATAGTCTCTTTGTATCTCCATTGAATTTCCACAAAAACAAAATAAATTTAAAAATAGAAACGATTGACATACATAAACTGGAAAGATTTGCATCAAGCTGCATTTAGGGTTAACATGATGCATCGATTTTATGTGTAAGTCTACAAATAGTGTATGCACAAAATTAAACCTTGTACTATCGTTGGCTCCAATTCGACTTTAGCAGCTAGACGTTTCTCCAGTACGCCTGAACAAAATACCATTCGCTTAATGACCCGTCCGTTTCTTTTATTTGAAATACTATGAGTTTGGGTTGATTTTTTTGAACAGAATTTGACATTAAATTTACTTTTTTCAGGGCCACAAGTATCATGCAAAACGCTTAATGCAACTTTTCAAATCAGTTTTTGCTCTGTTATAATAAGAGGGTATGTGTAGAGCACTACAATGTAGTGTTAAAGGGTGAGGTGTCAGTTTATAAAGGTTTTTATTATCAATGGAATCGAAAACGTAATTGAGGCCAACACCATCTTATACATGTCTTGCCTTTATTGTGCACTTCACCGATTGTGCACTCTGTTGGTGAGAACTGGTTCTTCTACATAAAAACTGGTATCTTGGCGTGTCAAGGTTATAATATTCGCATGTGCGCATTCATGCATATACATTATTGAATGGGGGTATATCAGGGTGTGGTTATTATGTCCCCTGATTTGATCCTACATGGTACCATCTATGCCCTGTTAATCGGCATGATGAAAACTCGTTTCACAACTCTCAATCTCGACATCTACTTCCATGTCATCAGACTGCTCAACAGCTCAAACTACAAATATCGCCAGCGCATTGGGCCAACAACAATTCCAATATTTAAGTTATAAATATATTTTAAAAAAATAAACCACTACTCCCAAAAAGAAATAACTAATGATTAGAAAGAGCAGCCAGATCAATGCTTTTGTTTTTGTTTCGGTAAGTTTTATGGTAGATCTTAGAGTCGTCCTCGGGAACCTTCAAAACATCAGGCCCGCATCCATTGTGTACCATGGCGCCAAAAACTGCGTCCTCATTCCTTTTCCCCTCGTACTGAATTCCAGTGTCTATGCAGTTGAGAAGGGCCCGGTTGAACATGTAAAACTTGCCGTTGCCATAGTAGCTATGGTTAAGGGACGGGTTTCTGTTGTCTAGGTTGAGAATGAAGTCACTGATGTACATAGGTTTCTCGTATCCCTTGTACTTTTTGACCAGCCCAAGCACGTAGTTGCGGTCCACAAATGCGTCGTCATCAAGCTTGATAAAGAACTCGGTATCGGTGTACTCTTCCTTTATAATGTTTGTAAAGCAAATGGTCTTCTTGTCCAGCGTATCATATGTTGATTTAGCGTTGCAGGCCATGGTGCATTCTGGCCCGCCAAAGTCGCAGACAGTGTGCAAGTATTCCCGACCCACATGTTGTTGTAGAAATTCAAATCCGTCTTTCTATTTACAGGCATAATGATGGCCAAGGAAACGTCTGCCTTTTCGTCCAGTGGGCGCCATGGGAATCGACTATGTGGCTCCATCCGGCTTAACATTAATCCCACATATGCGACTCCGATAAATAGTGAGCACGAGAGAGCTGCTAGCGCTATATTCCGCAAACCGATCCGGTTAAGTGTTATTGGCATAGTTACAAGTGTATGCCTTATTATTTTTAGTAGAGGCCGCGTGTTGATATTACAGGCGTTGCTTTTAAAAGTAAAAAGTTTAAATAATGAAATTAAGAAATAAAGAGATAAAGATAATATTAACGAAGAGAGAAAAGAATAAGCATGGAAATGCAGAAGGTTACACAGTCATTTCAGTTGAACCGGAAGATACGGAATGCTGTTGAAGCCCAAGCCAACGAAGGGGGAAATTATAATGATAATAATACAGGACAATAGCGAAGGTATTTTTATATCAGCTGTTAGCCAATCATTCTTTAATTATTCTTGTTGATTGGCAAATGCTTTGAAACCTATTGGGAAATTCGATTCCTTCTCACTCACGATAGCAGCTTTATCATCCAAGCCACTATTTAGGAAAATCTGTTGGATAATACAAAAAAGTACTTATTGGCTGGCGAATCAAAAATCAAAAAGCTTTTGTGATGTTGCGCAGACTGAAGATATGGAAGTAGATGTCGAGGTTGAGGATCGTGAAACAAGGTTCCATCTGCATGCTAGTTGATAGGGTACTAATTGGATAATGCAGGCGTAAATCAGGGAGGCATTACATTGATGCCCAAACATGCCCCCCATTTCGCAATGCACACGCATGAGCGTACACGCACGAAAACCACAACATTGACTTGCCAAGATACCGGTCTACTCGCAGAAGATCCAGTTCTCACCAACGGAGCGCACAATGGACAATGTGCACAACAAAGGCGACTGGGAACATATATAAGATGAGGCTGGCCCCTAGTAGTACTTTAGAAACATCAGTAATAAAACCTTTTATAAAATCACCCCTAACTTTTAACACTAGACAACTAGTGCTCCTCACACCCCCCTCTTACTATAACATGATAAACCGCATCAATATATTACGTCAACAGAAAAATAATGCATACAATTTAGTAAATTGCTGGGTTAGTTTGTTTTTAGTTAGCTGATAATATCCGGGTTCAGAATTTTTAGGTTTTTTATGCAAGTAATATCAGCTTAAACTGTGCATGCCTATACTGTTGGATCATTGAGCCGGAGCTGCTTCTAGGACATGAACGGATAATCGGATTTAAGGGTTTGATGGAAAATCAAATTTAGAAAGGCTAAAAATTCGACAAATCGAGATAGACGCTACGGAATATTGCGTAATCCAGACAGATTTTTTGGTGATTATTTTACAACGTGATGCTGTGCAATGCCAACTATTATGCACCCTACTCCGAGCCAAATAGCGACCATCGGCCAGACTACAAAAAGAGTGGCACTGCCAGCCTACTCCGCTATCGTCCTATTATTCACTCCCTAACATATATTCACTCCCCACCCCTCATCCACACCCTTTTTATATGCTTAGAAACACAGCCTTCAAACAACTAGGACAACTCGCAAGCACACTATCATTTTCTAGATTCATGGCTCAACAAAGGACTTGTCGATTCCACCGGCAATCCAGGCTCGCGCGTGGACACCGAGCTAGCTACTTTTGCCGCCGGCTGCTTCTGGAGTGTCGAGCTTGTGTACCAGCGCAAGGAGGGGTGCTGCAGACACAAGTTGGCTACACTGGAGGCCGCGACAGGGAGACTACCTACGAGGAGGTCTGCTCGGGCGTCACCGGGCATGCTGAGGTGGTGCGCCTTGAGTTCGACCCCAAGGTCATTTCCTACGAAACGCTATTGAAGGCTTTTTGGAACAAGCACAACCCAACCCAGGGCAGCAGGCAAGGCGGCGACATTGGGTCGCAGTACCGGTCGGCGGTCTTCTACCATAACGAGAAGCAGAAGGAGCTCGCGGAGGCTAGCAGGATTGAAAGGCAGAAGCAGTATGAGCAGCCCATCACTACGGAGATTAAGCTCGCGGGCGCGTTCTACCCGCCGAGGTCTACCACCAGCAGTACCTGGAGAAGGGAACGGCCAATGGAGGAGGCCAGTGCGCGCCAAGGGCTGCAATGATGATATCCGTTGCTACGGCTAAATAGTGTTTAATGACTATTTTTGCTTAATAATAGAAAGCAGATAATAAAAACATTTCTAACTATAGATGACCACTCTGTCCGCCGAGGGACACGCGTCAATCTCGTTGAGCGGTACTGCGTAATTTTTGTCGCGAGGAGCAGCAAAATCCTGGACCCAGAATCCGTTAGACACATCCACGCCCATGAATCTCACATCCGCACTTAGCAAGTTATTGAGGTGGTCTTGGGATCTCACCCAAGCATTGAAAATTCCGGAAACATCATTAGCGCCCGCACCAATATTTTCCAGCAGTATATCCCACTGAAACCCCAGTGCTGTCAGTCTGTCGCCGATGTGACCGGATTTGTCTGCGTGTGTGATGACGCGGTACCTCGACTGGAACTGCGCATGCCCCTGTGCCAGCTTTTCCAGATCACTGTGATAGACTACAGGGTGGAGACCCCTTGACATGCGCAGGCCATTGACCTTGCACAGCATTTCGGCCATGTCGTACCTGCTGGTGTCGGCTCTGTTCTGGGGAAGTATATGACCTCAAAATCTGCCTGGTTTTCACTGACGTGTGGCCAGCCTGGAATTCGCGAGTCTACTGCGTTTGCTGGTGCTGTGAATCCATCATTGGGTTCATTTTACCAAAATTTGGATCCAGTTGTCTAATGTCACCGCCTGTCAGAACTATTGTCCTTCCAAGAGCGATGAGAGCGAAGCAACTCAACAAAGCCACAGCATATAATAACTGGCCACCATCGGCTGGATCGTTTTAATGATTATTGTGTTGAAATGTGCTAAATTTAGGAGAAATAATATTTCACAAAGTCAATAAGTTGAACGAATGATGTCAATTGGATAGAGCAATAACGATATCGATAGAGAAAATTATAATTAAATTGAAGTTTTTATTTTAATGTACAGGCACACATTTATAAACCTTATTTTAGCCTCACTTTCGATTACAATTGTGCATCAGAAAGTAATGATCAATTGAGCAATGATATGTACTATTCTGAGAAAGCATAAGTAATTAAAAAAGTTGCGCTTCATTGCACGATTATTCTGCCTGAACGCCTTACTTTTTCTCCCACTTGCAATTCCCTGGCCATTACGTCTACTTATTGCATTATACACAATATCTAAATATCATTTTTTCTGTGCATCTATCAAATCTGTACCAACTTGTCTATGGATGAAGGCTAAAAGCCACACGCCCACGCACTTTTTAGTTAAGTATAATTTCAAGATATTAGTATTTTTCTTGACATTTGGGCATTTGGTCAATCAATTATTGGGCGGGTTTTGTGTTGTATATTCATAAGCTTTAGTTGTGTATATGAGGGAAACATTAACTATTGAATTGGATAAATGAGCGGTCAAGATTAGTAATAATCCGAAGGCTGTGCCCAAATACAATCCAATCTCATATAATTTTTATTCTGATAAGGGATAAACCTCTCCTGCCATTTAAGGGCAAAATGAAAATGTGCAAGGCAGCCATTAACAGTAACACTTTCTTCTTTGCAGCCACAGAGAAATAGCGCCACTTAAGCTAGTATTTTTCCAAGTTTTTCAACCCAAACTAAAATAACAACTCCTTTGAATAGTAAATTGAAACACGCTTCAAGGTGTATGTGGGGAAGCCAAAACAACAATGCAGTTGAACGCATATGAGCAACATCATGTGTATTGGGTTGAATATAATTTAATTGAAAATGTAATATATAAATGTTAAACTAAAAACTTTCAGCTCAGATCTACTCTAGTGCAGAGGGGGTCCTTTGTCTCCTTGCAATCAAAAGCCATAGTGTTCACTGCGTAGCTGGCGGTAGCCAAGGCCATAAAAACGGCAAGAATGTACGTGCGCATGTTGTTTTACAAATACGTCGATTACTCCTCTTGTAATTTTTAAATAAAAGTATATTAATAAAGTAGTTTTTATGGTTTTGCACTTATTTTTTTAGAAAATCTGAAGAAATATAAATAGATGAAAAATAGAAAACTACTCTGATGAAGAATAGAGTTACTCGGCTGATGTCTGGGCCTTTATATGGATGGGGGCCCAGTGTCTTGAATTAGACATTATGCTGATTCACTTTCATCCAAGTAAATAATTTTTGCCTTTGCATTATACAGACATTCATGCTCCAATGAAACATATTTTATTAGCCTAGCTCTGTTGTTATTCAATAAAAATATAAATATTACGAAAAACGTAAAAATAAAATAAAATGTGCGAATCAAAAAAGTCCTAACAAATACATATTATTTGTGCTGATGATATAAATACAAGTTGATTTAAAATAAAAAGTGGCGGCATGCAAATGTGATCAGCCTGTGCAAACAATGTCACTTTGCGCATTTTTTGGATGAAAGCTCACTATACGTAGAAAATGAAAAATAATGCCGATATTGATGGTTAAATACAAGGATGAAGACAAGACAAAAGATGAAAGACGGTGGCTGCGGCTGCGGATGTCTTTATTTTATCTTTAACATTGCGCAGGTGCATCCTGTCCATGTTGCACTTATCAATGCTTTTTTGTTTATTCACAAATTGTAAAGTCGATATGGGACGAGAATGCCCAAATGAAAAGTCAGCTGAGCCACTCAAGCTTTATAGCAGTGGAGACGCAGATATACATAAAGAAGCTGCAAAGTCTGCATGTTTAGTTGGCCATTAAATGTTAATCGAGCTAAACTAGCAAAGGAAGGAAATAAAAAAGCCACTTCATTATTGAGTACCGTGTTGAAAAAATTACATGTTATCAGTTAAAATATATGCAATTAAAAAAGAAATTGTGAAAAAATAATGATATGCCGTCAAACAAAAAAAACCAAAACCAAAACATTTACGAGCTTGTTTCAAGCTGGCGCACGTCTCTAAAGTCGTAAACACGCAGATTACCGTCATTATCGCCAACGACAACGCGCGTATCACTGAGTGCCACACAATTGACAGCCACTGAAGACGTATGCAGCGTGAACAGACAAGTACGTGACGACGTGTCCCAGATCTTCACTGAGCCGTCGTTAGACCCCGAGACAATCCGCAGTGAGTCGAAGGTCATCGACCAGATGCCCTCGATATGTCCGAAAATAGTATCAAGGCATTCGCCGGTCTCAATATCCCACACGCGCATGGTGCCGTCAAGCGAGCCAGTGATCATAAACGGGCGCTCATCATCATCGCCCCTGCGGCTCAACGCCCGGCTACCGCCGACCCGCTGCTGCTCCTGCTGCTTGCTCTGCAGCGTGGAGGTCGGTGGAGCGCGGTTGGACAGGTGCAGGGACTGCACGTGGTGCGAGTGCCCGCTGTACGTGCGCACGCACCGGCGCTGTTCCAAGTCCCAGCGCTTAACGAGCATATCATCGGAGCACGAGAACAGAGTGTTCTCGCCGTACAGCCGCACGGCATTGACCCAGTCAGTGTGGCCGGTGAGCGTAAAGCTGGTCATCTTGGCAATATTATACACGCGAATCGTGCCGTTCTGGCCGCCAACCACCAGGGTGCCGCGCTGGTAATGCAGCGAGATAACGCCGCCGTTATCAAAGGCATTCAGGGTACGGATACAGGTGCCATCGCGGTAGTTCCAGATCTTAACGGTCCCGTCGAGCGACCCAGTGAACAACTTGCAGTCGTCGAACTCCAGTGCGCGCACAGGCATAGTGTGGCCGGAAAGTTCCGAGACCAGCTCAAATGTCTCAGCGTCCCACACATGCACTTTGCTGTCGTACGAGCCGGTGATCATGTAGCCACCGTTGAACTGCGCGCAGAGGATGCCGTCGGTGTGCGCCTGGATCTGTGACTCGTGATAGCGGAACTTGCGCCAGTTGTTTGCAATGATCTGCCGCTCGGCAAATATCTCCTTCCATGGCCGCCGGTTCGAGTGGCTTCCGCCTTGCCGCTGCTCGTTGCTGCAGCTGCTGTCACTCATGTTGCCACTCTCAGTGTCCCGGTTGGGGATAAAGTTTGTGCGCGGAGCCTGGTCGGCTTGCGGCGTGTCAGTGCCGCCTGCGGGTGCCAGCGAGCCCCGGATGAACTGGACAGTCTCGTGCGGGGCGCACACGCTGCTGATCAGTGACACGTCGAGGTCCGTGGGGTTGATCAGCGACGACACTGGGATCATCTGCTGCGAGACCGGCTGTTGCTGCTCCTGCTCCTGGTGCTGGGGTGCTTGTATCTGGGAAGTGGTTGGGTCGATGGTGACGCTCGATGTCGGCAGCATAAATGTGTACGTGCCTCCCGTCTGACCAGCGGCGGCGTTGCCACTGCGGAAGGGTCTGTTGCGGGAATGCAGGTCCGGGGCACCGCCCGCCGTCGACGCCATGCGCAGCGCACGACGCGTAGTAGCCTCGTAGACGCGGCGGCTAGTCTTATCCAACAATGGAAGCCCCCAGCCGCACTTCTTGCACACCTTATCAATGTGCTGCGCACACATGCGGTGCCACAGGATATCCTCGTTGGCCAGCGCCGCCCACGCGCGCGACACCTGGGCGGCCTGACACAGGGACTTTGCGTCGAGATATGAGAGGATCTTGAGCGAAATATCGGATGGCGCCGCAGCCATAAAGTCGACGCGCAGCTGCTGCGGCACAACGCGGTTCAGGTACGATAGCTGCGGGATGCAGCATAGGTTGACGATGCCCTGTAGGATGAGCAACCGCCGCTCGGTCGGTTCTGAGGCAAAGTCCTTCCAGATGCCGCTGATCTTCTGCTGCTCGGTGGTCGGCAACGACCGTAGAGACTCCTGCAGCTGCCGCTGGGTGTTGTCGCATTCGGCCAGGTATACGTGCGTTGAGTGCCGGTAGCATTTGCCGCCGAACGCCGGGTACTTGCGTCGCGACAGAATGTCCAGCTCCTCGGCTGTGTAACCGCTGACGTGCTCGGAGAAATCGCGCTTGCGCCCGTTGGCCACTGGCACAAGAGTGCTGGTCATTTCGATGTCGTCGCTGCTGCTGGGGCTCTTGGGGAAGAGCAGCTGCTGGGTGTCGTGAGAAGCCTCGGCTTCTAGCATTGTTGAGTTGGCCACGTGCATTGATTCGACTCCCATTGTCATGAAGCTGCTGTTTGGCGCGTGCGTGGCTGAGTATGTGGTGAGTGTGGAGTTCATGCTTTCGTCTTTTCTACCAGATAAGGCTGATGTGTGTTCAAGTGTTTCGATGGTGATATGCGGTGGTGGTGTTATGCCGGTCAATGATGATGCTGGTGCTGTGGTTGAGATTGGTGTTGGTGTTGTACAAGTGGCGGATGGAATAGGTGTGGAATAGGGCGAGTTTGAAGTATTTGTTGTCATTCTCAAAAAAAAAAAGAATTTGAGTAAAAGTGCGCGATGCGGTTTATATATACTTTTTCTGTTAGTTTACTTTGTAGCAGCCGTGTCGATATTTCGGCTTGAAGTAAAAAATAATAAGGAAGGTGGTGTACTTGTTTACAACAATAACAACAAAAATTTTATGAGGCGGACAGTCGGAAGTGGTGAATTAGAACAGCCGAATAATATTGTCAAATATTTCAATAAAAAGACGGAAAAAGAGAAAAATATGAACATAATTGCGTGCTCACCCCCTATCCAGCAGCCAATTGCCACCAGCAATGTCAATTTACAAAGGGGGCGGGTGCAAAATAGGCAGTAGGCTCTTTTCCCCCTCTTTTCGCTCCTATTTTCATTTCCACAAAGATGCCAGGAAAAACAAGCCTGAAAAATGGTACAAGCACTCACCGCGTCCTAAACCATTTTTTTCTTTCGTGAGCAACAGATTGGCTCGTGGTGATTGGCTAGGAGAAATAGCACGAAATACCGCCCATCCTCCCTTTTTACTTGCAAGCCAAAATCATCTGTGATTGGACGCTCGAGCAAGCCAAGTCACGTCTTTACAAAAATAAATTGCGCCATTTTTCCCAAAAAAATTCAAGCTGGTCATAATGAAAGCAAATCCGCCATTACATAACCGTCTTAATCATCCGCGGAGGCCCAATTGTCAGCAGCTGCGCCTAGCTAGCAGATCGCCACTGTCCAAATGGCGCTATAGTAATCCAATACCGCTTTTGGATTTGGTTCCAGGGCCTTTGTTTAGCAAGCCTTGCACATCATTATATTTTCTTTTTTTGGTCCCACCCCTATGCCATCACGCGAGCTATAGGCTGCGCACAGATGTTGCGCAATTCACGGGCGGTTGTCCAATATGAAGAAAACGATGGCGAATCGTTTTGCAATATTAAACTAAAGCGATCAATGGCCGAACAACAGTCTTAATAGTGCACAATTTTCACAACTAATTGCACGAGCCAAAGTGTGCTTAAAACTGGAATTGGTCGACATACATATGCTTGCGGAATTTTATTCGCCATTTTCAACGTACCAGCTGCAAAACAAAAAATTCATGTGTAACAAGTTGTTTGGAAATAAGTCAGAAGAAAACAAAACAAAACAAAATATCATTCTACTTGCGAGTGATGAGGATCAGTCGAATGTCGGAAACCGGGTTCGGGAGACACAATGTCGACATCTTTGCCTCTGTCAGATCCATGACCGATTTTCCCAGCACGCCCGTATCGTCTACAACCAAATATTTACAAATGACATGGTTCAATGGTGGATGTATCTGAGTGTGCAGTATCTCGCATATCTAAATGCAATTGCAAAAAAACGTGGTATAGCGTGCGAATTGCCGCTTACCGGGCAATTTCTACAAGATAAGCAATGCTTTTTTACTAATAAAATTATGAATATACTTACCAACTAGCTTGAGGAACAGCTCAAATGTCTCCTGCGATCTGACGGCCGCCGTAATATAGGCAACCTGCTGCGGCGAAACCAGCATAGTCTCGAGTGCCGCCACCAATAAAGGAACAATGGTCGGGTCGTAAGACTAAGAATAAAAATAAGTGACAAAGTGATTAATTAAATGTTTGTTTTTATGTGACAAAACTGTAAGCTTCTTCACCCAGAGATATTAATAAATAACTTACCACATCTGCTCCAATAATAACGTCAACGTTGCTCGAAATCCGCGCGCACTCTTCGAGGTTCGCCCAATCCAACTCAGCTACTTGCACCTTGTCCTTGTACTCCGTGTCTATAAATAATAATAAAATCAGTTAATTTACATTTTCTATCATCCATCTCTTTTGACTATTGCAAAACAAAAAATGACACTTACTTGTTTGGCGGTTGCCCTCGAGAAGTTTGAGAACATCGCTGTTAAAATCAGTGCTGAGCACATTAGACGCACCCATGGCCGCGCATGTAAATCCTATTTTTTAGGAGATGAGAATAAAAGTTGGCTTTAGTTATATTCGATTTTAATAATGCATGTGCGACAATCTATGTATACAAGTCAGCGCACATTGTGTCGCGTACCTGCTAGTCCACACCCCGCGCCCAATTCCACCACCCTCTGGCCACGAATGATGCCTACAGAATCATAAAGTACAATTGCTCAATTAATAATCCAAACATCGCAAAAATAATACATATAAATCATTTTGTTCAATTGGCAATAGCCAAATACTTACCCGGATGCTCCGCAAAAAAGTCAGCCAAACGAAGACTCGCATCCCATGTCTGAAGGCCCGTAGTCCCCTGGGATACCATTGTCTGCTCCTCCTGCAGCACAATCCGCATATACTGCTCCTTATCCAAAACATACGTCTTGTAGCACATCCCGGGAGCAAACGACGTTGTGTTTGTGGTGGAAATCAGTGAAATGTAAAACTCTGTCAGCTCGTCGTCCAGTTCATAGTCCGGCATGCTTTCGATCTTTTCAATGTACTTTTTCAAGAACAACGTGATGTACCGGTTCGATGGGCTGTACGCGTTGTGTGCTCGTGGAATATTATCGTCTTCATTACTTCGCCCTGGACACGGGGCATGCTAACAGCTGAATGTTCTCATCGCTCTCCATGTCCGTCAAATCCCAGTCTCCCTATTAAAAAAGCATTGAAAGGATGAAAACGGCTTGGTTTTTTGTTGTATAAGTCTCTGGAAATAATTTTTTTAAAAGCGTGTGGCTACCCGAGCTAGGTGTACTTTAGCTACAGAGTAACGGTACTGTGGCTTACCCAGATAAACATGCGCATGGACGTCATTTGCCAAAACTGCTTGCGTAGGCTGCTTGTCAGCGTGTCGTGCTCATGGTAGGTTGCGCTCTTGCAAATAACGCACTTTTGGTCCATGGTCAGAATCGAAGCGAGAATTAAGTTAATTAAGCTTGAAAAAAGAAGACAAAGGATGCAATAGTTATGAGAATAAATATATTTTTCCCCTTAAAAAACAAAATTAAATAATGTCAAGACCTGCAGAGGGGGCAAGCAGCCCAGTCAGTGGAAAGGTCGATATTAAACGGTCCTGCACTTCCTTGTGGGTGCAGGTGGTCCAGCCAATCGGCCAATTTCCCAGGCTTAGAGACCATCTCAACTCGGGAGAGGGGGGGGGCCATTCTGTATGTATCAGATCCCGAATTGGTCAAAGTCAGCTGGATCAAACCATTTACAAAATAAAGAGCATTCTGCACTTTTAAGTCTATGAGACATGTCCAAAAAATAGTAATTGGTATAGAAAACCACAGTTTAATTAATATATTGGTGAGCTCTATCAGCGTGCTCCGACAGTCAATCGAAAAGCAGGCTGCCTATAAATAACTTGGGCTATGTTGGGCCCAACTTGCAGGTCAATGCTTAGAATAGTCATCAAAGTCGTCATCGGTCTGCTCCTCGTCCTCGTCATAGTAAAGATCCCCTTCATCTTCGCCTCCCAGCTGGGTGACGTCAAGCTGCCAGCGAAGCATACCACCGATACCACCAAAGCCATTGACGTACTGCGAGCCTTCAGGCGACTTGTCCGTGACAAACTCCAGAAGAGCACCCTTCTGCTTGTACACCTCGGCAATCCACTCAATCAACGGTTCCTTGCTGATCAGCTCGAGGTCAGCACCGGTCTCGCTGTTCAAGAAGTTAGAGCGGTCGGACTCCTGCTTAGGAGTGAGCACGCGTTCGATATTGAAACCATTGGCATCGCGGAAGACGTACCGGGTGCCCTCCAGGTTCTCCCATACAATAAGCGTCTCGACAGCGCCCATATCCAAAGCCTTGAGGGTATCGTCCATACCGTAAACAATCTTGCCGGTATCTTGGGAGATCTCGCCAAAGAACTTCTCAATAAGCTTCTTCTCCTGGATGAACTTGACGTTAGACAAGTACTCCTGCGACAGGTTGATAGCCTGGTTGAAGCCGTTCTCGCCACCGTAGGACACATCAATGGTCTTGACGACCTTGGCACACAGACGGGGGTCAAAGAGGTCGGATTTGTGCAGGTCATCCTTGAACTCGGCAGAACCGGCAAGAATGAGGCCCTGTACGTTGACCTTGTTGTCGGCAATGAACATCTGAACGGCGGCCTCAGCGACCTTGCGCACGTAGTGGTGACGCTTCTCCTCGCGAATACGACCGAAACGCTGGGCGGACTGACCACCTCGACCGTGCTTCTTGGGCAGATCAACGGAGAATGAGTGCAGAATTTCTCGGCTGCTTCCGCAGATAGCGCCAAAGAGGCAACCGTTACCGTCAATGATAATGAAACCGAACCGGCTGTCAGACTCGAGCAGCTCTGCGAGGGCCTCGACGTGGAACTTGTTGTCGCACATGTACAAGGTGGTGTTGATGGGCTTGAAGGGCTCAAAGTCAATGTTGACCTTCTTTTCCTTGCCTTCGTCCGTGAGGATGGTGCCGCAGTAGACGACCAGGCCGTTGGGAGGGGTCCGTGTGTACATCTTCAGACGCTGCTGAGCCGAGGTAATGGCAGCCATGACCGAGAGACGATTGACACGCGACTTAATGTTGGATGCTGCGCCGTGTTCTTCGGCAGCATAGCGGTGGTCAGGGGGATTTGCGACTTTGGCGGCAGAACAAGCGAAATCATCGAGGTTCCATTTCTACACATATCAAAAAGCATTGTCATGGCATACAGTTAGTTAGTTAAACGTATTAAAAGATAATTTGAAATCGCATTGGCGCTGCTGATAGCGGCTCTATGGGTATTGTAAAAATATACTTTCTCAAGTGAAGTATCGTCGCTACCAGTTCTCCCAAAGAACAAAACATATACCACTTGTGTATGACTTACCCGCGGGCGGCCTCCAAGCTCTTAATAAGCTTCTTCATCTTCCACAGCTCGACCTGCTCGTCGACTTCGTTTCCGGTGGCGGGCTTGGCGCTCATGATTGTAAAGTTATTGATTATGTATGCTGAGGCAAATGAAAAAGATGGCTAGCACTCGATTCTGTATGTACGAGGTCTACTGAGTGGAAATTATATTAAAAAAAGTGTTTTCAATTCCTGCCGTAGCTGTCTGTCGATAAAAGCTCGATTTCCAATGTGCAAAGTATAAGAAATAATTACCCAAAAATGTGAAAGCAACCAAATGAAAACCCCGTCAACCCACCCAAAAAAATTATTTGTCTGCCAAGCCTGAATTATTGTCGCGTACTCTACACCTTTTTCCACTGTGACTTTCCGGTACAAATTAGGGCCTGGAAAATAGTAGCGCACGCAGTGAAGAAAAATTTGAGCGCACGTGTAATCTAATTTCGGTTGATTGATTATGATGATTTACCAACTTTACAGGGGCTTTCAGGTAAAGACGCGCAGCGTTGATATACAAAGTAAAAAAGTTCATTATAACCGAGTAACAAAAATGCAAATATTAAAATAACACAAGTGTTGTCAACTAAAAGCCCAAATATTGTGAAATTAATTTGACCTTGGTAATGTCGAGATATATCGTTGCCATTGTAGGTGCTGTGAGGACTGATGTATTGTGCATGTTCATTTTGGTAGTCTCTTGAGTATCTGGTGCAAACAAACTGCAAATAAAGCATCCAAGACATTGGAAAATATGAGCACAACTAAAATGCCACAAGCAAATGGCTGCTAAATTGTACTTGTAACAGTATTCCGACTACTGTAACTCATATTGTGGACCATGTTATAATGTTTGCCTATTTGAATAGAACTAGCAGAGGCAAAGCTGCAATGCTCGCACCAATATCCTTGTTCAACAATTTTGATTTCTGGAATTGGTGCATTCACCCGCAGCAGCCGCTCCCTGAATCAAATGTGAAAATTGTCGTCGGCCAACGCACCAAACTCTCTTGATACCAGATAGTGACATACTTCCTCCACGGCTTTTGAACTGTAATCGACCTTGCAAACATGGCTATAGTTATTTTGACAATTATGAAAATGTGTGTAAATACCGCCAGGAGACATAGCATAGCAGCAAGCCATACAAACAATCACACTACTGGCTCGATCTAAATGCAGGTTTAAAACTGTGAGAGCCAACTCTGAATAAGGTGGATACAAAAAAAAAATGGACTGTGTCAGTTACAAAATGTTTGCAACTTATTAAAAGGGTTTTCATTGTTGCACAGCCCGAAGATATGGAAGTGGATGTCGAGGTTGAGAATCGTGAAACAAGTTTCCATCTGCATGCCAATTGATAGGGTACTAATTGGATCATGCAGGCGTGAGGTAGGGAGGCATCATAATGATGCCCGGACATGCTCCCCATTTTGCAATGCACACGCGTGAGTGCACACACACGAAAACCACAACATTGACTTGCCAAGATATCGGCTTGCTCACAGAAGAACCAGGTCTCGTCAACGGAGTGCACAATTGGCAATGTGCACAACAAAGGCGACGAGGTACATATATAAGACGAGACCGGCCCTAGTTCTACTTTTGATTCCCTTGATAATAAAAACTATAACAAAACCCAAACATAACCCTAACACTAGACAACTAGTGCTCCCCTCAAATCACAACATCATAAACAAAATATGGCTTAATGTATTTTTCTAACAGCGAAATTTGTCGAGCTGAACAAATAAATAAATAAATAGTGCCGCAAATATAAAATTTATTTCAAAAAAATTATCAGGTTTGTGTATATTATCTTAATATATCAATCCAGCTTAAAATCTCACCTTGGTGAGGTGTACTTGAGCGGTATCGTCGGGTCCCACACAAGATTGGTTGGCTGCTGCTGCTGCTGCTGGTTGTCTTGATCCGGAGCCTGCGACAAGTCAGTCGGGTGCTCGCCCTGGCCAACCCCAATCAGTTCAAGCGCATCCATATGCCGCGCCATGACAAAGTCCAAGCAGCCCTCCCTCAGCTTCAACAGCTCTCCCTCCAGCGACACATAGAACCGCGAGCCATCATGCAAGTTAAAAGACGCCTCCCTGTACCGCTTAATGGCCGTCTCCAAGTTACTTAACGCCTTATCTCTCTGTTGCAGCAGCGGGTGGTTGGATCGCGCCACAATAAATGCCTGGTTAGCTTCCCTAATACTGTCAAGCAACTCGCTCTGCGCCTCCCTTTCCTCCGCAATGTACTTTCTCCACGACGTGTACTTGTCCAATTGCTGCGAAAAAACCTCCTCGAACTGGTGCAGTTCAAATTTCAAAATTGGCGTCGACGACTGTGCTGCCAGCCGCTGCATCTCTTCGTTGAGTGCCGGCGTGACGTCGTCCTCAAGCGCAATGCGCTTGAGCTTGTCCATTGATTTTAGTCGCTCGCGCCGCATAATGCTCACTTCGTCGAGGTACTGCTGCAGCCGCTGGATGATCTGGCTGTGGTGCGGGTCGGTGATTGGGTTTGCTGTGGTTGACGGGACTTGCCTCTCAATTTCTTCGCGTGGCGAGCCCAGAAGGGCAAAGAATTTGGACCACGTATCGACCTGACCCTTAATTACCGCGTCGCTGTCATGGGCCTTGCCCACAATGCCGCGGTACTTTGCTATTTCGCTACGGAATGTGTTTGTGAGCTCGCTAGATTGCTTACGCTTAGCCCTGGCCGAGCCGGCACTAGCACCCTGTTTGATGCGCAGGTCCTCGTGGGCCTCCTTGTTGAGCGCGTCCTCAGCAGTGTCCAGCAGGCCAGCTGCCGTGTTGTTTGCCGCAATGGCATTGTCAAGTAGCCGCTTTATCCCCAGGTACCCACCCTCAGACCGGATCTCATCGGCACCAACCAGAATGTTTGGGGGCAGACCAATGGGTTTCTTAATGGCTTCCAGCGCGTTGGGAAGATTAAGAGAGTTCAGCGCAGACTCGCAGTCCGCAGTCAGCTCGTCTAGAGCGTTGATCAGGTCGTTGGAGACCAGCTGGTCCTTGCGGTCCTCGTATAGACTGGCCGCCTGGTGGATTACAAAGGGCACTAGCCCCTTAAACAGCGGCGGGCCAAGCTCCTCCTCGCCCAAGAACTTGCCTGGGTTCTCGACAATCTCAGGCGCCTTTGATTGGGCCAGCTTGTATGGTGATATGGTGGCTAGCGACAAGGACGAAGGCACTGGGTCTAAATAAATGACGTCGTTGTCGCGCTCGGCGCGCGTGCAGTTGTTGCTCACTTGCTCCATCTGTGCCCTCGTCATGTCGACGACTGCCGCGCGGATATGCTTGGACCACCGCTGGTCGTAGGTGACAAGCTCGTTCGTCTGGTTGCAAAACTCCTGCGCCGCCTGCATCCGCGCAACCTCTTCGCCGTACTGGCTATTGGCCAGGCAGTCCTGCGCCTTGCGGTACTGGGCTTCAGCGTAAAAGTACAGCTTTTCGCCTTGAAATTGTCTGGCCAGTAGGCCGGAATAGTGTTAGACAAGGACCCGTGGGACCCGGACTCAATGACCAAATCATAGAACTCTGCCACTTGCGTGGCGACGCGCGCCACATTGGCGTCCTTCATATGGCTGAGGACCGAGCGATGCCATACACATTCCTGCGCCTGACACAGCATCAGGTTCTCCAGAGTGGTCAGCATATATGAGGACAGGTCAGTTGTCAGCTGCGTCCGGCATTCGCTAACCACCTTGCTCTGCAGATAGCTGAACACGCCGGCGGCGTTCTGAAAGTATCCAAAGGCTCTGTTCAGACTGTCCTTGTCGTTGCGGCTCTCGCGGCATGCCAGCTGCGAGTATATGGCGCCAATGTTGAACAGAACCGATGCGCGCTCAAAGTACAGATCCTGACAAGTGACCGTAGAGTCAGAGTCAAAGGCATTATACCAGGTGAATTTTACGTTGATGTCAGCTGGGAACTTTGACAGAATGAACGACAGCTGACCGTAGTATCTGATGTTGCGCTTGAGAACGTTCGCGTTGACGTCCAGTGCCGCTGTCGCCGCCTCGCGAAGCTCGTCAAGCACTCGCAGGTCGTCCCTGTACGCTTCGGGCGGTTCGGCGTAGGACGACGCTATGTACTCGGATAGCGACTTACAAAACACTGTTTTCTCTGTTGTTTTGAATTTAACTGCTAGCAGAGCCGAATTGTCGTTGCCATTCTTGTCGGCAGCTGCCGACTGCTGCTGTTTGAACAAGAACATGACCGGAGAGAAGAAATCGAATTGAATTGAATTGAATCGAATCGAATTGAATTGACGGATGGCGAAATGCAATAAATTCCAAAAAGGGAAGAAAGGGGAAGGGAAGAAATGACTCCAATGAAAGCCCAGATCTCGACCATAACAAGCAGGAGTGCTGGGATTTTTCTCCACCAAATATTTGCTCGATGCTACGTCATCCAAACAATTTTTTATTTTTCTTGCCGATCGAGCTAAATATCATATTCATTTACATTTAGAGAAAAAAGCGCCAATGTCGACAGGTACGCTAGAGGTTGAGCGCATTCTGCAGCAGGAGGCGACGCAGCTGGCCCGGCAGCGCGAAGTAGAGCGGGTTCTGGCCCAAAGCCTGCTTGACCCCTTTGCCATCCTGCAAGTGCCGCGCACATGCACGCCCAGCGACATCAAAGCCGCCTACCGCAACAAGTCCCGACTAATCCACCCGGACAAAACCGCCCACGAGCACGCCCGCGACGCATTCGAGCGGCTGAAAAAGGCCGAGTCTGAGCTGATGGACGACGAAAAGCGCAAATCCATCCTGACCATGATCAACGAGGCCAGGCGCGAGCTCACAGCCGAATGGCAGGCGGAAGTGATGAGTGGAAAGAGGGCCGAAGAGGATGCAAGGATGGAGGGGGACGCGTTTGAGCTTGCCGTGCTGGAAAAGTACAAGAAGATCATGGTGGAGATTGAGTGGAGGCGGAGGCAGAAGCTTAAGCAGGAGATGGCTGCTGAGGGCGCCGCTACGAAGAAGGAAGAGGAGAGGGCGGAGGAGAGGCGCAGGAAGCGGGATGCTGAGAAGGCGTGGGAGGATAGCCGCGACGACCGCGTTAGTAGCTGGCGGAGCTTCCAGACAGGCTCTGGCGTGTCGAAGAAGGGCAAAAAGAAGGACCCGGTGGGCAAAAAGGCCAAGCTGGCCATGGCTGCTGCCGCTGCCAAGTCGCAGACGCAAGCCCAGTAGATCTGTTTTGCGACATGCCAGCACTAGCTGTTTTTTATTTGAGCTGATTGCCAGCAAGTCTAACAGCAGATTGATTCCCAAGGGTGATCTCAAAATGAGCGATGACGTTTTAACAAAGTGCTGTGCAGCTTTTTCGAGGGGGTTTCCTTCTCAGTTCAATTTGTAGTTTTAAAATAGAAAATTCAACTTTTTTCATACACATAATTTCACTTCTTAATTTTAAATAGAACAGCGGCAATGCGCTTAAGCCCAATCAAAAGGACAGGCAGCCAGGCCAGGTTTGTTCCACGCGACGCTTCCGAATCTGCGGCCTCGGACCTGGAACTGGAGAGCAGCCACATGGCCAGCGATGAAGACGAGGCAAATGCATCCGACCAAAGCGACAATGCAGACAACACAGAAGCCGATTCTAACAATGACAGCAATGGAGACGAACAAGACGAAGAGGACGATATCGACGAAGAGCCAGCGCTGAGGTACAAGCGGCTGGGCGGCAACATACACACGCTTTTTGCCAAGGACTCGGCCAGCACACTCATAGCGTCGGACAAGTTTCTCGTTCTGGGCACACACTGGGGCAACGTGATAATCATAGACTTTGAGGGCAATGAGATTAAGAAGTGGCGGGCGCATTCGACAACAGTTAATAGCGTCAGCGTCGACTTGGACAACGAGTATGTGGCCAGCGCGGGCGACGACGGGCGTGTGGTCGTGCGTGGGCTGTACAATAATGACCTGACCATTGTCGATTACAGTCGGCCGGTAAAGGCCGTTGCGTTGGATCCGATGTACAGCCGCAAGGCCTCGCGGCGGTTCGTTTCGGGCGGCACCTCGGGGCAGCTGGTCATGTACGAAAAAAGGTGGTACGGGAAGAGCGACACTATTCTGTTTACCAGCTCGGGCCCTATCCAGGTCATCCAATGGCAGGGGGACCTGGTTGCGTGGGCCTGCGACGAGGGCGTGCAGATATACGACACCACACAGGCAACGCGCATATCGCAGATTTCCAGGCCCGAGGGCAGCCCAAGGCCGGATCTGTTTAGCTGCCGGCTGCAGTGGAAGGACGAGCGCACTCTGGTTGTTGGCTGGGCCAACTTTGTCCAAGTGGTGACCCTCAAGGACCGGGCTGTCTTACAACAGCAGCAGCAGCACCCGCAGTCGGGGCAGACAGCATCGGTGGCTGCAGGCTCGGGCTCTGGGCCGTCGCTGTACGCCGAGATTACTGTTCTATTTCGCACGGACTTTGTTGTCTGCGGCCTGGCTCTGTACCGCGACCACTTTCTGGTCTTCTCGTACGGCGACCACCGCACCATCGATATTATGTCGCCAGAGCGCGGCGACGAGGTGCCCGAGGAGACCCGACAGAGGCGCGCACGCAATGCGCAGCCACCCGAGCTGCGCATGATCAACTGGAACATTGAGGAGGTTTCGAGCGATGTGCTGGCGCTCGAGGGCTTTCCGCTGCTGCAGCCCAACGACTACGGCCTGGCGTACTGCGCGGCCCGACAGCAGCCCTCGGCGCCAAGGTCCGCTGATCCAGCGTCTGATCCAGCGGCACCAGGCAAGGAGCTGTCGGGCGATGCCGACACGTGGTTTATTTTGAGTCCCAAGCAGCTTGTGTCGGTGCGGCCGCGGGGGCTGCAGGACCACGTGCAGTGGCTGACGGAGCGTGGCGACTATCGGCAGGCCTTGGGCGACATCGAGGAGGCGTACGCGAATGCCGGGCCGTGGGCCATGTATCGCAGCCAGATCAAGCAGGACGAGTACCGGGCCATCGGCCAGTCGTACGCGCAGACGCTCATGGACGCGGGCAATCCCGGGGAGGCCGCCGAGGTGTGCGCCCGGGTGCTGCCGCGCACAGACTCGCCCGAGTCCGTGGCAGCGTGGGAAAACTGGATCTTTGCGTTCGCCGAGGCCAACGCGCTGGAGCTGATTGCGCCGCACATTCCGGTCAGTGGTCTGCAGCTGTCCAACACCGTGTACGAGATGGTGCTGGCGTTCCTGCTGACATCGGACATTGCGGAATTCCGGCACCTGGTGCTCTCGTGGCCGTCGACGCTGTTCAACGCGTACAGCGTGGTGCTGGCCGTCGAGGACCAGCTGGAGAAGACCGCCGCGGAGGGCGACCGCCGGGTGCTCAAGGAGATTATGGCGTTTCTATACGACAAGCTCAACAAGCCGTCAAAGGCGCTCAAGTACCACCTGGAGCTGTTTGCCGACGGGATCCTGGATCGCGTGCGGCGCGAGAACCTGTTTGACGCGATCCGCGACAAGGCCGAGCTCGTTATGTGCTTTGACGATCACTCGCTGGGCATTGCAGGCGACCGGCCGGCGGAGCTGAAGGACCGGTGTGAGGCCAAGGGCGTGCAGCTTCTGACAGACAACACAGACGCCATCCCTTGCGCCAGCGTTGTCAAGCAGCTGGTGGCCGTGCCCGAGCACCTGCATGTGTACCTGCACACGCTTCTGGGTAAGGACGCGCACCTGGGGGCGCCATTCGCCGACCTGCAGGTGGAGCTGTACGCCGAGTACAATCCCGAGCGGCTGCTGAACTTTCTGCGCGTCAGCACGTACTACTCGTTCGACAAGGCGTTGGAGATCTGCGAGGAACGCGCGTTGGTGCCTGAGATGGTGTTTATCCTTGGGCGAATGGGCGACAACCACCGGGCGCTGATGCTGATCATCGATCGGCTGTGCGATGTGCCGCGGGCGATTGAGTTTGCCAAGGAGCAGAACGACCCGGAGCTGTGGAACGATCTGGTGATGTACTCCAGGGACAAGCCCGAGTTCATCATTGGACTGCTGGAGCTGGGCGGCACGCACACGAACCCGACAAAGGTCATTCGCAATATCCCGGCCGACCTGTCGATCCCCGGCATCCGCCAGGCGCTGACCAACGTGCTTCACGACTACCATCTGCAGGTGGAGCTGTGCACTGACTGCAAGCGGGTGCTGGACGGCGACTGCGAGGTGCTCTCTGACGGGCTGCGGCGGCTGCAGCACCAGGGCATGGCCATCGAGAGTGAGCAGATGTGCTTGGTTTGCCAGCTGCCGCTGGAGGACATGCCCTCGGGCTGCCGCAGTGCGCTGGCCTTTTGGTGCGGGCATATCTTCCACGACAAGTGCATTCTGCTGCCGGAAATCCTGCGCAAGACGCATCTGAGTGAGGCGTCGGATTCGTCGCTGAATTTGAGGCAGCGGAATCTGCGCATGGTGCATGGTCCCAGGGAGCAGCGCCGGACGCTGATGCAGGCCAAGCTGGACCGCACGGTTCTGATCAGGCAGTATGACCCTAGGTGCCCGGTGTGCGCAGAGTATGATCAGAAGAAATCCATGCAGGCGCATTCCGGCTGGTCGCCCGCTGAGCGCATGGACCGCGCCGGGCTGCTGGCGGATGTGGATGCGGATGCGGATGAGGTGCAGGCCGATGCGAATGCCTTGGCGCTGGCCGGCGAGAGGGGCGAGCTGCCGCCGATGCTGACCTTGCTGATGTAGTTGGTTGGGGAGTGCCTGAATGCGTTGCGTGTATTTTCCCTCTTGCTTGATCACTTGATAATTGATCGGCTCGGCTCTTTCCTTTTTTATATTGCGTTGTGAGGCAGGCGAGCGCGAGCTGGTACGTAATGCTGTTTTACTAAAATAATTTGGAAATGCTCCTTTTGTAATGTTTCATTTAATTTTATTTTTGCCTTTCGTTTGTAATTCATTTTTTTCGCATTTTATTCAAATTATATTTATCTATTCACAATGGTCAAAGGCACGGTTTAAATCCACCAAACTAATGTCAGGAATCCACACAATTAATGCGCTTGGACGTTTTACTAACACACACACACGCACCATTCCTCTCTCTTTCTTCTTTTAATTACACCCAGTAGTTCAGGTTAAATGGCAGGGCAAAAAGTACGAGGTCGACGCTGACATTACGCAGCCAGGCGAAACCTTCAAGATGCAGGTGTACTCGCTGACCAGCGTGGCACCAGACAGACAAAAGATCCTTGTCAAGGGTGGCCAGCTGAAGGACGACACGGACATGTCTAAGCTGGGGCTCAAGGAAAACCAAATGCTGATGATGATTGGCACAGTGAGCGAGCTGCCCAAAATGCCCATGACGCAGGCCAAGTTTGTCGAGGATATGACCGAGAACGAAGTTGCTCGCGCACTGGCTATTCCCGCGGGACTGGAGAACCTGGGCAACACGTGTTATGCGAATGCCTCTCTGCAGTGTCTTAAGGCTGTGCCTCATCTGAAGGAGGCCCTGGATGAGTTTAGGGCGGGTGGTGCTGCGGGTACGTCGGATCCGAGGAGGAACCTGGCGACGTCGCTGCGTGGGCTTTTCGATCAGCTTAGTGAGAGCAGCGAGGGCGTGCCGCCGATGGTGTTTTTGAGCGTGTTGCGTCAGATTTTCCCAAAGTTTGGCGAGATGGATCCGCAGTCCGGCGGGTATCGCCAGCAGGACGCCGAGGAGTTCTGGAGCGAGCTGTTAACGGCGCTCGACCGTGTGCTGAAGAAGGACGAGAACGAGCCGAGTGTTGTTGAAAAGTACATGAGCGGCACGATGGTCACAACTTGGAAGACCGACGAGGCACCTGAGGAGCCCGAGGTTGTGCAGCAGGAGCCCTTCCGCAAACTGGACTGCCGCATCGACAGGACCGTTAATTATCTGTCGCAGGGGATTCATAAGGGCCTGGAGCAGGTCGTCGAGAAGAACTCTGCTTCATTGGGCCGCAATGCCGAATACAAGGTTGTTTCGCGCATTGCCCGTTTGCCCGAGTACTTGACTGTGGCGTATAGCCGGTTTTTCTGGAAGGCGTCCGAGTCTGTTGATGCCAAGATCGTCAAGAGTGTAAGGTTCCCCTTGGAGCTCGACGTGAGCGAGTTCTGCACGCCCGAGTTGCAGAAGAAGATGCAGCCGGCGAAGCAGTATCTGCGCGAAATTGAGGACAAGATTGCTTTAGAGCGCAAGATGTCGAAGCGTGCAAAATTGAATGAGGAGCGTGGTAGTGAGAAGGGCAAAAAACCCGAGGAGATGGACGTGGATGTGGAGGCTAAGAAGGAGGAAGAGGCGGTGGAGGCAGCAGCCAAGCCTGTGGCCGAGTCGCATTTTGAGCTTGATCCTGAGCTCAAGGCTGATGTCGGATGCAACCCGAGTGGCATTTATGAGCTTGTTGGTGTCGTCACGCATATTGGGAGGTCTGCTAACTCGGGACATTATATGGCGTGGGTGCGTAAAGAGAAGGGCGTGGGTGGACCAGACCCTGCTGCTGCTCCTGCAACCGCTGGCGGTAAGGCGCCTGGTACTCAGCATTGGTGGTACAAGTTCGATGACGATAATGTCTCTATGGTGACGGATGACGAGATTCTCAAGCTGTGCGGTGGCGGTGATTGGCATACCGCATATGTCACGTTGTATCGCGCAAAGAAGCTTGACTAATTTTTTTGTTTGTTTTTTCGTGTATTGATATTTACATTTTATTAATCAAGGCGGATATATAATTATTTCTCCATGTTTCTGCTGTCGCCTTTGTTTTTGTATTGGTGGTGTGACGAAACTAACGTCTAAAATATATTGTTTTTAAAATAATTGAGGAAATAGTGTGACGACTTGGCTCAGTCACACATTTTACCAGTTCTGAGTAACTTTTAACAAATTAGATGATGGTCAATTTAAACTTTATTTTGGCTATCACGATTTAGACATCCTCTTTTGGCACGAGTTACTCTGAACTGGTAAAATGTGTGACTGAGCCAAGTCGCCACAGGCAGGAAGAGGTTTTGGTGGTTTTAGATATGCATAATGAAACGAGGCTTGGCTTAATTACGTTTTTTTTAATAAAAAAAAAAAAGATCACAATGCATATCAATATCCTAAAAACAATTTAAACATTTTATAGATATTTTATTTCATTAAAGCAGACACGTATTCTAGAAATGTATAGTCTGCATTTTCTAATGCATTTCGGATACTGTACAAATCACATACATAATTTTGTCATATATTTGTTATTATATTTATTCAATAATAATAAAAAGTACGCAAAAAATTAATGATAACAACATTTCACACCCTTTATCGTGTGGCGGTCACAATCTTTTTGCCTTGAATGTGACTAAATTCCGAATAAGGGAGGCACAATTGATGCCACTGTTTTATTTTCTATTATTTACTTCTACGCATATTTATCGTCCCCTGAATCCTTTAATCATTTTTGCTAAAAGATAATGGCTTTTACGCCTCTGATTATATTTAAACAGCAGACATATTCACGCCTTTTTTGTCAGATTCAAAATCATCCTTTCCTTATATATTTCTCATTATTTGTAGTTATTTTATTTTTTTATTCAACAAATTTTGCGAGATACTCTAGTTTTTTTCAAATGCCTCATTCGTTTATAGGAATACATGACAAGTCACATGAATCACGCATCCTTTACATGTCCTCAGGCGTACAACAAGCCATGGGTATTCCGGCACAAGCCATGATAGGCCGCAGCGCCTACGCCTTTTTAGCCAACGACATACACACGCAAGCCTACCCCACATCATACTGCGGAGAAATTGACGAAACATGCGTAACCATCATGAACCTCAACACGATCAAGGACACCGGCGATCCTGTAGTAACCCGCATAGTAATATTTAGCTGCGACACATGCAACATCATAGTCGCCATGGTGTATCCGGACAGACCACGGGTAGAAATTCCAACCATAGATATTAAACGACCGCAGGAAGTACTGGGCCATGCCATGGTGTCTCCAAACACATCTTCTGTTCGTGTGGCGAGAGAGCCTAGGCCTAGGGCATGTCTTGTTTTGGCACGCTCTAATACCACCGAGCTCGTGTTGCCCGATGGGTTACCCGCCGGAGTAGTCACTAGTCCTTGTGGTCCACACATAATCTTTGCGACAAATTCTATTAGCCGAATACTCGACGTCGAAGGGGACGATCTTGTGAACGCCACTTTTCTGAAGCTTATCGCCCCCGAATCTCTAGTCGACGCCGCGCATTTCCTCAATGACGTGGAGCACAACGACGGTGTGGTTTTCGCTAATTTATTTTTCCTGAATCGTCCGTTTGATACTGAGTCAGTGGGGGGTCGTGAGCGCGTAGAGATTGAGATTGTTGGAGCTCATTCGAATGATGGTGCTGTGCTGCTTTGCCACAGGGTGAGGTTGTTTTCGGGGCCAGTTGTTTGTCCCAAAGGGGGGCAATTGGGCGCGGAGGATTGGCTTGAGGATGGGTGTTTGTCCTTGGCTGAGCTTCTTAGTTCGGATCCAGAGACTAGTGATTGTCCAGAATTCTATTGCAAAAATGCTACGTATATATAGTATTATCGAGTTTATTTAAATTAAAAACATTTTAACATTTCTTGAATAATTGCATTAAATTCAGTTTAATTAAACCAATAGAATCATTAAATAGATTTGCTTCAAGTACTAGCTGGTAGAAATAACCTTATCCAATTTTCAAGTATATTTCTTTTATATAAAATTAGGTGCGGTACGCGGTCATAATAAAAATAAAAGTGCTTATCCCTAGCTGTATTTAAATTAGAATAAGTGCCGGTATTGCTTTATGTATAAATCTATTTGCTTTTATCTGTACCCATGTCAATGATCTTTGCTTAAAAAAACTTAATTTTTTGTTAATAGATTGTACTCGTATTGCATCAGCGGCTCATTCCTTGCACGTGGCAGCACTACTGTGTCTGTGAATATATTGAGTAGAACTTGTGATATTATGTAAAATACTTAAAAATAAATATGCAACTCGGTGGTTATGTCTTAGCTATTAGAAGCATATTAAAAAATGTGCTGCCAAAGAAAACAGTTCAAATATTTCAAAATTAAATTTCTAAAATTAAATTCCGCAACAAAAATAAAAAGGCAACATAAAAAATTGACTATAAATCAACAGCCAACCCAATGCCGAGTTTCTGTTTCTATTGTTTCTAAAACGAATAACATAAATATTGCATTCTTCTGCACCACTCACACCCTTTTTTATTTTCTATATTCAACACCCATTTTCAGCACTTTTTCTCATACTTACACACATACTCGCCCCTTCTAGCTTTTACTTTAATGTCCACACTCTCAGTCTTTCAAACTTTGCCCTGGCATGTAATTGAAATAGTTATCGGCTATTCCTTAAGAATGGATACGACTGCGTACAATAAAACAAATCTCTCGCGGCTGCTTTTATTCACAGCTGCCACTGCTGGCGCACGATTTCTATTGCAAAAACATGCAACAATATTTACATATTGTTTAGTTTGAACGATCCCCCGACGCACTATTATCCCAACTGGCCCAAGGCTCTCGGCCAGCCGGCTTTTCAGGATTTTCATGTTGTAAAGTCGGTCAAAATCCAGTTTTAGAGCTGGGTGCTGCTGATGGACGGCATTACGCTCGCCATGCTGTCAACTTCAGTCTATGACAATGCCATTTTTGACAACGCACACCCTTTATATTCACATTAATAACCCTAAGCATATTCTAAACTATGCCTGCAAAGATCATGCTATTCTTGTGCATAATATTGTCACTTTTTTCCGCAGAATCAGGAGTGTGGTTCCGATTCCAAGAAAGTCGACATATCGTGGGTCAATGTTGTCTATGGCCAGACCAACCAGCACGTCAGCGGGCTTCTGGGCAAAGTAACTTTAGAGCTTTACCGCGGGTTAAAGCGTGTGTCATTTTTGGAGACTGGCAGCAACAAGGCTCCCGCTGTTTTCAACTCAGCTACGTTTTTAGCATTGACTCACTTTACGTACAAGTGCACCAGGGGGGGGCATATCTGGGCCATCGAGTGCATTCGGCGGAACACGGCGTCGCTCAAGAAATTGTCTTTTATGCATGTGCACAGATATATTGCAGCTGCAATTTTGCACGACGGTCAGGACAACCCGCTGGTTTATTGTAGCCTGGAGTCTATTTACTTTGACTCTGTCGACTTTCAGATCAAATTTGTTCGGCCAACGCGTTCGGAAACTCCAGCCAAATTTGTCTACTTCCCCAAACTCGAGTTCCTCCGCGTACATGGGAGATATCCGTATAATTACAATATGCTATTCAGGGGTGAAGACGGCCACAGCACTCTCAAGAGTTTGAAGATTACCTTGGAGCTCACGTTTATCGAGACAGAGTCAATTCTGCCCATTTTCGTGACCAACAAATCCCGAATATGCGATCCATCAAGTTAGAATATGAGATGGAGTGTCCCAGATATATCTTACATGAAAGGACGCTTCCAGCTAGACGTATGCGTTCGATTAACCGGATTCTCGAAGCAATCAAATTTTCAACACCAATGCGTGCATTTACAATTGCTGGGCACCTGGCCTGGAATATTTTTGCAGAGTGCATGCAAAGATTCTCTATGTTTATGGATATGCAGATTATTCAAATTCCCCCGTGCGAGCTTGAATTTGCACAAATTATTGCAGTTCTCAGGCGTGCGCCATATTTGCGCCATCTGCATTGCAGCTTTATGGGCGAAAGGCTCGAGCTCGATGGAATTTGCCCTATTGGGATTCGAACGGAGTTTCAGACAAACTTCCATCCATGGGGCAAATATTTCAGTTCGCTGGTTATTGAAAAGGTACATGAAAAAGTGGTTCCGTCGCACCTGGTGACATCCATTGGGCTGATTGCAATAGCTTGTCCTCGGTGTGTGCAGATTGGTATTAGCGATTTCAGTCGGTACAAGTTTAATCGTGAGAAGGACATGTTTACCAACAAAATGTTTTACGGGTATCACTTTGACCGCATGAACATCAATGTCAGTAATAAGCCTGAGATTGTTGTTAATAGAAGAGAAAGGGTTATCTTTTTCTTACTGCTGTGGGACGCCTATATCGTATAATGTGGGGGAGGATTTAACGAATCTCTTTTTTATTGATGTCTTTTGTTTAGTTCAATTTAGTTCAATTCAGTTTAATGAAAATCGATAGAAAAATTTTAATATTAATAAATTGTTTGCACTGTGGAGACAATCGCGCTTCTTTCTTTTTGTCTGTCCTCGTTTTGGAGCAGTGTACATTGGGACCTACAGCAAGGCCAAGGTTAACAAGGATATGCAAACATTTGCTAATCCCAAATACTCGGCACGTTACGCCGACCGCATCAAGTTGCTCATGCGTTAATTTAAGTAGATTTTTTATTTCAGAATATAATATTTACATTAAATTGAAAATGCATATCGCATATTGTATCTAATATTTTCTTCAATGTATTTTCAAAAAAAATCTAATCGGTAGAAACCTTTTGCCGCTTGGAATCGTTCCCGGCATCGGCATCGGCATCGGCTTCAACATCAGCTTCAGCTTCGCCCTTGACTTCAACTTTGACTTCAATATCAGGCTTGGCCTGTTCCAATGGCTCAGAAGCAGCCTCCGCAGCCGGTGTCTTCGTAGCAGCCTGGGCCTCGTTGAGCAAACGCTTAGACTGCGAAGTCTCCTTATCATGCTCAAAGCGCAGGGCCGGCTGACAGATCCAATGCGGGTACTTGCGGTACCCAAACTCATCAACCTCAATATTTTCCGGATCAAACTTTTCCTCCCCCTTCTCCGCATCAGCAATCAGCCTCTGCTTCATATCTCGGACAAACTGCCAAAACTCCTCCATCGTCCTTGTGTTAACTAGCTGCTCGCGCAAATCCGTATGAACAGGCAGGCTATATCTGAACAGTTTAAACATGTGGGCGCGCATATACGAGTACTTTGTCGGGACCTGGTCGCAGATCTCCATGTACTCTTCGGCCATTTGCCAGGTGGGGAGGATTTTGCCGGAGAAGAGCGCGGGGTTGTAGAGGTTGGTTTCGGCGGACATGACACCGTCGGTGTTGGTCGCGTCCATGCACCGCTGGATATCCTCGAAGTACAGGATGTTGCCGTTGGCAAACACAGGTACGTTGACAGCCTCCTTAACAGCCTTGATTTTTTCCCAGTCGGCCAGTCCGGTCTTGTGGCCCTTTTGCTCGCGCAGGCGGCCATGCACCGTTATGATCTGGGCTCCGGCGGCCTCGACCATCTTGGCGTACGCGATGGTCTTGTCGAGCTCCGGGAACACCCTGATCTTGGCCGTCACAGGAATTTCCAAGTTCTCGTGCAGCTTGCGAATGAGCTTGCTGACCAAGTCCCACTCCTCCATAAGGAAGGATCCGTAGTGACCGCGCTTAGCAATGTGCTGAGGGCAGCCAAGGTTCAGGTCTACGGCATCGGCCTTGCCGACCACCAGCTGGGCGGCCTTAAGGAGAATGTCCGGATCATTAGCGCAGAACTGCACAATCACCGGCCGCTCTTCCTCGTTAGTCTGCCACTGCTCATCGCGGTACTTTGGCGCCTCGTCGCTGAACATTTTCGCGTGGAACATGGGTGTGTAGCAGAGATGGGCGTTGTATTTGCGCGAGAGCATGCGCCATGCCAGCTCCGACTGGTCGACCATTGGGGCAACGATGTGTCGCGGGCTGCCTAGCCGGCTGAATAGATCGTAGGAGCGCGGGCGGTTGGGGAATTTGGCGATAATTTCATCCTCGGTCATTGTGAAGTGCGCTGGCACTTTGGTGGTTTCAGGGACGGTCATTGTGGGGCGTGCTGTGAGTAGACGGTGCAGGGCGCTTCCGAGGGTTTTGATGCGTGCGAATGCCAGGACTGTGAATAAGGTTGTGTCCTGCGTTTTTTTCCAGTGATAATGAATCAAAAACGAGGAAGTTGTATGTTGATTAAAAATAAATTGAAGAGAAAAAACCGACTTGCTCCACAACTGAGCGAAGACAAACACAAAAGGCACAACTTTTGCGAGAGAGCCAAGCCAGAAAAAAACTGAACAGCGGCACAGACGGGCTTTTTTTTTCCTTTCCATCCCAGTTTGTGATGATCAATGTGGGGGCTCAGTGGCTCAGCTCGAGTGTTATATATATATTTTTTGCTGCTCTAATTGTGTGGCTCGAGCCGCGGAACCCATCTGCCATCGTGCATGTGCACCAGGTGCATCCATTGGCTGGGGATAAACGCCGGGGGAGGAAAAGCACAAGGTACCGCTTCCGCTTTCGACATGCATCATTTTGCTCACACAAGACAGCAAATAGGAAGAGGGTGCGAGCTCAAATGCTGTGAGTCAAAAGTAAGCAGGCTGAATGGTGGAGAAGCGAAAGGCCAAGTGGATGAGGGAAGAGTGTTGTGCGTTTTTTTGGGCGCTCAGACGAAACAGTCAAATCCCAACGACGCTTATCTGCTTTTTTTGGTCTATTTTAGGCGCAAGTGGAAAGGAAAAAGTCCAGCATTAATATTATCTTCTTGATCATTTTAACCACCTGGCTCTCTGCCCACCCCCCGCCACAATGCACAATTTTTCTTGCACTCTTCTGTGCAAGAAAATTTATCATGCGGGGGAGGCGGATGGTATAAAAGGTAGCATGCCGCCCGCGCAGTCTTTCGGATTGAAGCTAATGGCTCTTTTCTCTTTTGACTCATTCACTAATTTCTGCCTACCGTGGTACTTGTTTGCTATTACGTGAAGTAATATCGCAAGGGATTTTTTATACTTTTTAACCTTTTAATCGCCTTTTTTATTATGTCTGCTGTCGCCGATAACAAGGTGTCTGTTGTGCTCGGAACCCAGTGGGGAGACGAGGGCAAGGGCAAGCTTGTCGACATTCTTGCCCAGAACATTGACGTCTGCGTGCGCTGCCAGGTAAAGTATCCAAAGTATCTACCAGATACCGCATGTGTTGGACCTATTGACCTGCTTTTTAATTTTGTTTTGGCGTATCGCTTGGTATTTGTGCCCATGATAACACCCAAGAGCAAACGGAAAGAGCGAGAGATAACGATGCGTTTCCGATTATACACAATATTAAATCCCAACCTTTATCATCTTTTTTATCGATAGGGTGGTAACAACGCTGGCCACACTATCGTCGTTGATGGTGTCAAGTACGCCTTCCATATGCTGCCCTCAGGTCTGGTCAACATGGATTGCATCTCGATCGTCGGTTCCGGCGTCGTCGTGCACCTGCCCAGCTTCTTTGAGGAGCTCGAGGAGCTCGAGGCCGAGGGGCTCGACTGCGACAAGCGGCTGTTCATCTCCGACCGCTGCCACCTTGTCTTCGACTTTCACCAGATTGTCGACGGCATGAAGGAGGGCGAGCTGGGCCGCGGATCTATTGGCACGACAAAGAAGGGTATCGGACCAGCGTACTCCTCCAAGGCCTCCCGCTCCGGCATCCGCGTCCACCACCTGTACCACTTTGACGAGTTCGAGAGACGCTTCCGCACAATCGTTGCCGCACGCCACCGTCGCTACGGTGACTTTGAGTATGACGTTGAGGCGGAGCTGCAGCGGTACCGGCAGTTGGCCGAGCGCCTGCGTCCGTTTGTTATTGACTCGGTGGACTTTTTGCACTTGAAGCTGAAGGAGGGCAAGCGGATTCTCGTCGAGGGCGCTAATGCGCTGATGCTGGATATTGATTTCGGCACGTACCCCTATGTGACCAGCTCGAACACGGGTATTGGTGGCGTGTGCACTGGCCTCGGACTGCCGCCTACCAAGATTGGCAAGGTTATCGGTGTTGCCAAGGCGTACACCACCCGTGTTGGTGGCGGTCCTTTCCCCAGCGAGCTGACGGATGCTGTGGGGCAGAAGCTGCGCGATATTGGTGCCGAGTATGGTGTCACCACGGGGCGCCCTCGTCGCTGCGGATGGCTTGATCTCGTTGTCCTCCGGTACTCCAACATGATCAACGGATACACGACATTGAACTTGACCAAGCTCGACGTCCTAGACACCTTTGATGAGATCAAGGTTGCTGTGTCCTACACGATCAACGGAAAGGAGATCACCTCGTTCCCGGCGGACCTTGATGACCTTGCCATGGCCACTGTCAACTATATTACACTTCCTGGGTGGAACCAGAGCATTAGCAAGTGCCATACCTTTGAGGAGCTGCCTGAGAACTGCCAGAAGTACGTGCGCTTTATCGAGAAGGATCTCGGTATTCCTATTGAGTGGATTGGTGTCGGTGCTGGTCGCGAGGAGATGATTGCGATTGATGTCTAAATTTTTTTCTATCCATTTTAAATTGGCTTTTTTCATTCTCACACAAATTTTATCTACTTGATCAAAAAAGGCACGTCGATCTTGCAAAAAAATTTAAAATGTTGGGGGGGGACGCTGAGAGCAAAAAAAAGTTATTGACTCAGGGAGATAACATCGTGCGTGGTGCATCTTGTAACTAAAACCCTTTTTGGACGTTTTTTCTTTCTGATTAGCATAGCTCTTATAGATGAAGCGCAAACACATGGTTGAGTTGCATATATAATTAATGGATTGAATTAAATAGAAATTAAAGTATATGTTTTTTATGTATATGCCTGTAGTGCACAAAAGAAGGGGGGATTGCAAGCAATTAATTTATGACATTTATTCTATCTTGCTAAACTAATAAAAATATATTAGCCATACAATTGTTCAAAATATACGCATAATAGGCAACATAAGAAAACATTGTCGTGTGAAGTAACAATGGTACTGGTAAACAAGCTCTATATGGCCTTTATTGAAAAATTGGTTTTGTTTCGATTGTGCTAGGGAAAAAATAAAATAAAGCGCAAATACAATTAGGGCTGATTTTGTGTTTGATAACTGAGGAACATATTAAACCAATATGCACTCTTGCTTAGCACTCTTTATATTAGTTTTTTTTGCGAAAGGGATGAAAATTTCATTTACCTACTTGAATTCCTGTGCTTACAGCAATATGTCAAATTATTTGCCCACACTGCTTTGAATGAGAAAGAATGGGTGCCAGGTTATTGAACTAATATATTTAGTGACATTGCCCATATAAACATTGCCTGTTATGTAAACAAACTGTTTACATTAACTTCTATTTTGAGACGTATATCTAAGTAGACACAAATACCTATGCGACAAAAATAAATATCAAAAAACCGGTTAAACACAGAAATAAAAAAGATGGACGGTTTAAATTGTCAAAAGGATGTGGATGTGAATGGATTTTCAATCGACCAAGAAAGCAAAAAGACAAAAAAAAGTTTGACAATAGCCCACATAAATTTTTTATTTTTGCATGTAAAAAAATGTGTAAGCGCACGTTATTTCATTTTCGAAACAAGTACTCAAAAAAGACAATAACAAAATATACTGTCATTCTTTTTAAGTTGCTTGCTTGGATTCTATTTTTTTTATTCCTCCTCTCTCTCCCCCCTGTTTATTATTTCCTTCTGTTGATTTTTATTGTTACTTTTTTATCTTCGTCTCTTTTGCTTTTATTCTTCGTTGTAGACATTGAACCACACAAATAGCTATTTTTTCTGTTCCTTGCGTTTTTTCTTTGGTAGTCCTATTCGTCTTTTTTTATAGCTTTAATTTTATTCATCACTAATAATTCTTGCCTTTTTTTACCTGTTTACTTTTTTTTTGCGCAAAATCTTTACCAGTTTTCTTATTATTTCATCGTTTGGAGAAGGCCGTGCGTATACCTTGATATTCAACAGAAGTATTTGTTTTTTGGTTCCTATCGGTTTGTGAGCCCACTTTTCAATTTTCAAATTCTGACAGACACGAATTCAGTTTACTGACGCATTTCAGACTTGTCTGCTCATTGTCATACTTAAAACCAAATAAGTCATGTGTACGTTGTACTTTATTATTCTTATTTTTTGTCAGGCCCGCTCTTTCTTTTTTCTTCTTCTTTTTCTTAACTGTTTTGATTTGTGTTTTGAACAACACAAAAAACCAAAAAAAACCAACTTTGCACCCAACAATCAAACTGGAGAGACCGTGGTCTGCACACAAAATAAAAAAGCTAATTAAGGCAACTGCGTGTTAGTGTATATTATGACCTTTTTTTACGTTTCAGGAGGGGGGAGTTTGTTGATTCTAAGGCTTATTTTTGGGTATCTAACGTTTTCTTTTTGTATTACTATAGATCCAAATACGCAAAGCAGTGGTAGCAGCAGCGTTGGACGACGCGCAGGGCTAAGAAGATCAGTTAGTACACGGATCTTGGGGAAATCCAACAATGGCAATAGCAGCTGCGGCAAATCGACGCTTGAATCCCAAGACCTCGCGCCAAAACAACAGTTACAAACCGTATTTGACGAAGACAGTAACATTGACAATATCAACAATACAACAGCAGCAGCAGCAGCAACGATGGGAAAGGATAGCGGCACACTTCTTGGCAGATTGCACCAGGTTGGCCGCAAGGGGTCGATAATGGACTTGATGAGCACACAGTCCAGCAGTGGGGCACGATTTGTCAAAAGGTCCGCAGTGTTTCCCAACGACAACGCGTCGTGGTACAATTCCACAGGATATCCCAAATCCACCAGGTCGATCAGAAGCAGCGACGGGACCACTGGTGAAATGCGCCCGGCCTCCGCGCACATGTCCATGGACAGACTCCATTCGACGTACGAGAGGCCGACTTCGCAGTCGCAGACGAAGCTCAAGGGGTTCCAGGTGCGCGTCATTAATACGCATGTCGGGAGGACTCTAGTCCATGCGCCGATTCTCGAGAACTCGGCGACGGAGACTATGCAGGAGGACGGACCCGAGCTGCCGCCGCTGAGTGCCGCTGAGCTCCGATATAATGCGCAGCGGGCTTTGATCAATACCACTGCGGTTTTGAGAACCGCTGTAGGCAGCAAACACGCCAGCAAGGGAGGTGCCTCGAAGCAGCCACAGCAGCCACAGCAGCCTCTGTCGGCAGAAGTGGCGAATGTGCACGCCACATGCAGCAGCAGTGGCAAGGCCAAGGAAAGGGATATGGGCAAAAGACAGGGCTCACACAGGGTTTCTGATAAGGGGCACGTGACCCCGCCGACCTCAGCCATTGGAGGCAGCGGCGATTGCAACGGCAGCAGTACTGCTCGCACAGGCACTTTGCTTGCCGAGCAGTCGCCAAAGCCGGGGTTCACCGAGCTGAACCTGGGGTTTACGCCTGAGCTCGGGCAGAGCCCGCCGATGTCGGGAGCGAGCGTGCTGGACCAATGGGGCATATCAGCGGCGGCGCAGTTTGCGCAACAGAACCATGGGCTACAGCTCGAGGCTGCCCGCCAGGAGCGCTTGCTGCGCGGCGGCGACTACGGCGGTGACGTGGATGCTGACCAGGGCAGTGATGCGGATAGCGTCACCGAGAACGCCGCGTGGATGGTCGAGCAGATGGCGAGTGGGTGCACGCCAACGCTCGAGACAATGGTAAGACTGCTTTGCTCTTTTTTGTTTATTGCGCCTGAGTGCTGTTTTGGATTGGGATTGGCTGATAATGGTCCCCGAATGCTTTATGAGGATTGAACGCGCACGCGCATGCACAGGACAGGGCGTTTCGAATGTGTGGTTTCCACGCTCGAATCCTCACTTGCTTCTTTGTTTATTTGTTGACTGTTATTACACATCCCGTGACAAACGCCATTAAGCCACCACTTTTGTCGTCTGGCAAAAAACGGATGATTTCTGATGTTCGTGATGTGCATTAATTCTACTTTTTTTTGGCACAATTGGAATTCGCTTTATTTGGGCAGCTGCACTCTTTCGCCTGGGCTGGTAAATCTCCTCCCGCTTTGCCCCTCCTCCCCACCTTTTTTAATTGTGCCCATCATATCCACCATGCACTTTGAACTTTTTTGAACGTTCTTGTTGCCTTCTCTCCTGCCTCATCAACTACGCTTGCTTTTCTCTCTCTATTTTTACGCTCTTCTCTTTCCTTTTCTGCGCTATGTTATTCCGACACGTAGTGCCGCCAATTCTATAATTTCTCTCTTGAATTCCCCCTACTCCTTTTATTATTTAAACCCGGCTATTCTTATTGTTTATTCTTTCGAGTTTTTTTTGGCTCTGGACCATTTAACCGCATCTACCATCTATTATTTGCACACCGAAAACCGCTTGTATTGGTGCATCGGCATTCTATCATACACATACACCCTCTCTTGCGCAAACAAAAGCCTGGGCTTGCTTGTTTATAGCAGGTACATCATACACTTGTTCGCATTATTCCCTCCACAAATAACGATTCTAAAAAGTTTAAGCATTCTACCGCGTTCTTTCCCTTTTTTCTCTTCAAAAAAACAATAATCCTATGCGATCACTATTGCGTAATGTATATTAAACATGACCAATCTTGTTATTCCCTTCATCTCTCCCCCTTTTCACAATCTTTTAGTTTCCAAGAGGACCGCCGAGATCCGAAAACAACGGCCGTTCGGGTCATACTCCAAACGAGTCGCAGCAGCTAATAGACAGCATATTTGGCGGACGACTCAGCATCAACAACCCCAGGACGGGACCACCACCAAGCGGAACCAGTCAGTAGATATGTCGCCATCACATGGGTTATCGAGGAAGGAGTCCACGATCAAGTCAAAGCTCAAGCTGGGATCCGGATGGACCCAGATGCAGTCACCGCAGCCGCAGTCACAGCCGAAGCTCAGCCAGGAGCAGCAGCAGTATAACCAGCAGCAGTACCAGTTGCACCAGCAGCAGATTCAGCACTCATTTATGTCAGATTTGGCGGACGAGCGCGATGCGAACAAAATGCGCAAGCCGTCGTTTTGGAGCATCTTCCGCGGACCGTCTCACCGCAAGGACCATGATGACAAGGTATGTCTTATTATTTCTCCTGTGTGATGCGAGAGCACTGCATGGGTGCACATTGATGGCTTTTTTAAAAGGGGCTTCTTGGGTGGTTCTATGCCGCTTTATGAAACCTGCAGTGGACCGGCGGTAATGTTGCGCCTGTATAAAAGCTTAAAAACTTATTTTTCATATCAGGCTTGACTTTACGACGTTCCGGGGCCTAATTGGCCAGCACATTTTTGGTCCTGCATATTTCGCTCGTTCCTTATTTATGCCCCCTTTTTCGTGGACCATGGCGTAAAATAAATTAGCTGGTCCAGTCCGGACCAGCTGAGCTTGCATGTGGGCCCAGTCGGCCAAGTGCGCAGGCGTGGTGGCGTAGCTCAAATAATACATACTAAAATAAAAAAGTGATGTGCGCGCTTATACTTTTTTTATTTGTTTTGCTATTTTTTTGTCCAACGGGTTCCAAGATGTTTGTTACTCTTTTTCTCTTTTTGTTTCTCGGTGCCTTTTTTTAAAGAAGAAAAAAGCAACCTTCCGATGATTTACTCGTTTTGACATGCACTCCTTGTTTATTTGCTTGCCTTTTCATAGCAGCTCGAAACTAAACAACATGAATTTATTTTCAAGCTGCTGATTGAGGCCCAACTGGTTTTTGTTTATTTTCACACTGCCCTTCCCCCCCCTAAAAAAAGCACCTGCTGTCCTGCACAATTGCCGGGCTCAAATTCTACAAGAGAGGGGAGCATATGTCTGAATGTTTATTTTTTATTTTGCAAGTGTCTTTTGAGAAACCGAAATAAAAAGACAATCGCTCTTTATTTCGCCTTGTCCGTCTGTCTGTCTGTCCGCTTGCTTGCTTGCTTGGCTGGCTACGTCTGTCTGTCTGTCTGTTTGTTGTATTTTATTACAGCTTTTTCCTCATTCAATTTATTCGTGAATTTTCTTTTATATTTTTCCTCTTTTTTACTTTTCTTTTCCGTCTACTTGCAATTTTACGCATATCCTCCCTCTTTACTTCCATCCCTGTTTTTTTATTTGCCAGCCCGTTTCTACTTTTATCTCTGCTTGCTCTATACACAAACAAGGGAGGGAAAAGAGTGAGACATACAGACATACAGAGAGAGAGAAAGAAGAAAAAGGCCGTTTTACAATTTAACTTCTTTTTTTTACAAGACCACCGTCCCTTTTTCTTTTTTCTTTTTCTTTTTTTAAAAAAACATCCACCCATCTTTCTTTCTTGTTTGTTTTTTCTTACGCGCCAATACTCCCCTCTGCTTTTGTCTTTTCTCGTTTTTATTACCGACACACTGATTTTTTATCCCTTGTTGGACAATTTTTTTACTTGGCATTTTCACGATCACTAGAAGGAAGCCCCAGGCCATACCGAAGCGGCATCCCAGGCACCCAACAACACAAGGCAGCATCTTTTGAAGAAGCAGCAGTCATCGCCGTCGGGATTTTCCGATACCTTTGGGTTCACAAAACTGTTAGCGTCAGCAGACAAGTACAATTCAGCGTCGTCGGCAAGCACGTTCTCCCACAAGGCCCTGCCTTCATTGCCACCCGTATCGCCGCCACTCCCACCGCCGCCACCCGCACCGCAACCACGCAAGAACGCGCAGATACAGTTGATTCTGCCAGAAGAGGATAACATAAATAATCCCCAGTCAAATTCACAAATGCTGGCCGCTAACAGCAGAGCCGACAACAGCCTGTCCATTATGCGGCAGAGGAGGCAGCGGCAGCAGCAGCAGTTTCGGCAGGTGCGTTTAACGAATCCAGCAGCAGCAACCCCGTGGTGCCGAGAATCATGGTCAATCGGAATAGCGTCCTTTCCATTTTGAGCAACGGAGACGGAACAAACGGTGGCTTTTACACGCCCATGCAGGAGATGTTTCCGCTGTCATTATCAGAGGCCGCATCAACAGATATGCCGCAGATTGGCTCCTCGGGAGCCCCGAACTCACAGGGCGAGGGCGCAGCTGTGTACCAACCACATCTGGTGCAGGGCGCCGATTCATTGTCCGCTGCTCGTACGCCGGCAGAATCGCCTGTGCTGGATGCCGGCGGAGTGTCTGCACTTGTCTCAGCGGTATCCGTCGGGAGCTCCTGTCTGACGACGACGACGACGACGATGGCGACAGTGATATTGCTCCGTTGTCGCAGTCGCGCGTGTTTTTTGACGCACATACTCGCAATTCGCTGAATGCCCAGCAGCAGCAGAAGCTTGCGGCCAGTATTGAGGGAGATGGCGCAAATGGACTGGGTATTCTCAATGGCGCTAGCCCGGCGCTCGCTGGCTCGCTGACCAAGGCCCACCCCATGGCTGCGCACATCAATCTGATGGAAAGGCCCACCGTCAACAGCGACATCCCCGATGCGGCTGCGGCGGAGGTCGACGACCAGTATCAGCCACTAATCATAAAGAAGAATCAGCACTTGCAGCAGCAGCAGCAGCAAGCAACTCCCTCGTCGTCGGTGACCTCAGCAGCACTGGAGGACGGCAGCGTGAACCAGGACAGCTCGGTCCAGGCGCGCGCAATGGGAGGTACCTGTACGATATCGAGGAATACCAGTGCCAGTTTTACAGCCAGACCAACCACAAGGCAAACGAGCGGCCCATCGAGCCACCCAAGCCTGAGGTCCTGCAGGGCTTTGTGATTCCCTTCTTGGTGGACCACGCCGAGTGGCTGGGCAAACGCGAGGTATTCAACGGGTTGGCGTTGCAGTATTACATTACCAACTATGACTTTTCCGGGATGCGCATCGACGAGTGCTTGCGGAAACTGTGTTCACATATATTCTTGCGCGGCGAGTCGCAGGTCATCGACCGTCTGCTGGTGGCGCTATCGCAGCGCTACGCCGAGTGCAATCCGGACACGCGGCTGCGGACGGCAGATGTGGCCCACGCCGTCACATACTCCACGCTGCTGCTTAACACCGACCTGCATATTGCTGATATTCGGTCGAGCGACCGGATGACAAAGAGCCGGTTTGTGCGTAATACAGTGGATACAATTGCGCAGTTCCAGCAGAGCAGCGTGGTGGCGCCCGCTGTCCAGCGGCCTGTTGTTGCCGATGATATTTCGGAGGACGTAGATGGCGGTTTGTCGCTTCCACCGCAGTTGCCAGAGCTGGACTTGGCGAAGCAGTCGGCAGAATCGGCGCAGGCGACAGGTGCGGACACGCCAATGTCGACGTCGTCGCGGCTGCTTCCTGGTGCTGATTCGTTTGATATTGGCGATTCGCTGTCGGGACCAGCGGGCGGGTCTGAGCAGCAGTCGACTTTGCGTAGCTTGGTTGGGTCGATGGCCTCGCTGAGCATGTCTGGGAGCAACAATGGCGGTGCTAGCGGTGCTGGTGGCGCGTCTGGGAATGGCACTACTGGCTCGCGCACATCTCGCGATGTGGTTCGTCTGATGGGTGGCCGCGGGAAGCGCTTTTCGTTCTTTGATACCAGCTCTGCAGGTGGCAATCCATTGGCCGGACCTGCTGCTGCCGCCGCTGCGTCCGCCGCTGCATCCTCGAACAACTCTTCAGGCACTTTGTCTGGTTCGCAGACGCCCAATATTGGCGTGGGATCTTCGAGCACACAGCTCGGTGCCGGGCAGTCTTCCTCGCGTGCCTTTGACAGGCTGCGGCGCAAGGTATCGACCAATGGCACGCATGTGCGCACTCGCTCGGGTACTTTGTCGATGGACGAGTCGCCACAGCCGCTGAATGGCCGGACATCGTTGTCGGGCAGCCAGCACTCGCACCAGCAGCGCGAGGGCGAGACGCTGGGCAGCATGGTTGGGCGCGCACTCAGTGCTGCGGCTGGAGTCACTGGTAGCAACAACAGTGGTGCCGGTGGCAGCGACTCGGCTCGTGCGCGGGATGCTGCTGCGGCTGCGAATAGTAATATGCCCAACTTGACCGAGCTGTCGTCGGTGCTAAAGGACGTGTACTCGGGTATCAAGAGCAAGCCGCTCGGTCAGCCACCATTTGCGCGCCAGGCCAGCATCCTGTACGAGCAGCACCAGCAGCAACAGCAACAGATGCAGATGCAGAACAACGCACACTACAGCATGGGCCATGTTCTGTCGCGCAACAGCCACGACCACATGCTTAATGGTAATATGCGCAGCAGCCAGGCGTTTGGGCATGGCGCCGGCAAGCAGTCGATGGATGTGGATGCTAATGGGCGGCCTAGCTCGGTGCGTAGCATGCCCATGCACTCGGTGCAGCGGACGCGGTCGATCACGTCGATTAACAAGGCGGCGGCTGGCGGCCAGGGCGCCGGTGCGATGCGGCGAACGCCTCACCACCACGCAGATATGCGTGGGGTTGGGTTTGTGCCTGACGCCATGAAGCGCAGTGGATCGTCGATGATCAACTTTGGCACAAATGGCAGCAACGCTGGGGGCAACACAGTGCGGTCGTCGCCGTCGGCCGGGTCGATGGGCACAGGGTACACTGCTTCGACGTCGTTTACGACCTACCTGCGGTCGCCGATTGAGAACCAGCATATTCGGTCGGGTGTCCTCGTGCGTAAGCACTTGTTTGAGCGGAGCGGCAAGAAGGCGTCGCATCGCGCCTGGCGCACGTGCTACGTGTCTGTAGACCGCGGGACCGTTGCCATGTACAAGATGGACGGGCGCCACGGGGCGCACCCTGACGGGCGCGAGCTGACGGACACATCCCTGCAGCTGGGGTCTGTGTCGCTGCGTCACACCATGACGCACATGCTGCCGTCACCCGGATACTCGCGGTCACGGCCGCATGTGTTTGCGCTGCAGTTGCCGAGCGGCGGCGTCTATCTCTTCCAGACAGCGTCCGAGGTTGAGCTGCGCGACTGGGTTGTGGCGTGCAATTACTGGGCGGCGCGCGAGTCCAAGGCGCCATACATGATCGGCGGCGTCTACAACATGGAGTATGGATGGGACAATACCGGAGACTTCACACTGCGGTTTGATGAGCGCGAGGCGCGCGAGGATCGCGGCGAGACGCTGTCTGCTACGGAGCAGGCGGCCGAGCAGCGACGCATCATGGAGGAGCGCGAGGCTAGCAAGGGGGCGTCGATTCTGGAGTGGACGCCGCCGAACAACCCGATGCAGCGGTCGGACCAGGAGGAGGCTGGGCAGCTCAAGGCGCTTTTGCACCACATATCGTATTTGGAGGACGAGCTTGTGTCGCACAAAAAGATCCAGGGCAGCATTGAGGAGCGGTTTGCGCCAAAGACGCAGATTTTCCACCGGGCGTTCAGCAATTGGGAGCGCAAGGCGCAGTATATTCTGCAGGAGCTGATCAAGTATCAGTCGTATGCCGATGTGTTGCAGAAGGCGCTTAAGCAGATGCAGGATGAACTGACACTGTCGATTCCGGAGGAGGGCGCTGCTCCAGGCGCTGATGGCTTGGCTGGGTTCGGCGCGATTTTCCACGGGCATGGCAGCAGTAGTGCTGTTGGTGGCGGCGGCAGCGACGACCCGAGCGGCGATATGGTTGTCGCTCAGCCGCAGCAGCAGGCGGCAGGGAGGCTGTCTTCGGCCACAAGCGTGACCCCATTGTCAGGATCGCGCACGTCATTGCCGCAAACCAATAATCGGCGGACCAACGATGCGAACGGAAACCCTGCTGGGTCAAAGTCTTTGCCTATCAAGGAGCTTTTGGCGTCGGCGTCGGACAAGGCACGGAATAGGGCGAGCATTATTGTTCCGAACTCGGCATCGTCGGCGACAACCACTGGTAGCTCCTCACTCGGGATGGATAAGCGGCGTGGGTCGCAGCCGCATGTTGCTGCCCATCGCCAGTCTTCGGGATCAACTGTGTCGTCGCCGTTACCGGATAACTATGCGGCGGCTGTTTAAGGATTCGCAGTTTTTTTTGACATTTATTTTTCTTACTCTTCCATTTTTTATTTTTCTGTCCATTTCATTTATAATTTACTTGACTTTATTACTTTTACTTTTTACTTTTACTTTTTACTTTTTACTTTTACTTTTACTTTTTACTTTTACTTTTACTTTTACTTTTTACTTTTTACTTTTTTTTTTTTTTTTTTTCTTTTACTTTTTCTTTCCATTTTTGAATTTGAACTTTGAACTTTGAACTTTTTTTATAAAAAGGAAAATTGGTTGCTTTGAAAAGTGTGCAAATATTTGATTTTTGTTTGTCGAAAAATAAAGAAAGGCGTTTTTGTTTTGTATGTTATGTCACTCGCTCATTGTAATGTTTTTGTAATGCTTTTGTTTGGCTGGGTGGATTTTTATTTTGGAATCGATTGTTGTTGGCTGTGATCCTCATTATCGATTTGGACCCACGTCTCTTCCCTTTTCTTTTCTTCTTATCTCGCAGTTCGTTTTTTCTTCTATTTAATCTTTTCATATTACTTTTTTGTTTTGTTTTGCATACGCTTTTTGATTTTATTTTTCTCCACATCCATCCATCCATCCATCCATCCATTCATCCATTCTTTTTCTTTTTTCTTTTTTCATCCATTCAATATGATCAGCCAAGTTGTTTCTCGCACTGCAGCATTAAATGCAGCAAATGCAACAGCAGCGTCAACCGATGTTTCGGTGCCCTCAGACACACCGGAAGAAAGCAGCAACAGCAGCGTACGTGCAACCGAAGAGGAAAACGACCATTTTATCAAGAAAACCGACGACTCTCACATTAACAGAAGCATGGGCGTTGGCGCCTGTGCCCTGCACCCCTGTCTGACGCGCACAGCAGTCGACGAGCCCCGCACCACGGCCATAGAAAAGCTGCCTGAGATCAAAGAAACTGACGCTCCGTCGCAGCAGGGGTCGGAGGGCCCGGATACGGCGGAGATACAGCTGGCGGAGCTTTTGGCTGAGCACTGTGTGATGAGGCGCAAGGCCGACTTATTGCAGGAGGGCCATTCGCAGTCGATGGTGCAGATGGCGCAGGGCCGCAGCAGCCGCAGTTCGTCGTCGTCCTCGGAGAAATCGTTCAAAGCGCCCCAGCGGCACATGCCGCGGATGCCAGCTGCTGGTGGCATCACGCACTCGGAGTCGCAGTCGGTTTTGTCTACCGGCGCGCTGTTGACGCAGAGGCGCAAAGAGCTGGAGCTCGCTGGCAAGCGACATTCCGAGGCCACAGCCAACGCTGTCCGTGGCCTTGAGCGCGGCAGCAATATTTCGAAGGGCACGGATACGCCGACGGTGGATTTGGTGCAAACAGCGGTGAGCGTGCGCGAGGTGTCCAAGCTGATTGGTCGCACGGTTGTGCAGATGAACAATGTGCGGCGCATCATGATTGTGACCAAGCCTAATGACCTCAGTCTTGTTTCCCTGACACGTGACTTGGCCATTTGGCTGATCGAGAGTCGCGAGCGTGTGCAGCAGCCGATGGTGGTTTATGTCGAGGAGAGTGTCGCGAGGCATCGCAATTTTAACCTGACCAGGGTGCATCAGAAGCATCCGACGTCGGTGGACGGGCTGCAGTACTGGACGCAGCAGATGTGCAAGCAGAGCCCGGAGATATTCGATTTTGCTGTGACTTTGGGAGGCGACGGAACCGTGCTGTATACGTCGTGGCTGTTCCAGGGCCTGGTGCCGCCTATTATTCCGTTCCACCTGGGATCTCTCGGCTTCTTGACTGTCTTTGACCATCGGCATGCCAGGAAGGTGCTGGATTCAGCGATTAACTCTGGGGTTAGGATTAATCTGCGCATGAGGTTCACCTGTACGGTTTACAGGTTGGCTGAGACCGTTGATCCGGAGCGCGCCAATGTGCTGAATGACGCGGCGGACTGCAACCGGGTGATCGACCATGAGCTGGCAACACATGGCCTGCAGAGCTACGATGATTACGAGAGGGAGGAGCAGTGCGAGGAGGGCGATGTTTCGGGCGCGGCCAAGCTGGCAGCCATCAATGCCATGTCTGGCGGCGCCAAGCCTGCCCGGTCGTACAGTGCACTGAAGGGCTCGGTAGGGGCGGGTGGTGCTGCGATGGCAGCTGATAAGCAGCAGAGGGGGCTGCAGCCGCTGGTGGCCACGAGGAGCAGCTCAGGGACGAACATCGGCCGGTCGCATGGACGGCGGCGCAGCTCGGTTAATGAGGACAGTGACGCGGAGAGCTCGGCCGGCGAGAGTGCAGGGCCATCTGGGAAGCGCACACCATCGGTGGGGCCGTCGGCACAGCAGAGGCAGGGGATGCGGGGCGGGTGCGCTGGCAATTCTGCCAAGCATGGCTGCCGTGCGGCCAGCAGCGGCGTGTCAATATCGGCGGCTGCTGTTGCTGCTGCTGGTGCCTCCGGTAAAAGCAGAGGGTCGCCCAAGAGCGTTCCTGAGGGAGCGACGCTTGCAAATAATCCAGTTCGGCGCAACTCGACACTGAACGAGTCGGAGTGGGACGATATGCCCAAGGCGTACCAGCGGCGGGTGCGCAAGGTGTGGAAGCGCGACAGCACGTTCCAGGTGATGAACGAGGTTGTGGTTGACCGTGGGCCGAGCCCTTATCTGTCGCAGATCGAGCTGTATGGTGATGGCAACCACTTGACGACCGTTGAGGCTGATGGCCTGTGCCTGGCGACGCCGACGGGGTCCACAGCGTATTCGCTGGCGGCGGGCGGCTCGCTGGTGCACCCGGAGATCCCAGCCATCCTCGTCACCCCGATTTGCCCGCATACGCTGTCCTTCCGGCCAATGCTGCTGCCCGACAGCATGGTTATCCGAGTGGTTCTGCCGCCTGACTCGCGCAACACCGCATGGGCGTCCTTCGATGGGCGCCATCGGATCGAGCTCCGCAGGGGAGACCATATTCAGATTACAGCATCAAAGTACCCGCTGCCCACCGTGTGTGCGTCGCAGTCGCAGACGCAGGATTGGATGTCGAGTTTGTCAAGGTGCTTGAACTGGAACGAGCGCAAGAGGCAGAAGAAGTTTGTTGTGCCGGTGGATGGTGAGCTCGGCGAAGACGAGTCGGACGAGGGCGGGAATATCGGCGATGAGGGTTCGGATGATGACGGAGACGATGTGCTGGAATTCAAGTGAACCAAAATCTTTTTTTTTCTCCCACGTCCCGCCTCCCTTTTTTAAAAGTTGCTTTTTTACCTTCTATTTTTTGTTCTTTTTGGAATTCAATTCAATTCTCTCTCTTTTTTCTATTTGCAATTGCAAACTATTTTTTACATTAATTTTATTGTTTACTCTATGCCTGCGCCTGGCGAAGGAAGGATAAGCTGCCAGGTCATTGCAGGACGGCTATACCAGACACACAGTTCGGCGTACCCTCTAAAGATAATATCCCCACAGGCGCACCCAGACCACCCACAGTCGGCGTTCAAACCATGCATTAACTACATACTCTCCTACGGCGGCGGCATCGTCCACGGCGACCGCATCCACATCAACGCCCATGCGGGCAAAGGCTGTGCATTAATTATGCTCACCCAAGGATCCACCAAAGTCTACCGCCACCGCAAACGACCACCACCCAATACCCAAATAGTGGCAAATAATATGGCGGACGAGTCATTCCAGACTCTAATTCTTGAAATCGATTCTGGTGCCCTTGTGTGTTTGCTGCCTGACCCGGTGACTTGTTTTAGGGACGCAAGGTATAATCAGAGGCAGGCTGTTCGGATGCAGCCTGGGAGCTCGTTGGTTTTGCTGGATTGGATGACGAGCGGCAGGATGAGTCGAGGCGAGCGGTGGGATTTCCAAAAATACTTTAGCGTCAATCTCATCACCCACCACCCCACCTCCTCGCCCTCAGCCTTTGCTAGCGACTCTGTCGGATCAGTCGGGTCAATTGGATCAGTCGGGTCAATTGGATCAGTCGGTCAATTGGATCAGTCGGATCTGTTGGATCTGTTGTTCTCCGGGACGCCCTGCTTTTGCAAAAAAGCAATACTGGCGATTCTGGGGGTTTTCTCGGAGACTAGAAAATGTGGACGCGTTTGCGTTCATCCTGGTTTTGGGCCCGGCCGTCACCTGTGTCGCGGAGGTGTTTAAGGAGGAGCATAACCGGGAAAGAGTCAGGCCCTTTAGATCTAACGGTTCTTTTCATACGGTGGTGGACTCTGTTAAGTGGTCGGTTTCGGAGGTCGACCAGGAGGGGGTGCTTGGGGTTGCAGTTAGAGCATGTGGTCCGAGTACGGAGGAATTGAAGGCCTGGATTAAACGACGCTTGGAATTGTTGCAAAATATTATTGGTCAGTCTGCTTGGTCCATGTACTTTAACGCATGACGTGGGGTTTTATTTAAATAAAAATATATGTATCTGAATATATGCACGAGCTAAAAAGAAATATTTAAAGAAATTTGCTTGTTTTTTATTTGTTTTGATTTACGCATATATGTGAAACGTGTGTACACCCTAGTGGTTACATGAGAATAAAAAAAAAAACCAAAAATTAAGCCGAATGACATGTTTTTTTGCAAATGCAAGCGTACCTCTCATGCATATGTATCACTTTATTTTCTTGCATTACAGCAGGAGAATGAAAAATATAATGTGCAAGAAAAATAATTTTTTGCAGGATTTGTAAAAGTATAATGTAAAATTGCGTCATTAAATGCACACTATTTTCATATAAACGCTTTTTACTTTTAAAATTTGTATTTAGCTGAAACAGACCTCACCAGGTGGACAATAAAGTAGTTTTGGTCCTGAGTTTTTTTATAAAAAAATTAGCACAACAATGCGCTTGTATCTTTTTTCATTTCCGCATGCATTTGCTTTTTCTTCATTATGTTGTCTATAAATAGCAAAATTTTAATAATAAAAATCTCCATATCCGCACATATTTTTTAACACCTCTTTCCGACCTTTTTGTTAAATAAACGGTCCAATAAAGAAATAATATCGGAATGAACTAGCCTATTTTGTTTGTCTTTAAAGACTGTTGCATTGTTCTCCATCTATATGAAAAATAGAAGTTTCTGGACGAGTAAATCTCGTTGCTTGAATAAGTATTTTTGTGTAATTGATTTTTGTTTAATGAATTTCCAATAAATAAAATAAACAAGTGTGTCATAAAACAAGAAGAAAAACCACCCGAAAAAAACATACAATTAAATGTTATGCAAAAAAAATTATTATATTTTTTATTCCCACGAACAGCCCACACACCCCCCCCCCCCTCTAGTTTTTTTTAATTAAAAAGAAAAAACGTCACTGGAATACATTTAGTGAGAAATAAATTTGCGTCCCTTGAGCAAACGACGTTGAAGCACTTTGCGTCCATTCTTTGTGCGCAAACGGCTCAGGAACCCGTGTCTGCGCTTACGCTTGAGATTACTGGGCTGGTACTCATTTCCGTAAGTCCGCCAGCGCACCTGCATTGTTCCGATAGAGGGAATCATGGATTGCTGCGCCCCAGGTCCTCCAACAAGTCTGCTACAACAATAATTTTTTTGTAAAATGATAATAATAATAATGCATTTAGTATATGTCAAGTGCATAGTTTATCTGCTTTAGGGAATATAGTGGCTATGCTGTTAAATGTGGCCACCATTTTTTTAAAAAGAATGTTGGCTTGGAATACAATACAAAAATACACATGTTCTCGATCATTTCCGATATGTGCTTTTTGTTTTGATATTCCTGTGCCTTTTCATATCTTCCATGAGAACCGTTTGTTCCTGCCACATAGCGATACCAACAAGACATTCTTCTCTACTATCGCCACAATATCATTTTTATTTGTGTTGGCTTTTTCATTGGCATTAAAAACCAGATACATACCTCATAATTCCACTGCCACCATTGATGGTCTGACCAACCCGAGGTGCGATTGCGCTGCTGGCCCTGGATGCCAGATATGTTGCTGTGGAAAAAATTCTGCCAAACATCGTCAATGCGCTTTTGTATTTGTTTTGTTGCTGTGGACTATTGTTTTTTGCTCGTCTCGTTTGTAGATAAAGCAGTCCTTTGGCTGTGTGTATGTGACTGTATTTTCGTTCAAAAGTCCTTATCGTGTTCAATCGTTGTAGTTTGTCGCCGTCCGCTGTGCGTAGAGTTTCTGGGAATGATTCGCAATTCAAATGAGAAAACAAGTTTAGAGGGTGGAATAGATAACCAAAATGTGTCGATTGAGTAAACGAACAAGAGCGAAATTGAAGGAAAAGAAAATGTATTTTGACGCAAAATGCAAATGCAATCACTTTTTTCACTCTTTACCCAATTTTTTTGCTGCTATCGCTCACAAATCCAAAAATGGACGTTTTGCAGATCGAGATCATGATCAAGCGTGATTTGATTTCGGGCTTCCCACATGAGTTTTCATTTCCTATTTTTCGCCTCCCTCACCTTATCCTATTTATTCCCTTTTAAAGTAAAAAAAGCCACTTGGTTTCCACATGCACAATTTTGTTTTACGCAGCTCTATTTTTGTTATGTACCTTTAAGGGAAAAAAAACAGAGATATGCAGTATCTTATATAAAAAATAATGGAATTTGAGCATAGCGAGTACACGGAATGAACTTTTATTTTATTTATGTGCTTTCGGAAAACCAGTTTGCATGGAAGTTTTCCTATAGCAGACATAGTATGAGAAAACAGCATACTTCCCTGCATTAATTCACACTCACTCACACCCACACATTAGCAAGTTGCTTTTGGGTTTCTTAATTTGTACTGGAACTAGATGAAAAAATATACACTGCAGTGATTTATAACTGATGCAGAGAATCTCTAATTTGTAAGTTTTGTTTAAATAAATATCAGCTGATGTAAAATAATAAACGGATTAGCGGACATCAAATAAAAACTTTAATAATGTATGCATGCGCACTACACCTTTCCATAAATAACTGCTTGCTACAAACGCAAAACATTTCGAATACTTTTTTATTGCTTGCATGAGAAGCGACTTTAATGGACTATTGTGACCGATGAAAATATTATGTTGTGCAAAGTTGCTTGTAAAAAAATATGTAAAGTGGTAATCCTCCAAATGTGTGCAGAAAAAGTACAAGTGCCTAATTGAAGCAGCGTTTTGTATCTGAATCAAGACGGGTACATGTTCAGATACAGTATTTTCATAGCTCTCTTATTTTTGCAAACTATACTGCTACAATGGAAGAAAATAACAACCCCCGAACTGAATTTTCGGTCCATTTTCCTATATTTATTATGCAACTGATATTTTCTTTTTTGAATAGTTGAATATTTTAATTGGCTCCTTTGTTTTTAAAATGTCTACTCTCGCTTATTTTTCAGAACAAGCAAAATAATTGGAATCCAAATGTGGCCATCCATGAATCAAAGGAAATTTCGGACACACATGCAACCGGACCATGTATAAGAGCTTTTTTTGAACCAATGACACTTGGCAAGAAAGATCTAATCGCGGAAAAACCGGTACATGTTGGATACAATAAATTTCAATTTTTCTTGTGTGATCCCGCGCATTTGTTTTGTAGTACTCGAACAATGTTCTATTTTCACTTGCATACATGAACCATTGCGTTTTACATTGTTTGTTATTTTCCCCCTCTTTTCAAGTAGTCTGATTGTTGGCCACTTTTGTCTTTCCAAATGCATGGCGTGCATATGCAAAAAAACACGCTGTTGGTTTTAAGAATCATTAGGATAATTATTTTTCTGTTGTATATTGTATTTACTAATGATGAACAGTCTTACTGTCAAAGGTTTTGCGATAAACATGAAGACCAACAAACATTTCTTAAAATTAGAGGTTTTAATATTGTAATTGCGCTGTAGTCCATTATATTCTATGGTTGCTTTGAGTGCACAGCTGTCATACGACAGCAGCATTTCTACAATCATGCTTAGTTGGTTGTGTAAGAGGAGATAATAGAGGAAATTATTTGTTTAATTGTCTTTTTATTTGCTGTTTTCACACCAAACAATGGTCTTGTCATATTGTGAAATATTGAATTTGAATACTGTACACAAGCGGCTTTTTGTTTTCAAAAAATCACTGTTTTCTATAATAGAAGCTCACTTTTATCAATCAATTATAAAAATGCGCTACTAATAAAGCAGAACGCAATGACTTTTTAGGGGCCAGGGTTTTTTATTTGCAAACACTATATTTGGTGGACATTGTCATGCTGTCAAAAATAAAAACTTTTGAGTCCCCCAAAAAACACATTTTACAACAAATTACCAGCTTCCCAATTAACTCACTGTTATTACATTTTGTTTTAGGTGATGAGGTTGAAAAATACTAGTTATATAAAACGTTTTTATTAGCTTGAACTAAATGTGTATACATATACAATATCACTATATGGTATATTCTATTGAATAACATTATTGGTAATATAATCTCTGCATTGCACTAACTATTGTGGTGATCTAGTCGATAATACACGCAAAAGCTCGCTTTTGGTATGCATGATTCGATTATTCTGCTATACATTTGCTGCAAGGGTGGCATCGCGTCAGCTGATAGTTAAAGTGCACATGTCAATATTCTTGAAAGGGTGAATATGCAATTGGCGGACCAATTAAATAGGTTTGGGAACAATATAGTTTAGATGGAAAGTTTTTTTGCTCGAACATTTTCTCTTTTCAATAAGAACATGCTCGTATTTTGTGTTTTGTGTTTTGTATTTGCTCTTGCATTTGTGTCTTGTCTACCTGTCTATGTTTTTAATTACGAATTTAAATGACATCATAGGCGAGCGCTGAGCAAGTGGAGTCATTGTTTTTTTTTGTAAAAGCGCGGCATTTGTTCAATTCCGTTTACACGCTGCATGCTTCCCATTATTCTGTCTTCCCTTATCATATTTCCACAATATTAATATACGCATGACAGACTGAAGATTGACAGTTATTATTATTTATTAAAGTTGGATTTTCTAAATATAGGTACGTGCCTTGCCAAATTTATTCACGATAAATGTGAAAAACCGGTTACTGAATTTTGCACATATCTGTACTAATTAGTCTATGTGCATATTTGTTTGTGTACGTTGGTTTCCGCTGCTATTTTAGTCTCTGACCCCTTAAAAACAAACTAAACACAATGGTTGCATATTTTGTTACTGGCCGCCCAAAGTAGAATATTATTTCACCGTGCCAACTCTCCTTTGTGTGGGCTATGAAGATAAAAAATTCCGAAAAAGCCATTAATAAGGCGATATTGTTCATGATTATAACGGATGAACCCAACTTTACAAACAAAACATACAGACAAAAAACAAGTTAAATTGCTTTGTTGTTTTTTGCTATGTAGCGACAGGTCACTTGGTCCAAGAAATTAAGGACTGACGGGTCAATTGCATAAATAATTTAACAATTCGGCATATAGCGCATGCTTCTTGCCCCGAGCTCATGCTGAATGAATGCAAAAATTACAAGGCAACATAACTTACTTTCTGGGTACCAAAATATTAATAAAAAGCTATTGGTCCGGTAGCTTTTTTCTTAAAAAAACTCAAGGAATCAACATAATATTTTTTGGGGATGAGAGGCATGCATATGGATAACCCACTATATTGTAAATCCTCAATAGGGCAAAAAAGCGATTTACACATCCTTATTGCTTATCGATAGAGCTCCACATTGGTAATGCTTATATTTTGATCAACATGCGGATTAGCAAGCATCAAAGCTCTGGCCCTGCACAAAGAGCTAAGTTCGGATTTTCATGGTATAATTTTGTCTGGATATAGACAGAATACCCACTTTGCCACATATACTTTTATATTCTTTGGATCACGGTACCAAAGAAGGATAAATTGTATGGACCGCATTGGACCATAAAAAATCCTGTCAAAAAAACTGCCATTCAATATAATTTTTTGGCAACAAAATGGTGTAATCCGGTTATGCCAGGCCAGTCAAAAGCAATGGCAATACACGGAAAACAAGTGGATGCAGCTTTCATTTTCAAACAATCGATTCCTGAAAAGAAAATTGACACTCGTTTTTCACACACTTTCACTCACATACCCCCAACCCGTGTCGGTTCCTTGTCCCGTTGAAAGTCTGCGTCTATCTTTATTTGTCACTCCGGGAAAAAAAGTGGGTGGTGGAATGTCCAAAATCAAGGTTGTTCGTTTCAGTAGAAGCCCGAAACAAATATTACATACTAAATTGAACAGGCACTGTGGAAAAGGCTAGGGAAATTGGCATGTTGGGCGGCAGTGTGAAGGTGAACCAAACGGTATTTTTGATTGTGACAAAAATACATGCACTTGAAAACTTTTCTTGCATTGTTCTACCTGATTCGCTCTTTGTTTTGATAATGTAGCGTATTTTCATACTCACCCACTTGCCCCGGCTTGCCAATAAAATGTTCCAACATGTGTGGCAAAAAAAATAATTGGAAGGGGGTGTTTACGTATCTGGAGACAGCACCCAGCAACACCCTTGCTGTTCATTATTTTTGTTCAGCTCCACGCGGTGATTCCATTATTGTTGCGCACGCTCGGGTGTGCCGATCATTGAGAATGAAAACTCCCTCACGCGCTGAAAATTGAAGCGCTGCTAATTTTTTATCTCTGTTTAGAAAAACCACAATGTCGATAAACAAATTTACAAAAAAACCGTTTGCAAAAATATAAGGGGGTGGTCATATTAGAGGGGGGTGTTGCTTAGCTGCAGGGGGTGGTTACGATGATTTGTAACAGCAAAATGCCTAATAGTAGCCGAGAGTAGCGATACGGAGCTTGAAATGCCCATTAAATGCGTATTGAATATTTCGAGCTTTTTGGATGCTTGTTTGCCGTTTGTTTTTATTTTTTGTGAGTGAGAAATACATTTCCCATTCTCCTGCCCCCTTGCTCTCCGCCAAAAAAGAACCCTAGGGTCCGTGTAGTATATATAATTGACAGTCGGCGCCACGACACAGCACCTAATTTATTCATCACCCACATTTTTTACTTACCCAACTCAAACACAGCCTTTCCTAGGTCGCTTTTTTCCAAACACACGTTACTATTTAGCCCTTCAGCCATTCATAACTTTTTTCAGCGTTAACGCCATTTTTTTTCTCGACTTTGGTTTGAACTGTATACTTGCCAAACCAACAATTTTATTTTTATTTTTATTATATTTATTTCGGTCTATCTTTTTTGTCAACTACAAAGGCACGCTTTTATTTAGCACTGCGCGCTAAACTATTCTAGTATTACCACAGGCATGTACTATCACAACAACAATTCTTCTACCGGCCTCTACCCCATGGCCAGCGGTAGTGCCCCTGTTTCCAGCAATCCACAGGACTGCACCATAGGCGTCGGCCCCAGTGCTAGCGCACCGCTTGGTTCTTCGTCTTCTCTGAACCATGGAATTAACCCTATGGCCTTGTCGTACACCGCTGATACTGTTAACGAGCAGCAGACCGCGGTTGCGCCAGCTTGTGCTAACAGTATGCCCTTGACCTTGTCACCCTCCTTTGGTGGATCTAACGCTTCAGGCTTTGCGGGTATTGCTTTGAGCACCGTTTCAATGGGCCACAACGGGCAGTCGATTTATTCACCTCATCACCTTCCGTCGGGTGCCTACTACGAGCCGTCGCAATTTATTACCCCGGTTACGGAGATGGCACCTAGCTACTCGGCGCTCCCACCTGGTGGCAACGCTTCTTCATCATCCGGCATGCCTCACGATGGCCGCATTCAAGCCATGTACCCAGGCTCGGCAGCCTCGTCGTACCATCCAAGCGGGAACTCATTTGGTAAGTTTGGTTAGGAACTCATTTCACATCTCCTTATTTCTTTTCCCGAAACACTATTCTTTCCGTTTAAACCATCATGTTTATTGTTGCATATTTTCCCAGGGTATAATTCAAATAACGTAAAAAAAGAACGGTTTGGCGACTTTAATGCCACCTGCTCTGCTTGTCTCTATTCCTCCTAAGCGGTTTTTTCTATTTGTTTTGATTTTAGCGAACCATTGTTCAACTTTTTTATTATTGCTGCATGTCGTCTGGGTCTATATCCATTTATCTCTTTTTGTTTGTTTATCCATCTATGGATTGCGGCTATTTTTTACTTTCTCTCACTCGTGCGCCTGAATTCCACTTAAATTAAATTTGTGGAATAACCAGAGCATTTATCGCTTTATTATTCGGCAATCAGCTCTAGCGCAACCAAGATTGCCCTAATAATAAATTGCAGCTCCCTCTCATTAGAGGGCCCTGCATGCAATCCCTCTTATTCCTCTCCTGGCCGCACATATCGATCCTGCTTTCTTTGTAAATGTAAAATTGTTCTACACCACACACCGCACACCGCACAACACATCGCCTACCCCTCCCCGCACCCCCACTTTTCACTTTTTCCTTGTTACTTGTAATTTAATTTACTGGAAAGGCTCAAAACCAGAATGATTTCAAATTTATGTATGCAATCTCTCTTTTTTCAACTTCTTGACCCAACATCGTGTTCATATGTATTGTGGTCTGTGGTCTGTCAATCATTATCCATTTATAAAAAGGCGGGGTTTGTGTGTGAAGATAAATCTAAAAAGGGGGTGGGAGATTCGGTGGTTCATCTAACAACTTGCTCCTGCTTCAGAGGCTGAGCGTTTTGTGTTGAATTTATAAACAAGTTGTTTTGTAAATCTTAATCATCCGGAACAATGTCAAACGTTCAACACGCTCAGCTTCTACACGTGCATGACACTGCTTAAATTGCCTGATTACCTTAAAATGTCCGGTTAACAAAAACTGGCATGGAGGCTTTTTTAATTGTTGCTACTTGATTTGTTTGATCCATTCCTGCCCTTTTTTGGCATTACCGCGAAGCTATTTCCTGTTCCTTTTGCCGGAAGGAGTGAAGAGAAAAAAACGCACTTTCTTGCACGCGACAAAAACCACCTCTCCGTCTTTACATTGCCCAACACCCCCTCTCTCCCCCTCCCTGCTCATACACACCCCACCTTCCCCTCCCTCTCCCTTATTTTTGAGCTTGTAATTATTGTTTTCTTGATACGCGCTCAGCTCTAGTTCTAGCTTAAGCTTTATTTCCTGTACCAAGATAAATGGCGATGCTGATGTGGTGTGTGTTAAATAATTTTTATTTTGCGTACTGTGTGTTGGTCTCTCCAGATCGACAATGTCGCTGTGCTGTTTTGTGTCTGACATGGACTTAACAAATTTATATATATACCAGTCAAGCGACATCCATCCATCCTTTCGATTTTTATGATCACCCAACTCTGTATTTTTTACACAACAATAACATCATTTTTGGCACTAATTATACATTATTCACAATGCTTCTTCATATGAACCCTTCCATCTTTTTAGACCTTGCATTCGGCGGGTTCCCCACTTCTCATCCTCGCGAGGCGGTGACCCCTTCCATGTTTGGGGCCACCAACCACACTCTCGGCGAGATCCACCACGGCTTCCAAAGTTACGTCAGTCCGACCCTGGCATCCCAGCTTGGCGTGGGCATTGTTCAGTCCACATCAATGGGTGCGTCGTTTTCCTCAAACCCTACCCAGCACCTGAACATTTCCATGTCGCAGGGCCCTAACATGTGCTCCAACGCATTGCAGGTGTCCACAGTGGCCATGACCAATATGGCCGCGGCGTGCGGACCCTCCGGGCATCTGGGCCTGCCTATGCTGACTACATCCGGATCGATGATTAACAACAGGCAACCAATGGAACAGTCGGTCAACTCGGCACCGCCCAACATTGTTGAGTTCTCGCATGAGGCACTTTCAGCTGCATATGACTGGCGGTACAATAGCCAGGGTGTGCACTCTCTGGCCAGGGCTAGCTTTGGCGGCGCCATGGGTATTCCGCCCACAATGGTATCACCTTTGGTCAACCCCAATGACTGCTGCCTGCCACCGCCGTCGCAACCGCAGCTCACCGTTCCGGGACCCGCCCAGACTGGCAGTCACCGCACCCGGCAGCCCATCAGAACAACCGAGCACACCTACCGTCGCAACTCTGTCTACAACGCATCTGCTGCTAACGGCGGGCCGGTTAACGGCAGTAACGCCGCAAACAGTGGCCCGGTCTACCACGGGGGACGGTGCGTGTCTTCTGCACTTGCCGACTCACAGGCCTTCCGCTACGAGCATGTCTTCTCCATTCACGAAAACATGGGTATGAGCAACAACCAAGCTGGTGGTCCTGCTGATGCTGCTGGTGAGCCTCGGCGCCAGCCAATAGACCCAACCCAGTATCTCCCTCAGGTTCACTACGGCGACAACAGCAGCATGCCGCTGCAGATGTCCTTTAACGTGGGGGGCCCAATTGCTGCTGGCAACACCAATGTGGTGAGCCCTGCGGTGGTTAAAAACGTGCGTCGGATTGCCAACTCAAGCATGTCCCTGAGGATGAGTGCCTGCGAAAACGCCCTGGGCCTGGGCAATGTTGGCACCACCGTCGGAGTTGTTGCCACTGGCACTCCTCCGCTGACGGCAGCATGCTCTGAGGACGAGGATGACCGGGAGATTCAAAGCTGCCTTTCGTCGCAAACCCTTGCAATGGATATGCAGACTGGCCATCCGTTAATCCCGCAGGGTAACTACATGCCGTACATGGGACTTCAGCAGGTTGCAGCTGTGGGGGCAGCTGCAATGCCAGAGATTCCCAACTTTATTCCTGCCACCAGTGAGCCTGCCTATCCGTTCTTTGCTGTCAAGTCTGAGGGTAGCTCTGCTGGGAGCGTCAGTAACCATATGCCCTCAATCAACCCTGCAGACATCAATATGATGGCTGCGTCTTCTCAGGGTGTCATGCCGCGCGCCAAGCCGGCTGCAGTGCCAACAAGAAAGCGTGTGCGCAACGTTGCCCCCGCTTCTTCTTCCGCTCCTGGTACTTCTGGTCCTGCTGACAGATCTTCTGCGGCACTGTCTTCTAAAAAGCGCAAGGCCGCTAGTGGCGCATCAATCAACACTGCTGGTCGCGGCACTGGCATTGGGCAAGGGTACCCGGCAACCGACAAGGCTCATGGAACAGGCAACTGTGGCTCAATCAAGTGCCCGCACCCGAAGTGTGGCAAAACCTTTACTCGCAAGTACAACCTCAAGTCTCACGAACGCACACACATGGATGATCGTCCATATGCCTGCGATCAGTGCACGCAGAGGTTCAGCCGGAACCATGACCTCAAGAGGCACAAGAAGATCCATACTGGTGTGCGTCCGTTTTTGTGCCCGGTTTGCAACCGCGGGTTTGCTCGTGCTGATGCTCTTAGCAGGCATAATGCCAAAGGCGATACTTGCAAGCGCTCGCCAAACGGGTCTAGGACCTCTAAGGATCCTTCCCCTTTTTCCTGCAAGGCTGAGACTGCTGGCGAAAGCGCGATGGCCGTGCCTGTTTCACCGGGTATGACTATGCAGCAAGAAGATATGCCGCTGGCGCTGTCGTCAATTTCAGCTATGGTTGCTGCCTCAACATATTCAGTTCCCAATACTCCGACTGTCATGAACTCTTCTGACAATGGAGGTGGACCAGAGTGATTGTTTTTCACCCTATTTTTTTAAATCACATCATATTCAATTTTTCCCTTTTCTATTTGACTTTTGGTGTTTGGCATTAATTATTGCGAAAAAAAACTAATTTACATGCATATATTAAATATTGAAAGCATGCACGGATGGTCAGTTGGTTGGACAGCGAAAAACACGGAAACGAACCATTTTGTGAGTATAGCGCCTCAATTGAGAAAATCCATGGTGTAAACAAATGAATAAATAATCGAGGAAAAATAAAACGAAAAACGTAATTATTATTGGGGAGGTTTGGTCAAAGGCCGTAGTTTCCCATTTGTTGTCATTGGAAACCAATGAGGATCGAGCCGTCAGGTAATAATAGCCACCTTGATGTGAAGAAAAAAGTATCCAGTCTTGTTTCACCTGAGCGCGGTCTTGGGCTTGGGCGCGACATTCGGATCAATTGGAGATCTACCACAGCGTTTGTAGTCTGGGTGATACTCATCAAATTTGCGAATATATAGGAATATCATAACAAAATTGCACACTGATGCAATGTTGCAGCTCCAACACCTGAACTTGATGTTCGACTCGACAGTGGTCTTAGTCTTATCCTTGAGCACAGGCTCCAAATTATGTTAAATGTTGGACCTCATTTTATTATTTCTCTGAGCCATAAATAAAGCATGTGTTTTTGGATACTGTATTTTTTGAGCGAGTTGCGAAACGATAGTTTAGTAATACAATTGTAAGCTAACTGTTTCCAACACTAGTCGAGTGCTTTACAAACTCATATTTAAACTTTGAAAAGTACATTGTTCAAATAATTGAGCTAGTGTTAACTATTTTTTAATTGTTATTTTACAGTTACATTTTCTGAACTAACTTGTAACACACCAGAGGCGCAGCTTAAAATGACCGTCAATTTCGTCGCATCTATGGATCCCAAAAGGATAAATCATATGACGCCCACCCCAGCGCGTGATTCTTCCATTTTTATTATGTTAGTTTTCTCTTAATTTTTTAAACACCAACCAAACTATACGAGCGTTTGAGCAAAAAAAACATATAACACGTGTTTTTTGTTTTGTATATCGAGCCATGGACGAATCAGTAGAGATAATAGTTCGAATGTTCATTTTTTTTTTTTTGCCCAAACCGCTCGCTTTGGTCTGAGATTTACCAGTCCGATCTTCGCCCCACCCCAAAAACATTTAGTTTAATAAAAGATACATTAAAGATATCCTGAAAAAGAGATAGATCAGGTATCAATGTTGTTTTTTATTGTTTGTTCTGATGCGAATTATTAGAGAAAAAACTTTTTTGGCAGGGCTTTAGTAAGAAAAAGCATATCTGCGTATATATATCCATACATCCACAATGACGATAACGTCAGATACAACAGAAATGTTTTATTCTACTATTTTGTTTTTATTGATTTGGTCTGGTTTTGATTTTCGGTCTTTATCCAAAATCAAAGAAAAAATCTAATTTTTAAAATTGGCACGTGACTCCGCCCATTGATGGATGACGTTATAAATGGGGTTAAATTTAAACTTTTAAACTTTTACTACTTCGGACTGAAGGTCAAGGGCCTGTATTTTTTTACTTTATTTTAATCAACTTTATTTTTACATTACGCCACTCCTACCGCCTCTATTATCATAATATTTATTCTACACGAGGATGTCGCAGTTTACGGTTGGGCATCAGCTAGTGTCGCTGGACATAAATTTTGACAACCGGGTGGTCAAAGGAGTGACAGAGCTGACTGTAGATCCAAAGACCGCAAGTCTGACAAAGATTCAGCTGCACTGTGAGCGCCCAGGTAAATAACTTGACACCCTGACAACAAAGTGATTATAAAAGGCTTCAGACCATATATTGCTTATACTCATATACCATTTTTTGTTTGTCGACGTGTATAGTCGTTCGGAGTGTGAGTATAAATGGGTATATATGTGAGTTTCGGCGGATGGCGCCGGATAGTCGGCGAAAGCTGCTGCGCAAGATAGCCTCCCAGCAACATGACAGCGATTTGGACAGGGGCAACTTGGAGATAAGTATTCCGCCTGAGGTTGTTATTGAGGCCATCTCGGACGATGTTGTTACATCGGGAGCAGAACCATCACTAACTACAGCTACGGCGGCCACGGCAGCAGCGGCAACGGAGGTGATGTACCGGAGCATCAAAGTGCGGATAGAGTTTTATCTGGTCGACCCCTCCTTGGGCATTCTGTTCACGAACACAGGCGACCTGATGACAGCGCATACAGAGACGCAGATGTACCCGAGTTCAACGCGTCTTTGGGTTCCCTGCATGGACAATATACACGAGCGGTGCACCTGGGATCTGTTTTATACTGTGCCGGCTTGTCTCGGTTCATCCGATTCGGGCATGCTGCTGCCCCTGACTGTGGTCTCTGTGGGCGAGCTGCAGTCATTGGTTGTTCATCCTAAAGATCCCGCTAGACGTGTTTTTCGCTATGTCATGACTACGGCGACGCCGGCCTGTACGCTGGGGTTTGTTGTTGGTCCGTTCACGAGCGCTTACACGCTAGATGGGAGCTTGCTAGCCAATGGTGCCGAGCTTGGCGATGGCAAGGAGCCTACCAACGGCGCTGCTGGCTCAGAGGAGGAAGAGAAGGATGCAGATAAGAACAAGGATGCCGAAGATGTGTTGCAGGAGGATGCTGCTGATGACCAGGCGGATGAGGCGATTCAATCCTTGGACGCCGATAGCACACAGCAGCAGCAGCAACAACAGCAGCATGAGGACGGTGATGGTGTGGCTGAAGGACAAGAACCGTCGTCGGAATCGGCTGAGGCAGCCGAAGCGGCAGCGGCAGAGGAGCAGATGATGGCCGAGGCCAAGGCCAGTCACAACTCGAAGCTGCGCAAGGCCACAGTGGATGCCATCCGGGGCGTCTTTGCGTTCACGTATCCGGGCCTGCAAGAGGAGCTGGAGACAACATGCTCGTTCATTCCCGAGGCGTTGGCGTTCCACTCGCAGGAGTTTGGATCGTACCCCTATGCCACATACAAGGTTGTTTTCATGGAGGGCCTGCGCGTGCCTGTTGTAACATGCGCGTCGCTGACCTTGCTTAGCATTGATTTTCTGCATCCACGCGCGGTCATCGAGCCTGTTTACGAGACCAGGCGGTGTTTGGGGCTGGCCATTGCACAACAGTGGTTTGGCACGTACATTGTTGCCGAGACCTGGAGCGACTACTGGTTGGTCAGCGGGCTGGCCGGGTACGTTGCCGGGCTGTTTGTGCGACACAACCTGGGGCACAACGAGTACAGGTACCGGCTGAAGCGCGACATGACGCGGCTGTGCCACGCAGACGTCAACCAGCGACCGATTAGCTACGCGGAGCAAGGCCCCATCATGAGGGCCGACGACGTGGAGTTTGTCGGGCTGAAGGCAGCAGTTGTGTTGCACATGCTGGACCGGCGCATGATGAAGGGCGGCATGTCTCTGGGCCTGCACCGCATTGTGCCCAAGATCCTAGTGGCAGCAATGAGCGGCGACCTGGGAGCGTCAAATGCTGTGGGCACGACATGGTTCCTGAAGATGTGCCGCAAGGTGAGCGGCGTCGACCTCAAGACGTTTGCTGACCAATGGATCTTTGGCACCGGCTGCCCAGTGTTTCACTTCAGCTACGCGTTTAACCGCAAGAAGCTGGCCGTCGAGATCACCATGCACCAGGAGTCGACCAACTCCAAGGCGACGGCGCCGTGGGCGAAGCCGCAGCTCTTCAGCGGCCAAATGACAGCGCGCATCCGCGAGGCTGACGGCACGCCATACGAGCACATTCTGGACATCCATGAGGCGACAAAGCGGTTCGAAGTGCAGTTTAACACCAAATACAAGCGCATCAGGCGGAGCACCAAGCGATTCCACAAGCGGCAAATCGAGGCTGCAGAGGCCGAGCTGAGCGTCAACGTCGAGGTCCTTGGTGGTGACGATGAGGAGGCATATAGCAACATTGCGCTGTTCGGCGCTGAGGATGAGGACGAGAAGCGCGAGTGGCGGGTGGTCGAGTGGGGCGAGGATGACGAGGAGAGTCTGGCCAGTGCGACGTTTGAGTGGATTCGCATGGACCCGGATCTTGAGTGGTCTAGCGTCATTCATTTCGAGCAGCCGGACTTTATGTGGGCGGCGCAGCTGCAGAAGGACCGCGACGTAGCGGCGCAGCTCGAGGCCGTTGACGCGCTGCAGCACTTGCCGTCGTCCGCTGCATCCACCACGCTGATGCGCACGGTAATGGACGGCCGCGTGTTCTACCGCGTTCGTGTTGACGCTGCACTTGCGCTTGCGCGTTTCGCGCGGCCATCGCTGGGCTGGATTGGCCTGCACCACTTGGCAAAGATCTACGCCAACCGCTACTGTATCGAGAACAGCGCGTCCAACGAGCTGTTGCCTAAGCCCAACAACTTTGCCAATGTCGGCGAGTATTTCACGCAGAAGGCCGTTTTGGCCGCCCTGTCTAACGTGCGCGATCGTCATGGCGAGGCGCCGCCACGCGCACGCGCCCTGATTTTGGCCGCCCTGCGGTACAACGACAACAGCGAGAATGTGTATGCGGACTGCTTTTTTCTCGCCTCACTGGTGCGTGCTCTGGTGGGTGCTGCTGGCAGCAGCACGCGGTTTGCGCGCAAGTTCTCTGTCTGCGTCGACCCGCAGGGCGACACTGCCGTGCTGGGTGAGATCGAGCGACTGCGCAAGCTGGATATGCTCGTACCATCCTTCCACAACGTCATCACCTGTGCGTGTCTCGACGCTGTACTGCGTCTATCGGTAGTACAACCGCAAGAGCACCTGTTCAACACGGCGCTGTTCCTGAGCATGGCATCGCCGGACGCCTATGTGGGCGTGCGCGAGGTGGCCATTGGCGGTCTGCTTTTGCACTGGGGTGTAGGTGGCGACGGCATGGTTAACCTGTTTTTCGCTGCGCTTTCATCAGACTCTAGCGCGCCGCGGCTGGCCAACTCTGTCAGTCGGTTTACCGTCGAGGCCATGGTGCTGAGGGCGATGGCGTATGGACGGCAGCACAACAGTCTTTTGTTCCAGGAAGAGGCCGGAAAGGAGGCCACCGAGCATATCGACACAGATGCGCGGCTGGTTGGTGGCCTGGAGACATTTGTAGACAATGTCAGCGACTCGCCCGAGCTTCAGCTTCTCTTGGCCGCGTCCATGTACGACTCAGCAGTGCCGTCCAGGGCGCGTGAGCTGCTGGCGGCTGTTCATGCGCTTGTGTACCGCACGGCCGACTGCTCATTGCCGCCAAGGGTGCCCGTGGCGCGGAAGAAGCTGAAGATCAAGCTGGGTGCACGTAGCCAGCAGCGCGGGGTTAAATCCAATGCGAGCAGTGATAGTGAGGATACGCCGTTGGCCTTAGGCGTGGATCCCTATAGTGCTGATTTCGTCCTCGGCGAGGATGGCGACCGGCCTATAGTCGACGGCGTTGTGAACCCTGGGCGGCGCAAGTGGCAGCGCGCGCCGTCATTCTCAGAGGCGTCGATGGGCGGATTGCCTCAGATTGCCGGGACCCGACCGCCACCTATTACTGTGCCCGATACAAAGATGAATTCGCCAGCGTACTTGGGATTGGCCAGCGGGCTGTCACCGGCTGTGCCACAGGCACCGACGACACCGGCGGCTGTACCGGCGACAGAGCCTGTCAAGGTCAAGCTGAAGCTCAAGTTTTCCAAGGCTTCTTTGGCGTCAGCTGTGTCAACTTCGGTGGCCACTCCATTGTCCCACATTCGACAGTGCCAAGGGTGTCATCGCCGCTAGCTGCCGCACACACAGCATCGCCACCCCAACACGGCCGTAATATATCGGCCGGATGGTCCCCTGATAATGTCCCGCCAAAGCCCAAGCCCAGATCCAGACCCAGCATCAGCATGACCATTGGCGACGCTCCTGCGAACGAGTCTCCGCTGCAGTCCCCGCCCTTGAGGTCACCCGAATCCGCCAGCCCGGCTGTTGTCTCCAGGCCTTCGGTACCTCCATCCACACCGCCATCGTCATCGTCGCTTTCTTTGTCCTGGATGATGAAGTCGCTTATGCGGGTTCTGCGTAAGGTCAGCAAGCACCCGTCGGCCTTCCCCTTTATGCGGCCCGTCGATGTTCTGCTGGACGGGTGCCCGACATACTACGATATCATCAAGAAGCCTATGGACCTGGCGACGATCAAGCGGAAGCTTGAGGGGCGCAAGTACTCAGCACCCAAGGAATTCGAGGCAGATATGCGGCTGATGCTCAACAATTGCTATTTGTTCAATCCGCCTGGCACTCCTGTTTACGTGATGGGTCAAGATGTTGAGGCTGCTTTTGAGGACGAGTGGGCAAGGGCTGGGTTGGCGCCGGTAGATGCGCCGGGTGCTAATTTTGCTATTCCAGCTGGAGAATCCCGTGCTGTTGCTACCAATCCTGCTACGCTGGAGGTTGGTTTTGTTGCTCCTGCGAGGGAGACTTCTGCTGACAAGGCCGCGGCAGCAGCAGCACGTAAGCGCAAGAGCGAGGCTCGGTCGTCAGTTGCCGCCATGCCCTCAGAGAGATCGAACTTGTCGTCGGGCAGTAGTAATGGCATGGGTGGCGGCAGTGGTAGTGGTGTTTCTGTAGCAGCGGCAGCGCACAAGCGAGCAAAGATGCATGCCTACAGCGCAGGCAACATCTCGGCACACTCTTCTTCGATTCCAGGCACGCCTTCTAGTAAGGTTGGGGAGAAGAGAAGTCGGGATATGGCTCGCCCTGATACTCCGAACACACCCAACAGATTGTCGCAGCTGAACTCACCGCCACCACCGCCATCTCTCAGCATATCCAAGAGCTCGGGCAGTTTTAAGCTCAAGCTAACTAACAGGGGATCCGCCCCGCCGTCGCAGCAGTCCCCGTTGCCGCCGGCGCCGGCTTCGACAACAGCGGCCACTTTCTCATCTTTGGATGACCCAGATGCCATCATGGACTACCTCGACAGCACAACGCCGAAAGCACCAACATTAGCAGCACCTGTATTTTCAGCGGCACCAGCACCGGCACCGGCACCGGCACCAGCACTAGCACCAGCACCAGCACTAGACCCAGCACCAGCAGTAGCTTCTAGCACTCCAATCCCATCGGGTGGTAATTGGAAATCCGTATGCTACCGCGTAATGCTGCAACTCCAAGCGCTCCCCTGCGCACTAGAATTTATGGCACCTGTGGACCCGATCAAGCAAGGTGTGCCAACATACTTTGATATAATTAAATGGCCAATGGACCTCGGAACCGTCCGCAAGCGACTGGATCGGTCGCAGTACCGGTCCCCCAAGCAATTCGTCCACGACGTCAAGCTCGTATTTGACAACTGCTTCCTTTCAACGTCCCCGGCACATACGTTTACGCGCAGGGAGAGCCCTGCAGAAGGCATTTGAGCACGCGTGGGTGCAGCAGACTGGAACACACCCGGATGATCCGCCCCCTGCAGAGTTACCAGAGGATATTGCTTTGGTCGACCGGTGTATGGAGAGGGCGAGGAGTGTGCTTAATAAGCTGAAGAGGGAGGAGAGCTCGTGGCCGTTTTTGAAACCTGTGGATCCGATTGCATTTGGAGTTCCAACGTATTTAGATATCATCAAGAACCCTATGGACCTGTCGACTATACAGAAGAAACTCGCTAAGAAGGCGTATCCGTCGGTGGCAGATTTTGTCGCAGACATTAGGCTTATTATCGATGACTGCTTCTTGTTTAATCCGCCGGATACTCCCGTCCACGATTGCGGCGTGAAGATGCGCAACTTGGCTGCTAAGCTTTTGGAGGCAGACCATTGGGACCGCTGGCTTCTTTAAAACAATACTTTTTTACACTTGTGATAATGATTTTTTAAGAAACATTAAAAATAAGATAATGATATTGCGAATAAAACTTTGGAGAACAAAAAACATGCCTTTTTTGTGTTAGTTATTGCTGCCGCACGTAGTATCCAGAGGTGCCCGACGCAGCTGACCCATCGTTTGCCGACACTCTGCCGCTATTTCCGAATCCGCACCGCCATCCTGGCTTTGCTGACCCTTGCCCTGACCACCCTGGCCCTGGTCCTGACCATATCTGCTGCTGCTGCTGCTGTTATTGTTGTTGTTGTTGTTATGCTGCTGTCTTTGGTGTTGGTTATACCCGCCATGCTGGTTGTTGTTGGTGTTATTCCAGCGGTGTTGCCGCTGGTAACCGCCATTGTTGCTGCGCCGATCGCGAGAGTATTGGTGTTATGATGGTTGTTGCTGTTATTGCTGCCTCCGCTGTTATGATGATTAGACCCACCGCCACTGCTGTTACTGTTGCTCCCTGACCCGCGGCGCCTGTACCCCTGGCCCTGGTAATTCGGCTGCTGCTGGTGCTGTTGCTGCGGAATCATCTGGTGCTGAACCACATGCTGAACCACCTGCTGGCCCAAATTCTGGGTCTGGTTCGAATAAACATACCCGCCATAACCCGGCCCCGCTGCCGCCTGCATATGTTTGGCGTGTAAGTGTTGATCTCCCTGCTGCTGAGGCTGATGTTGTGGCCACATATACTGACCTTCCTGAGTATGCGGAGGCATAGAATACTCAGCATGGGCAAACCCACGCTGCTGATTTCTCCGTTAGACAGCATATGTGGCTGTGGTGGATAGTGCAAAGAGCTAGGCCGGCTACCACCACCTTTATTCGACATGACTCGAGAGAATGCACAGACTCATTGTGCTCCGACCCACCACCCGTCGCTGCAGTCGACAAGTTGGAAGCGTCGATATGCGGGTACATAAAGGGTGAGTTCATCGCGTACCCGGCTGAAACCGCCGCCGCTGCTGCCGCCATCGCATGCTGGTAGGGGTCAATATTGATCATGGGTGCCATCATTGGCAACGGAGCAGCGACGCCAGCAACATTGGCAACATTAGGTGCAGCGGATATATTATCCAGCGCAGAGACCCCATGCATGTGCTGGTTAGGCTTTGAATCGCCTCAATTGTGTTAATATTGCTGCCCATCCACATATCGTTCTCCGCAGTAGGTGCTGGTGGGTTACCAGGAATGACCGCCCCGATAATCTGCTTTTGCTGCTGGTGGTCTGGAACAATACCACCGCCACTGCCACTGACACTGATCCCGACCAAGGGCGAGGCTCCATCAGGCATGATTGCACCCGGCGGCGCAACTCCCGCAACCGGGCTCATAGTCTGCATGCCATACATGTGCGGCGGCATGTACCCGTACTGCATGGCAATATGTGGCGGATACGGCATGGGCATAACACCATACATTCCAGGGCCATCGACCCTGCTGATGTCCCTTCTGCCGCCGGCCAGCTTGGAATAGAACTCGCTGCCGCCGCTGCTGCATGATGACCCACGCCGTACGGGTTAAATCCAACAGGCAGCAGCGCCGCTTCAAGCAAAAGAGCTGGATGCGCTGCCGGATCAGGCATGACCATGGAGGTCATGTCTACCTGTGACACTGCCGCTGCCGCTGCTACAGACTCGCTCTCTACTTGCTCGGCGCGAACATTTCCCAGGACACCTTGACCGATCGACTGGGCGAGGCTCTTCACAGGATGCACAAACCCACCAACATGGGCCGCGTTCATCGCTGGGTCCTGCGCACTGATATCGACATGAACAGCCTCAGGCATACTCATAGCAACAGTAATATCCGGCGCACTACTGTGTTTTTCCGTGTCCTCATTGTCTCCCCGTACAAGGAGTCGCTGTCTGAGCCCTCGACCATCTCTGCCGATGCAATAAAGGTGAGCCCTCCGGGAGGAACAACGACCTGGGTGTTAAAGTCGATGTCTGCCTCCTCCGACCCAGCGTCATTCTGCATAAACAGCGGTATTAGCTTGGGCATCTTGACGCCGGAAACCGACCTAACCTGACCAGTCACAAGCAGCGGTGCCTCGACATCCACAGTCGGTGCAGCAACAACGCTGTCAACAATCGCTGCGATTTTCGCATAGCTGACGACAACTGACTCCACACCGCCAGCCATCAAAATTAGCCCGTCAACAGGGTCCAAAGCGCGCTGGGAGAGCTGCCGCAGGTGGTTGATGGCCACAAGCGGCGGAAAGACACCTCATCACCAACATAGTCGCCGACCCCCGCCAAAACCAGGCGGTAAAAGCCCACCAGAACCGTACGATCGCCATCAGCCACAGCATCGGCGTCCACACGCGGGAGCTTCTCGTTAACAGCAGACACCAGGCGCAAAGTCTGCTGGTGCACCAGAGCTTCACTCGCCAGTGTTTGCTCCCTGACCTGCTCCTCGATCGCGCGGTCGATGGATGCAATGTGCTCCTTCTCATCATGTTCGCCGCCATTGGTCGCTGGCCCGCTGAGATACCCGAGCTCTTGTACAAGCGCGCGAAGTGTATCGATGCTCGCCACCATTGCCTCCTGCTCGGCACTGATCTGACCTCCGCTCTCCTTCTTTTTCTCACTGGCCTCTGCGCGCTGAAGCTTCCTGCGAATTATGAGCAGCCTTCTGCTGATGTTCTTCGAGACATCGGCTTTATTGGTACTCGTCACTCCAGCAACACCTTCGTTGGCTGGAGTAGTCTTTGGTTGCGCTGACTGTGATGTCTTGGCTACGCTGCCGCTTTCGTCGTCGTCCTTGGAGGTCTGTTGGCGCTGTCCGCCGCTGGCATTGGTTCTTCTTGCCATTATTGGTGGGCGCAGTAGAAAAACCCCAGTTCCAAATGTTTTTTGGTATTTAAAAACAGAAAAGAAAAGAAAGATAAAGATAAATAAGAGATAAAAAGGCTTGTTCGTATGTGTTGCTGTTGCTATGATCGCACTTGTGTTGGATATAAAAATCAAGGAGATAATATATAGAAAAACGTATATACTTTTTAGTTGAAAGTTTTTTAAAAAGAACAAGTATAGATACACCCCGCCTATTTTAATGTTTTGTTTAATTTTGTTTTGTTTTTGGTATGTGGCCAAGTGTTCTTCAAAACTCGAAATGCAAAAAAAATGTTTAAGAAAAGGATTTAAAAGGCAGTATTTAGAAGGAAAAGAAACCCTGATACAGCTCGTGTCGTAATATGTCAAGACACTCGAACAAGTAAAAAAGAAAGAATTAGACTACGGTAACTAAATTCCTGTAGTAATGAGAGATGCAAAACAAAGGAGCAAGAGCAAAAAAAAGAGCAAAAGAGTGTGATGGAAAATAAAGGACTAACAGCAAGAAAAACAAACAAACAAATAATTAGCACAAAACCCCTACCAAGCCCCCTTTTTCTATTCCTCTCACTTTAACGCCTTTTCTTCTTCCATCTGCATTCATCGGGCCAAAAATGAATGAACGGCACCACGCGGATGGGGGAATGACACAACAAATGAAAATGATGTAACTAATCTGCTGATTGTTTGTTTTGTCCATGATTAAACTCATGAGAGGCTAGAAAGTGAGCAAGCGAGTGAACAAAACAAAGCTACATCAAAGTGTAAACAACTCTTAATTTTTCTTCTTTATTCTTTTGAATTTTTAGTTTGAAATTCGAATTTTTATTATTATACATTAATATGAACAATTACGGAAGATATAACAATAACAATGCCGGTGGTGGTGGTGGTGGTGGCGGTGATGGCAGCTTTCTGGCAGATGCAGACACACTCGACGGTAAGCCAGCAGAGCGCAAACACATAGACGGGACACCCTTTTTTTGTATTTCTGCCAGCTCAGATTGCTTCATACTGGAATGCATTCCTGTTGGTGGGAGGAGAGCCCGCGCTAAATTATCCACACAACCAATTAACTAACACAGAGTATTTATTTTCATTTCTAGTTCTCGGACAACTATCTACAGAGGTCGGCGCCGGGTTTAGCAAGCCACAACTGGCCGCTGCCATGCACCTGCTGCGGCTAGGAGTCAACCCCAGCGCACTGGTTGCCATCACACAAGAGCTGCGCCGAATGACACACAACACGCCGCCGGTTATCCAGCCCCCTGTACATAATGTAATTCATACCAGCAGCACCAATATTACAGACAATGGCTACGCTTACGGCCCCAGCAGCCGTCATCAGACGTACGGACATCAGGGATTTCCTCTGGACCGCCAATTTACTAAATATATAATAAATATAAACTATACATTCGAACCATTATTATTATTATCTGCATGTTCTGTGTTTAATATCCACTCATTACAAGCGTTGGATAGTATGTATGTTTACGCGAGAAAACAAATAACAAAACAAAAAATCATGGTGTCTCCAATATAAGATTTCAAAATTTCCGTTGAATATCCAAAAGACAAAACCCCAAACTTTAACTGAACATTATTCAAAATAAAAATTTAGTTGCCTTGGCAGCGGGCTTGGCACCCTCACGGAAACCGTTCTTGAAGCGGATGTTCACGGTCTTGAGGTGACGCATGCGGCCGGTACCGGTGGTCTTTCTGCGCTTGGCCTTCATGCTCCAGTTGAAGGAACGGATCTTGGCAGCGGGGTAGCCGCACGACGCGCAGGTCTTCTTCTGGTTGTGGAACGCGCGGTTACCGCAGCGCTTGCACAGCGAGTGCGTCTTAACGTGACGCTTACCGAAGCTAGAGGTACCCTTGGTCTACAATTGCAAAATAATGAATGATCAGTAAAGTGTAAGAATTGTATCGACCGGAAAGCCAATCAGGAAAGTTCATAAAACAAACGATTGCTTTCACTCCTGGATAGCAAGGCAGAAAGTTGAAAGCATGGTCTACATATCGACAATTGAGTCTCCTTTCAACATGTAATATCTCAGTATGGCGCCGAAATAGCAACCCAATAAAGGAGAGAGAAAAACCACCCGAGAGAATAGAGGCCGCGTGCATGCGCTGTAATGCCAAAACGGAGGTTCAAGGTCCTAAACCATATTTTCAAGTCGTGTCAACAAGATTGTGGTCAATTTGACTGGTGTTGGCAGGCCCTGAAGAGCCCAACCGAGCTGAGAAAACACACAACCCAAGCACAATCAGCAGCTGATTTATACCCAAAGGCGACTTCGCCGACACAACTATTAGTGCTGGCACTGCTGTTGCTGCTGTTTCCCTAACCAATTAAGAGGTCCGGGGCTGGAAAAATCAGAAGCAAAAACAATAGTCGCTAAAAAAAGCAACATTGTCGCCTTTGCCAAATTGCCAATCAAAAAAGAACATATTCAAAATTTGTAGAATCATGAATTTCGTTCAAATTCAAGCCAGCCCCTTCCGCTTCCTCTCTCCAATTTCGTATATCCATCAAGCACCATATCTCTGATCGTTCGCAATGGATTCGCCGAGTGTCAATAAAAATCCATCGTTGCATCCATCACTGCGAAATGGTTATCTCTCTCCGTATCCATTGTTGTTGTCCGTAAGAATATCGCATCCGGCTTTCCTCCTTATTATGTATCTGTTGTGCTGATACTGACCATTTTCGAAGTATCCCGCGATAACTAAATTTTGGGTATGTGCTATAGTTAGAAAGAGAGAAACCCCAGCTTACAGCTATAAGTCGCCCAGGCGCTATTACCACAACCACCCACTTTCGCCAATTCTTGAAAATAATACCACCAATTTACCCTTAGAGCTTAATTCGCTGCCTGAATTGTATTTTTTGTGCACTTTTTTGAATCCATCTCAAAAAGGTGCGAATTAACGCGTTCCTTGCCTGCAAAGAAACAAATCAATAAATTTGTAGTGTAGATCACGTGATATGTGATTTGATATTAATCTGATGATTAATTATTGTATTTTGGAATTGATTTTTTGGTTATTGGCTTTTTTGGGCTTTCTTTTTACACCTGAGTAGATGCCTCAACTACAAATAATTGACGTGTCTCAAGCGGTTCCAAAACATGAAATAACGACATTCTCGCGACAAGAAAAATGATAACATTGTCGCCTTTTGCATGCGTGAGTGCGTGCGTATTATCAAGCAACCTGCTGCTCACAAAATGGCTTTTATTATACCGCTATCGATGAAACGGAGGTGTTTTTTATTATGATTGCCTTGCGTGAACGACAGAGTGAACGTGAATGTGATAATTACTGGTGTAAAACATGCTCATGGCAATAACGAAAAATGAGTTTTTTTATGTCGTTCACATCAAGATAAGAGAACCACAGGGCGGGAGAAAAAAGAAAGTTAGGGAGAAAGGGAATGTGTAGGAGATTTGTTAATCTGATACACAGCACCTTCCTATATAATATCATTATCTTCAAATAGGGAAGCATTCACTCCGAGATGAAATTAAACAAATAATCGGCCAAAAATATAGCCCATTTATTTTTGTAATAAGCACTGACGAGCAATGTAGACACTATTTTAAATAATGAGAAATAAAAACGGGATATAAAGATAAAAAAGTTGGACGATTTCAAATGCCAGATCGGTAATATGCAAGCTTCAAAAAGACAAAGGTAAAAATACATTTTTTAAAAATGCATGAGAAGATAATCCGTAAACCAATCAGCACGAATAAAAAACATTTTTGTTGTGAAAATTATCTTTGTTTCTGTCCATTTAACTTGAATCATTGAAAAACAAATTTTTGGCTGGCGAAAAGTCCAAGCGAAAATATATATAAATAATAATAATACATTTAAGCACGCACAGGGAATGGACTTGCAATCACGGAATAGTGGCTTGTAAGTGGAAAACCGGATTTCATAAATGTGAATAGACTGAGAAAAGAAAATGAGATTGGACTTTCCTTTGTGGCTACAACCGACGTTTTGGATAAACTGGCCTGCAAAATAAAATGAACTTTTTCCTTCAAAGAAGCAATACAAAAAACATCTGAGAAATAGTAGGTTGAATATGATTTTCAGTCAATTAAAAATTCGACAACAAAGCAAGGATCAACCCCACAAAAAATCTAAAATTATGAATCTTCCAATGAAATATGCATACCGTGTATATGCACACTACGTTTTGGGAAAACCCGTGCTTGTTAACCGTTTTTTATTTTACAAACAAACCAAAAATAAAAAAAAAGAAAGAGATCGTCTTTTGTCCCCTTTTTTATTTCGGTGGAATGCGCAATAGTTATTGGTTAATTCCCAAGTCCGTTTAAAATGGTTTTCTTTTGTAAACGGAGGTTCCGATATATTTTCTATATTCATTTTTGGATTCCGGATCGTCATACATCACACATGAAATAAAAAATTCAATTAAACACAATCGTGCCCCGATTCGCATCGTATATCAGCTGAGGCGGAAATAACAACAAAAAGTAGGAGAAAATAAGAGGGACGGGATCGGCAAAACCTGATTGCAATGGGTGCATGTCTGTAGCGAATTACGCTTGAAAGGCCAAGCTTTGGCGCGATTTTTTATTTACCTTAAATGGGTACTAACCAAAAGAGATAAATAGGTAGGGAAAAAGTTTGTCTAAAAATGCTCTGCGCACCGTAGCAGCGCGAGGAACTTTACACAAAGTCAACTTGGGTTCTAATAAATCAAACTCGGTATTTCCTCCTTTTCAAATGGATAACATTCCGGATAAAATTGAACAGCCAAAACCCTGCTACAAAGATGAACACCGAGGTTATAATGTTCTTTGGTTTGTTTTCCACCCTAACCAAACGAAACTAAAACTGAAACATCAACACAAATGCAGTCACTCACATGTTGACTGGCAAAAGACATCAATAAACAATAAAAGTGGTGCGAGCGGAAAAAATATTATATGAATGAGTTTGTATTTATCCCTATTGATGTGCAATCTGCACATTTCGAACAAACTCCTTGCAATTAAAACCTCATCACAACAAATCAAATATAAATAGAGCACCATATACTCTACGAGGCTTGTATTTTTCGGTTAAAAACTGGATATAAGGATATACAACCACACGAAAAAAACAGTATCAAAAAAAGGCAGATCATTGGTTTTATTGCAACGGTAAAAATAAATAGAGAATAAAAGCAAAAAAAATGAAACTAATTAAAAAACATTTTGGGGGGAGAAAGGGGGAGGAGGAAGGATAATCGGAAAAGAAAAACGATGTGCAAACAAAAATATCATCGTCGGATTTGGTTAATTTGTGAAGATCACAAAACGAAGAAGCATCCACATATACACCTGGAAGAAATAAATGGACATGGCAGAAAACATATGTTGTATCTGTTTATCTATTTTGTACAGTGCCACCTTTTTTACAGAATGGTTTGGATAAAGTGTATACTTTTTTGTTTTTAGTCACGGTTCAAGCCAAGAAAAATATTGCATGTTTGTATGTGTTTATTCTCATGGAAAAAGCATTATATATTTATTTTATTCATCGGCCGATAAGCAGTGTGAATAAATATAAATAGTTAATTTGTTAACAACATATAAAAAATAACAATAAGAGCAACATCGGAAATTGAATGAAAACAGGTTTGAGTATCATGTGGACTTTATTAAAGATTGCAACAAAAATAAAATAAATTTAAAAAAGTGCATCTGTTTTTGTTTGCATTGTCATTGGTGTCTTGCAAAATTAAACAGGAAATAAGGATGGGAAATATTTCAAAACATCTGCGTGTGGTTTCTGTTTTATTATTTTTTTGCCGGGAATACGGAGCCGAGTAAAATTAAAAAAGACAAACACTGTCTGTTGTGTTCAAATATTTATTCTTTGTTTGGTTCTTTTTTTCGGGGATTCAAAATATTTTTGTTTGCTGAGAAATATATGTGCCGCTGCACTGATTGTCATTGCCGTTTATTTATGACTTGTATTTTTTGTACTTGACTTTGCAAAGGAAGACATTTATGCATGTATGCGGATGTTTCAGTGTGTTTTTGTATTATGCCGCTCAATAATAATGTAATTTACATGTGCTTTCGGTGTTCGGGCTATGAAATTAATGATTTCTATTGGTTGAGGTAATTAAATGGTAGGGGGATAGATGGATTTTGCCACATTGTCTACTTTCGGCCATAGCTGCAGGAACCCGAGAAAACTAATAATAAAAAACACGTTTTTTTGTTTTTTTGTTGGACGATTATCATATAATGACACACGTATGCCCCTCACATTGGCTACATCCCTAAATTTTTTGTTTCAAAGTGTGAAAAATATAGATCCTGATAAAACAGGATATGCAAACGTGATCGCGCTAGTTTTTTAATTCGGAATGTGAAACAAATAGGTTTCTTTAGGGTGTTTTTTTTAATTTTTCTATTTACAATCGCTTATGTGTGCAAAAATAATTTGCATGTGTGCATTGCATGCAAATAATTTTCTGTAATGTCTAAAATTATTTTGGTCTTTCATTCCATTTCATGTCTTATCTTGTCATGTCTTGTGGTTGTATGCATGAGGTATATATGTTGTAAAGGCCATTAATGCATTATAATGCATATTTTAGGAAAGACAGACATTGTGAATGAGAAAGACACGAATGAATGGTTGAATTTCGGGACAAGGGGAGGGGATTACTACATGCCGGGACGTGTATTACATTTACAATTCACAATTCATAGTTCATAATTAATAATTAATAATCTGTATTATTTTGTCAGGTAAATAAAAAAACTCACAGACAATTATGTCTATTATTGAATCAAAAAACAACAATTGAAAATTTTAATAACATGAATGAAGGTTCAAACTGTTTTCTCTAATTATTTTAGTACCAGCCGATAAACCTCTAATAAATGTGTTAATTTTTATAGGATAACCGGCGCATATCATGAAAATCATTATTCACATGTATGTTTTCATTTTTTTAGAGGATTATGCTATACGGACATCGGAAAGAAGCGAGAGGCGGAAAATTATCTTAAAAACTGCTGCTAAATCGTGCAGCAAAATAGTACCCATTGTCAATAGCGCTTTGGTGATTTTTTTGGTTTCTCATCCCCCAATATTTATTTACTACTTAATTGCTGGTTTTAATGGCCGAAAAAATGTAAACATTGCATATGTAGTTAATGTTGGTAGAAAATAAACACCAACCCCTTGTTTTATTTTATTAGGGAAAGGGGGATGTTCATGTCCGGCGAAATGCAATTTAGACAAGCACACCGTACCGCATGGTGCATAAAGGCACGCATGGTTCAAAACAAAAATCGACGCCAAATTGAAAATTCAATTTCAAGCAGAAATAATGCGGAGAACGATTACCTGTATTGCACAATCAATACACACACATGCGCCTCATAAAGCCCAGACAACATAGTAATATTTCAAACATGTGATGGTAATAACAAATGATAAAAATAAATCGTCAAGTAGTTTTTTGTTAATGTAAATATACAAAAAAAGGGATAGAAAGAAAACTTGAAATTTATTGGCCAATAGGAGGCAGAGGCGGCAGCTTGCGCTGCTCTGGCGGGGCATTGAGCATATCCATGAGCGACATCGAGCGATGCACAGAGACATTGCGAGGAGTGTGAGAAGCAGGCATTGACGAAAGCTCGTCAACATTGGGATTCAAGGGCGCCACCTCTGCAGCCGGCCTATCAACGCAAGGACGAACCATACGAGGCAGCTGCTGCTGCTGCTGGTCGTTCCTGTACAAGTACTCAAGGTTCGAAGGAGCAGTCCGGTTAAACCACATATCGTTACGAGTATGTGCAAACTGTCTATCATTGCTCATTCTGATCCCCTTATCAGTAAACTCGGCCAGCTTATGCAACGGCTGGGAGGAGCTATGCCCATTAGTCACATACTGGCTACTGCTGGATTCCTGGCGCTTGTGGTCAAGGTCGCCCAGATCCATGGCGGCAGACGGCAAGGAAGAAAGCGACGGAAGCTTATTGACAATGCTTCCAGCTTCAGTCTTCTGCTTCGATTGCTGGTGCTCGTAGTTATTATCGTAGTAGCTGTACTGTACGTGCAAGCCGCCAAGTGCCGAAGCCGTGATGTAACCAGTGTTGGCAGGCTTAGCAATAGCAGCCCTTGGCTCGCTCTTCCACACGGGCGTTGTGACCGCAGTCATACCGCCATCACTATTGTTTCTCGACTCTGTTAGGGAGGAAGTAGTGGCAGCAGCGGCAGCCACAAGCGCCATCAGCTGATGCTGCTGCTGCTGCTGGGGGTGTCCCGAGGTCAAGGGCGAGTACCCGACGGTCGGCGACGAAGACTGTGATGATGAAACCGACGGCGACGCCGACCCACGGTTATGCTCGCTCTCGGACAACGGCGACAAGCTCCTGGATCCCTTCATAATACCGGTACCAGGTCCGGCCATCGACTTTGTATTCCGGCTATGGTTGCCGTCGCGCTGGCGGCTGGCCTGGCGCTTGTTCTGGAACCAGATCTGAACCGTCCGTGGGGTCATCCCGAGCTCACGCGCAAGGCTGTTGCGCATATCTGTGGGCGGGAATGACGTGTTGGCAAATACCTTGTTGAGGATCTCGAGTTGCTGCGGGCTGGCGCGCTTGCGCTTGCCCTTGAGCGGCGGCGGCGACATGGAAATGGATTGAAGGGAGGAGAGGTCACGGTTATCCAGAGCGTAGTGGTAGGGGTGGGAAACAGAGCTTGATGGGTGGTGAAGCTGCTTGTGTCCGTGGTTGTGGCTGTGGCCGTGGTAGGCCGTGTGCTGTGCCTCGTGGTGCGCTGCTGACATGGCTGTGTTGGGTGCCGGCAGAGCGTGGTGGTGCTGGTAGTGGTGGTAGCTGTGGTAGCTCCTGCTTTGGCTGCCGTTGCCTTGGCTGTTTGGCGTGGCGGCTTCAAAAATCATGGTGTCCCGGTGAGCGTTCATTTTGTGTGTGTGAATGTGGAATGGGAAAATATATATACGATTGTGCAAATAAAATCTATTTCGAGGTTAATAAAATTTTTACTTTATGCACCAGCCGGCAGGTATTGGGTGATTTTGTCTAGTGTGCGCGGCAAAAATGTGATGACGGGGGAATGGATAAAAAAGTCAATGACTTAATATAAAAGAAATAGATGAAGGAGAATCAAAAATTAAAACAAGTGCAGCTTAATACTACGTAAGGGTAGAATAATATAATTTTTCACAAAAAGAGAACAATAAGTCGCAAATAAAAATGGGGTAGAGTACAAAAGAAAGAAAGGAAATATATTTTTTGTGCGCCCGTGATAAAAAAATACAAAAACGGCACTTGCTCAGAAGAAATGAAATGAAAAAAGGTTAGAGATATGTAGGATGGAGAAGTGACTTTTTTAAGAGGCTGTCGGTAAATAAAAAATATAGCGTTACAAAAAAATAAAAGATTTTGGACTTTTTTTTCGAGAGAGCAGAGGTCTGACCTTTTATACCTGCATCCTGACACACAACCCTCCCAGTGCTGATTTCTAGTTGGTCATGCACATGCAAAAAGTCTCTGGAGCAATAAACAACGAAATTATAAGAAGAGAGGGGGTGCAGCGAGGGTGGGTTGAGTGGGTGGGTAATAGGGGGAAAGGGCCACTCACAAAAAAGCAGCCAAAATAAAAATAAGCGGGTCTAATATGAGTTCTCAGAGCCCCTAGCCTACCATGCTCTCGCACTGGACGAAAACCAAAAAGGCACCCTTTTTCCTTGCGTATTTTGCCTTGTCCTCATTCCCTTTTTTTGTTTTCCATACCAATATGCTGCCGCCAAAAAAAGCAAGGGTGAGGAGGGGGTAGGGAGGGGGAAGGGGTAGGCTCTGTGCCTGGAGGGAGGGATGTGATGAGGGAGATTGGGGGGTGGTCTGCTACCATCCTATCGGACAAGACGAAATTACAATAAAAATAACACGAGGTAATCTCAGGTGTGAGGAAAAAAAGAGAGGGGGGAGGCTCGGTGGGAGCGTTAATACAAGAGGTTCGTTGCCTCCTGCTCAATTTCGGAAAAAAATTAAATAACAACTGTAATGGGTGGATGGATGGGATTATCCTCGCGAACAAGAATGTAATAAAAAACAGGTTATTCGCCTTTTTCAGCAGTTCTGCCATCGATATTATTTTTCTTGGGACTCACACTCTTTTGTAGGTGCATAAGGGGACACGCGAATACTTGTTATGTTCCTCCTTTTTAGCCGCAACGAGATTCGCAAAATGGCGGGAGTAGTGAAAATGGAAGGACGCGCATCCAGCCGCCTGTCCTGCTTTCATTGACATGCGTCATAAAGAAGTGTGCATTATCATACATTGCGGCTGCTTGGCTACTTTCTGCCATTCAAAAGGGAGGGAATTGGTAGTTGCAGTGGTACCGGCAGTGGCACCGGGAGCGACGAGCTGAAATGGTGCTCGGATTTAGGTTTGGGGTTTTGATTGGATTCGATTGCATTGCATTGGATTGGGTGCAGGTGGCAATTGAAAAGGTGCAAAACAAATTATTTTTATTTCATTCCACGCTGTTCCATTTATTCATCACTTTCTTTACATGTTAACATTGCCCCCCACTTCCCTTTGGCCCGCTCACCCACTCACTCTTTCCCCCCGCACTTTAACAATATTGTTTAAAAAGAAAATATAAACAGGAATTTAAATTGGGCATGTGTTTTGAGATAAACTAGTAAATCTTGCTACTGTCATGCTTCATTTCTTTGCTCCCGACATTGCAAAGGGTATGCAAATCCATGTCACATTTTCCCTCAGTTAAATAACTTTCATTATATCACACATGGGGTTGTGTACATTTTTTAGTTGCTTTGTACTATTTGCCTTGGTCCTAGGCCTTTGCGACAATAAAATGAAGCACATGGCCACTTTATTTTTCATATTATTTTGCTGCTCACCTGTAGAAATATTGAAAAAATGCACTCAAAAGCTAATAAAAATAATTACAAGACTTATTTCCATTGTTGTTTAATTCGATACCATACATCTTTCATATTTTCCGCGTAATTGCAATTTAAAAAATCAGATGTTTGCAAATATAAATACACGCATTGGAAACCTTTGCACAATTAAAGTTTTTTTTAATTTTTATATAGAACAAGGTAATCCATGGCACCAATATATTCAATTAATGCATATTTGAAATACAAATAAAACATTTTCAAGTGTATGCTCAGCTTGCCCAATAAAATAATCAATGTGAAGTGCATGCGAATAAATTTTTTTGCCAACAAATTATATTTTTCATAGCGAGGGAGCAATTTCCGTTGTCTCATGGTTTTTTTGCTTTCAATCTGCTGCATTACAATGTACTCCAAAGCTGTAAATACATTTTGCGCACTGCAAATAGAAACCTTTATTCATTAGCCATATAGTTACAAAGACTGAGCAATACAAATATATTTAAGCACCATGGTACAGAAGTAAAAACAAACTGCATTGTTAATATACACGGGTATAACATGGTACGGTCATCAATTCCATGTGCGCCATATTATGCTTTTATATCCCTATCTATTATTTTTCAACATAAGCCAGCTAAGGCTGACAAAAAAGGATATACTTTCCCCTATATTTTCTATATGCCAATTACATTAGCTACTGATACAACAATGCTGCTTGAAACACTGCATTCCTACATGGACTAATGCGCTTGTATGATTGCATCTTGATAAATAAAGGCATTAAAAATACCATTTTAAAAGCCAAGCTAAAATAAGCCGTGTAGATGCAGGTGTAAAAATGCAAGTCTCACTGGCCAATTTTGTTATTTTTTACTTACACTCTGGCATATAGCATGAAATACTGGATCATGGATATCTATTATTCAGAATTACATTTGAAAATAAAAGAATTGAATCTCAAGATATGAATACCGACATCAAGCAATGTATCAAGCTTTGCTTCTTACAAGATTTTGTCGAGGTTTTTCCTATTTGTTAATAACTATATATACACTATACAAAAATGCCTGCTTATTTTTTGTGCTTGTTAGCTTTAGTCCCTGTTAATTACTTTTCTATATACGGTTTATAACATGAGATGCAATCAATATGACGCCACTTTCTATTCCCCAGGCATTGTAAAGGTATTGCCACATTGCGTATTTCTATACAAGCTATGATGTGGCAAAAAATAACTGCTTGGATTAATACCTTGCATTTAATACCCTCTCTATTTGCATTATTTTTCCGTAACTTATTTTTATTAAGTGATGCGAATTACAACAAATTACAAGCTCTTTAATATAAACTATAATGACAAATATATGGGAAAATAGCCGTATTTGTTTACAATTAGCGTGTGCCAATGGCAGAAGGCTAAATGATGCCAAGGAAACATTTTTATTATTTCAAAAACAGCCGAGTATTCATCACTGTTATGCAGTCATTTAAGTGTAAACGTATTGACTCTGTGCATGCATTAATTAATTAATTATTCAAAATTTTGTATTTCTGTATCCAAATGCATATTGGTTTTTTGTTTAAATATTCTCAAAAATTAAAGGGCCAAGATGTCGCATCTATACAAATCTTACTCAAGGATTTGGTTCAATAAACAAGCATTGTATCTACTTTTATATATTCAAGGAAAAACTACTGAACAGTAGAATTATGCAAGTAATTGTTTTTATTATCTCAACATAGAAAATAAAAAATAAAAGTGAAATGAATAGTGAATTTGTGCATAGCGGTGCAGGTTTATGTGCATGCCGTCACAATTGCTGTCTATTTGGTCACAGGGCAATGCAAAAAATAAACAATGCAAAAAGGAATGTCTGTCTTTTTGTGTGTGTATGCCTGTGTCTTTATGTTTTCTTCCCCCTTTTTTAAATTAAATAGTAATTGTGATTATTCGAATATTGGTTGCCATAGCGCATAGTGCTCCATTGTTAGAATGTAAAGGTGCAGGGATCGTAATGTCACACTATGCGCAATTGTCAAATAATGACAAAAATATTAAACCATTTGGCAAAAAAATTATTTTTGGATATCATTTACAATCAATGCGTAAGAAAACAGGGACGGGGCAATTTCTTTTTTAATCATCGCATTCAATTGTGCACAAAACAACCAGTTTTGTTCTCGAAGCTGTTCAGTAGAAAAAAGGGACTGGATACCAGTTTTTTATTTGTTAAAATTAAAATAAGCAAGTTACCAATACAAGAACACTGGGACACAAACACTAAACAAAGATTAAGAAAAATAATTACTGCCTGCTATTTTTCTGAGTTTTCCGAAAACAAAGGATTATAATTTTTATATGCGTTTTTATAATTTACGTCATTATTCATATCGTCTTTAATACTATATTAATATCTCGTATAGGGAATCGACAAATCAACAAATAATAGACAATAAAAAACCAGGGATTGATTTGTCAAAACTCAGTAGCAAGTGTATACGCCATTCTCATAGAGCGGGCGCGCCCTGTACATCTTGAAAATATATCCTTGCTGTTCTCGACCTTCTTTCGACAAACAGTGTCCATATTTTTGTGCTCCGCACATGCGCACTCAAAGGACTCGAGTAAGGCGGCGTGTCTGCTAGCCACCCTACAAAAATCGGGGGATCTATCCATAGTCGGATTCCTATACAAATGCTCATTCCACCAGCTGCACTGTTGAGACGGTACAATCGACGTGGAAACGAGGTGGATCGACAGATCAGTGAGATATAAAATAACCATCTTGGCGTGGTCCAGCTTCTCATCATCCACGGGAACAAAACAAATGGTTCAATCTGGTGTTGGTACAGGTTGGAATAGCAAATACCGCTGCCTTCCTTGATTTTTATGCCGCCAGCTCTCTGGGAGCAATCCGCATGCTTGTCCTCCCTGTTGAGCTCATACTAAAAGTTTATGGCCCTGCGCGTTGAGTCCATGGGGCAATCCTTGCGCTGGATTGTCTCGCAGAACTCCATTTCCACATGTTTGATGGCCTTTGTTTCATAACAGTAGCTAGCAGTGGCAACAGTCTGGTCAGAATTTCCGCCATCAAGATGCCAGTCGCAGTCGTCATATTCAGGGACTTCTTCCATTAGGTATATGTCAAACATCTCACCACTACTTGGAAGTTGCAGTCACAGGGCTAGTTGGAATAGGGGGTCTTCTGGGCTCGACAAACAGCTGCAGGTTGAGCTTTGAATCTTGGGATAGTGGTGCCACTCGTCATATTCAGCCTCAGATATGTACGAGTCTTCAGAGTTGTCAGAATCATAACAAAAGGTGCCCCTATAGTCTCTATTCCAACAAAATTCGGAATCGCTGAGGTTCTCCTCAGTGTAATACTTATCATGGTACCTAGTGAAATGGCCTTGCTCATCCTTATCCTTAGCCTCATCCTCGGAACATGAGGATCCGCCGGGGCTTCCCCTTACCACCGTCATTGTCAGCGAAATCCACGGCTTTACCGCCATTGTCCCAGTCAGAATCCTTCTCAGAGGCATACTGGCTCTCGTATCCATCATTGTCATATTTGGGTTGGCAGATTTGTCCAGTGCAGCCCTCCTTGTACAGACAAACGTAGTCCTCAAGATTGATACAGCCATGTAGGTCCCGCGGGTGCTTTAAGTTAATGAGCACTTGCTCGACAAGCGGGACACACCTTGCAATAACTTTGGAAATGGTATCGTACGCGGCAGAATGCTACACAGGGTGGAGGTTGTTGATGTACGATCTGATTTTGACGGTGCCATCAGGGTTGACGTAAATGTCAGCGGGCAGCCAGCGGTGGGTGTTGCTGTTGACAGATTGTAGATGGCCCAAGTCAAAGGGGATAAACGCCCTGAGGCCATGGTCAATAGATCTGGCCATGCGCTGGTTGACCTCGCGAACTGCCCTGACCCACTTTTTTTGCGATCCGAAACCTTGCCAAAGTTTTCAAGCTCCAGGGAATCCTCGGGTAACGTCATCGGGGTTCTAGAATTGCTAACTTTCTGAATATCAGTGGGTGAGGGTATGGGTCGGTTAGAGAGATCTCGGCGTGCAAGTTGCCGCCAAACAGCTTGTCTGGAGTAGGTTTACCGTCGTTGTATGTGCTGACTTTTCCAGTAGTTGCGCATTGCCTGAAAACCTCGGATCATTCTCCAACGCACTCGCCACATTTTTCTTGAACTCTATAGCGAGCGGGCCATAATTCAGAATGTGGCGCGTCCACATCATATTGGTTGCCGTCACCTTCACGGCACGGTCAATACCGGCGGCCTCCAGCTTGGCGTAGCACTTGAGCTCATCGATAGCGCAAGCAAACTCCTCCTTGGTCAAGCTGTGCCACGCATTACAACTATTAAATGCCTGTTTAAGTGCACGTTGGCAGACAGTTGGCTGGACCAGTTCGGGGTTTCGAGGAATTTGTTGTTGCCTTAATAATTTGATTTTCGGAAAACGTCTTCCACTCGGCAATGTATGCCTTGAAAGGCAAAAGCATGCGGCGTTTCCCGGCAGGATATTTGTAGTTAAGAAAGCACGCCTTGGATTTCAGCGCGGAAAAAATGAGGTATAGGAATGCAACGGTATTTGAAATTCAAATAACAAAATAATAGATAATCAGCGAGTGAAGACAAAAATTTAAAGTCAGAAAGAATGCATGATTTTAATAACAAAATATTATGTGCAATTGAAAAAGATTAAAATTAGTAGAATCAACGAAACGTGAGAACTGTAAGCAGTCCAAAAAATCAAAATCCATAATATTGATTATTGCCGTCTGAATAAGCTAATGCGTTAAAGCTCGCAGTGCAAAATGCTCAAGCGCGTGCTTGTGATGACTGTGGTGATGAAGGCTTTTTGGTCGCGCGAGCTGCCAGAGCTCATGGCGGGTCTATTTAAGCATGTCAAGACAAAGGTGCCGACCACAGAGAGGCCGACAAGGCGCTGCTAATGATCCGGTGCACAATTGAGAGGCTATTTGGACATCTGCTTCAAGTCCGAGGAGGCCGCTCTGTTATTGCTGCTTTCGTCCAGCACCCCCTAGGGATCCTCGCCATCGTCGTGCCCCTGCCTTACAAAATAAACTGCCAATTGCATTATTATGCGCGCATATGGTTACTGTGCATGATTGACAATTGTGATTAACATTGCATCAGTGATATATCAAATTAATAACCTTTTTGGTTATCTTAAAATGTATTACAAACACAAAAAAATGACTCAATCGATAAGAATGAATACCGCCTAACCAATGAATGCTGACTGGAACAATCAGATAATTTGATTCACAAAAACTTTGCAAATGCCTATTCTAACTGCACTCTGTTCCCGGCCTTTTTTACAATAGCGTAATAGTACAATAGCACCAAATGTAAACAAACATTGGAAAAATCAGGGACAACCAAAGACAAATGAAGAGACATGGCGCTTCGAATTATATAAAATAATTAGAAATACACGTTGCCAGTAATGCCACCCGAATAACAGCAGCGTTAACATGGTGACAATAGGCTGAACTCATAGTTCTCGCAAATGTAACAAAGTGTGCGTTTGCCGGCGGCAATATGAAGAAAACGCAGTTGAAAGTCACTATAGAGTGCGACGGCCAATGGGAATGATGGCTCTCTCACATGTGGGATCGGCATTTAAAACGAGGAATTGTCGATGACATCAGCCCAATATGGTTGATAATAGCGCCATCCTGGTATTTGATACATATATGTTTACACGCCATTGGTCTCAACCATGATTCGTCTCCAACTTGTGTCGCTGGTCATAGCCATGAAAGCACGTGGATACCGAAAACCAGTTGATAACAATGATCTTGTATATATTTGACGTGTCCTGTTGCATTGTCCTTGTAAATAGAAAGCCATATTTTGCCTTGTAAGAAAAATTCATTCCGAGTTCACACTCTCGGCCATGTCTTTTCTTTTCGCCGAATACTATTTTCCCATGCTTCAGCGAGAAACAAACTCCGCCGCAAATTGGCTTGCTCGTTGCGCCATTTTCCCTTCCGAAGAAATAAAATTTTCACTTTGCCAGCCCGAAACCAAGCGAAAACAATTATTTTCTTCTTTCTTCCCACCAACATCCCAAGTTTCCAAACATTTAAAAAGAACTCGCTCGCCGCATCCTCCTCTCTGACATCCCGTCCCACTTTTTTCCACTAGCACAGCACAAAACAGCTTTACTTTGGTCTCACACTTGCCCACGTAGTCTCTACTTTAGCTGCTCCCATCTTAAACTCCAACCCCAACTCCAACTACCTAACATTTTATTTTATACTTCCACCTCTACTTCTACTCCCAATTCCACGCCTATTTGGCTTTATTTAAAATTATTCTGTATATTTTTTCGGTTTCTATTTTTTATTCGACATGCTCGCCAAAAGACCGCACGAGGACACTCCTTCTGGATCGTCTCCCAAGAAGCAGCGCATTAAATACATAATACATCCGGCTGACGACAACAAAAACAACAGCAGCAGCAGCGTCGGCCGCAAGAGGTCAATCGAAGACACCGAGAACGATCCCCCTTATAAGAAGGGAAAGGCGCACGCAACGCCCACAGACAAAGACACTCCTGCTCAGCCCGCCAACAACAATACTATTCCTCAGCCCACTGGGGGGCCGAGGGAGGGTGTCAACGGCGTTGATTCTGAGAGCGATTTTGTCAATCATATGTGCGACTTTATGGCCACGCACAGGTCTATTACCCCGGTCCAAGGTAAGCATCACATTCTTTTTTACATTGTACTGTCACTTTTTTTGCAGCCGCGTATATGTTTATTAATATCTCTGAAAAAGCCGATGTTGAAGTTTAAATACATTTGGTATCATTATATTTTTATGTACTGTAGAGGACAATACTCAAGAGCTTGAGCAACCTGAGGTTGTAGAGGACGTTGAAGACGTTGGGGAGCAAGAACCTGAGGATGTAGAGGACGTAGAGGAGCAAGAACTCGAGAACGGCGCGGATGCTAACAAGCAGAATGAGCTCGACATCGCGCAGTCATCTCTGCCATTGCCGTCTCCCGGAACTCTGTTCATCCGCGCCAGCACCGAGCCGCTGCCGCCACCGGGCCTTGCTTTAAATCGGGAAGGCTCACCACCGTCTCCTGGACCTTCTTTCATCCGCTCCAACTCTGAGCCACTACCATCGTCTGGTTCTGCATTAGTTCGGGAATTCTCACCTCCCTCTCCTGGACCGCTCTTTATTCGCTCCAGCACTGAGCCGCTGCCGCCGTCGGGTCATGCTTTGGGCCAGACATACTCACCGCTGTCTCCTGGACCTTATTTCATCCGCTCCAGCTCAGAGCCACTGCCATCGTCGGGTGTTTCTTACGGATATGCCAGCACTGTACAGCCACCATCGCAGGACAATGCTGACAATTCTGAGCAAGAAGATAGTTCTAGCGTAGAGCTTGATGCACCGCTGCGGCTGTCCGCCAAGGAATTAGACATGGCATACAAGGATGAAATCCTGAGCAAAGCAATGAGCTACATGTGCGATGCTGAGCCTAAAGTCGTTAACCTGGCTGAGCCCGAAGTTGCAGTCTATCGAGAAAAAGCAGCAGCTGTTGCCGGCAACGTCTGCATGGCAATGCATTATTTCAGGACCAGCAGCAGTTTGGACGACTCCATACCCGTGCTTGCGAGCCTTATCGAGGACGAGTCTACTCGGGCAATCGAGCTCGCCCACTCGGCCCATGATGATGTCCTTCGCCTGGCAATTGGTCTCGAGGAGGACAGTATCTTGTTTTCGCATTGGGCAGATGCAGAAGCACTTGGCAGCGGCGCTGGCACTGGTGCTGCCTACACGGCCGAGCACTCCATATTTTCGGGCGCTGAGGCAATCATTATGTTTGTTGCTCGCCTCCTCGAGGGCTTTAACAACCTCTCCGAGGACAATCAAGATTTCCCCAAGCTACGCAGGTTGCTTCTCCCATCCTTTGCAATTGATTTTGAGGCGGCGGATGCTCAGGGAAATGGCCGTCTTGTCCTTGGTCTTGAGGCCAAGTCAATCGCCAATGTTCTAGCCAACAGCTCCAATTCAGCGGCCAGTGGAGTCTCGGAGTATGCTGAAGTTAGCGATGAGTGGTACGCCGGTCTGTTTGCCGCCATCGAAGTCAGGCCGGGAATGTTGGAAAGTGACGAGGAAGACGCCAAGCTCCATCTGGCCAAGCGCTCTCGCAATATCTATCGCACTCAGCCCAACCGCCGCTTCCTGTGGGGTCTGACAATATGCGGCAGCTTTGTCCGAGCGTACTTGTTTGGGCCAAACTTTGTCCTAGACTCCGAAGACTTGAACATGGACATCAGTACCGAGGCCGGTTGCAACGAGGTCATCAAGATGTTTGTTAATCTGTCCTTTACCGAGGACTACCGGCTGGGCTATGACCCAACCATTAAGCGCTTGCATGACCTCGATTGCTGGGAGATCACGGTTCCCATGACCTCCGCCAACGGCAGAAGAAGCACCGGCAGTTGCACATATTATAGCAACAAGGTGCTAGAAGCCGACGATCACATCCTTGGGTCGCACAAGCGGCGCTTTTTGGCCACTATGGCTATGCCCACCGCCGACGAGCCCATTCACGACGAGGGGTGCACGGCGGTTGTCCACGATGTGTGGTCTGAGCTACTAAGACCTGTTCGCAAAAACTTTTGCGACGATGACTTTTGCGATGAGATTCACTTTCTGAAGCAGATCAACGGCGATTTCTTAGGGAACATGGAGCTCAATGGCACCTACCCGGTTCTCGCTGAATGCGGAATTGCGCGTTTTAAGTGCGGACCTCAACAGAAGCCTGCCGACGACACGAATTATGGCATCCTCGGCGACCTTTACGACGAGCCCTCTAACCCCCTCGGCACCCCTATTACTGGTTGCGTACACAGGCGGTATGTGACTGGACTGATTGGCTCTCCCCTTACTGAGATCACCTCTGCTGGGGATCTGGCAGCCGTTGTCGTGGATATCATGGAGACATGCCGCCAAATATATGCAGTGTCCGGGTACGTACACTTGAATCTGTCTCCAGATACAATGCGGTTCCGCCGTCTGGAGGATAACAGTATCAGGGGGATGCTTTTGGGCCTTGATTGTCTTGCCAGAAGGGAAAAACCGAGTGCTGCTCATCCCAATGGCAATCTTGGCACACCTCAATTTTTGAGTGTGAATGCCATTGAGCGCAATTCAAACCCATTGACCGAGCTCGACGAATGGGAGTCGCTGATCTACGTTCTGCACTCTGTGGTGCTGCACAGGTGGAAGCGCCTTGTCGAGACCGAGACCAAGACTGATGCTGATGTCGGGATCGACACCGAGCTGGACAATAATCTGGCGTATCTCAAGCGATGGGACGAGAAAACCAAGTCTTTCGACTCCAGTGCCAAGCGCGAGTGTTTAGACAATAGCGCCACTTTTGCGCGTTATTTAAATACCCTGGACGACACCATTCCCGGGTGCAGAGAAATCAAGGAGTTGCTGAGTGACTTGCGCGGAGCTCTTATTGAAAGCCGCTGCTATCACAAGGACGCCGTTGGCGCGTTGATTCGGGAGAGAAAATCCAAGGAGGTTGACCCATTTAGCGAAGACCCTGTGGATTTGTCACCGATGGTTGATCCGTTCCGAATTCGCGCTGACTGGGTTATCCAAATTGCCAGCAGGCTGAAAGATATACTTGCTTTTTATGCGGCCAACTTGGGCTAATGGTCCGCGCCCTAAGAGCTGAATACTAATTTAGTTATAATTTTAATTTATTATTATCATATAGTTCAATTCAATCCAATATTATATTATATTAGCCTGTACTCCAACTCGTGTGCAATGGTTAAGGAATGATCGGATTAGCTGGCAATCCACAAGAGCCCATTGTTTCTAATAACCACGCACGCCCCAGCGAAAGAAAGCACTGTTGTGATTTTATTTCAAATTGCGGGTAATGTGCGCTTATACCGCAGCGGCACTATGCAAAAAATAGGCATGCGGTTAATTCTGATCTCCCAAAATATAGCAACCGGGGCAATTGATTGCAGTCGAATCAACAGCACCGATCCCCCACCTGGTTCAAAGCATCTATTATCTCGACAGCAACAAAATACTCCAAAAGGTTCATTTTGCAATATTTTCTGGCCAAAAACATCCACAAATGATCTCGCTCAGCATTCGCACCCACATCCGCATCCGCATCCGCCAACAACAGCAGCAGCAGCAAAAGCAGCAGCAGCAAAAGCAGCAACAGCTTTGCTGGGCCAGACGCTACGTCAGCAGCACCAGCACCAGCACCAGCACCAGCACCAGCACCAGCACCAACAGCATTGACCGGTCATCCGACACAATCTACGCACTCTCAACAGCACCCAGCAAATCCGCCATCGCCATCGTGCGTCTCTCCGGGCCACGGACGCAGCTAACGCTCCGAAAAATGCTTCCCCATCCACCCCGCCCTCGACAAGCACAGCTGACGCGGATCCACCACCCAACGGACCGCACAAACACGCTCGACCGCGGGCTCTGCCTTTTCTTTCCGTCGCCCAACTCATACACGGGCGAAGATATGGCAGAGCTGCACGTGCACGGGGGCACCGCCGTCGTCGGCGCCATCCTACAGGCGCTCGGGAGCCTTCCCGGGATGCGGCTGGCGGAGGCGGGGGAGTTTTCGCGGCGGGCGTTCGACTCGGGCAAAATGGATCTGACCGAGATCGAGGGGGTGGCGGACCTGGTCAACGCGCAGACAGAGGAGCAGCGGCGCATGGCTGTGCGCCAAGCCGGCGGCGAACTGCACCGGATGTACGACCGCTGGCGCACGCAGCTAGTCGGCGCGCGTGCGCAGATGGAGGCCTTTATAGACTTCAGCGAGGACGAAAACATCGAAGACGGGGTCGTCCCCCAGGCACGTGCAGGGGTGCAGGTGCTGGGCGCGGCGGTTCGCCGGCATCTGGATGACCGGCGGCGCGGGGAGCTTCTGCGCGACGGCGTCGAGCTGTGCATCGTCGGGCCGCCGAATGCCGGGAAAAGCTCGCTGCTCAACCGCTTGGCGCTGCGCCAGGTCGCCATCGTGTCGGAGGTTGCCGGGACGACGCGCGACATTGTCGAGGCTACGCTGGACATCGGCGGCTTCCCGGTGGTTATCAGAGACTCGGCGGGGTTACGCGAGACCACGGGCGACGCCGTGGAGGCCGAGGGCATACGGCGCGCGGTGGAGGCTGCGCGCCGCGCCGACGTGCGCGTTGTGGTGCTGGATGCCGAGCAGGCGATGCGGGCGCGGAGCATTGCCGATGCCGTCAGCCACCCTGCGTGGCTGGAGCTCATTGCGATGCCGCACACGTTCGTGGTGCTGAACAAGGTGGACAGGCCGGCGGTGCGTGGGTGGGCGCCGCCGCCTGGCTTTTCGCCGGGGCTGCGCCCGGCGCTGGTCTCCTGCGTTACCATGGAGGGCTGGGATGCGCTGATGCGGGGGGTGGCGGCGGATATCCGCGGCACATGGGGCAGCCACTCGTCGGCTGCTGCGTCGATGCCGCTGACGAAGGCGAGGCACAGGGAGCACCTGGTGCGGTGCATGGGCCACGTCGACGCGTTTGAGCGCTGCGAGGATGTTGTGCTGGCGGCCGAGGAGCTGCGCCATGCGGCGGATGCGCTGGGGCGGATCACCGGTAGGGTGGGCATCGAGGACGTGCTGGACGCACTGTTCACGCAGTTCTGCATCGGCAAATAAAACAAAGCTTGTTTTTTGCGAGAAAAGAAGGGGCGAGAGAATCAGGGGGGCAATCGGGTTATCTTTTTTCTTTTCTCTGGGGGGTTTTTTCTTCTTCGCAATTCGCCTCTTTATATAATTGTTTCTAATTCTTGCATTTCCGAACAATGTTTGCAGCCAAACAGCTCCAGCTCCAGCTTCAAATTCAAATTCACGCCCGCTGCTCCTTGCTGACCTCCCCCAAGGGCGCCGCTGTGCCCCCAAGGGCGCTCTTCCACCATGCCAGTGCCCGGGCGTCCGAGCCGCGAGCGGCCTTTGGTGGGCTCAAGCCTCGCACCTCCGGCTTCAAACTCCCAGGCACACGCCCCCCACGCAGCAGCCCCAACAGCCCCCACCAGAGCCATCAGCAGCCAACGATCCCAGCAATTCCGCGCAACAAAGCCATCCTACAGGACCGGATCCAGCAAAAGATCCAACAGAGGCTGACACAAGTACGGCAAGAGTCCGCCAGCAACGCACAGGAGAGATCACCACGCGACGACGAGATAGTCTTCCCGATGATTACGCTGATCACTGAGGACGGGACCATTTCGGGCACGCATCCGCTCCGCCACGTGTTGAGCACAATGGACCGCAGTGAACACACTTTGGTGCTGGTGGATCCGCAGAGGTCGCCGCCGGCCTGCCGCCTGTTCTCGCGCAAGCTTCTTTATGAGAGGGAGAAGCAGGCGAGGAAGGCGAAGAAAGTGGCCATGCGAGGGTCGAAGCCCCAGGTTGTCACTATGGGAGAGGGTATTGGGGAGCATGATTTAATGGTGAAGATGAGGAAGGCTGGGGAGATGCTGGCGAAGGGGAAGAGGGTTACGCTTGTTGTTGAGCGGAAGCGAAGCGAGCGGGGCGTGGAGAAGAGGGCGCTGGTTGGCGAGAAGGCACTGAAGGCAGTCGAGGGGCTGGGCGTTGTGTCGGCACCGCCGGTCGTCGAGGGAAACACCTGGTCAGTCACCGTGCAGGGCAAGGTCAAGCAAGAAAGCAAGGAGTAGAAAACATTAGATGATTAAATTAAAATTAAAACGAATCAATTTTTTTGGTGTGACGTAACATCATTGTCTGTGTCTTTATGCGTGTGTCTGACTGTATGCGCATGTGCCCAAAGCATCACCCACCCCATCACAAACAGCTGGAAATCACGCATACAACATACAGGAGGGAGGCACGCATACAACAAAGACAAAATTCAAAACCCCAATCAAATAAAAAATAAACATTTTTTACTCTTACTTGCTTTCTTTCCTTTGTTTTTATTATTATTACTATCATTTAGACTATTGTATTATATTTTTGTATTATTAACATGACTGCAGACACATCTATTTTAACAACAGCCTCGACGCCCTTGCTGCCGCGGCTCCCCGCAGCCACAGAACAGGGGGCGAAGCGACTATCGACCTGGCAGCTACTGGCCGCAACCCTGCTTCTCTGCGGGATCCAATTTGTCTGGACGGTGGAGCTCGGCTACGGCACGCCCTACCTCCTCTCACTCGGGCTCAGCAAACCCTTGATGACGCTAGTCTGGATGGCCGGCCCGCTTTCAGGGCTGATAATCCAACCAATCGTCGGGCAGCTCAGTGACCGCAGCCAGTCTTCATGGGGCCGTCGGCGGCCGTTCATCCTGGGCGGATCCGTTTTCGTTATCTTGTCCGTATTGTGCATCTCGTATGCGCGGGAACTCGGTCATTTGGCGGATGTGTGGTTGGGGTGGGGCGATCGGAGTGTTTTGTTTGCAGTCGGGGGGTTTTACGTTTTGGACTTTAGCATCAATGCGGCGCAGGCGTGCGGGCGGGCATTGGCGCTGGATGTGGCGCCGTTGGAGCAGCAGGGGGAGGTGAATGCGTGGGCCGGGCGGATGCTCAACCTGGGCGGTGTTGCCGGGTACCTTGTTGGGTTCACGGATCTGGCGCGCTGGGGCGTGGGCACTCAGATGCAGGCTTTGTGCCTGGTGGCCCTGGCTGTGTTCACAGTGACCACGGCCGTGTCATGCATTGGCGTGCAGGAGAAGCAAGCTGACGGAGCCTCGGCAGCGGTGGAGTCCGACTGGGGCAGCTTGGCGCGTGGGATTTGGCGTGGCGTCAGGCAGCTGCCGCGGCCGGTGCAGATGGTATGCAATGTGCAGTTTTTCGCGTGGATGGCGTGGTTCCCGTTTCTGTTTTTTGCGACGACCTGGGTGGTCGAGGTGATTGCGCGTGAGGAGCAAGTGGAGGACGCGCGGGACCCGGCGTTTCTCGAGCGGGCGACCAGGGCCGGGTCGTTTGCCATGTTTCTGTACTCTGTCGCATCGCTGGGGCTGTCGCTATTGCTGCCGCTGCTTGTGGGCGAGCGGTGCGGGCTGCGGTGGTGGTGGCGGGCGTCGCTGGTGGCGATGGCGGCGGTGCTGGGGCCGGGCACGTGGATGGCCGGTAGCGTGGGTGGTGCGACGGCCGTGATTGTGCTGATGGCGTTTCCCTGGGCGCTGGCCATGTGGGCGCCGTTCGCGATGGTCGGCGAGTATGTGAGTATAGCGGCGGCGTCGAGAGAAAGTCAGAGCGACGGAGTATCTTTGCTGGAGGGCGGGGCGATCCTGGGCATCCACAATATGTACGTGGTGCTGCCGCAGTTTGTTATCAACGGGGTATCGTCGCTGGTGTTTATGCTGATTGGCCGACAGAGCGGAAATGATCTGCGGTCTGTTGAGTTTTTGGCTTTACAGGCAGTGGCAGCGGCGACGGGGGCGGTTGATGGAGTGGGGGTTGTTTTGAGGATTGGCGCCGGCAGCGCTTTGATTGCGGCATTTTTGACGGTATTTCTGTATGATCAGAGGCAGATGCAAGGCTTCGTTGTTGAGCAAAGGCTTGGGTGAAAGACAAAACAAGCGGCAGTAAAAAGGAAATGAGAACGAGCTTTTTTATATGAAAAAGAGGAAGGGAAAAGGGGGGGGGGGGTTGGTACCATTTGTGATTAAGAAGAAAAAAGTCCGGATTTGACTTTTTTTTCTTTCTTTTTTCCTTCTCTCTTTCTCTCTTCCATTTAGGTTTTCTATTCTTTTTAGCACACTGTTATCATTGCTCATTATCTATTATTATGAAGCTGTCGGAAAAGATCCAAAAGGCCATTGACGGCAAAACGCCGTATTTCTCGTTCGAGTATTTCCCGCCCAAGACCGAGCAGGTAAAGAAAAAAGATAAAAACTAGAAAAACTAAAACCGTTAAAGTTTATGACTAAAAAGACCTACAAACACATATGTACATACATATACATATAAATATAAATATACATATAAATATACACATACACATACACATACACATACACATACACATACACATACACATACACATACACATACACATACACAACACATACACATACACATACACATACACATACACATACACTACACTTACACATACACTTACACTTACATTTACATATACATGTACATGTACACGTACACGTACACATATATACATAAAGCGTATAGGGTCTCGCCAATCTCTATGACCGCATCGAGCGCATGTCTCGCTTGGGCCCACTCTTCGTCGCAGTAACCTGGGGGCAGGCGGGTCAACGTCGCAGCGCACCCTGGAGCTCTGCGGGGCCTGCCAAGGGGCCTTCAACCTGGACACAGTAATGCACCTCACGTGCACCAACATGGACCTCAGCATGCTCGACTCAGCGCTGGCGTCGGCCAAGGCCGCGGGAGTGCGGAATATCCTGGCGCTCAGGGGAGATGCGCCCAGGGGAGATGAGTACTGGACCGCGTGTGACCAGGGCTTCACCTATGCGGCAGACCTGGTGCGCTACGTGCGAAAGCAATACGGGGATTACTTCTGCATCGGCGTCGCCGGGTACCCCGAAGGCCAAGGCGGGGCGGATAAGGAGGAGGAGTTTGGGCACTTCGTCGATAAAGTCAATGCTGGCGCGGACTTTGTGGTTTCGCAGCTCGTGTATGATGCGCAGATCTTCCTTGGCTGGGAGAAAAAGTGTCGTGAGGCGGGGGTCTCGGTGCCGATTATCCCGGGGTCTTGCCGGTGCAGGCGTACCAGTCGTTCCGCCGGCTGGTGCATTTGACCGGGGCGTCGGTGCCAGAGTCGCTGCGCAGTGGGCTGGAGGATGTCAAGGCGAACGACCAGGCGGTGAAGGACCTGGGCGTGGGCCATGCTGTGATGATGGTGAGGGAGCTCCGGGACGCCGGGGTCGGGGGCGTGCACTTGACGACGCTGAATCTGGAGGCCTCGGTGCAGCGCGTCCTGGACGCGCTGGGCGTGCAGCCAGCTGCTGCTGCTGCTGTTGGCGAGGATGCGGCCAAGCCTGCTGCGGCGGCGCAGGCGCCCTGGGCGCCCTGGGGGCGGCGGTGCGCAATTGGGACGATTTCCCGAACGGCCGCTGGGGCGACGCGCGGTCACCAGCGTTCGGCACCCTCGACAGCTACGGCGCAGCCCTGCGGCTCGCGCCGGAGTCCGCCGCCAGCTCTGGGGCCGCCCGCATCAGCTCTCGGACATCTCCCAGATATTCACCAGCTACGTCGGCGGCCAACTGGGGTCCCTTCCGTGGAGCGACGAGCCGCTGCGTGCCGAGACGCAGCGCATCCGCGACGAGCTGCTGCGCATCAACGCGCTTGGGTACTGGACTTTGGCGAGTCAGCCGGCGATAGACGGCGTGGCGAGCTCCGATTCGCTGTGTGGGTGGGGGCCGCGCGGCGGGTATGTTTACCAGAAGGCCTTTGTTGAATGCTTTGTGCCCGGCGAGCTGTTTCCGGAGTTTGTTTCAAGGCTGCAGTCGGCTGCCCCGCGGGTGACGTATTATGCAGCCAACGACAAGGGCGATTTTGTCACCAATGCGGCGACGGGAGAGGGGGTTGGGGAGGCGGTGACGGCGGTCACTTGGGGGGTTTTCCCTGGGAGGGCCGTGGTGGAGCCGACGCTGATTGACAAGATGAACTTTTTGGCTTGGAGGAAGGAGGCCTTTGATACGTGGAGGGAGTGGGCGGAGGTGTTCGTGAAGGGGAGCGAGGAGGAAAGGTTCTTGGCCAGGACTCGAGAGGAGTGCTGGCTCGTTAACGTGATTGACAATGAGTACAAGGACGCGAGAGCATCTGGGACCTGTTCAAGTGAAGAAATCAAGTGATTAACCAATAGAGGTGAGATGGATGGGGGGTATAGCTTTGCTTACGTTTCACTTATTTCCCTTATTTCCCTCCCCCTTTTTCCCTCCCTCCCTTTCTCCCTCTTTATTTTTTTTTATTTTATTTTGCAATATTGTTTATTTGTTTATTTGTTTTGTTGGCCTGTTGTTCTCTCTTACACACACACACACAGGAACCATGTCTGAGCTCAATTCGGCTCCAGCACCGGCGCCAAATGAGAAGGCTGCGCCGGATAGTATCGATACGGTCATCGCAACGACGCACATCGAGCCTCTAGCTAGCATATCACCACCACCGGGCACCAAAGAAGAAGCGGACCAAAAGCAAAAGCAAAGCAAAGCAGAAGCAGAAGCAGAAGACGCAGAGGTAGAGCTAGAAGCAGAAGACGCAAAGGCAGAAGACGCAAAGGCAGAAGACGCAGAGGCAGAAGACGCAAAGGCAGAAGACGCAGAGGCAGAAGACGCAGAGGCAGAAGACGCAGAGGCAGAAGATGCAAAGGCAAGCCAGAAGTGGAGCCAGAGGCAGAAGCAGAAGACACAAAGAGAAAGAAAGAAGACCACAACGCACAAACACAGCAGTCCTACGTACTCAAACACATCCGGTGGCGTGACCCCTGGACCGGGCACACTCTGGACAAGCAAATACTGACTCAGAACCAAAACGGGCCCTGTCCACTAATTGCTCTGACCAACGTACTGATCCTACAAAACAAGCTACAAATCCCCACCGCCACCACCACCAATGGCTCTGTAGCAGAAATAACTGCCGATGCTTTGGCCTCATTGCTGGGCAATTTCCTTTTGGCACAGGATGGTATTTCGGAAGAAACGGTTTCTTTGGTGCTTGGGCTGTTACCGAGTATGAGCCGTGGGTTGGATGTTGAGCTGCGGTTTGCCAATATTTATGATTTTGCCGAGCCTTCTGGGGCCACTGCAGTGTTCAGAGCCTTTGGGGTTGTGCTCGTGCACGGGTGGGTGGCTGAAGGGTCGGCGCTGCCCGTGGTGGCCGAGACACTGCGCTTGTGTGGTGGGTCGTACCAGGCGGCGGCCGAGTACGTGTTTGCGGCCGACGAGATGAGCCACGGCCAAGTGTTGGGCCAGAACCACAGCTATAACAGCATGCACGAGAACCGCCCCCCTGCGGTGTTGAGTCTTGAGGAGGAGGATCGTGTGGGAAGGGCGTTGGCGCTAAATGCCTGGCTGGAAGATACCGCTACGCAATTGACTGGGAGTGGGCTGAGGATGCTCCAGCACCTGCTGCCGGAGCCTAGCCTGGCAGTGTTTTTCCGCAATAACCATTTCTCTACTTTGTTTAGGCCGAGCCAGCAGGGGCTTTTTATGCTGTGTACAGATGAGGCCGTGGCTGCCGACACTAGGGTTGTGTGGGAGTCGTTGGCTGATGTGCACCAGAGCGGCAGCGCGTTTTTCGATGCGGCGTTCTGCCCGATTGATCCCCGTGGCGGCGGCAAGGGCAAGGATGCCGACTATGCGCGCGAGGAGGTGAAGGAGGACACAGCCAATGTCGACGACGACTATGCCTTTGCACTTGAGCTTGAGCGCCAGCAACAAGAGGAGGAGGACCTGAGGCGGAAGAGGCAGTTGCAGGTACGCCAGCAGGACAGAATGCCACCCGGAATGAATGTTGGGCGTAGGAGTAAGCTTTATGCTGTGCCTGAAGTGACAAAGGCTGCTGCTGCTGCTGCTGCTGAGGGGGGGAGGAGGCCGATGGGGAGGTCCCGGTCAGAGGAGAGTTTTGAAAGAAGAATGGCGGATGCTTTTTTGCCACATGAGCCGGCGACTGTTGGAAGAAAAAATGCAAGGGGTGGGGAGCAGCAGCGTCAGCGCCAGCAGCAGCAGCAGCCAAGGGCGCAGCAGCAGCACCAGCACCAGCACCAGCACCAGCACCAGCACCAGCAGCGCCGGAGAGATGAAAAAGCAACTGACAGCGGATGCATTATTTGCTAATTGTAGAAAAAACATAAATGCACAATATTTTTTTTGACCATTCCTCATCTTTCTTTTTTTTTCTTATTTTTCTTCTTCCTTTTCTTCCTTTTCTTCTTTTTCTTTCTCTCCCTTTTGTTTGTTTGCTAATTTCAATTTCAATTTCTCTTCTCTTCTCTTTAACTCTCAGCTTTTTAATTCATTTTTCCAAAAATGACTTCTTCGCTCAATCGTTCGAATGCCACATCCAATCGAACAACCCAACGTCCACTAATTCCGCGACTCTACACACCAACTACCCCACGCGGCCAGCCTCCTTTGCTTCTTCAAATCCCACGTCAACAACAACAGCAGCAGCAGCCGAGTATAATAATTCCGCAAATACAAACAAACAATCTACCCTTGACAAATGGCGGCGACCTAGCGGCACGACAGCAATCGCGTGAAACTCATTTGGGACTCTCCATTATAACCAACCGCACCGGCAGCACTAGTGTTCCCACTGGTGGTAGACTGCCGCCAGTGGGAACACCGGCACTGGCACCAGCACCAGCACCAGCACCGCAGGCAGCAGCTGCTGGTTTGACTCTTTTGACTGGCAGTGCTATTTCGCAACCATCAGTTGGTGATATTGCAGGCCAACTAACCCAGCTGTCTTTGTCCGGACGAACACCAACCATCACCAGCGTTTTAGACGACACTTCGACATCGTTGGTGAATGAGGAGGAGGAGTATGCATTGGCGGATGAGAACATCAAGGTTATGCGTAAGCTCGGAGAAGGCTCCGTCGGCACCGTACATAAAGTGGAGTACTTACCTTTGAGTAAAATCATGGCGCGCAAGCTTATCACCGTTTATCCGGACGAAACCCATCATAAGCAGATACTCCGTGAATTGCGGCTTCTTAAACAATGCCAGTCTCCCTATGTGGTCAAGTTCTACGGCGCGTATCGGTCGGTCGACGATGATGGTCAGTCGATAGCTATTTGTATGGAGTATTGTGAGGGTGGGAGTTTAGAGTCGGTTTATCAGAGAGTGGCCAAGTTACGTGGGCAGATTGGTGAGGGAGTTTTGGGCAAAGTTGCCGTGGCGGTACTTAACGGACTGGTGCATTTGCATTCTTGGCAGGTTATTCACCGGGATGTTAAGCCGTCGAATATCCTGGTGACGGGTCGTGGCGAAATCAAACTGTGTGATTTTGGAGTTTCTGGGGAGCTCGTGGATTCGATTGCGCAGACTTTTGTCGGGACTAGTTATTATATGGCGCCCGAGAGGATCCAGGGAGATCGGTATGCGGTACAGTCTGATGTTTGGTCTTTGGGATTGACCTTGATTGAGGTTTCGCAGAATCAGTTTCCGTTTCCGCCGCCTGGTCACCCGCAGTTATCGGTTATTGAACTGCTCGAGTATATTATTCATATGCCGGTGCCTGAGATGGAACCATTGAGGTTTTCGGAGGAGTGCTGTGATTTTGTCAAACGCTGTCTTATTAAGGAACCCAGTCGGAGACCAACACCGAGTCAGCTACTGTCGCATCCGTTTATTGTAAAAGCTGCTGCGAAAAAACTCGATCTAAAGTCATGGATTGAGCGTGTATGGGGCGTGACCAAGAAATAAATAAATAGTAATAATAGTAATAAAACAGTTTTTGTTTTTCTCTAACAATTCATTGTAATTGATATTAATATTCAAATATATGTATTTTTTACTTTTTGCATTTTTGCATTTTGGGTTTTCATTAAAGAAAATTAGTATTGCAAACAAACAAGCAAGAAATAATACCTTTTTTTGTATTGGTTGATCGCGATCAACTGATTAACCGAGCTTTTGGTTATTTATCCAAAAACGCACTACTTAAAGCCAATACAAAATATACAATTGTGTTGTTGGGCCACTTATTTTTTTCAATATTTGTCTATTTAATGCACGTTCATATATAGTATACACACACTCTCTCTCTCTATACGTTCAACAGAACGTCCCCCCCCCAGAATTAAACACATTGAACCATACAAAAAAAAAGATATTTCAGAGTAAAAAAAGCTATGAGAAAAAAAGAAAGAAAAAAAAGGGAAAGATTAAAGGTAAAAAAAAGGAAAAGCTCAAATACTCATTGACAAGTTTGCAATTAAAAGAGCTAAAGTTGTTGCTGTTGCTGTTGCTGTTGCTGGTGATAGTTCATCTGCTGTTGCTGATAATTGTTAGTTTGGTTATGGTAGTTGTGGTGCTGCTGGCGCTGCTGCTGAGTTCTCAGCATACCAATGACCTGTTCCTGCATCTGCACAGCAGCTTCAGCCATACCTAAGGGCACAAGCTTATTAGGAGGAGCTCTCTGAATCACCGGGGTGCTAGTGATCGACAAGGGGACGCTCATAGCTGTGCGCAGGTCCATCGCCGACGTAGGAGTAAATGGAACCTGTGCAGGAGGGGCATTATTAGCGGCCATCACATTATGCTTCTGCTGATGATGTTGCTGTTGCTGTTGCTGTTGCTGTTGTGCAAACTCTGTATTGTCCGCAGACTGCTGAGCAGTAGGCACCATCCATGGTGACGCAGACTCCCCAGCCGCCGGCACCGATGCCGATGACGTTGGCGAAGTAGGCATCGGGTATGCCGGATCACAGACCATCAGCCTCCCATTGCGCATACCAGAGCGCGCAAGCAAACGATGAAACTTATCATAAGTCGTGCGATCCACATACAGGCGGTAGTCAATCATATCCAAAAATGCCCTCTCCATATCGCTGATCTGGGTCAACGGCAGTTTGGTGATCTTATGCCATGCACGGTTCGAGTAGGTCTGGTCGTAGATGAACTTGGATGCGCTGATGATGGCCGCGACAAACATGCGCCGGCCGCATTTGGTGACGTCGGGCTTGGCCGGTGCTTTGGGTGTCTCCTGCGGCTTTTGCTGCCGATCCTGGGCCTGCTCCTCCTGCTGGTGCGGCGAGGGCAGCTGGACATTGGCGCTGTTGGTCTTGCAGACAAACGAACGGAATGAGTTTGGCAGTGCTGAGGACATGCCAGCTAGCGGTCGGTGCTGCGCTGCGGTGTCCTGATGCTTGTTGCCCGTGGTGGGGTCTGCGGGTACAAAGGATGTGATAAGCCCGCTGCGCAGCATCTGCTGTCGGTCTCCCTCAACATAGAGGATCTGCTGTCCGACAGACCCCGCTGACGCCGGCGTGATCGGACTGCCCCTCCCCATATCAGAGTGAACCTTGGCTCTTGCAACAGAGGTGGTGGTAGCAGTGGTACCGTTGCTGTTGTTGGCAATGTACTGGTTGTCGGGCGACAGAGGAGGTGTGGCAGAGTGCTCCAGCTGAGCTTGCTGCTGCTGTTGTTGCTGGGTCACCACCATCATCTGTTGGTGGTTTTCCTTCAGCTGCCCTTCCTTCTGGTCTTCCTTGTGCTGGGCTGCGGCGCGCTGCTTCGCCTGGATGATGGATTTGGCGCGCAAGAGGTAAAACATGCACAGCTCCAGCACGTCAATGCCCAACCGAGACTGGCGGTGAGTCTCGGCCACAAAGCACCGCAGAGAGCAGAGCTGCGTGCGCTGTGAGGTCGAGTGGTTGGGCCAAATGCTCTCGATGATCACGCATGCGATATCTAATTAAAACCAATAGATAGTTAGCGTAGGCATTGACATGGGTTGTTGGTAGTAGTTAGTCATTGTTCAAAAAATGGCGGGTAGAAAAGTACAAAAAAATCAGCCAACAAAATCAAATAAAAATGATTAAATAAATGCGAACACACACACAAACACGCTCGACATGCATGCATACACACGGTACATGCCATGCATTGGGGAGGGGGGAGAAAAATTTTATTGTTGCCGAGCCAAGCAGAAAATCACAACCGCAGTCAAGCAAAAGCCAAGCAAAAGCCAAGCAAAAGCCAGGCGCAGCCAAGCCAAGCACAGCACCAGCACAGCACCAGCACAGCCGCAGCCGCAGCCGCAGTTCGTGGCAGACACTTTATAAAGCTGATGGCTGAGTGGTGGCGCGATAATGATAGCAAGGGCGAAAAGGACCAAAGCGCCTTTTGCTTCGCTTTGTTTCTGCTCTTGTTCGGGTTGCGGTGCACAGCTTGCGTCCTGCTACGCGCTTGAAATAAAGAAAAAAGAAAAAGGAGGAAAATCTTTGTTCCGCATCACGTGAAGAGCAGAAATTAAGCCACTTTTTTTGCCGCTGTCGTTTGTTTTCTCTCTTTAATGGTGCTTTACTTTCCCAAGAGTGTCTCTTGGTGAAGTGGCAGAGTGGGGAGAGGAGGAAAGAAGGATGAAAAAGACCGCATCAACAAGAATTGAAAAGGAAAAAACAGGCAGAAAACAGGCAGGCAGGAGGGGGAAAACAAACCCCCCAAAAAGAGAAACAAAAGGACTAAAAAACAAAGTCAAGCTAAACAAAAAAAGGAAGGCGCTTACCATAGAGCTTGTCGAGTTCAAGGGCTTCGCGCACAAGGCCCTGTGCGCATGATGGGTCAGCGGCAGCCATAATTGACGGCGCCGTTGCGGTGCGAACAAAGCCCCTCACAGGCTCCGCCGGCTGCTTCGCTCCCTGAATCACAGCAGCGACCTGCTGATGCGCATACTTGGCATCGTCGCTCTGTGTGCGCGACAGTGCCGATGGCAGAGTCATTCTGTGGGCCGCGGCTATTGCTGGAACCACAGCAGGGTTGAGCAAATCTGTGATGCGCACGCCACCGCCGCCGCTGCTGTTGCCATGCTGGGTTGTTGCTGCGACCTGGTCAAAGCTACGCTTGTTGGAGCGAGGGTGATGGTCGACGGACTCACGTGTGCGCTTCATTCCGCTGCTGCTGCTATTGCTGGGCTCGGGAGCTGTGCCGAGAGCGACGGCCATGAACGCGTTGTTATGGGGGTTTTGCGGTTGTTGATGGTGCCACCCGTCTACATGCAGCGCCGGGTTGCTGCCGTACGCAGTGCCCGAGTCAGAGCTGGGCACCAAGCTGGCGGCTTCCCGGTGGTGTAGACGGGTGTTGGGTTCAATCGGACGCTGAGAGTAAGATGCCATTAGCTATTTGTTAACACAGCTTTAGCAAACGGCAAATTAAGAAAAATAAATAGTGCAAAAGTAATTAATAAGAGAACCCTTTTTTCTATTAAATTCGTTTGGGTTGACGGATTTGTCTGGTGGTTTGGGTTAAGAATAGAGAGAGAATGCCTTTTCGCTATTGTTCTAGGGTAAAACTTTAAAAAAAATCGAATTAATAGCAAAATTTAGTCTCAGTTGAAACAAAAAGCAAAAACTGTACGTCAAAGTGCTTTTTAAATCGGAAAAGCAGGCAGAAAGGCAGGCGGCAATCAGGTAAGAAATTAACGCGGAGAGGGGGAATAGAGGAGGACCAAAATAAATAAAATAAAAGAAAGGATGCGAGGATGGGATGGGGGGGGGGAGGGGGTAGAGGGGGGCGGGTTGTCAGCCGGCCAGTAAAATAATAAAAAAGGCATTGATATCTGTGTTGATGTCTGCCTGACTGTGTTATTTTGCAGCAGCCGCAGCCGCAGCCGCAGCCGCAGAAACACCGTTCTATGCTTACTTTGCTTTGGTTGGCCAGCCGGTTGGTTGGTTGGTTGGTTGGTTGAATGGTTGGTTGGTTGAATGGGAGCTCTATGCTCTATTGGTTTTGGTGGCTGGATTGGATTGGATTGGATGTGGTACGGGTGTGAAGCGAAGTGAAGTGCTGAAGTTTTGAAGCGTTTGTTGAAAGAAGACGAGTAGTAAAATATAGGGGAGTATATAATCACTTCGTCTTTATATAGCCTTTTGAATCATTCAAGCCTTTCGGCATTTCGGCCTTTTGGGACTTTCAGCTAGACAATGCCAAGCAAAGCCTCTCCAATTATGCGCTCCTCTGCCGAAGGTGAAGCGAATCAATCACCCCACCATGTACTGCTGGCCCGCATACCCTGCTTGAGAGAGCTCCGCTTTTCATCCTGGGCAAAAACGAGACTTTTAAGCGGACTTCAACAAAAAGCAACGAAAAAGACAGCAGTCGAAAAGGATACAAACAAGACTTTGTGGCCATCGCAACGAAATAAATAATAAAAACCTCCGCTGCCTGCTTGCTTGCTGTGGCGTGAAAGTTCCACCACCTGTTTGACTGTCTGCCTGACCAACTGACTGACTGCCTGCCTGCCTGACCGAGGGAAATGGTGGAATGTAAAAATATTGGGCTTTGGGGATTGACCACAACCTCTTTTATCTGTGCTCTCCACACATCTCTTGGCCTTTTTTTGCAAACCAATCAATCTAGCCCACACCACACAAATCATGTAAGCCAAAAACAAAATATTTTTCTATCTTTTTCATTTTGCGCAGTCAAAGATGGGGCTGTGAACGCTAAAGAAAAAAAGAACTGCGGAGTGAGATGTCATTTTTTTGTTGAAATTGAGTGTATTGAAAATGACGCGTTTTTAGATGGTTCTTCTGGAATTAACATATTATTGTCATCTATTTTGCTCTGGTGATGCAAAAAAACGGAAGCCCGAGCAGCAGCGGAGTTTTTTTTGTTCTACTTGCATCATCATCCTGCGGTTTTTTTGGTTTGGCACGCGAAATGAACACGTTTCTATTATAATCTGCTTTCTCTTTTATTATGGCAAGCAAAGGACTATCTTGTCGATGACGGAAAAGGAAAATAATGAGTCACCTTTTCTTTTCCGTAAATGAACCGCGCACAAGAATAAAAATATATAAACAAAACTGCGTGTGTGCGCGTGATCGAGTGAGACCATCTCTTTCCACTATCAATAGAATATTGGGTAGGGCCAGCAAAGATGCTGGTCACGTTTTTCCATTTCGACTTTGGCAGAATGAGAGAGAAGTGCGCAATCCACCATATCTACTTTTCAGCTCGGCATTGTTTATCAGCTGCTTTTTCTTTTTTCTTTCTGTTTGGTCTGTCTGCAGGAAGAGATCATATTAGTAATTAGTTTGGCTGCGCAATTGAACAATGTAATAAAAATAAAAAAGGGCCCCGAAAAAACAATAAAGGCATTATTGTCAGCGCTCTGAGCAGTACTGCGCAATTACAAAAAAACATCACCTCGGGTATAGTGCATATATCGCAAGCCCAATGCGGACTTGCTTCTGCTTTGCTGCGCAGAAGCAATAATATAATAATATAATAATACAGTAATTTATTAATTCCATTAAATATATTCCCACCACATATAATACCATCATGAGTTTAACATGGTATTGTAACATAATGACAAACACACAATTCCAAATACACATGTCCTAAAATGTTTATTAAAAAGTTTTTTTTGGACATTGTTTTCGCTACCACCACACCAGCCCCGTGTGATTCGGAAATGCAGCCTGCAGTGATCAACCTTTTTTCTTTTTTCTTGCTAATCATTGATATTGTTTGCTTTTTTCGACTGTTAAAGATTTAATCAGACTTGCCCATGTGCACGCCCATTTCAATTTTTTCAAATTGCCTCTCCAGTATACGCGCATCAACAAAGTTATGAAACCTATCACTTGACCACAACCACGTGAGCTAATAAAGAGGCACATCATGTGGAGGATCCCGCAATCAAGTAATCAACAAATCACCAGTTGCAAATCAAGCCCTAACCCTTTTTCAAAATATCAGCTGACGGCGCTCTCGCCTGTCGCACTGTTTTTTGTTCTTTGAATTTCTACGCAAACTTAGCTCGCTGCACTTCTCTTTTTTCGTTTTCACATTATTTAAATTACTTAACCAACCAACTAATTTTTTAAAATGGCTATTCACAGGAAAAAACCCTTCAGCGTCAAGCAAAAAAAGACCCAAATTCAAGCCAAGCGCGCCAAAAAACGCGACCAAGCCGACGACGATAATGATTGGGACTCAGCCGCCTACAAGAAGGACCAGCTGGACATAGACAAGCAAATAGCCGCGCTGAGCCTAGGCTCCTCCCCCGCCAACACGAGCACCGCAGCCACCGACGAGAAGCGCAACCGGCTGACTTCGCAATTCGACAAGCTCACCAGAACAGAGATCGAAAACAACAAGAGACGCAGTATGCTGCCGCTCAAGCGCCTGAGCGGGGAAGACGGGTTGACCATGTCCTTTGAGGACGCTTACTCGGCGGACGTGGATATTCCGGTGCGTCCCGAGTGGCGCTACGGCGAAACCAGGGCTACGCTTGAGAGAAGAGAAATCGAGTATTATACGCATTGGCTGGAGAAAATTCAGCAGATGAAGGAGGCCGATGAGGTCAGCTTGTATGAGAAGAATCTGGAGGTTTGGAGGCAGCTCTGGCGTGTGGTCGAGATCAGTGATATCCTGCTGATGGTCGTGGACGTCAGACACCCTGTTTTACACTTTCCACCGTCACTCTACCGCTACATTACAAAGACCACGGGCAAGCCCCTCGTTGTGGTTCTCAACAAGACCGATCTGGTCGCTGACAACACCGTACGTGCGTGGAAAAAGTACTTCAAGGAGCAGTTCCCGTCCATTATTTTGACCAGCTTTTGCTGCTATCGCGAGAAGGTCATGGTCAACGACACGGAGTTTGCCGACTTGAAGCTCAGTAAGAAGAAGCCCGGGAAGCGTGTGTATGACTCGTCACAGGTCGGCGAGCTGTTTGATGCCTGTCGCAGCGTGTGTGATGCGCAGAAGCAGTCGATGGTTGACTGGGACGCTCTTATTGCGCGCTACACGAGCAAAAACAAATCCGATCAGGACGAAGTGGAAGTGGACGAGGACAGCGATGCTGACGACGATAGCAACGACAACGACAACGACAACGATAATGATAATGCCAATGGCAGTGCTGCTGGCCAGTCCGCCACAGGCAGCGGTGAGCAAGGGGATGCTGATGACCAAAGTGAAGAGCAGATGGCGGAGGGCCACGTTGAGGCCGTCAGCGGCAGGTACGTCACCCTGGGGCTTGTCGGCCACCCCAACGTTGGCAAAAGCACGGTTATCAACAGCATCATGGGCCGCACTGTGGTCAGCACGAGTCGGACGCCCGGTCATACCAAGCACTTCCAGACCATCCACGTTACCCCGACACTGCGCCTGTGCGATTGCCCCGGCCTGGTCTTCCCCTGTGTCGTCGAGCGTCCTATGCAGGTGCTTGCTGGACTATACAACATTGCTCAGATCCAGGAGCCATACACATCGGTGCAGTATTTGGCCGAGCGCGTGCCGGTCGAGCAGCTGCTCAATCTGCTGCCAGAAAACACGTCAGGGATGGTTAAGGGCCAGTGGTCGGCTTGGGGAATTTGTGAGGCCTTTGCTGTTGATCGCGGCTTCTACACGTCGAAGGCTGCGCGTCCGGATGTATATCGTGCAGGTAAGTTACTCAATGTCTATGCATATTTTTATTCATGTATTTCTGCTTATTGCTCAATGCCTTGATTTTATTGTTTGCGCTGACCAGGCACAGTCCGTACTGGGTTTTTTCATATATGCAAACATGCAGAGACATGTATTCTGTGTGTGTATATATGTGCGCATATGTGTGTTTATATATAGCCGGATATGTTTCTCTCTCTCTCTCTGTTTCCTTTTTTCACCGTACATCTTTTTTCTTTCCCCAACCATTTTGTAGCCACACTAAAATCTTTTTTATTTAATTTTTTATTTGTTATGTAGCACTGCATATTCTCAGGTGGGAATTGGACGGCCGGATTCTGATGTCGTTCAAGCCACCGGGCTTCTTCCACAATTTATCCAACGAAAACAGTCGCCTTGCAGCAGAAGACGCGCATTCCACAGGAAAAACCACTCGTGAGACCTGGACCAAGCCCAAAGACACGCACAATGACGCATCGTCGTCGTCTGAGGAGGAGGACGATGATTACAATAGCGGACCCATTGCCCAGCAATCCGCATTCGCTGTTCTTGCCGAGGAGGATTGCTAATATTTGAATTTTGTTTTGCTCCTTTCAATATAATTGTTGTCCTAGTGCTCAATTTGTGGATGCTATCTATGAAAATAGATATTCCATATTTGTTGCCTGCTTTATTGCTTTATTGCTTTATTGCTCGTATGCAATGTCGATCGTTTTTAATATGAAATATTGTTGCGCAGACTGAAGATATGGAAGCAGATGTTGAGGTCGAGAACCGCGAAACAAGTTCCCACCTGCGCGCTGATCGATAGGACGCTAATTGGATAATGCAGGTGTAAATCAGGGAGGCATCACACTGATGCCCAAACATGCCCCCCATCCTGTAATGCACACGCATAAGCGTACACGCACGAAAACCACAACATCGACTTGCCAAGATACCGGTCTACTCGCAGAAGATCCAGTTCTCACCAACGGAGCGCACAATGGACAATGTGCACGACAAAGGCGACTGGGAACATATATAAGATGAGGCTGGCCCCTAGTAGTACTTTAGAAACATCAGTAATAAAACCTTTTATAAAATCACCCCTAACTTTTAACACTAGACAACTAGTGCTCCTCACACCCCCCTCTTACTATAACAAAATTTATTACTCGCTTACATACATAAAACAAAACAAAAACACAACAATGTCCGTCAGGTCAGACGTGACAATGCAGACTGCAATTCACCCCATACCTCCTGCCACTGCCCCTACTGCCCCTACTGCCCAGCTGACTACCACCTCCTCTGCCCAGACCCCAGCCAAGGCTGCCAAAGAGGAGCTGGACCTGCTCCGAGACTATGCCAAGCGGTTCAATGGCGAAGATATCGGAAATCCAACCAAGCAGTGGATTGCAGGGATCCAAGAGACAATCAACTTCATCTTTACCCGCACTCCTGCAGTAATGATTGTCACAGCACTCCAAAAGCTGCTTGACGGACAAGCTGCCAGACGCATGGGCACCCTAGACGTGAACACACCAGAAGAGTTCTTTGAGAAGCTCCTTGAATGCATCCCGCAAGCAGACTTTGTGGCCAAGGCACACAGCATCGCTGCTGGAGGCCCAGCCAAGGCCTTCAAGAACATCCCTGCAGTGGACAGGGTCAACTATGCGCGCAGGCTCTACAAGGCCATGGGTGGTGGCGACTATGCTGCAGTCACTATCTCACGCCTAGTACATGGCCTTGACACCCGCTCCTGGGCATGTACAGGAAGTGCGCCCAATGATGTCACTGCTGAGACCCTCCTGGACCGACTCAAGGCATTCGAGACAGTCCACAAGATAACCCTACTTTCATATGGCAACAATGACCCAAAAGCCTGAGCGGCTTGGGTATCAGTTACACTATTGGGACAATAAATATGTTTAACTCTACTCAGGCCGCCCTGTGCCATTTTACGAAAATACCCGGTTTCCGCGCACATAATAAGCCAGCAATGGCTGTAGCCGACAATGGCGCTGCTGTCAGCCTGGTCACCATGGCTGCTGCCAAGCGGTTGAAGCTGCGTATCCGCACCAACTCGAGGCCAGACCTGTTCCCCATCTGGTCAGACAAGGCATACCAGAGCATTGGGCGGGCCACCGTCTGCCTGCAGGTCGAGGGTGGCCCAAAGTTCTGGGACGATGCAGTCGTTGTCGACATGAAGGTGCCATGGGAGCTGCTGGTGTCAAACCATGCCCAAGAGGGCCTGGGCATCCGCCTCATGACCCCAGCAATGCGCCGACGCCTTAAGGGCACAGAACGCACCCCTGACCACCCAGACAAACTTCCCGATGGTCCCCGTGCTGTACGCGACTCGGATTATGACACTATGCCAGACCCCACAGTGGCACAAGACCCGCAGATGTTCCCACTAATGGACGGCCCGCCTGATGCGCCCCCGATCAAGGAACCAGTTGTCTCACGCCCAATGCGGGCACGACTAGGCCTACCAACTGGCTATTTTGTTGAAGCGCGCGATGCCGACTTCCACAAGTGGGATGCACTGTATCCAGCAGTGACGACGGAAAATGTTGCTAGCCGCACAACGGATCAGTGCACCACGGACGAGCTCCACAAATCCCTGCTAAAGACCCTTATGACTGCTGCTGGCGCCCTACGTGAGTACCCGAGTGGCTGCCCGCCGCCAGCAGCCTATGCGCCCATCCGACCCCCAATGCGCACAAACGCGTGCCCCCTGTACACCGTCCAACACACACTCAGCGAGCCTGCTCACAAGGCCCGAAACTCTTTCGTTGCCAACCGGCTCAAGTATGGAATAGACGGTCCATCGGTTGCATTCGCCCAGGTCCCTGTGTTCTCCAAAGTTAAGCCGAACTCGACGGACAGGCGTGTGCTGTTCGACGACTCAGCAAACAACTCGTTACATATGCTGAGCGTTGGAATGCAGCTGCCGACGCCAGTCGAGCGCATTATGTTCCTGCGTGATGCCAAGCTGATCTCGTCAGTTGACATGGCATCGTTCTTTACGCAGCTGCGCCTGGCAGAGGACGTCGCAGACTTCTGGACCTATGACGGGGGCAGCGCAGGCAAGGTACGCAACCTACGCATGGTGCAGGGAAACTCCGAATCCCCTGCCATTGCCCAGGCCTTCCTGACCCATGTTCTGTCCGGCGTGCCAGAGCTGCGGCCACGTCTGATGGTCTACATTGATAATGTTTACCTAAAGTCGACCACCGGCAATGAGACTGATCACATCCACGATATAGGGCTGTTTGCTCGGTGTCTGGCCCGTGCGAATGTCACGATTAACATGTCCAAATCACTGTGGTGCGCGACTACAGGCGTAGAGATCTTGGGGCGTCGGTGGTCCGCCGACCGGACATGGCAGGCCTTTGACCACCGAGTGGAAACAATGCGAGCACTGGAGATGCCGACGACGGTCGCAGGCATCCGGCGTCTGTGCGGCGGCATTAACGCAATTGCAGAGCATATGGAATGGATCCAGATCATCCTAGCTCCCTTCTACCAGATGGTGGGCAAGACGCGGTTGACGAAAGACGACATCAGATCACTACAGGAGCCCTGGCATGCGCTTAAGCAGGCACTGCTCGACGTTCGACACCTCTACATACCCCCGCCTGGAGCACCGCTGGTACTGCGCACTGATGCTGCGGGCGCCGGTGTGGGTGCCGTGCTACTGGCCCAGCGCTCTGACGACCCTGAGGACCTGGCGCCGGTATGCTACTTCTCACGGGCATTTGGAGGCATGCAAGGGAGGAAACACTCAACCTGGCGCGAGGCGTGCGCTGTGTACGAAGCTGTGAAGCACTTCTATGCGTACCTTGATGGGTGTGCAAACTTGAGGATCGAAACGGACTGCGGCACGGTGGTCTCGCTGTTCGCGCACAAGACCACCAACGACGCCGACCCCCTGGCGCAATTCAAGCTTGGCCTCAGCGAGCTTGGCATAAAGAAGCACATGATCGTCCACCGCCCTGGAGAACTGCAGCAGACCGCCGACTGGCTATCACGCGCAAAAGAGTTCCTGCGCCCGCAAAAGAAAAAGACACTGGGCAATGTAGATGATGATGAGGTAAACACCCTTGTCAACCCAGCGACCGAGACAGTTGGGGGCGAGTATGTCTACACAATTGGCGCCATGGATTTCGAGGGCGACCAATTCACACGCGAATCAAATGGCGAGAGGGTGGCCTATTGCATCGGGGCCTTTGCAGCAGTAACCCCAATCGTCTATGCCAATGGCGACGAGCCCGACGCACTTCCCAACGGCGGCACCATGAGGAACAACCCCATGACCGCCGCTGCCCCCATGCAAACTATAGCGGCCCGTACACGCTCAGCCAACCGAGCGCAGACCATCCAGCAGACCAAGCCCCAGCGCAAGGCAAGCAACCCCGTCCTCGGCCAGGCCACAATGCCGCAGACGGCCCATACAACGCCCCCTGTGAGCGGGGCTCGTAAGCGCGGCAGGCCACGGCGTGAGGGACAGACCATCACTGCATCAACTTCACCCACACCCCCAGCAGACCTGCCTCGCAAGCGTGGCCGTCCCAGGCGTAAGCCAGTGGAGGCGCCAGCAGCAGCTACGGTGACTCCAGACGTACCACAGGCCAAATCCCCGGCAGCAGAGCCCCCAGTGGCGACGCGGCGTGGGCGCGGTAGACCCAGACGCAGTGCACAGACAACAGACATGGCACCCGAGCAGGAGCCGGCATTGCCGGTGGCGCTCAACACACCCGTCCGGCACAAGCGCGGCAGACTGAGGCATGCCGTACAGGGGGCAACAGTTACCCCCACCCCTGCGCCCGAGCCGACCCCTATGCCTGCACCTGACCCAGCTACTACCCTGCCCGTGGCGCCGACACCGGCATCCATGAGCCAGCAGTTCGCAAGAATCGCGTCTGCGCTAGAGGACTTACCGAATGTCGCGGACTTTCTGCACTGCCAGGATGACGATGCTGAGATCCAGTCCTGGATCAAGCTGTGCAAACAACGCGAGGCACTCAACGGTCCGACAACTCCCGAATACAATGTCGTCAGCAAGAAGGCCTTGCGTGACGGGCGATTGTACGCTCTGGCCCCCAGTGACACGCCCGGGCCAGTAGGCATGTGGGTGCCCATACTGACGCGTGAGGCGGCGCGAGACTTTGTACGCAAGGCACACCAGGCCCTGGCACACGCTGGGTACAAGCGGACCCTCGACTTCGTGCGCGAGCTGATTACATGTCCGGGCCTGGGCACAGTGGTAGAAAGTCTGACAAAGTGCTGTCACACCTGCCAGATGACAGCGATCCAGAAAAAGTCACACACACCCAAGATCATGTCGTACATTGCAAAGCCGCTCGAACATGTCTACATCGACTTGCTACACATTGGGGACAGAGGAGAAGCACCTCAGGATGCGTTAGTAGCAGTTGACAGTGCGAGCGGGTTCATGCAGATCTATGCAGTGGACGACACAACAACAGCAACACTCACCGATGTCCTTGAGAGCGAGTGGTTTGGCACCTACGGAAAGCCAAAATATCTCACGTCGGACAACGGCCCGCAGCTCGTGTCCCATGACTTTGAGGACTTCCTGAGCAGGGAGGGCGTGACGCACATCACAACCGCCCAGTACCATGCTCAGTCTGACTTGGCTGAGGCCGCAGTCAAGAAATTCAAGCAGTCATTGCGATGCTGTTTCACCGATCAGCCGGACGAGGAGGGCTGGACGCAGCACATCCCGCGCATTGTAGCTGCACACGCCTGTACGCGCTCGGAGGCCATCGCCAACACCCCGGCGGCAGTTTTCTTCGGCGAGCCTGCGGTGCGTGTAGCGACAGCATACGCCCAGTTCCCTGAGGGTGAGAGCCCCCCCAGTGAGGAGGAGATCACCGAGATGATACGTGAGCAAGCAGCTGAGCACCGCAAAATGGTCCGCCAGCGTGCCAACGCCAGGGACAACAGAGGCATCGACCCCATCTGGTTTGAGCCGGGTGAGTGGGTGACCTGCCGTGCACTCCCCAAGGCCAGCTCAGTGGCAGATCAGTTTGCACGCCGCCTGGGTCCGTTCCGAGTCGTGTCGCGGCACAAGACCTCCTACCACCTGGCCTATGCTGACGGCAAGCCCTTCCATCGCATTGTACCAGGCGACGCGATCACGCGGTACCACCATGGAGCCTCAGAACGGATCGCGGAGATCGCCCGCAGATCAGAGCCATCAGGCTCAGAGTGGACGGACTCAGAGTGGGCGACCAGCGAGTACGGGGACGGCGGCACGGGCCTCGGCGGGGGCAGCCCAGGGCCGTCGGCACCGCGCCCAAGAGCATACGCTCAAATGCCCGAAGCTAGGGCCCAAATGCTGATATCCCTCCCGTCGGACCCGGGCTACTCATGGCCGGAGACGCCGGCGGTTGGTTCCCCGCCCGAGTCACATGTACAGTTCATGGGCCAGGCCCACCCCAGGATATTCGCGCCCTGGCACCCAACCACACTCGAAGAGGAAGAGGAGGATGCCCCTCAAGTTGCTTTGGAGCCCGCACACATTAGGGTGGGACCATTCACACCACCCCCACAGTCGCCGGGCTCGCCGGACAGCATGGACAACAGCGAAGCAAGATCCTTCCTGACAGAGATCCGCCACCAGCCAGCAGGCAGACTAGAGGTCCCAACAGCCCAAGTGGTCGCTGAGGACGTATCCGAAATGGAGGATGATGGCGACGGCGACAGTACCGGGCCCTACGAGGGACTGCTTGCAAGAGCCGCTGAAGAGCCATATGTGGATGAGCATGACACTGAGAGTGAAGAAGAGGAAGAAGAAGAATACGTGAACGACAGCCGAGACGATAGTGAAGATGTGGCTGGCGGGGCTCTCGTTTCCGACGAGGACGGCAGCACAGCCCCAGAAGGCGAGGACGCTCAAGTCATGGGACACACGCGGGCCTACGATCAGGTGATTGTGACACGGCCCGCGGGTGCACTGCTGACCAGGAAACCGGCTCTGCCGACAGCTGAGATCGTGCCCGGCCGGCCGGTCAAGAGAAGTCGAGCGCTCACGGAGGCAGGCTCGGAGGGCGTGCAGCACCACCCGGATGGCCGGGAGGCACTGCCCATATATGACCAGTCACCCTCCCCCCCGAGCCGAGCCAGGCGGCTAAGGTCCGACGTATTCCACGAGCAGAATGAGACCGCCGCTGGCGACACTGGTCTTGACGTTTTTGTTGCGCAGACTGAAGATATGGAAGCAGATGTTGAGGTCGAGAACCGCGAAACAAGTTCCCACCTGCGCGCTGATCGATAGGACGCTAATTGGATAATGCAGGTGTAAATCAGGGAGGCATCACACTGATGCCCAAACATGCCCCCCATCCTGTAATGCACACGCATAAGCGTACACGCACGAAAACCACAACATCGACTTGCCAAGATACCGGTCTACTCGCAGAAGATCCAGTTCTCACCAACGGAGCGCACAATGGACAATGTGCACGACAAAGGCGACTGGGAACATATATAAGATGAGGCTGGCCCCTAGTAGTACTTTAGAAACATCAGTAATAAAACCTTTTATAAAATCACCCCTAACTTTTAACACTAGACAACTAGTGCTCCTCACACCCCCCTCTTACTATAACAATATGAAATTTCTTGGCTGAAAATGTAAATGCAATTGAAAGAAAGTAAAATAGTAACAATAAAATTTGTATATCAACTTCAGGAAATAAAAATATGAGAAAACAACCATTTTGGAAAATGAAATAAAATAAACGGCTGGTAATTGTTGTCAAATAAATAATTTATCCCTCATTTTTGGCGCCTTCTTATGTATATATCCAATCCGACCAAAGGCATCCTAATGCGAGAAATGGTTTAGATAACATTGGCCCTTGACGACAGCATGCTGGAGACAATCGAGCTGTTGGAGGAATTAATAGATTGTGTGCCAGACTGGCCAAAAATTGTGCCTACCGGTGCCAGGCGAGAGCCATTAGATATGGAAGTCATCACGCCGCCACCGCCGCCGCCGCCGCCGCTCTGCTGCTCCTGGTGTTGCTGATGATGCTGCTGCTGGTGTTGGCGCTGCGACGACATGCTCATTGTCATACCCGCGCTCATACCCATAGATCCCGAGCCAGACGCCGGAGTGGGCGTCGACTTTGCTGCAGAATTGCCATTAGTCGAGCGGCAACGCTTAACCATGGAATGCCGCTTCAGCGCATCAGAGCGTCCAAAGCTTTTCCCGCATTTGTGGCATTTGTGCGGCTTAACGCCTGAGTGTATCTTGACGTGTCGCTTGAGATCATGGTTTCGCGAAAACGATTGCTCGCAGGTCTCACATTTGAACGGTCGCGCGGGAGATACAAAGTGCCGGATGGGCGGGTATGCGCCATAAGGAATATACCGGGTAGGTGCTTGGGAGTAATAGTATGAGTGTGTACCGCTGACACTGCTGCCGCTACCACCCATGTTGCTGGCGCCTGTGCGCATGTATGGCTGATAAGCTGACGCGTAGTACCCTGAGCCCATGACTGCTGCTGCTGCTGCCGCTGCCGCCGCCCCACTTATCTGAGAGCTACTGATACTGCTTGCAGCGTTGGCATGGGTGCTAGCACCAGCTGTTGCTCCACCGCCCATTCCGGTTCCGCTCATTGGTGAGACTCCTGTCGAGGCATTTCCCGTAGCAGTGGCCATTCCAAGTGCAGTTGACGGAGAGCGATAGTATGCAGAATAATCATTGTAGTTGCGCTGTGTCGGTTGCTGCTGCTGCTGCTGGTAGTAGGAGTATTGGCCGTGTAGTTGCTGCGGTGGAGACATTACACTCGAGTTATGGCCAACGCCAGCAAACGAGCTAGTCAGTGCAGCACCAGCGCCATTGCTTGCTCTACCAACATCAATTGAGCTAGAGTTGCTCATAAACACTGTTGTGGCGCTGTCTAGCTGGCTGAGCGGCCGGCTAAAAGACGAGACATTATAGTTCAAATCAATATTGGCTGCTGAGTTTACCATACCCGTAACCGAGGACGCAGCCGCGGTGCCATTTGCAGCCAAAGAGCCCGCTGTGCTTTGGTTGGAAATTTCTGCTTGCGCAGTTCCGGCCACGGTTGACATTGGGTCATGAGGGAATGACAGGCTGTTTGTGCTGTACGTAGATTGGTCTTGCTGCTGGCCATAACTGTGGCTGTGGGGCTGGTTATAATGACTGTGACTGTTTTGGTGGCTGTAGTAAGAGTTTGAGCTGGCTGACAATGATGTCAGTTCAGAGTTAGAGGCCGCCGAGGACAAAGCATTGTTGAACCCAGACCCTGTTCCGCCACCTGTATTGACAACCGCCGCCGCCGCTGCTGCTGCCGCTGCCTCCAAAATGCTATTATTAGTGACATTGTTTGCGACACTCCTTCCATTGTTGTTTCTAGTATTGTCATCGTTATAGATGCCGCCACTTTCGCTTCGCGAATTGTTTGTGCCTAGACCAGCCACCATTGACGAGTATTTTGATGACTCTGTGGAATTCTGAAGCGGCAATGAGGACAGGAAGCTGGGAATTGAACTGACCAATAAAGTAGCGCTCGTGCCGTTGGTTTCCAAAGTCAGACTAGATGTGTTGGCTGATGATAGGACGTTTGTGGCAGCCACAGGTGACATGCTAATATTGCCCGAAAGCACCGCAGCAGTGACGCTGGGGCTCTGGCGACTGGATTCAACGTCCTGATAGTTCTGAGTGCTGTAGCTGTACTGTCTCTGCGTGTGTCCTGACAAAGACAAAGACGAGGGCTGGGCGGATGGCGGAGCTGTCGAGCTATGCTGATAAACTGAGAATCCAGTATTGTCGACGGCGCTGGCAGCTGCGGCGACTGCCGCCACGACAGATGAAACGTCGATCTGGTGCTGCTGCTGCGGGCTGCCGTGGCTCCTGCTGTCATTGTGGTTGGAATTAAGCGAGATGACCTGCTGCTTGAAAAAGTAATCGGCAAAAGAGCCGTCGTTAACCGAGCTCGTGTTAATCCCGGCCAAGACGCCGGCCAAAGATGCCGATGACGCACCAATATTATCACTGCTGTGCATCCCCTTGGTGTCAATTGCATGGCTGGTGTGGTGCAGCTGGTAGTCGCCAGTGTGGTGTGAGTTGCCCATTACCGAGTCCTGACGGTACACGCGAGTGCCATCGTAGACATTGCCACCGGTGTTGCCACTGCCATTGCCGCCGCCAGCGGATGTGCTTTCGAGTGCTGAGTCGACCAGCGTTGCCGATGCATCGCCGAATGAGTAGCTAGTCATGATTCTCCAACTTTCAGCAAAAAGTTAATCAGGTGATTATAAAGAGGGATGTTTGGATAGAGCGAGGATATGATTTGGGGGGGGGGTGGGGTGGTTGAATGAAACCGAATATAAACACCCAGTAATTTGAGTTTCAATATTTTGTAAGCACGCCAAGTTACGTCCTGTGTGTGTGTGCGATAGTTTAAACCTCCTGGGATGCCTTGTAATGTGTAGCAATGCCAGTCAAACTGTGAGTGCTAGAATTGCGTGATTGGAAGCAATGGCTGGATAAGAAATGAATATGTGAAAAAGTTGGAGAGTGCCGAGTATTCTACAAGTATATAAACAAAAAATATATGTGCGCGTATGTGTGCTGAAGTTAGAATAAATGAAATGATATTTTAAGCATGTAGTTATATTATGCCAAATGCAAGGGGTGTGAAAAGTTATAATAAGCACAGGGGAGCAAAAAACAGAAAAAAGATGGAGCAGAAAGAAAAAATTTGGTTCTGATTTATTTCAACGGGCCGGTAAGTTTATATATAATCTGTGGCAAACAAGGAGGGTGTGGTTTGACAAGCCCAAAGAAAAAGTAATTCCCTGTGGAAATAAGCGCGCTAACAAAAAAAAAATTAACACAAGCAGCCAACAAGATATATCAAATTTCCGATTTTGGACAAGCATCCAAAGTGACATGCGACTACTGCCAGCTAAAAAAATATAAAATAGACATGGGTGGTGGAAAAAAGTTAAGGTGCTACCAAGGGCAAACTGAGCGAATAATAGGGGAAAGAGGCGGGGCGGTTGGCAGATGGCAAGAAAGGGGGGTGGGGGGTGTTCGAACCACCCACTGTTCTCATCCCGCTTGGCGAGTGCCAACAAATTTGATTGTTTGAAGATGAAAAAAGAATATTCAATGCCAAGGATGAGAGAAAGCCAATGTATTGCAAAAGTAATTTGACAATGCAATAACATTATTTTTTTCTGCCGCTCAGCTTTACTGGAAATGCGCGTGTGTGAGAAGACAGAAATATGCCCTAATTGTATACTGGCATTGCCAAGAAGAGCGCGCATCAATCCGCTGAGCAATGATAACTCGAGAGATTTGCAGCATAGGCAATATCCAGTACACTTGTACACACGCACACCGTGGGGCTCCAAATTATTCTGAATAAAGACGTCAGATTTCCCCAAATTTATACAACAATCAGGCCAAAGTGAACAAAGTGCGGGCATGGTAGGGGGAAATAGAAGCAGCAAAAACAGAAAAAGGCGTCGAGATTGAATTGGATTGAATTTCAATCAAGCGGGATAAAATTGGGGGATATTTCGCAGAACAAAGGGAAGAGGTAAGCGACACAGGTCACAAACCCACCCCCTACTCCACTTCGCAGCGGTTGTGACAACCACCCCCCCTTTGTTTGCAAAGCGCTTTTAAAACTTGCGTTACAAGATGTCATCTTTAATAAGGCGTGGAAAAAAGAACGACAATAACGTTGGGTATATCTTTAAAAGGTATGGAGATTGGCAGAAAATGGCGTGGAAGATGGTCTTAATACAGCCCATTCATTATAAAATAGTTGGATCATTATTTTATTGGCTTGGGCTGTTTATGAAGTTGCTGTGGCCATTGTTAAAAAGGGAAATGCATTTAAAAAATATTATCAGACATTTCACTATAGCAGTGCTATAGACATCTAAATGAACTGACACTATAGTATTTAATAAAAAGCTTTAGCAGAGCCCAACATTGCAATACAACCAAAAGCAGCAGCAGCAAAAACAACAACAACAACAAAACAACAGAATCCATACAATATAATTCATTCACGCACTCGATGAGAAGAGGCTAATTACGGTCAGTCACATAAAATGATAATAACTGATGGGGGAATGTCAGTGAATAATTGGCATCACATCGACAGTACAACCGAAGGTGCGTGAGAGTGGGAAAAAAGAATAGAACAAGACATTCACAAAGTTGATGTGGGTGCTAAAAAATCCAAGCTCTGACAGCTGGTATATTTGTGCATCCAGCTATTTTTGTTACACTGGTTGGCCAAATATTATACGCCTTTCTCATTGCCTTTCAAATGTTGACTTATTTATACACTCATTGAACACAATTTAGGTGTAGGGTAAATTTAAGCTGGCGTGACAGCCGCAGATGGCTAAAAAGCTTGCAGCGCAAAAGCAAATGATGCAAAGAGAGAGCAAGCCACAATTTTTTTGAGGTGGCAAGTGGAAAACAACCAAAGCAAATCAAGAGAGAGAAAGGGAGGGGGTGTTTTGAAGATTTGCTTTAAATTTGTAAGTTACTTGCCGCAATTTGCCAAAAAACAGGGAAGGTGTGGAGATGCAATTGGACGCCAGCATCGTTGTTGGTGGCGCCATTCAGGATAAAGAGGGATGTGAGGGACAGCTGCTCCCTGGTGGGAGTGGAGAAAAAATACACTATTACTAGTAATTTGTTTGTGACCATTCGCAATAAAATACAGATAATAGGGAGCCCTGCAGATTGTACAAATATCAAAACTGCGCAACTACTATTTTTTTACAACACATAAACAAGATTCTAGTTGGCATTGGGCATTGGGCATTGTTAAATAAATAATGAAAATTGCACACACCTGTGCACAAGTGCAAACATTTGTTAGTGTAAAATGCGCAGACAGACATTCTCATTGGATAAAAGAATACTGTTTTCTTTTAGTCAATCAGGTAGGAACGTAAAAATGGGGAGAGACTGGAACAAATTGGCCATAGGATTATCATGTTGAAAGCAGGGTTAAATCAAGCGGAGAGGGTGGGGGCATCCCGAGCGAGGCCAAGGAGACAATGTGATTAGAGTGACCCTACTCTTGCGCTCACTCCTTGAATATCCCTTCTTTCTGAATTTGGTTTGAATTTATCACGCGCGCTGCTGCGCTTGACATATTGCAGACATAACAAATAATAGTTTTAAATTTGCGAAAAAAATGAATACGTTTTGGGGAGAAAGGGATCGAATTTGTAGATGTCATCTGGTATCTTTCTGATAAATTCACAGGCTCACGCAATAAACAAAATTAATAAACTTGTAAAACGAATCACCGCTTTTGCAAATTAATATAAAGCCGCTGCGCATGCAAGATACCACCATCAATACAAAATAATGGTATGAAGAGAGGTTTCAGCCAATGCATGTGTATGCTGGAGATGGTGGAATTGATGGGTCTTGATAGTTGAAAATAGGGATATTCGAGACAGAGTGAAAAGGAGAGTCATAAAGATAATGAGGTACAAGTACTATATTCAGACACATGCGTGCACCATGGATTGCATGCACTTTTGGTTTACTCAAATGGAATTGTTAGCGGAAAATACATCTATAAAAATAGTGTAGCACTGGAATAGGGGAAACACACTAAAACAACTGCACCTGTATTCCGTATTTTATGTTCTGGAATAGACAAATCGCCTTTTAAAATAACAACCGACAATATTGCCGTTTTGGCTGTTGTTGTTGCTTTTGTTGCTGTTACTCTTGTGGTTATTTATTCTGCTGTTTCTGTTGTTGGGAATCAAAATATGAAGCCAAAATGGGAATCAAAATAGAATAAGAAAATATACTCACCTTTATTAGTATCCTTGAGATTAGTGAGTGCGCGCCCGTGGGTATATGATAATATAGATATAATGTGGTATCCTTGCTGAAAATGAGCGTGCTAGATTTGGTGCACAATAAAAGTTGAATAGAAAATGTATATTTTTAGATGACAATTAGTAGAGTGGTTCATAAATAGTGTAGTAAAATAAGCCAAAAAGACGAAGAACCAAGATTTACAATATTTTTGGTTTGTCGCGCACAGGGGATAGGGCGTGAGAAAGGAAGGGTAAAAAAAGTTATTATTCAGTACAGGGTCAAGTCAAGTTCAAGTCAGGTTAGGTTAAGTTAGGTTACCAATGCAAAAAAGCAATATTGCTTCTTTTTGTCACCAAAAATAATATAGTAGCATGAATCTCAAAACCTTTTTTCGTATTTCAGCCAATCAAATGCCTTTTCAGGCAACTTGTAAAGAGAAAAAGTCATGGTTGAAGTAAGAGGTTAAGCCCGACAAAAAATAGCATTAATCTTTGAACAAAGCATGAATTTTATACAGCACAAGCAAAAAAGAGAAAATAGCAACGCCAAAACAGGGATAGGGGAGGAAGAGGGGTCGCAATAAATATGCGATTGGCATGCTTTTTAAGCTAACCGACCCCGGTTACAGCGCCCAACCAGTGGGTTACTAGATATTAGACTATGGCGCGAGCTTAAAAAGTTATAGATTGAGCTTAACGAATAGCCTCATATCAGCCAGCTAGACCAAATTGACATCCACCTTTTTGTGTAAAGCGTTTGTGAAAGGTAGACACGTGGTCATAGAATTTCGCTGTTTCTTCTTGTGTTCATGGCTGCTTACAAATAAAAAAGGAGCTGCAGGACACCAAATAACAGGACTATTATCTAGATGTCAAATAATATTCTATAAACAAGGATAATTACCAAGCAAAGAAAATAAACAAGCAAATCTGTACGAAACGAAACAGAAATACTCAACTAGATCCGCGTATCTTTGGTTTCTTCAAAATACCAAATCTCTAAAGATAGCGCTAAAAAAGTGGGCGTAGAGTGGGCGCCGTTAACAAAAAAAGAATAGTTTAGGAAAACTGAATATTTGCTAGCATCGGGCAGTAACTAAGAAGAAATAATTAGAGTGCGAGCATACACACAGTGGTAGAGAGTAGAGATGGATGCCGATTACTTCCCAAAACAGGAATAATAAAAGTAGGCCGTTATAACAAGGAGCAGTGCTTAAAAAAGAGTGTATTAGTAGGTGCAAAATCCAGACGTACTTTTTTGTTCTACGTTCTGTGTCTTGAACAGAAATTATCGAGTCGAGTATAAAATCAATAAAAATACGGTTGACTGGGATTCAAACAGTGATAGGAAAAATAAAGAAAAAAGAAAGAGAAAGGAGAAAAATTGTCAAGCACGCGCGTCTTGTTTTTATCTTACGTCTGGCCTATATTTATTCGTTTTAAAAATATTTAAGAACAAATGACATTCTGCAATAAAGCAGGCCTATGTATGTACGTATATAACATGCGTGCAATGACGCGCAAAGTGTTTGTGTCCATACTCAAGCTTTATCCGTATTTACACGATGCAAAAAGCATACTTTCTTTGAGTGAATTGTATTGCTTCTAATTTTTCTGTCTATCTGCACCTGATGCATTTATTACGCAGTAAATATATAACCAGTAAATATTTTTACACAAGCTTTTTTAATAATAAAAACAACTGTATTATATGCATATACGGCATCTACGCTTGCTAATTGGTAGTGCAGACATAACAGCGTAATAATAAATGACTTTAACAAATAAATTTGGACATGCCAATTAACATAGTATTGCATAGGTCACACTTGTATTTTCTGTTGAGTAATTATTGATTGAGGATATACAAGTGAAATCAATTGACAACTTTTACCGCTAGTCTGAATGTATATGGGTGGGAAATGGAAGGTGTGCGACAAAAGGTCACTTGAGCGCAGTTGTTTCGGCCATATATTGAAAACTGAAAAAGAAAACTGAACTTGAGTGTGATTGGTTGCTGCGTCTGTTGAATGTCAGCAACGGTTGCATGCCATTTTTTGCGCTACTTGACATGGTCGCAATAATCTGGTCAGAATAAATTATTATGCATTGACTTGATGGATGAACGTATGCTCGGTTGCTTGGAAATCTAGACAGGGCTTGGCATGATGGTTGTAAATGCCCCCCTCCCCCCCCCCTCCTTCCCTTATTTTTACAAGTTATCTTGCTCAATTCGGTGTTGCTCGAAGTAAAATTATATATCTTTCATCGTTGACAGAGCTGGTGCCAATATCCCCCCTCTGACTATCATGGCAGCAACCAAGTGATATTCCAAACCATGCGTATACATTTTTAGTTTATAATTTATTGTTCAAGAATGACCATATTGCATTTGTGATGTAATTCAACCGAGACGTAGCAACCACGCAGTTATAAAGCACCAGAATAGATTATGTGCATAGTATGCATGCACACACGTAGATATGTTTTAACTTGCAGCAAATATAGAGCTAAAATAAAGGCGTGGCAATCACATCATTTCAAGATTTCGATTGACACATCTTGGATTGTTCGAGTGCACGCAATATACAATTTCAAATTAATATACTGACATTAATTATTGTCAGCATCAGCAAATGCATATGATTAGTTGTTGATAAGAAGATTCAATATTATAATCCATGTCATTTGTTAACACCAAGGTCCCGTGAAAAATCCCCATACTTTTACCCGTCATGTCAACGAAGGGCAGCACGAAGGGTGCCATTGCAAAATGAAAATTGTGCGAAGTACTTTGCGCTTTGCCGGTTTTATTTCAAGATATCACATCTATTATAAGCACGCACACATATGAGCAGTTCAGGACACGCGTTGTCGACCACTGACCCATACGCTGACAGACAGCTAGTGCCCGAAGAGTCCACGCATCGAGCACTGGCCCTATATAAGAGCTTCATAAATAACCCGACTACCGACGTGCGTACGCGCCTTTCTTGCCTGGCCAAGACAGTTTCCATTTTGGATGCGTTGCCCGTTGTTCGAGGCTTTGACTCAGCTGGAAAATTTGGAGTGAACCGCAACACTGGTGCCCAGCCGGCCAACCTGTCCCTGCTGCAGCTGCTCGTTGATCGCACCACGATGTACAGGGGCATGTCGGCGGTGCATCGGCAGCTTGGGGACGTTCAGAATGCAGCTTTTGGGTATGACCGGACAACGCTGTTGCTTGAGGCCTTAATACGAAACATGAATGCCTCGCAGAACATTACATCTGGTGACCATGTAGATGGGGCGGCCACGCAACCGACGTGTTTCGAAAGCGAGAGACATCTGGCTACGCTCAGAGTTTATTCCACAAATATGCTGCTGCAGGTTCTCGGCGACTGGCGGATTGTTGAGCAGGCACTGGGTCGCAACTCGAAGGCCGATAAACTTCTTGCACGGGCAGAGAAGTGGCGAGCAAGTAGGGATACTTAGGTGTACAGGCATATGTGTTACAATTGTACGAAAATAAACAATTGTAAAAATAAGCGGATTGAGAGTATTTAAATATTATCAATTTATTTAGCTTGCTCCTCTGTTCCTAGTCATATGCTTTAAAACTTTCTAAAGCACACAACTTTTCAAGTGAAGTATACCGTCTACAAGTCAGCCAATAGATACAAACAGCAGTTGTTCTTGGTTTATCAGTGCAGTGTGGATTTTTTGTAATAAGTCATTTATTAGTAAGCAAATACTTTTGCAGTATTACTCGTACAACGACTGCACATATTTTAAAATTACACTGGTATAAAAACGAGGGATATAAATACAAAAGCGATTTACATCATTCTATTATTGCGTACGGGGAAATGCTGCCATTCTTGTGATTCACTAAGATTTTGAATTCATATTTTAGTGGTGTTATAGTAAGAGGAGGGTGTGAGGAGCACTAGTTGTCTAGTGTTAAAAGTTAGGGGTAATTTTATAAAAGGTTTTATTACTGATGTTTCTAAAGTACTACTAGGGGCCAGCCTCATCTTATATATGTGCCCTGTCGCCTTTGTTGTGCACATTGTCAATTGTGCGCTCCGTTGGTGAGAACTGGATCTTCTGCAAGCAGACCGGTATCTTGGCAAGTCAATGTTGTGGTTTTCGTGCGTGTACTCTCATGCGTGTGCATTGCAGAATGGGGAGCATGTTTGGGCATCAATGTAATGCCTCCCTAATTTACGCCTGCGTTATCCAATTAGCGTCCTATCGATCAGCGCGCAGGTGGAAACCTGTTTCGCGATTCTCGACCTCAGCATCCACTTCCATATCTTCAGTCTGCGCAACAGTGGTATATATATAAAGTCGGGTATCATATAATGTGAGCTTCCATGTCATAATTTTTACTAATAAATTGTATTTTAACAAACTGTTGAAATATAGGAAGTTCTATGGACGTGTAGATAAAGTAAAATGCTATAGGGTATATTTAATAACCAAGTGCTATGCACTGTAAAAGGTAAAGAGTAGAAAGCATATTGCTTTGGTCACTGTGTGACTTATTGTTTGTGTGGCTAAACAGCCAAGACTGGTTAATTAGTTAATCGTCATCAACCAATACAAACATATGCAGACTGAACACAAGGGGCGTCGGGCAACTACCATCAATATACCCGTGGCTCATATGCACAAAATGTAACCTGCGTTCTATCAGCCAATATGATTTGGAACACCACACACAACTTGTGCACTCAACTCATTGACACATACTTTTTTAATTCAAATTTAAAATTAGATAATATATAGTGGCTGTGCTGTTGAGTCTAACCAAGGTTATTCAAACAATATTTATGCAATTTGAATTTCCATTTTTAATCACAGGTTGTTAAATTGTGTTGGAGTTCTTGATTTAATTGAGAAACCCCATGAAAATAAAGGGACATGTGGTGTGGATGATGTACATTTTGAATAGGTATTACACTATTTGGGGAAACATTGATGTTTCCGTTTGTGATTTGCACAATAGCTCTATTGCACAATTGCAATTGCAAATTCCAAGAATACATGCAGAATACAGGTACGTTCTCAATTCCAATAGAATAAGAACAAATGTTATTGCAAATCAATTGATATAAAATAAATTGATGGTGGCATCATTCAGCTATATTTTCATTCCAACAGACATTTACTTTATTCAAACTTTAAATTATTTTCTTTTAAATTTTTAAGTACGCAACAACTCAATCATTTTATATAAACATGTGCCAACACTATTTGGAAAGATCCGTGCAGACAGCTTATGATAGCGACGACAATGAGCCTTTCTTCTGTACAACCTGCCGCCAATATTTTCTTACTGAGTATCTGTTTCATATTCATAGAAAATACCATTGTTCCTAATATTAGTTGATTAAAATCAATTAATTAACTACCCTTTATAGTGGTTTTCTCTTACCTCTTCAGTGTATAGTATTTATAGTATACCTTTTATCACATATTTGATATTATAGTCTATATACCTTGTTAACAGAAAGCTCATATTTTGACAACTATTGGGCTGAGTAATTGTTGTTTTTGAATTAGCACTTTATTTTTAACTAATAAATTACACTTAATAGATAGTCATCTTGTTTAAATAATGACCATGTAAACCTATTTTAAATTTTAAATCATAAAATGTTGTAATGCGTTGGTATTCTCGGTTAAACAGCAAGGTCACATGGAATGAATATAACATATAACATACACATGCATTACGAACGCATAAAAATAAAATAGAATAAGAACCAATAACACAATAACGCTATCTCCTTATTGAAACATTCTATTTTTAAAAACAAGACATTTATACAACCATATAAGGATACACAATCAATATTTTTGGAGCTTGTAAATTTATATAAATAAAATGCTGGCGCTATGATCTTGTGTGTATCTTATTTACAACAGAACTGTATTCCATAAATTTATTTTGTTACCACCTTAATCATACTTTCACGTATATCTTTACATTGCAAATAGGCAAATTAATTAACATGTGTCAACAATATGCAGCTAATGTTGCACAAACTGTCAATGATAACGGTGCTGATTTTGATTGTTTACTTTATTGCAGATCGTGCAAACAACATTTTAATAGTGTGAGTGCTTTAAACGATCATTTTTATTAGTTATTTAAGTTTAGTAAATAAATTAAAATTATATTAACGAGTTTCCAAAATATAGAAAACAATAATAAAAAATAAAATTTTAAAACAGCTATTTGCCCAAAAGCTTTATAATTCTCAGTTGTTTTGGAAATCCATGTGAGTAGATTGAATAATGTAGTGTATAATAAAATAGTGAATACTCATAGTGTTGCATATACTGCAGATATAGAAGTGGATGTTGAGGTCGAGAATCGCGAAACAGGTTTCCGCCTGCGTGCCGATTGATAGGACACTAATTGGATTATGCAGACACAAATTAGGGAGGCATAATAATGATGTCTAGCCATGCTCCCCATTTTGCAATGCACACGCGTGAGTGCACACACACAAAAACTACAACACTGACCTGCCAAGATACCGGTCTGCTCACAGAAGATCCAGTTCTCACCAACGGAGCGCACAATTGACAATGTGCACAACAAAGGCAACAAGGCACATATATAAGAAGAGGGTAGCCCTAGTAGTATTTTAGAAACATCAGTAATAAAACCTTTTATAAAATCACCCCTACATTTATAACACTAGATAACTAGTACTCCTCACATCCTCTCTTATTATAACAATAGTAATATGGAAAATACCTGTATTGTAGTTTTAATAGCACAATGTATTGTTTTGCGTTGTTGTATTTATATTATATAAAAATAACATAGCGGATAAGTGTTGGAATATAGGAAAAACGTTCTATGAACGTGTAGATAAACTATAATGATATAAATTATATTTAATAAATAAGTGCTATGCACTGTGAAAGGTAAAGAGTAGAAAGCATATTCCTTTGGTCACTGTGTGACTTATTGTTTGTGTATCTAAACAGCCAAGCCTGGTTAATCAGTCGATCGCCATAAACCAATTTTTATTTTATTCTCTACTTTTTATTTTATTCCTTTTAATTATTATCAAATAATCTATAACATATATCCAACAATACAGGTGTCAAACATAAATATGTGCCAATGCTATTTTAAAGAAGCTGTACAAACAAATTATGCTGAGTATCCTGCCTACTGTACATGGCGCAACTTGTCATTTCCGAATAATGTTTAGCTAAAAATGCATATAAAAATTGTTCACAAAAGCTGAGTAATTATTATGTGAATGCGTAGTTTTTTACAGCTAATAAATTACAATTTAACTATATTAAAGATTACTTTAATTTGAAAAATAAACAATTTAAATTAATTTAAATATTTAATCATGATATGGTATAATATGTTAGCAACCTCAGTTTAACTGTAAATATCACATGCCATACAATAACAATACATTCAATAACAAAAATAAAAGGTGTGCAACAATTTTTAAACTGATTCTTTTTTGAATAGCTTAATTATGCTATTTCTGTATTGTAACAATTAAATTTAAAATGCTTAAAATAAATTATTAGGTTGAACAATATACCATGTGGAAGACATTAGTGTCTGTCATTTTATATAAAAGATAGCATTTGGTAGCATTCCATTTTATTTTCTACCAACAATTGTATACTCAATATTATTTGTTTACAGAATTTAACTGATTTTTAAGTACGTTTTACATCACATTACAATCCAAAAAAGTATTAACATGTGCCAACAATACGTAGATAAAACATGGCGGTCAACTAATTGTAAATATACATTTTTCTGTCCAGTATGCAAATGTTATTTAATACTAAAGATAAACTAATCGACCACTTTGGGGATGAGCACTATGATTTGGTTTTACAATATAAATTTTTATTTTTGTATTGAAATTAGGCTATATATTTCACATGTTTTTATTAATAAATACAATTCCCAATGTAAGGCGTTTTTGATCACGAGTTATTTTTAATATATTGGAGTTTGTCATTAAACAGCAAAGTCACATACAAAAGTAAAACCATGCATTTATATATGTCATTCAGAAGGATGGTTGTAATCAATAGCACAATTGTGTTATTGTTATTGTTATTGTATCTGCATACAATAATTTTCCATTACTAGTCAAGCCAGAATGAGTTACAGTATGGAAAAATCGAAAATTGGTATAAAAGTATGCATTTGTGACATAGATTGGCTAATATCTTAATAATAGCACACTTTCTTTAATAGCAATTCACCTTAATATATATACTAGTTAATCAAGTCAAGCAACAAATCAAGCAACTAAATAGTATGTCTCAGGAACCACAAAAGGGCGTTGCTTTGTCAACTAGCGGCCTTAGTAGGTATATGTGTGATTACTGTCTTTCAGTGTTTAATAGTTACAATTTGCAGCTTGTGCATATGTTGTCTGAATGCGAAAAACGCAATAAATACAAATAAATGTGCACTTTTTTGTTTTTCTTCACTAAATAAACAAATCTCATTATATTTTTATTGAGATTCAGTGATAAGATTGACGTATATATTTTGCAAAATTCTTGAGCTCTTTTAAACCCAATCTTTTTGAATGCGCATAAATTCGCGACTGAACTGCGAAGCCACATGCCAAAAATGGCTATTCATTGAATTGTGCATTCAGAATGTAAATATAAATGTGTCATATTGATAAAAATTAGTTTACAATTGCGTATTTTTTACAACCAGGTTGTATTAAAAAGTAAAGACAATTAGGAATGGAGGTTTAAAGACACCCTAATTAAAAATGCTATGATAAATGGTATTGGTACTTGTCAATTTATTTAAAAAGAAACAATTGCGATATTTTTATTTTGCGTTTATCTCATTACCAACTGCTACTCATATTATCATCAATTGTATATCGAATTAAATCAGGGCAAACCTTTTCAAAAACATGTACTGTCAATTTGCAGAAAGAGCCGGTTAATCATCTGTTAATGATGACGATTTTATGGTACTTTACTGCATACATTGTGAACAATGGTTTGCTTGGGAAAACGCTTTTTAAATCCATAATAAAACTTTCCACATGTAGCCATATTTATTTTATGTTTAGGAATTTACATTTTTACTAATTAATTGCTATTACTTGAAGTGAACTCGATTAAATTGGAAGATACAAATTTACAAATTAGGCATTCATGATTGCGAGTTCTGCTGATATGTGTGTTTTTCATTGAATAATAAAGGCACAAAAGAAAATGAACAATGCAATTGATACTGCTGTTATAGTAAGAGGGGGTGTGAAGAGCATTAGTTTTCTAGTGTTAGAAAATGGGGTTGATTTTATAAAAGGTTTTATTACTGATGTTTCTAAAATACTGCTAGGGCCGGCCTCATCTCATATATGTGCCTCGTCTTTATTGTGCACTTCACCAATTGTGCACTTCGTTGGTGAGAACTGGATCTTCTGTGAGCAGACCGGTATCTTGGCAGGTCAGTGTTGTGGTTTTTGTGTGTGTGCACTGCAAAATGGGGAGCATGGCTAGACATCATTATTATGCCTCCCTAATTTGTGTCTGCATAATCCAATTAGTGTCCTATCAATCGGCACGCAGGCGAAAACCTGTTTCGCGATTCTCAACCTCAACATCCACTTCCATATCTTCAGTCTGTGCAACACTGCCATTTGTAATTTTGGTTTTTGATAGCACAATAACACAATAGCGCTATCGAGTTTTATTTTATTTAAAGGCAGTGACTCATCGAGCCAAAACAAACATATTTGTAATCATGAGCGGTTTTGCGATTCAGATGGCCACATTGAAACAAATTATTTGAGACTTTTCACAAGCGGTGTTTGTCCACATGCTGCTTTAGAATATATCATAAAATGACAAATTAGTAAGCTATAAATCATAAATTAAAAAATGTCATATATTGTAAATAATGCGGGATGGTGGTACCCAGTCATCAAACTTTTCGTTCCAGCCGAGATAATGCACATAGTAATACAGTCCCAGGCGCTGGCCATTAGACATTGCCTCAATGTGTACTATGCGTGCCTTGTAAATTTTGCAGTCGCGGGCATCAATAACATGCACAAGATCACGCAGGGAATGCAAGTAAGGGCAAATGGAGTCTACGGATTCGCCGCCGGACACTAACGAGCAACCGCTGCTGTTGCTGGCAGAAGCACCTTGTTCTTCAGAAGAGGATGGTGGTTTCAGTGATGTCGCAGAGAAAAAGTGCTTGAACTGAACGAGTGCTTTTGTCATCGGGGTTTGGTCCAGCACAGGCTTGTCGTAGACGCGGCGCAGAAGCATGACCTCGTTGATTCCGGCGTGGCACTCCGCAGGCGGCTGCTGCTCCGCAGTATTTGGCAGCAGCAGCAGCCGCTGGGCGGGGGCCAGGAAGCGCCACTCGTAGTAGGCGATGGCACGGCGCATAGCCAGGTCCCTCAATACCGGTTGGTTATCCGAGTCTTTTATCCAGTCAGCAAACGGCGGCTGCGTGAGATCAAACAACCGCATCTCGTCTGCCTGGCAGAACGAGTAGGAGCCGTCCTCAAAGTATCGCACCTGGTGCCTTATCGTCTGTACGCCCTCGGCGTCCGTCAATGTCTCGCGGTCGACAATGACCGCCGGCCACCAGTGCTCAGCCTGTGGGTCCAGCGGGTCGACCAGCACCGGGGTGCCACTAGCCAGGGCCGCAAACATCTCCGCCGCGGTGGCATGCGCCGGGCCCTGAGCGCCATCGAAGATTGTGGGGTCTGCTTTGCTTTTTGTGCCGTGCGCGCGGTACCTCTTGGAGCCCCCAGAGTCATCGGCACCGTCGCTGCTGCTGCTGCTGCTGCCGGCGCGTTTCAGCTTGGCAACCTTGGCCTTAGCCGGCGACTTGCGCGCTGCCGCGTGCTGGCGACCCTGGCGGCCCTGGCGGCTCTGGCGGTCGGGCCACGAGACCCCAAAGAGGGCGCTATGGCGCACACACCGCCGGCACACGCCCTTGGCGGAAGCCTCGTCTGCTGCTGCTGGTGCTACCGCAGACGCATCGTCGCTTTCGCTAGAGGACGGCGGCGTCAGCGGCTGTGCGGCCGGCTGCAGGTCGCGGCAGACCGTGCACCGGGTCAGGCCAGCCTGGAGGGCCAGAGCAGCCATGCGGTCGCGCGTGCTCTTTGGCAGGCAGCTGGCCGGCGTCACCGATCTTAAGCCCCTATTGCGTGTGCGCATGCCATCAGCAGTCTTGGCCACCAGTAAAGGCCCAGCCTCCGATTCAACGTCCGACGGCGCCGCGCTAGGCTCCGCCGGCGGAGTCTTCATCAGCGGCTTGATCGCAACCGCCCGGCCATCCTCGACCTTGTGGCGCTCGTACCAGCCGTGCGAGTACTTTTCGCAGGTGGCGCAGAGGCACTCGCAGTTGTCGTCGCCAAAGTAGCAGCTGCCGTAGTGCGTCGTGATCTCCTCGCCGGGCTCAATAGTGCGCAGCGCCTGGAAGCAAATGGCATCGGAGCCGAGCGCCGTGAAACGGCAGTTGGAGTCGCAGTCGTGGTTGACGAAGCGCGCCGGGCCCAGGAACAAGCACATGCTCTTTTTCTTGCTCCACCATATGACGCTAAAGTCGGCGCGCTCGCGCTCCATGCGGTCGATCTCGGCATCGCTCAGCCGCGCAACGCTGCCCGAGCATAGCGAAATCACCATGCCCAGCGTGTACCGCCGCGTCGCCACGATGCGCGCCTCGCTCTGACCTGTGACCACCTTGTAGCGGTCGGTCTGGCTGATCTCGTAGCCGGCCGACGGCAGGTACATCGAGAAGTACCGCCCGGCGTGCAGTCGGAAGTCCGCCACCCGCAGCGCCGACTTGTGCCGGAGAAACGGCGCGATGTACTCCTGCACCAGCAGTTCGTCGACAGCTGCGGGGATCTTCAGGTCGCCTGTGGCCACACGCTTGACCAGGTCCAAGATGGCCGGCTGGCTGGTGCGCGCCGGCCGGTAGCGCGGGAACATTTTGCGCGTCGTGAACCACAGCCCCACCTGGTCCAGCAAAACGTCGCTCAGAAGGTCGTCGTACTTTGACAGAGTCAGCGCGTCCATAGTGGAATCTGACGACGGCAAAGTCATTTATAATTTACAGGTGGCCGGCGAGCGCTGAAGTCTCTTGAATTGAATAAAAAATAAAAAAGTAAAATAAGCGAAAGTAAATGTAAGAAAAAAGAGGGAGGGAGGGAGGGCTTAAGAGGGGTGACGGGGAGTGAAAAGGGCTGTAAAGCGGTAAGTAACACCCGTTATTGGAAATAGCAATATGGTACAGGACAAATTAAAGTAAAAAGAAAGATAAATTATAAATTATACTGTAACAAATTATTTGGCAGCAAAAAGCATCAGCAGTAGCAAAAAAAGATGTTTGCTACCAGGAATTTAGAACTGCCAAAATAAAAGCGTGTGGGCAAACAAAAAAACTAAACGCGTTTATTGTGAGCATGCTCGCATCGATCATCACATCGACATTTCGTGTTTTTTTTGCTTGCAAAAATGCCAAAGTTTGGCGATAACCAAAAAAGGGCGCATAAATCAAGAAATCTGCGATGATCAAGAGTGAGAATCAATCGCGAAATGGAATCCATGGTGTTGGTGTGGTCTCCTCTTTTCCCTGTTTTTTTCGTTTTTTTTAATTTTCACCCTTCTTTCACAACAAAACCTCAATTCTTTCAATTTAGCTATTAAATAATCTCGACCATTTCTATCCTTCTTCTTTTTTTTCAAAGCCCAAATTTCACTACACTATTCCTATCGAGTTATTATTACCGAAAATGATGGCCGTGCCAAAGGACAAAGCCGCTAAGGAGAAGAACGGCATTGACGCGCGTCCGAAATTAACATTCGAGGAGCAAAAGCTGCTGGACTCGGTCAAATATGCCGACGAAATCCACTACTCTGAACGGTACTCGGACGACGACCACGAGTACCGTCATGTGTCGATCCCCGAGGGGTTGAGGAAGTACCTGCCGCATCCGCCACGCTTGATGAATGATAACGAATGGCGCAGCCTAGGCGTACACCAGTCGTATGGCTGGTTGCATTATATGATCCATGAGCCTGAGCCACACATGCTTTTGTTCAGGAGAGATAAGAATTAAAATGGACGCAATTCCTGAGTTACTTTGGCTTTTGTCGTGATGATCTTTTTTCTCTTTGGTTAATTCTCTTTTACTTCTCTTTCACATCTCTCTTCGGTCCGTTTCAAAGCTCCTTTTCTTTTGTAATAATTTTTTATGAACACGAACCCCAGTTTTACGCAATTACAAAGTACAGAATATCTATACTCAACACACACACAAAGAGGTGACATTGGTGACATTTACAAAACCAATACTCTAGTGAAGCGGCCGCTCGGATCCCTTAAGAATATCCTGGATGACACTGACATAGTCCATGCACTGCCAGTACTGCTGCATGCCCTCAAGCACCTTTACCATACACGACAGGTTCTCATAGGCGCGCACCAGCCGCAAGGCCTTGGTTTTCAGCGATGCACGGTCCTCCATTGCCTGGCGCGTAGGCGGCGCCGGCGCAGCATTGGACATATGCATGGCGGTGGCCAGCATTATGGCCGAGTTGTTCATGCTGGTCGACAGTGGCTGCATGCGGTTGGCTGGCTTTTGCAGCCGCTGGCTCATTCCCAGCAGCTGCTCGGCGTTGCCATCCATTGCTGGCATGTTGCTAGAGCCATCTCCGGGTGGGACAAACATGGATGCAGAGGCTGCAGCGTCGGTAGCTGCAGCTGCAGCGGCGGGAGGAGTCTGCTGGCTGCTATTGACAGCCATTGACTCTGCAGGTGCCATTGTTGAGTCTAACGGGTCGTCCGATCTGCCAGTTGCCACTGGATCGGTGGTCGCAGCCTTGGCAGCGCGCGCCTTGCGCTTGGCCTGTACCTTGAATGACCCCTCGCTCTCCTTGAGCAAGCGCTTAATGTGGCCAACCTGCACCTGCGCGACAAGAAACATCCACCAGGCGGTCGACGGCTGCAAGCGCATGTAAAAGTCGGGGTCGGACAGTATGGGGTTGTCGGCACCAGGTCCCGTGCCTGGAGCGTTGAACGCCGAGCCTGGCTGCGACAGAATGTTGGCGTCACCCGACAGGACCTGCTCGCGGAAGACCTCCAGGGGCAGGCTGCCGAGAAGCACGAACTTGGGGTGCTTGCCGCGCAGGATCGATGCCAGCTGGTCGGCTGTCGACACGCAGCCGTCCCAGGCGAGCATGGCCATGTCTGAGAGGTCGCACAGGATGCTGCTGGCGGCATTAGGCCCATTCAGCACTGACTGCGGTCCTTTATTATTATTGGCTGGCCCAGGCATTGGCAGCATGTTTCCAAAGCTACCAAACCCCGTGTGCAGCATGTCGTCAAGCCCCGCTGCTGCGCCTCCATGATTGTAGGTACCATTGTTGCCGTTGATGTTCATACCGCTGCCGCTCACCGGGCTGCCCATGACGCTGCCATAGATCGATGACCCCTGCATGCTGCCGTTGCTGCTGCTGCCCCCATTGGCCGCCAGACCCTGCGCAATGTTCATGAGCGACGGCATGGTGCTGCCTAGCGTGCCGATGGCAAACTCTGACAGGCCCTCACTCAGCAGCATACCACAGCCGTTACTATAGTCCACTGGCGGTGTGTGCGCGCCTGGGCATAGCCACGAGGGCCGCGCTGCCGCTGCCGCTGACACTGGTATGTGGCTGTTTGCTGCACCAAGCAGCGTTGCTGGGTCAGCGGGCATGGCCGCTGAAAAAGCCGAGTGACCGTATGCGGGAGTCTGCGACTGGCTGCGCATCTGCTCTTGCTGCTGCTGCTGATGGTACAGTTGCTGCTGGAGCAGCTCCTGCTCTTGCTGCTGGCGAATATAGCGCGAAAAGTCCGTGTACAATTGCAGAATAACACCATGCGACATTATGATAGTCGAGTGTGCGGCGATTAGATAATAATAATACTGGTGGCGATACTGGCGGTTATACTGGTCCGAAGGTACTCGGTTGATGACCTCGGAGAAGCGCAGCAAGATGGAGTCGAGCCATTTGTTGAGCTGCAGGTGCAGCCATGACCACGAGGCCTTGACTTTCTCCAGCCGATCTGCCCACGAGACAACCTGTCGCCGCCGCCTCAGGTAGGGGTAGCTCTCGTCGAGAAAAATCGGGTTTACATGGAAGAAAGAGCGGATGGCTAGCGCGCGCAAGTTGTTCAGTCGCCGCAGGTGGTCGCAGAACTCAATCATTAGCCGCTCGAGGTAGAATGCACCCGGGTGGTAGAGCCAGGGTGGGTGGCAGTCGTGGATGCCGTTGAGCCGTAAGTACTCGGCACCCTGCTGCGCCGATGACACGCGGTCTCCAAAGCCGAGGTCGCGCGGCAAGATGATGTCAATCGGGATGTTGGGATGCTGCTGCTGCTGTTGAGAGAGAAAGTCGCCGAGCGACCCGGCAGCAGCATTGTTGCTACTGCTGCCTGCAATCGTCCCCTGGTTCTGGTTATTTTGCTGCTGCTGCTGATGGTATGGCTGGTACGGCGGAATTGGGTCATCAGGATTCCCAATGCTCAGCGTATCGCTCACCCACTCCTCATCACTGCACGGCAGGCGCACACAGTACGAGTCGGGCGGGATCTCCAGTGGCACATTCATGACATTGGCAGTGAAATAATCGACAAAGACGAGGAACCACCAGATCCGGCGCTTTGTCTCCAGCTCCACCAGATCGCTGACCGATTTTGGACACGAGCAGGCGCCAGGCAGCAACGACTTGACCTCATGCTGGCGGTCAAAGGTTCCGCTGAAGGCGATCATCGGGCTGGACGCCAGAAAGGTCGCGTCCATATTCTGAAACCCCATAGTTCGCGCTGTGCACACGGCCTTGACCAGATACATGCGCGACTTGAGCATGTTGCCCTGGCCCATAAAGTAAACCGAGAGGAATAGCATGCCGTGGATCGTGTCGACAGTTCCGAGGTCGCCGTGGTTCAGCTGGATGCTGGCCAGCCCGCAGGCTGTCGATGCGTGGCGGTCGCCGTTAAGGAATGCCATGCCGTTAAGGGAGTGCAGGCTGGGGCGCCGCGAGTAGCGGCTGGCCACAGCCATAATGGCATAGATCAGCACGGGCGAGACCAGTCCGCTGGTCGCGCGCTTGCGGAACGACGGCTTGTGCAGCGTCTGTACGCCCATGTAGAAATACTCGAAGATCCCGTTCATGTGCTCCTCCAGCTCTCCGGCCGCCGGCGGAGGGTACGAGGTGACGTCAAAAAGCGGCCTGCCAAAGTTATCCGCACCGTCGGCGTTTAGCCCATCAAGCACCTCTTCTTCCTCGACGATTGTCCGGCTGCACTCGCCGCTGCGCTGGCGCCTGGTTCCCGTGCTACCCTCGGCACCCTCCGTGGCAGCAGCACTATCCGTGGTACCTGCGGGATCGATCATCGTCCATACCCCTAGGCCGTTTCTCCGCATGCGCGCGCTGCTGCTCGGCCCGTGTCCGGGCACAGAGCCGATCACTCCTGCCGTCGCAGCAGCTGGTGTGGCTTGTGAATGAGCAGCAGTTTGGGTCTGCAAGGGGTGCGTTTCCAGCAAAGCAGCGGCCACCTCCTGCTCACTGCGGCTAAACGTGTTGTTCCCAGCGGAGGCATCGCTTCCACTGTTTCCGCCGTTGCTGCTATTGATGCTGTTGCTGTAATTCATGTTGATATTGCCTAACGGCGTATTTGGAACCATAGACAAATGCGGCGGCGAAAACTGGAATTCAGCCGCCACTGCAACATCCGCCACAGTGACCTCTGGTGCTTTGACAGTTGATGTCGACATTGACTGCTGGATCGAAGGCGCAAGCGGATTCTGCTGCTGTTGATTATGCGACCGATGCTGATGCTGATTATTGTGGCTGAATCCGTATGTATTTGACTGGTGGTATGGCTGCTGGTGCACAGCAAACGCAGACTGGCCAGGTCCCAAGCTGCTGTTCGCCGAGGTGGTCTGCATCATGCCGCCGAGGCCAATGGGGGAGGCCATTCCTGTCACCATTGATAGGGACGAGCCCACGGATGACGGCACTGGCGATTGGGTGCATATCGATTGCGAATCAAACATACTACTAGAGTGCGAGAGCGAGCGGAATGTCATTGGCGGCGGAGGAGGAGGTGGAGGCAGCAGTGGCGATGGTGAGCCCAGAAACACGGACTGCCTGTGGTGCTGCTGCTGCTGCTGGCTGTTAATTGACTCGAGGAAGGCAGATGTCAGGGCAGAGCGTTCTACTATGGCAGAACCGCGCAGGGATGCGCTAATGAACAAATCTGCTGGGCCCTGCATGGCCAATGGATTCCTACTGCTCTCACCAACCCCGCTGCTCGTCGCTGGAGGGGAAGCCATGGCGCTGATAATCGAGTCCATCGCCACCGAATTACCACGACCATGGCTGCCCTCGTCGGCCATAGATATGTCTGAGGGAATAGAGAAAAAGGGCGGAAACGAGTCCAGCAGGCTCATCGTCGGGTCACCATGCATCGCCGCAATGCCAGCGCTTCCACCACTGCCGCCGCCCAGCGTCGACGCAGTCAGCGGCCTCGAGCCAATGGTGCTGGCAGACGAGCCCAATGACCACGAGTCACCATCGCCGGTCATTTCAACATCGATCAAACCGGTTCCAGTTGAAAATGGGAGGGCTCTTTTGCCGTGGCGTCCGCGCTTCCGCATCGCTCTGTACTCGCAGTTGAGCCCGCGTTTCTCGCACGACGTACACTTTGGCTTGTTACCGTCGCAGCGCGACCGCCGCTTGCGGCATATTTCGCAGGCATGGAAGACACGGCCGTCTCTGCACACTACTTTGTCTTTGCCGTCGGCCTCGCCACTTTGGTCATTGTGTTGGTTGAATTGAAAGTCTGCCCCGAAGCCGCTGCTCATTGCCCCCGAATTTGTTTTGAGGCTACCCTGAAATAATAATAAAAATAAAAAGGGGGAGAGAAAGAGGATAAACAAAGTATAGCGTAATATAAGTTGGTTGGCTAAGAGGATGAAGAGAGACAAAGATGTCGGAAATAAAGTAACCCAGAAAATTTAATTAAATAATAAGAGGGCCACCAAAAAAAGTTGGGTATTATCTACCCATCCAATCCTCGATTAAATAATTTTATCCATCCATTCATCCGTTCGCTTGCTCCCACCCTCAGCTGCAAGCGTATTGGATAAGTTGAGAAAAGCAGACTGGAATTAAGAGTAAAACCCTCGCTTAAAATAAAAATGAAAATTTGTCCACAACTGGCTAATAAATAAATAGAAGAATAAATAGGATCAATCGACGGAGGCTTTGCATGAGGAAAGAAACCACATTATTATTTGTGTGCGGCAAAAAATAGGACATTTCTTCCGCCTCCCCCTTTACTTGCTTACACTTTCTCTGAATGAATTTCTTATTTTGGACATCCTTGACAATGACAAATTTGTTTCTTATTTGGGACAATTTACATTGCGCTAGTCCTAATATTGGACTCGCATTTTCTCATTCCTTCCCCTCCCTCCCAAAAACAATTGTTTGTTATATTTTTGTTCGTGCCATGTGTTTATATGCATGTTTTATTTGAATTGCAATTGTCGACATTGGCAATAATTTGTTTGGTGACGACACAAACAATAGAAGGCATATTGTGCCTTGAATGATTTAATATTGGTGAGTGAACTAGTGATCACGTGAATATATACAAGTAGCCTTGGGTTCATATGTAGACCTGCATGCTCGATTTGAATCTCTCACATTTTTTAGTATTTATTTTTTTGTTCTTTTTTCGCAGTCTCTAATTTTTCAAATTGAAAAAGAGATCATCTAATATTTTTTACTCTGGAAATACTAATAAAACAATCTGTCGGACTTTTCTGAATTGAATGATTGACAAACTTGTATTATAATAGAAAATTTTCAACGGATATTTTTGTAATTACAAGTTTAGTGTAAAATATCACATTTATTACCCTGGTGAGCAATGTTGTTGTTTTTTTGCCACAACAGATATTTTTTTACCAAAAAATTGACATGGAAATGCAGCTGAAATGGCGCTTTGGGAGTACACGCTCAAGCACAAGAAAACAACCAAATAAAAAACAATGCTTTTTAGTGACTTTAATTTGCACTGCGTAAAATTTTGCTGTGAGAGATAAAATAAAGGGGGGGAGGGGGCACGGATATTTGATGGCTTTTAAATTGGCCATGTTTAAAAAATGGTTTACAAAAAACCCCCAATTATTATACCAGTTCTAATATCAAACAAAATGTAATAAAGCAGACAATAGAAGCAATGACAACATGGCGATATGCACAAATTCACATATGCATATGTGCATATGTGAATTTGTGCATATGCCCGTTTGTCTGTTTTATTAAATCTGAGTAGCGCTACTTTAACATGTTAACAATACACTAACTACAATGCACCCATTGTCATCGTGCGCAGCAGGGCCTTGGCCTCATCGACTTTCTGCTGGCTAGCGCCCCCACTGCTCGCACCATCAATGACCTGCGCCAAGTAACGCTGCGCCACCTGAGTGCGTCCTCGGTCGTGCTCAAATGAAGCTAAAAACAAGCATGCTGCAGCCAACTCGTCCTGACCGCCAATACCGTTACCACCCGCAGAAAAGACAGCATTAATTCCAAAACTGCCTTCCGGCGCTGCTGCTGCTGCTGCTGATGCCGCTGCCTGAGCGCCATTCTTCAGCGCATGCTCATATAACAACTGGTAGTAGTAGGCGGCAAGCTTCCGGTTGCTGGCACTCTCGTACAGCCGTGCCAGTTTTGTAATTGCCAGGAACTCGCTTTCGGCAGATCCAATTAGTGCACGACGATAGCAGTCGATAGCCTTGGTCGGCTGAGCTGAGAGCTCGTAGCAGTTGGCCAAGGCGCACCACATGCGGGAGTCATAGGGGCGTAGGGTGGCGGCGCGCATATAGTAGTTGAGCGCGTAGTGCGGCATATTCAGCATCTCGTAGGTTTGGCCCAGCCCGTACCAGGCGCGGTAATCGCGGTCATCAACGTCGACAGCGTGGCGGTAGGCGTCAATGGCTGCTGCAGTGTTCTTCATCTCGATAAACTCGTGGCCCATCAGCGTCCATGCCGCTAGGTAGTTGCGATCCAGTTGGAGCGCTCGCTGGAAATACCCGACAGCTTTTTCGTGCTCGCGCCGCAGGCTGTAGTAGTTGCCGATTACGCAGCAGGTCTCGGGCCGGAACCGGTCAAGGTCAGAGCACCGGTGGGCGAGTTCGCCCAGCCGTGCGCGGTCCTCCATCACATAGAGAATGTTGGAGTGGATGTCCGCCAGGTCCAGCCGATATGGATCCAAACCCTGCAGCGTGGCAAACAGACTACGGGCCTCCTCAAACTCGCGCATGTTGTAGTGCCGCACGGCGCGCAGCCCAATGACAAACTGGCTCTGCGGGAACAGCTGCTCAAGCACCTGGCAGTGCATGGAAAACGCGTCACCATTATTCCCGCCGCCGCTGCTGCTATTGCTGCTACTACCGAATACCTCCAGCAGCAGATGAGCAAGAAAGGCGTGGCGCATCCATCCGTCCGGCAGTTCGCCGCCAAGCCGGTCAATGGACTCTCGCTGATCAATGCACGACTCGAGCAACAGCCACGCGCTCCAATTGAACTCAAAGGCGCGCACCGACCTCAAACAGGCCTCACGTGCCGCCGGCCTCTGGCCGAGTGTCTTGAGCACCATGCCCAGCAGGTACTGGCCGAATGCATCCAGGTCGTCATCAGAGTTGGACGCCTCGAGCTCATCGCGGATTGCCACCAGGTCGCTATCAGCCTCGCCAGCCACCCGCAACCTGCCTCTCCCCTCAGAATCCCTGCTGCCGCCGCTCTCACATACCCGCCGCTCTCTGCTCATATACTGCGAATACAGCCGGATGAACTGCGCGCGCGGACCAACACAGTCCTGCAGCCCATACGCTGCGCGGTCGAATTCGCGCATGTCAAAAAGACACTTTGCCAGTGCCACCTTGTCCTGCTCCAGCGCATCCAGCTTGTCCCAGCGCTCTGCGCGGTCCTGTTTGCTGCACTTGCCGTCGCTCGGCTTGGGGTCTTCGCTTATTGCGCTGTGTCTGGGTGGTACACGTAGTCGGCTTTTCGGTGTGGGTGTTATTATGCTTGGGCTGAACATTGGTGCTCCGAATGTCTTTTGAATTGTCGGTGCTTCTGCCGATAGGCTGCATAGCTGCTCGGCTGCCCATTTGGCTGCAAACACTAGCCCGCGCGCTGAGCACTCATCGACAGCCTGGCGCAATTGAATTCGAAGCGAGTCGAAGCCTGATTCCATTCTCCTAGTTTATTTTTTGACACTAATTGAAAGTTTAAAATACAAATTGGCACACGAAGCAGAAAATAAAGAGGAGACGCAAAAGTGAAACCCATTTTGCATCGGGCTTGTTCATGCATGGCCAGATCACCAAGCCACATATCATCATGGGCCAGTCGCGAGACAGAAAATAGATCAATTGAGCGAGGTAATCAAGTAGGCAAGCAAAATAACATGAACAATGTATTTTGCCTTGCTAAGTAACTTTTGTTCATGTCCGCAACTTAATAAACAACAAAAATCTAATTAAAATAAATTCATAAATGAATAGCTGTCTTAATAACAAATAAAAAACATATTCAGATGTTAATGTAACATTAAATGTAATGAGTAGCAAAAGAGTGATTTCTGCCAGGATTGAACTGGCGACCGTCTGCGTGTTAGGCAGACGTGATAACCGACTACACCAAGAAATCACGATATACTGATTAAACAAGCTAATCAACCACTCTGAAATTGGTAACACAATTAATACTAATGATCTAATGACATAATTAACGACTACCAATATTTTTGCTTTTTATTATAAATTATTTTTGCCATTGAACCTCATAGAAATCGCAACCGGTCCAATGCCGGTATTACAATTTTTATCAAATTAAATCTACCAACCAACGCCCGTGACAAATGCCAATACATGCTTGTCAAGATAGATTTAGTCAGTAACAGCCTCGTCAACAATTCTACAAATTTCCACAGATGCCAGCTGAGTATTTCCATTCTACGGGTGAACAAACAGGGCGCCGCAGAATACTGTTCCAATCCTGCCTCCTAACAGTTATAAATACACCATATTTTAAGCCAATGCCTGACTGGGTGTGGACAGACTCAGAGCTAGAGATAAATTTTGATATGGATATTTGATTGGACTTTTCTTTTCTTTAATACTTGCATACAATATGTTTTAGTTGCTTTTTTCTTATTTAATTGTAACTCTGTAGACTGCTGGGTTGCTACAATGGTAGCACCTCTCTTTCTTCCCATCTCATTTTTTCACTTCAATTATTTTATTTAAATTATTCTATTTTATTTTTATTTTAGTCGCTCATCATTTTCTATTTTCCCACTTTTTAAATTAGTTAAAATTGAGTTTTTGTGCCCCTCCCCCATTGTACCCCCCGGAATCGACCAACAGTGACATAAATAGTTCTACCTGGCCCACGTCTTCAGCCTCTTTTTTCGGTGATATAAATGAACCTGATAATTCTACTCATTCTGGGCCTGATGCCCCCTCCCCTCACCTTCGCAGAGCGCCAAACGAAGATCCTGGTGCTTTTGCACAGCGGATGATATATTACATCAAAACACTCCAACTTGAAGAAGACCAGGTGTGCAATGTATTTTCACGTCAACTGACTGACAATGCCGAATATTGACTCACTACCACATATGCCGACCAGCACCCGACCGGGACGGAACTATTGACTGCACTGGTTGCTCGCTTTCACCGGCGAGGTCGGCAGTCCAGTTCTGGTTGACTATTGGTCGCTGTACTTTGCCAAGAAGCAAAGTTTGTCTGCACCGGTCGGCTGCAGTGTAATTACACTTGTTGCCAACATTTTGTCAAGCTGCAATACCTTAACACAGCACATTATTCATTGTGCTAAGGTGCTGGGGTCTTCATTCTGGCGCCCTGCAAAAGCGGGGGGGGGGGCGTCAGGCCTGAAATGAAGGGAATCATTGCATTCATCTCCATCATCAAAAAAGGGAAGTGGTTGAAGTCGGCCTTGTAGAATTGGCACTGTTGCTATCAACCACATCTATGTAGAGTTGAGCGCAAAAAATCAATTTTAAAAAATGGGGGGAAAATAAAAAGGCAAGCATATATAGATAAAATGAAAATAAGATGGCGAGTAATAAAAATGGAGGTAGCAAAATCAGTGGGGATGCTACACTACTGTTGTTGCCTTATGACAGACAATAACAGTGGTCTTGGAAAATAAATCTATAGCCTTGCCTCACAAGACACATTCAAGAATCTAAAATATAATTAAACCAAATATATTTGTGTGGTTAACAAAGAAGTGGGAATTTAATCAAATATCTGTGGTCTTTCTTGGTCTGGCATTAACTTGGACACAGCGTATTTATACCACTGGGAGGTGAATTTGAACAGTGTCTTGCGACGCTCTGTCTGTTTATCAATAGAGTAAGAATATTCTACAGGAGTGCGTGGAACCTTGTGGAAACGTCGGCAATCTTGTTGCCGACTAGATTCCCTCGATAAGAGTGCATTGACAGTGTCGCGGGCGTTTGTTGATGAATGTCATTAGATAACGTTGTGGTCCAAATTTTTGATAGGCCTCAGGTTCGGTGGTCTCGTTGGTGTTTTTGGTAACGTCACCAACATTATAAATCCTTTAAATATGTTGACAGTGAATATATTTTCAGGCATTCCGTAGCAAATTAAAGAAGCAAGTATCAATACTGAACTGGAATAGTAATATGGCAAAGTATTATTTTGATCTGATTAATTATACTATTTAACTTAAGGTGAGCTTGTTGCAACATCTATACTTTTACTAGTAAAAATAAAAGCTGGTAGACTTTTGCTTTGCATTTTTCCTTTACGCATTTTAAAATGTTTATTACTATAGGTGACAATATATTATCAACAAACTAAAACATATTAAGTTGATAAAAGATTGAACAGATAGTGCTAATTAAATTAACAAACTGTGAATGTATAGTACATAAAAAAGCGTCCATGTGGCACATAAAAAATTGGCGTAGAAACAATTATTTCTCTTGGTTTTTATTTAATTACAATGCAGACTTTTTTGCCCATTCAAATCCCTTCTTATTTATACAAAGCAAACAAAGCCAATTTTATTTTGCTTTAATAATAAGAACAAAGAAAATGGTTTAAAAAGGCTGAACAAGGCGGAATTATTTTCTGTCAAGGAATTTATTTAACATTGAATCCGGCGTGAGCGGGGTTTATTAATAATTTTGGCATTCGTCGCAAAATAGATGAACAGTTTGCATTGTATTTCATTATTCATTATTTAATTTATTTATTTACTTATACATATAACTACTTTATATAGCTGTACATATTCAATATTCAAGATTTAGCATTCAACATCACAATGTCTTACATATTGAACGTTAGATATTTAAACAATGATCCAATGAAGGTAGTCGTCGGCGTAAAGGGCACAATAAGCGATTTTCTTCTAGGCGTAACGCGAAAACTGCAGCTGACATACAACCATTTCTCACCCATCGGGTATACTATAAAACTGTGTGAAACAACATACAAGTTGGAGGGCGACAGCAGCTACAACACAATAACAATGGCTGACGTGCTGGGTGGACTGCTGATGGGCAGTATCAAAAACATATATTTGAGATTGAACTTACCAGTTGCTGAGCCCTGTGCTAAAGCCAGCGAGGCAGCCGAGAATACAGAGAGCAAGGTATGTGAGGCAGCTGAGGAAACAAAAAATATGGGGTGTGAGGTAGTCGACAAGACAGAAAACAAGGTGTTTACAAGCGCGGAGAAGCCTGCCCAACTGGAATCCGGAAACTTTAAGGATTCGCTGTAGTCCCTTTTCTGTCACTAAAACCAATGTCTATACTGTATTTCTCTTGTCCTAATTTTTTAAACAGTAAAAGTAAATACATTATTTTCAATTCCTCTGGTTTTTTCGGTTTGCTGGAAGCCTATCATTAAAGAGGAGAAAATGACTCAACCAACGTAGCTCATTGTTAATGAGATTGCTAATAGAGCGGCCATTGTGTCCCTAAAAATTGCTACGTTTTTGATAGGGGGTGCAGTAGCATTGGCAATAGCAGCAACCAGCGGGCCGGCGGCAATGTTAGTCAGAACAATCACGGGCAAGGGGGGAAGCCGCAGCTGTTTCTTTAAAAAATTCGTATTGTGCTTGGCACACACTTCTTTTTTAAAGGCAAGAAAAGTGAAAGAATAAAAATACTGGCAAAACCCACATCTCTTGCGGCCACAAAGAGTCACCAACATACTTTTTTTCCCGCCCGAACTTATTATCTTAGGTCTAAAAGCAAGAAAAAATAAATAAGTGTGACGTCTTCTTGTCACATTACTGCGCATCAATCACACTCTTATTTCTTTTTATGCTCTATAAAAGTAAAAAAAAATTAGGGCGGCCTGGGTGCATATGAAAAGGAGAGAGACCCAGGCGGGATTTATTTCTCTAAAAGACGCGGGGGTGCGTTTGTATGCTAGCGAATGGGCTCGTATGAATACGCGTGTGTTTGCGTGTGGGGAAGGGGAAGGCGAGAGGGGGCTTTTTTCCTTTATAAGTTGGCAACTGCACTATTTTTCTACTTACAGTTGTTTCAAAAAACTGAATCCTTGTAATAATTTTCTTTGTTCTTTTAAATCTTTTTTGCTTGTTTGCAAGGGGATATTTTTATAGCAATTCTTGGGTTTTGTCCTTTATATTAATTTCCCTTTGACTTTCTAGTCTTTTGACTCTTTTATTTTACACACTATTCTTTTTATTTTGACAGTTGCTGTTCTTGTCCGTTATAAATTGTGTATTTGATTCTGCCTACGCACTCTCACTTCCTCTCTTTTTTCGCTCTGTTTCGTTCTTGTTTTATTTGTCTTCAACAAACTTAAACTCATACTCATATACACTTACAAAATTTTCAAAATTTCCTATTTCAACTCTATATATCCACGAAAAAAACTAGCAAATTCTCTAGCATCTTGTGTATCCCGCCTCTTAACAAGAAAGCTATTTTTCATTTCATTTTTCTATTTTTCTATTTTTCTTTTCTATTCATTTTATATCTTTCACAAAAAACTACAGCCTGTTGACCATGTCGGACGAGATATCATTCAAAGTCTCTGCAATGAATATCAGCCAGGCATCGGAGACAGCAGCGGCAGTGACCAAGGAAAAATACGCCATCGACGAGTCGCTCTTCGACATGCTCGTGGACAAAGCCAGCAGCAATGCGCCCAATGACATTACTGACGACACACCCGAGTCAATGGAAACCGAGCGTGCACTCAAGCAGCGGCTTCTGGCTCCAACCACAGATGACCTAGAGTACCTGGCCAAGCTCCTTGCCAATCGGCTAGACGAGGGCCAGGGCGAGATAATGCTGGAGGTCGGCGGATGCGAGGGCGAGTTTTCAATGGCTCTGATTGACTCCGATGTCTCCGCCGTCACCGTTGCGTTGGGCAAAGCTGCCGAACTTTCGTCGGTGGACGCGTTTGTCCAGCTACTGTATGACAGTGGGGCGGCTGCAGGGTCGCCCTCGATGGCTGTGGGGTCAATAGTAGGTGAGGGACAGAGGGCTACAGTGAGGTATGCAAGAGATATCACCGTGGCTTCTGCTTCATCGTCGCAGAAAAAGGGCAAAGCTAAGAGCCAGGCTTCTGAAGCCACATCAGCCCCTCCATCCTCCCATCAGCCGCAGCAGCAGCAGGTGCGCACAGCCTACTATTTGGTCCGGCGCAAACCGAGCGGCGTCGAGCATATGCTCGAGGTGCGCGTTGCTGTGGTCGGCAACGTCGACGCCGGCAAAAGCACAATGCTGGGCGTGTTGACCCAGGGCCATCTCGACGACGGGCGCGGCAAAGCGCGTGTGGCACTGTTCCGGCACCAGCACGAGCTCGACTCTGGACGCACATCGTCGGTTGGGCTGGAGATCCTTGGCTTTGACAAAATATCAGGTGCGCCTGTCCGCCACACAACCGACAACCACCGACGTCTGGGCTGGGACGCAGTCTGCAGGCGGTCATCCAAGCTTGTATCCTTCTTGGACCTGGCCGGGCACGAAAAATACTTGAAAACAACGGTATTTGGTATGGCTGGCGGGGCGCCTGACTTTGTCATGCTGATGGTGGCGGCTAACGCGGGACTGACCGGAATGGCGCGCGAGCATCTGGGGCTGGCCCTGGCCCTGAACATCCCGGTCTTCGTCATCATCACCAAAATCGACATGTGTCCGCCAAACGTCCTCGACGCAACGCTGAAGGAGCTCACTCGGGTGCTGCGCAGCTCTGGGTGCCGCAAGATCCCAATTGCCGTGAAGGACCGCGCGTCGGTCGTTATGGCGGCGTCCAAGTGCATCAACCAGCGGGTGTGCCCGGTGTTCCAGATCAGCAACGTGACCGGCGAGGGGGTCGATTGCCTGCAGACTTTCCTCAACATCCTGCCGATCAACTGCAAGTATGCTGCCTACGGGCTGGCCAAGGATGCCTCGGGCACCGATGTCTCTGGCCAGGCCAGAAGGACCCGCAATGCAAAGCCTGGCGATGCGCAGGACGCGGCAGCAGTGCCGAGCGTGCAGATGCATTTCGACATCAACGAGGTGTTTGCCGTTCCCTTTGTCGGCACAGTTGTCTCGGGCATTGTCACCAGAGGCACAATGCGTCCCAACGACAACGTGTGGATTGGCCCAGACTTTAACGGCAACTTCTCCTCTGCTGTGGTCAAAACCGTTCACCGCAAGCGCGTCGAGGTGCAGACCGCATACGCCGGCCAGAGTGTCTCGATGGTCCTGAAAAAGGTTATGCGGTCGCAGGTGCGCAAGGGGATGGTGTTGTTAGGCAAGCTGGCAAGCGGCGGGGCCGAGATGGCCTGCCCGCAGCAGCTATCCAGGACGTTCGAGGCTGAGATTGTTGTCCTGTACCATTCGACGACAATCACAAAAAAGTACCAGGCCATGGTCCACTGCGGCTCCGTGCGGCAGACTGCCCGGGTGCTGTCCATTGAGCATGCCGACAGCAACAACGAGTCGTTGCTGCGCACGGGTGACCGGGCAAGGGTTGTCTTCCAGTTTATCAGGCACCCCGAGTTCATTGCCGCTGACAGCCGGCTGATTTTCCGCGAGGGCCGCACTAAGGGCCTGGGTAAGGTTTTGCGTATTCTGGATAGGGCCGAGGAGCGCAACGCTGTGTTCAAGGCCACAGATGGCACCATGGCGTTTGACCAGCGCTCAATAAAGGCGCATCGCGAGGCCATGCGCCACAAAAACGCCCAGGCGGTAGCTTCAGGGTCAGATAAGAAGAAGAAGAAAAAGAGAAGTGCCGCTGCTGCTGCTGCCGCTGCCGCTGCTTCTGCTGCTGCCGCTGCTTCTGCTCCTGCTCCTGCTCCTGCTCCTGCTCCTGCTGCCGCCAGCAATAACAGCACTGCCAACGCACCCAAGATATCTGCGAATTAAAGATATGCCAAAAAAAATAATAACACTTTAATTAAAATAGTACTTTCCAATTGTAAGTGTTTGTAAAGTCGTTCTTTAGTATCCCAAATGTCTTTTGCGATTCACCAGCGTGTTGAAGCACCGATCAGCCCACGCAGAGTCCCGCTCAACGCGGTGTAGCCGCTTACCACTGTCACTTTTGGACTCGGAAAATCGGTCAACTGTGTCCAGCAGGTCATTGCGATAGTCAATCTGCAGCATGCCCATTTCATTCAGCTTCTTTCCTGGAAACTCGGCGACCAGCTTGTTCCACTCATCAAGCATCTGCTCGGGACTGGGCAGCGGCACAATGCCCTTGTACACGTGGGCCAGGTAGTGCGCCTGGTACTCGTAAAACGGGAACGGAGCAATTCTGAATGGCATGCCAAAAATTGCTAGCGTCGGGTTATGGATATACAGGAGGTACTTGTACATATCGTTGACCTTGTGCCCATCAGTGAACGGCGGCAACTCTGCTTCTGCCAGCTCGTTATTGGCGTGCTGGTGGTGGGTCGGTAACCGGTAGGCCAGCGATTGCGGGTTGTTGCTGTCGATGAACGGGTATACGTACAGGTACCCAGTGGCGTAGATTATGCAGTCCGGGATGGGCATGGCTGTTCCGTCGGTAAACAAAATTTCATTAGGCATGATGCATTCGATCCGGGGGTGTATCACAGGCATGTTGTGCGGGTTGCAGCCGTCAACGCCAACTACAGGCATGTCTTTATCCATTTCGCTATCTGGGCCCTTCTCTATCTTGGTCATAGATATGTGCACGTTTCCGGCGGTGTAGCTCAGCTGGCGCGCAATGTCAGAGCCCGAAAACGCACCGCCGACAACCAGCACGGACTGGCCGCAATGGTCCGTGGCCCGCCTGTACTCCCTCGCAGCCATAATGCAGCCCGGCCTAGCCTCAGCGAGCTCTCGAAGACCTGGGACATCGGGAATGTACGGGTGGTTGGCGCGCCCCGAGCACACAACAACTGCGTCATACAATATTGCTTTGGGCGGCAGCCCGGGACTCAACAAATCCTGCACTTTGCACTCCCAATGCTTTTGCCCAGCGTCATACTTAATCGATATAACCTCCTTGTTGAGCTGAATCAGCCGGTGGAGGTCGTGGGTATCAGCGTAGGAGCGCACGTACTGCTCGACGTGGCAGCGGCTTGGATATTCGGGCGTGGATTCTGGGAAATCATGGTCGATAAATCGCATGACATCTGTGGGCAGGTTCGTGTGGAGGTCGTCGTACAGCGCAGTGGGGAACCCATGTGTCAATGAGCTGCGCTCATCGTAGCCAAACTGTTTAGCGTGGTCCGATGAGTCCTGAGGCACGTTATAGTGGGACTTTGAGTCCGGTGTGTAGCACCTAGAGGGGGCGCATTAATTTAGTGGCTGAATTGATCATATTCTTTCAATATGAGAATATATTAGGAGCTTGTTTTTCAATATTGCATAATTGTTTTCTTTTTTGCTTACCATACGCCGCCAATGTCACTGTTGCGCTCCAGCACGGTGACCGAGGTGTATTTGTTTTCAACAAACACGCGTGCAACAGCCAGACCCGCTGGACCTGCCCCAATGACGCATATACGCTGTGCGTGCAAGCGAATACTGCCTGGCTGCTCTGCAACACCAACACCAGTGTCAATAGAATCCATGGCCACTTGCACTGGACCTGATTCTTTCCGAGGCTGATGGCTGGGTTGTGTGTCGGGTATAGTTGTTGTGTTCTCCGATGTGTCGGACATTGCGCAGTAAAAAACCTGTTTATTTATTTAAAATATTTTATAAAAATGTAAAAATAAAGCGTGTGTATGGAAAGAAAATGCTTCAAAAGCTGGTTGTGAGTGCAAATCCTTTTATTTGTCATTTTTGTACTTTTTCGGTTGGTTTATTGTGATGGCGTGTGGTTTATTATTTTTGCTGCATAACGCAATAGTGGAAAATCAAGAGGACTTTCAAGGCACCACACATGACAGATCAAATCCACCCCCCCACGCCTCGCATTTGCACTCCCCTCATTCCCCCAAAAGCAAAAAACACAGCGAAAAATAACCCCGCCTGGCCCTTATCCGTAATACCTGGGGCCCGCCTGACAAAAATTCTCAGTCTCTTAGGGGAGAAAAAAATTATGAAACTAATTAAAAAAAATTCTCAACGCAACGAATATTTCAACAGCGAGTGCATATCACCTTGTGTCTCTGTTTTGATTGTTGGAGAAGACACATAGCCAGACTGTTGCTGTTGCTGTTTCTGCAGCGGAATTGCAAACCCAGATTTCAGCGGCAACGGTGGCGGAGTGTCTGTCGACGATGTACCAATAACATCCACCCTTTCATTTGTCTGATCTACGTCAAACGCATAGGATTGTTTCGCGTGTTTCGAAGAATTCGAATGTAAAGGTGAGTGCAGGCCATCCAATGGTTGCTCAATTCTTGCCCTATTAAACAAATGCGACAATCTCCGCACGCCAATATCGCTGCCCTCGAGAGTACTTTCTGCTGAAGAGTCCATCTCCATGTACTCCTCCTGGTTAGTAGCTGACAATGGGCCTGGGTGGTCGGCGAGCATTCTGGACAGTGGCAGAGGCGGTGATGATGTACGGGGGCTCTGTGGGTAGTGTGGGCCTAAGCGCGGCGTCTGGTCGAAGCGGGAGGAGGACATTGGCGGGATGAACGTCTGGAATGGTGGTGGTGGGCGCAGGACGGATAAAGGTTTAGAAAGAGCCACATCGGAAAGCAGACTGAGCGGCGATGTGGATTGCGGCGTCGGGATACTGGACTCCAGGCTAAACCTCTGCTGTTGTTGCTGCTGCTGCTGCTGTGGTGGTGGAGGCAGTGGCTGCATAGGTAGTGGCGGGGGTGTGAATCTATCAAAAGAATCTATAGGCGGCAATTGCACATTGTTGTTGTTGTTGTTGTTGTTGTTACTTTCGGTATCGGAATACCCCAGGTTGCTGCTAGCGGGTGATCTGATGGGCGTCAATCGGATAGCATCAAATGAGGATTTGCCTGGGTGTGGCACCTGCATATCATAAACCTCGGTAACAGCATCCATACCAGGGTTCTTGGTGTTTGTTTTGCGCGGCATATTGGGTTTGTTCCGTTTTTTGTACGGTCCACGCTTGATCCCCTTCATGCGCGGCTTGCGCTGTGAGTCGACGCAGGTTGAGGATAGGTTGTATTTTTGGCAGCGCTGGCATGGTCGGTGTGGATCGCAGCGTTTGCAGGCGCGTTGGCAGTTGATGCAAGCGTTTTTGACCTGCGCACGTTTCCTTTGCCCGGTGTTGTTGGATCCGCTGTTTCTGAAAGTGTTGGTGAGGATGTCGCGGATCTTTGGTTGTTGTCAAAGTGGTCGTAGTGGTCGTAGTGGTTGAGCCGGTCAAAATGGGCGTATCTGTCAGACATTTGTTTATTTATGGAGCTGACTGTATCTATATATGTGTGTGTATCGGTTAAATAGAATATAAAAACAAGGTTAAGTACAATAAAAAAGTCACCAAGATAATCTAATAGTTAAAAATATTTGTAAGGAAGAGAGTAATTTTTTTTCTGGGGTCCATTCCTTTTTTTTATAAAATGTTTGGGTTCATTGTGTCGGACATTTAATGATAATGATTTTTCTTGTTTATTCGTCAATGGTTTGACCAATAATAAAAAACAAAAAACTTTGTGCTTCCTTCAATGCGACGAATAAAAAAAACGAGTACACTAAACTGCTTGCTGCTGCTACCCCCGTCTCACAATTCCCCAAAATAATAATTTTTTCTCACTCACTCATTCTGTTGTAGGCCTGGTTTGATGGATTGATGGCTTTGATGTGCGGGTGTTACCAAACAAACAAACAAAACAAAAATTTAAATTAATGCAAGCGATCGGACTAGGAAAAAAAGAAAAATAGAAAAGAAATAATACAAAAGATAAAAAAATGTTTAAAAATAATAGTAATAGAAGTTTTGGACATTAAATAAAAGAAAGGTTGCACTTTATTATGCTCTGAATAATCTGCTCCGAGTCCACAACAGTAGCACGATGTGGACTCCACATTTTCCAAAGCTCTGGATCATTATCCGCCAAAATAACCATCAGCTCGCAGGAATCCGGAATACCCAGTTCGCGTTTCCTACTATGCACCAGGTCGATCATCTCCTGGCTGCTGATTTGCGGATCCAAATATAAGCTACCCGAGTGCCTCTTCTGTCCGCGCGGGAAGGATCCCTGATCGATGCGCCTGCGCTTAGTTGACACGTAGGATGATGACGGAAGATGCAGCAGCGATGGTGGCAGTGGTGACTCGGGCGGGCCAATAATGAGGGAGGGCTGGGAGACAAGCTTAGGCAGCAGTGGCGGCAGCTGGGGCAGATCGAGTTTGGACAACTTCGGCAGGGTTTTTCTCTTGCGGCGACAGGGTTCATGTGTATTGCTGCTGTTGCTGCGCCTTGCAGATCTGGGTTCAACATTATCCATACCGAGGGTGTCTTGGGCAGCCAACTCAATGGTCCAGTCTTCGTCAGACTCATTATCAGGCTCCGTGCTGCTCTCCGCCGACAGCATCTCCAGGATATCTGCTGCTGACGAGGTTCCGATGGTCTGCTGTGTGGTAGGCATGTCAATCGACATTGCCGACGAGTTGCGCGCCATTGCCTTGCTCCCCGCTAACTCGTCAATGCCAGCCGACAGGTCATTGAGAATGTGGCCGCCGGCGGCCCTCACAATAATTGCCAGCGTGCGCGCGTCGCACGCTAGGTCATTGCCTGGGATGTACACGCAGTACCTGGCCAGCAGCAGCTCGCCACGCTGGACGCGCTGCCGAGCACGCCGCAGAGTGTCCGGCAGCGCAATCTTCCAGGAATCCTCAGTCTCTACATCCTGCAGCAGATAATTGTCCGGTGGTGGCAGCAGCATCAAGGGTGCATAGCTGCTTCTGCTGCTGCTTCTATCTGCACAGGAGGAGGAAATAGCCGTGATCCACGGTTCGCCCACTATGGGGATGCCAAGCGCCAGTGCGCAGAGCACTTTGAGTGTGCGGCCGAGCCGTGTACGGCAGATGCACAAATCAGCCAGCAGCGGGTCTTCGGTCACTTGGATACCGTGTGCATCGAGGAATTTGTTCAGCTGGTGCTGCAACTTATCCGACTTTCCCACAAACCCCGTCATCGTGACCAATTTGATAGGCCCATTAGCAGCGGGATCGGCAGGATCGGCAGGTCAGGAGCACCAGCAGCAGTGGCAGTGGCGGAGTTCTGGCGTGTTGTGCGTTTCGAGGTGGGGCTGATCAGCATCGGCTCGCCCTTAGAGACTGAGAGCAAGACCGAGGCAGAGACCAAAGCTGAGGGCAGTGGCACATGATGGTCGTCAGAGCCAGCAACAGCAGCAACAGGAGCATCAGCAGGCGAGTGCAGGAGCTTGGCAGGCAACGACTTGCGATCACTGCTGCTGCGTTTATGGAGCGGTGTCAGCCGCCGCTTCTTCGCAGACCCCAAGCCTGCGCGCTGCACGCCCTTAGCCTCGGCCATTATAGTGCAGTTTTTCAGCGGCCGGTCCTTCATGCGTGATGACGCCGCTGGTTTTCGGATCCCCGTTGGTGACAGCATTGGTGATGGTCTAGGTGACGGCCTAGGCGTGCAAGCACCCCTACTGACGCTGACGCTGATCAGAGGCGTGTTCGGCTTCTTTAGTGTCTCTGGCCTCTTCTGATTTGGCGGTGGGTCAATCGAGGGTTGCGACGGCGGGCTGCTTTTGCCTCTGCTGCTGCTGCTACTGGCGGGTGCTGAGCTCAGCGGGTCAATCGCCGGATCAAAGAGCAAATCCACTGCTGAGACCATCGCTGTCGCCGCCTTTTCATCCTTCGCCATTGCCTCCTTCTCCTTCTCCTTCGCTTTGGCGTCCGCAGAGCCCCGCGGCTGAAGCAAAAAGCTGGGCTGCGGCAGACTCATCGGCGACGAGCACAAGTCGCTGGCCACAGCCTCCTTGTGCACATCAGCATCAGCTTCGGCATCACTTGTCGGGCCACCGTTGCTGCTGTTGTTCTTTCTTGTGGCATTGAAGCTCCCATCGACAGCAGTGGCAAAGGGCGAGGCCAGGTGGCTGGCCGGAGTGAACATCGGACGGGCTGCAGCAGCAGCAGCAGCATCAGCAACGCCGGAAACTCCCTGCGTGTGGCGACGCTGCCTGCCAGCAATCTGGCTGCTCAGACTGCCTGGGTAAAACTCTACAGGTCTTGTGTAATGGCGGCGTGCGCTCTGTGGGAAAGTAATATATCCTTGCTCAGGAAATCCATCCTCAGCGGTAGCACCAACAACAGAAAACCCAACAGCAGCAGCAGCGGCCGTTGTCGATCGCTGCTGCTGCTGTCTCAGCGTAGCCTTGGCGCGGTCACAATTTTGCTGATGAGTGCGTATTGATGGCGTGTGCGTGCTGCTGGGCCAGGTCGTCTTTGCGGTCGGTGTTATGGGCGTATTTGTGCTGGGCGGGGCTACTGTCTTTGGAGTCGCCGGCATTGCGTGGTTGACTGGGTTCAAGACAAGCTGCGGCGGGATGCGCGTCCGTGGCCGAGACGCCAGCGGCTTATTCAACGGCATATGCTGGAAGCGGTGCACGGAGGCTGCGGCCAGCGGCGCTTTGGGGGTTTCGTCTGTTGCCTGGGTGCTGTTGCTGATGCTGGTAGTGGTGCTTGTGCTGGTGCTTGTGCTTGTGCTGGTCTGATTTGGAACATTGGGCGGCGCCGGGATGTCCTCATTGTCGCTGTCGCTGTCAGTGAAGTTCTCAATCGAGTGGCGATTGCGACGCCGTGGCAATCCAACGACCTGCACTTTCGCTTGCGTCGCTGTTGCGGTTGCGGTTGCTGGTGCGGTGGGGTTGACAATGGAATCAAGCGCGACAAAGTTCTGCGAAAGGTCGCCAATGCTGCTGGCACAATCATTATCGTTGATTTCAAACGAGCATGGCCGAGTTGGTGGTGTGCTCTGCGTTAGCATGTGCAGATACGCGCCCATGTTTTCAAAGTCATACGGATACCGCGGGGTGCTCGCCGCCTGTTCTGATTTTCCAGCTTTTTCTGCAAGGGACAAAAGGATAATGCGCTCGGGTCCGTACAGAAGCGGCGACGCCGGTGGTAGGAACTCGTCATCTCCAAGATCCCGCTCTCGCTCGCCGTACATGCTGCGGTGCTGAAGTCGCGACGGGTTCCGCGCCGGCGACATTGGCTGGGTCAAGGCCAAAGCAGAGGGCGAGCCCAACGCAGAGGGCGAGGACGAGTGATCCGCCATCTGCTGCTCTGCCAGAGCAAGGCCAGGGGCCAGTGTCAGAAGAGGGGGACTCTCAACCACCAACAAGACCTGATCATCATCGGCCGCAGCTGCAAACAATGGTGGCGACTCGGCTACGCGCAGCCCAGACATACCCAGCACATTATAATACGGGTGCAGCAGGGGACTCTGCGATGCCCTGGCGTACTGCGATTCCTGCGACACCAGGCGTGGCGCCGAGCAGGGGATCAGTGGCTCAGCGTAGTTGTCAGCAAAAACATCCTGGGTGGGGGAAAATCCCATTTGGCGCTCAGGCGTGAACTGCGACGTGTCTTGTGTGTTGTCCGCAGCCATGTCATTGAGCATCTGCGTCAGCCCAAAGCCATATTCCACTTCTTCCTCTGGGTCCTCCCTTGGCTGTGGCAGGTCCAGAGGCAATGGCAGCGGCAGTCGTGATGATGGTGCGGGCGAGTCGTTAGTTTGGGTGGGAAATTCAGCAAACGCGCGTTTTTCGCGCACAAGCGTGCACGCCACAGGGGTCATCCCCCCGATTTGCCACGGAGGCGGCGGCGACGGGGACCGAGTCTGGCCGACGATCTGGTACCAGTATGTGGTGGTGCCTAGGTGCACCAGCTTGCCGTCCGTCAGCGCATACCGCACATCCGGCTGCACGCGCAAGCGGCGATGTCCCAGCGACACTTCGGTTTGTAATACTCTTTCGCCCGAGAAGGAGGATGAGGAGTCCCATAGAATGTGCTGCTGCTGCATTGCAGTGATCTCGATTGTAACGCGTGTAGGGATTGGGATGTTTGTTACGTTGCCTGGCTCGTCATGAGGCCAGTTGCCGATCTTGTTCGTGCCTGCAACAAGGTGTATTGTGATCGGTAGTTCGTCCAGCAAGTAGTCGTCGAAACTGTCGTCGGTGGTTCTTCTGCACAAGATCGCCTCTATCGACAATGATTCCTCTTCCGCTTCCATTGCTGCTGCTGCTGCTGCTGGGGGTGTGCCAATAGCCGGAGAGCTTTCTGGCACAAGCGAGTGCCGAATGTATATTTTGTCTGCTGGGATCGGACTGCTTGCTGGCATGCCCGCGTCCATAATGCTACCCTGCTGTGTCAGGGATGCCAGCGGCTGCGTGGCTGTCGAGGATGCCCGCGATCGACCGCCGAACGTATCCGCCGATGCCATTGGTACCAAGTCGCCACCGCGGACTGCGCCTCTCTCATTTGTCGAGCCTAGAATTGGGTGCCGCATCCCATTGCCTGAGCCCCAGAGCACTGTGGAGTCGAAGTAAAGACAAATTTAAAATACAAGTAAAGCGAAACAGGTATAAAAAGGTAGAGAGGAGCCTGCTGGATTCAGGATAGCAAGAACGAAATAGAAATAAAAAATAAACAAAAGGACTGGAAGTACTAGCAAAATGCAAAACAGAAAAAAGGTGGGAATTGAAGCAAAGTTGAAATTGGATTTTAAACCAAAACAAAAAACAAAACTAGAGCAGCAAAAAAAGTGACGACAAACTTGAGTAATTATCGACGCCGAACCCAAAGAAGAATGCTGCGGGAGATCACAAATTCTCTCTCTCTCCTCTGCATCAAGTTTAAATCCAGCGCTCCGCTTTGAAGAAGCAGAAAAGTAAAAAAAAATATAATCCAAGATCAAGATCAATTTAAAGCAATTTAATTACTTTTTGGCGTTCTTGTTTGCCTTGGCCTTGCCGCCCTTCTTGTTCTTCTTGTTCTTCTTGTCATCGCCGCTGCTTGTCTTTGCGAGCTCAGACTCGTTATCCGATGTCTCGGAGATTGCGTTGACTGTCTTGTCGAGTACCTCGGACGACCTGACGTTCTCTTGCTCGTCATCGGCCAGCTCACCGCCGCTCGCTGCGGGCACGTCCACGGACTTGGCGTCCAGGCCGCGCAGGCTATGGCGATGCGCAGATGTCTTTGATGCTGCAGTCTCGTCCTCTTCCTTCTTTTTCTTGTTGAGCTCATCCTTCTTCTTATCGCTGGCCTCCTCGGCATACGCAAAGACCTGGCTGATCTCGCCTCGCGCCAGACCCGTCAGCACAACCGACAGGATGCATGCCGGGGACAGGTAGAGCAAAGCGGGCTGGGCCGCCTTGAACGTGTGCATCACCGTGATGGTCGTCACCAGCCCAGCCACGTATGCTGCCATGCACGAGTTGAAGTACGGCGTGGGGAAGCCGAAGCCGCGATGCAGGCCCTTGAGTGCCGCCGGCAGGGCTTATCCTTGAGGTAGCCGAGCCTGGCCAAGTACTGGTGGCGGTCGAAGCGCAGGCACAGGGCAACAAAGATGCCGGGCACGACAATGTCGCCCAGCCCGAGCATGGTCATTTTGAGCACGCCGTCGGCGGGCAGCAGCTCCTTGGGGAATACAACCTTGATGGGCGCATCAAAGTTCTTGGCCACCGAGACCATAACCTCGGTTCCAAACACCCAGAAGATGTCGTAGAGGAAGAGCCCGCCCAGCATGATCATCCCGCTCTTAAACGAGTCGAGCCGGATCAGGTTGATCGCCGAAAACGAAAACGCCAGCCCGAACAGGTTGGACACCAGCCAGTTCTTCGACCACAGGTAGAGCGCCGTCAGTATGGCCGACACGCCAAGTGTCGCCAGATGCAGGTTGGTGAACCGCACGTCGAACAATGGCTTGGACCGATGCACAAGGTTCAGATGGTACTGCGGCAGCTTGACGCCTGTCAGACCCTTCACCACGCGCACTCCCAGCTGCGTCAGCGCGGCAACACCGAGAAGCGCAAAGTACCCAGACAACAAAAAGTTGACCCAGTCGGCGTTCAGATACTTGAACACCATGTACATCGAGAAAAGCGCAATTGACCCGTACACTGGGAACATGTAGGCATCCTCGGTCGTTACTGCCTCGCTCTCATCGTCGTCCTCGTCTTCAGAGTCCGAAAAGTCCTCGAACTGCTTGCGCTCCTTCTTTTTGCTGTGCGCACTCTTCAAGCGGTCCAGCGAGGAAAACGACCCGTAGTAGATTGGCACAACTGCCATAGTGCCAATTGCCGCGTATGCGACATAAAGCCCAGACTCGCTCATGCTCTAATGTGTTTGCTTGGTTTGCGTGCTCTGGTCAAGTCCTATGAACGAAAAATAAGATGTTAAAATAGCTGAAAAGGGGTGTATGTATATATATGTGTGTGTGAGGAATTGCGAAAGTAAAGGCGAATAGGACAAATATAAAATAGGACACAGTGCAGCAGCAAAGGAAAGGGAGGGAAGGATAAAATGTGGTCTTTTCAAAAAGACCGCTTTGTCGGAGATTTAAGCCCCTTTTTTGTCCACCAGCTTTGTTGCTGTGCTCGTATGATTGGCCCCTTGGCTCCAGTGCGGATTGCAATAAATCTACACGTGATTCTGCCATTTTGACTGTCTTTTCGACTGCTTCTGCCGAATAACGTGCGCTACAAAAAAGTGGGTGGATGGATCAATTGTGCAGCAACAGAAGCATGTCGCCAAATAATTTATTATAAAGAATATATTAATAATCAACTCCGCCTTGAGATGGGTGTTGTCAAGTAGGCAAGCCAACCATTGTTGCACCGTCATAGCCATCACCATCATCGCTGTCGACATTGTTATCACTCGTGCGGCCAGATATTGTCTGATGGCTCGCACCCGTCACCTGGCTAGCAGTGTTTTCCGTGGCCAGCTCGGCGTAGCCCTGCCACTGCGGCTCATCCCTATATCTGCCGCGAGTGCTGGCGCGCCCGTCTCTCATTGCCGCACCCATTCCCATTCCGGGAATGGCGCAACGTAAAGCATTGGTCCGCTGAAATACACCGACATGTCCCTCCATTTGTCGCCACTGATTCTGCATGCCCTGATTATCACCTGTAGTGCGCCTTGTATCCATTTGTTTGTATTATGAAGCTCTTGCTCGCTCATCAATATGCGTGAAAAAATGTATAATTGCCGATATAATGAAGAGCAATTTGTATTTACACCTTAATTTGTACCTTAAAGCCCAATCTCAAAAAGTACCAATTTATTTATTGGCTCGGCGCATGGCAACTAAAAAATACTAGAAGTCGAAGAACAAATGTAAAAGCAGTGGCTGATAAGTCAATGCATCACGCGGACATCAAGCGGTGGTGTATATATGTGTGTATGTCGAGCTCGCGTTAACAAATATGCATAGGTAATTACTTGCGCATAGAAAATATTTAAAGGGTACATGCCTAGTGTGATGTTTTTTATGATGGACCTTTTTCACTCCCTGAACAGCCACATAAACATTTTGCAGTTTGCAATAAAATAATGATAAAAGTAGTGGGGGATATATACACTGAGCACGCGCATCATTAATTAAATATATGTATAATCTAATTAACTAATCGCTTCTTAAAAATAATTTTTTTGAATTTATACATGCATAGCTACAATATAATACTAGTTATGCATTTTGTTGAATACAAGCACAATGAACTAGCGGTCAATTTTTTGGACAACCCTTATGTGCATACGCCAAAACCACTGCCAAATAAAACAATTTTTTTAAGCGTCTTTGCAGCAAGCTTTATACAAAAAATCATTGAAATTTATTTACTCTCTTTTGTCTTTACCACAATTTCTGAGATATTGTGGTAAAGGCCAAACATGTTTGAAATACTTTGTTTTCTCCCTTTTAACACCTGTGCTACATTATATTTTTAAAATTGTCCACTCGAGTATTATTTATTTTTGCCAATACCATCGTCTGCGAAAATTCCAATCCCTCTCGCAAATAAATAAAGAGCCACGACCTCATCATTCCTTTCAATTGCAAACAGTATCCCCACACATCACCACTTTTTTGCATACTAACACAACAATATCTTTACTTCTCAGCTAAATTTTGCTTATTATCATGAGGCTTACACCTGGTCTTTTTTCTACTCTTGCCGTTGCTTTAGGCATAGCGCCGACTGTTATTGCGCAGACATCAATCAAGGCCGTTGGGCTGGGCACAGCTACTGCCGAAAATTCCGCTTATTGGTTCCCCTCTTACGCCATCTCAAACTTCCCTGTCATGGACATGGACTCTGAGGACTTGCGCTGCCGTACAAGTGACTTTAGTATGGCTTCAAACGCTCTGGCTCTAGGCGTGCCTGCTGGACGGAATATGACGGTCGTGTGGGATTCCAAGAAAAGCATGGTCACCAACACTGGAACCCAGTATGCACCCAGCGGCCCATGCACGGTTTACATGGCAAAGCTTAGCTCCCAGGGCACGGGCTCTTCGTGGTTCAAGATATACGAGTATGGATACAAGGATGGCAAGTGGTGCACGGACTATCTTAAAGGACAAATGAATAAGATGACATTCAATATTCCTCAGGACATTCCAAATGGCAAGTACATTGTGCGCGCCGAGATAATCAGTCTGCGCACGTCGACAAAAACAAACTACGACGACTTTACGCAGGGCGCGCAGTTCTTCCCCTCTTGCCTGGTAGTGGATGTTACCAATGGCGGCAGTGCTTCGCCGAGCCTTTCCAAGATTCCAGGAATATACAAAAAGTCCGACTCTGGTCTTCTCGGCAACTTTGGTGCAGGCCAGAAATTGACTAGCTACAAAGTTCCAGGACCGGCAGTGTATACGGCAGGAACCAGCAGCACTAGCAGCAGTTAAGCTGTTAATTATATTGAGTAATCTATACTTTCATATCTTTTAGCAATTGTTATAATAAAGAAAATTTTAAAACAAAAGCTAAATGGTTCCAATTAAAGAGTCAGAACCCGTGCTTGTCATCTTGCCAATGATTGCATGCTCCTGCTCGAGCGTCGACGACCGGTATTTAAGGCGGCACAGCGGGACATTGGTTCTATGTACCTCAGTCTGACCGGTCTCCAAGTACTCGCGACCAATCCAATGGCGCTTGACCTCGGCCTCAAAGCCGCTCTGGATGACCGAGTTCATTGCTAGCTCGCACATATCGACACTAGAGAACTTCCAAATCTGGGCAGCAACAGAGTACTCCTCCATCAGCGGTTCCTTGGTAAAATGGAACTGCAGCGGGTCGTCGGTCGAAAGGGTAACGTTGAGCCCACGCTGGAAATATGTGTTGAATGGGTTGCGCTCGTACACCAAGAACAGCGCATTGTTGGACAGAGGTGACATGGCCAGGCCAATTTGCTTCAAGTAGAAAAGGTACTGCAGAGCCGGGACCTTGCGCAGCAAAATTCCGTGGTTGATGGCTTGCGCCGAGAGGAAGGCCGCAGCCAAGTGCTCGGTGTCGCCGGCCTCGCCGGCGTGCGGGCGGAAAACAAAGGTATTGAGGCCGCGGCGCGAGCGCCACTGGTTGAGCGTGCACATGTTGGCCATTGTAAAGTAGCAGTAGTACGTGTACGGCGGATTTTCCTTGCTGGTCCACAGGCGTGGCAGCGGGTACTTTTTGTGCAGCCGGCGCTCAGGCTTGGACTCATCATCAACCGAGTCGAAGCCCACAACGCGCTGCAAAAAGATGTGCAGCTTGGGGTGCGAGCTCGGGTCCTTGGTGACCTCGAACAGCGGGCGGAACAGGTTTTCCAGCACTTGCTCAAAGTTTTCCACATGGCCACCGGCCTTGTACACGTTGTACAGGCGCGGCACCTGCACAAGCCAGCGCACGTTGCTCGATATAATCTTGTGGTCAATGACCCAGGCGGCCAGCTTGTCCCACTCGTCGGCGGAGCGGCCGTAGATCGAGATGCGGTACTCGGCCATCTGGTACTTGGACTGCTCGAGGTCTGAGATGACCTCCTTGGTGATCTGCGCAAAGTACTCGCCGTCAATGAAATTGTCGGACTTCATAAAGATCTCGCGCAGACGCGACTCGCCGATCGGGTTGTACTTTAGGTTGAACTTGTCAAAGCGGTGGTAGGCGCCCTTGTGGGCGTGCATGTCCAGCGTGTCGATGGACAGGTCGTAGGCAGTCAGGTTCAGCGACTCAAACACCTGGCGCAGCGACAGCGTCTGGCCGTCGCGCACTATGACTGGCCTGTCGGGCTCGGTCTTCAGCTTGTACTTGATGAAGCGCAGCAAGTGCTTCTGGTTCATCGCGCTGGCCAGGTGCACGTGCCCGTCGACCTTGCGCACGTTGTACAGGTCACGATGCGGCACCATCTTGGACTGCATGGTCTCCTCGCGCTCGTTCAGCAAGATGTAGAGCTGCCAGCGGGCGTCGAGGTAGCGCAGGCGGCGGAAGGCCCAGGTCTTGATGGGCCCGTCCGAGATCGCGTCGATGACAAAATCGAGGTCAACGAAAAACTCGCGAATCGACGGCGCGCTGGTGAATGGCTCTGCACCCGATGCCCGCGCCTCCTCAGACTCGTATACAGCGTACACGCCGTCTTCGCCCATCTCAAACACCCCGTCTTCGGCTCCAAGAATCTTGCATTTTTCAAAGTCAAACTCTTCAGATTCGGGCTCGGCGTGTTGCCGCGCTTGCCAAATTTGTGCCACGCGGGCGACGGAGGCGGCGGATAAATGTCCCATCGGCGCGGTTCTTTGGGTTGGCCGCCTCGTGCTGGTAGCTTATCTCCATGTACTTGTCGCGCAGCGCCATGCACTTGACGAGGAGTCTCCAATGCGCTTGAGCTCGCTGGGGCCTTCGTTGATGTCGTAGACGTTTTCCGACCCGTCCCCAATGTGGACGCGGCGCATCATGCTACGGATCTCGCCTTCAATCCTGCGGCTCGTGGCGTCATCGTCAACATCAGCGTCATCGGCCAGTGCGCGCCCCGACCAAACTGGCAGCAGCCCCGCAGCCTGCTGCTGCCCGGTCTTTTCTGGAGCAGCATCCCCAGAGGCATCTCCAACTGGGTGCTCGAGAATGGTTCTGGTGGTAAAGCCAGCTGACGCCGGGCGCTTCTCAGTGCTCGCACCATTGCATTCGACGCCGAGGCTCTGCTTGCAGTTTAATATTGCCGCGGCTGCTGGGCCCTGGTCGTGTTTGGGTTGCGCGCCGTCACTCTCCTGACCGCTTATTCCTGGGGGGGCCTGGAGCGGGTCCTGATTCTTGGGCTGATTAGCAAAGTACGCGTTGGCGAACGAGGGCCCGGCCTCGTAGCTCGTGGTGGCCAACGAGTTGTACGTCATGTACGGGTGAGGGCCGCTGTTGACATCGCTCGAAAATTCCTCGTCGACATACTCGTAGTCATTGGATAGCAGTCCGTGGTGGCCGTTCTGCGACTGCTGGCGGGGAGTAGTGGGTACGGAAAATCGGCCGCCATCGTCGTTGTGCGTGTCCTCGCCATGGGGGTGCCCTGAACACATCTTTGGTTAAATATAAAGTTTTGTTGATTGTCTTTGGTGCGAAAAAAGTAATAAATACGAACACAAAAAAATGCAGTTAAGTTTACACAGCAGAAGAGAAAGATACTTTTAGTGACACACGCCAACTTTGACCGCAAGGAAACAAAAGGGCGTCTTGTACTTTAGTGTTATAACAACGGGTTAGGGGCATAACATTTTTTCAAAAAAATCTTGAGCGCCTCAAGCGCAAATAAATAATGTAAAATAAAAGTTTTTTGGATGACCTGGTTATTACAGTTAGGCGTCGGCATTGGCGAAAATCGGCAAGCAAATCAGATGGGTCTTATTGATATCAGAATTATTTATTGGGGCAGAAATTGAAAGTATTCGGAAAAATACTTTTTTTTAAACAAAGATGAGTGGTTAAAAAATTTACAGCATGTGGCATTTTGCAGTGGGGTGTAAATAAAATAACGAATTGCCAAAGATGGAAAGCACTGTCCAATGACGGCGCTTGAGGTCAACTATCAGCCCAACCGGCATGACAAGCCAGCAGGAGTTGTGGATGTCGAGTGCCAGAATGACTGTTCGCGGGTAGCGTCCATTCAAAGTACAGCAAAAGAGGGCGATGGCGATGCGCTGCTCAATAAGGGAGAACTTCATGCCCACGCACTGGCGGGAACCATTGCTAAACGATGTGAAAGTAAACGGAGCAACATTTTTGATGTCAGTGCTCTTATCGTCTACAAACCACTTAGGAATAAACTTTTTGGGCTCATGGAAATTGGCCGGTTATAGTGCATCGACCATGTATCCACAATTACGACGGCACCTTTGGGCAGAGAGTAGGGCCCAAATTGTACAGGCTCAGAGAGACGACGCCTGACATCCGTCACAATGGGGTCTTTCTCAGGGTCTCCTTGACAATAAGGTCAATATACCCCAGCTCTTTAATCTGGTCGTCATTGGGATAGGCGTCGCGAGTGCTCCAATCACGCTGATAACAATGTCGCGCGCCTTTTGCTGGATTTCAGGGTGATGGGCCAGCTCCAGCATTACGTATGCGAGTGAATTTGCTGTGGTGTTGTAGCCAGCGATGTATAACAAACTAATGTTGTCGCGCAACTCCTCCTTGATCAACAGTATGATCGGCTTGCCGCGCTCATCCAGCATTTTCCCGACTTGATCATAATGTACGACTCTAGCAGCAATGTCAGCGGTTAGCATTGTTGCGCTCCTCTTTAGTGAGCGCTGGGTGTTCTCCAACTCGGCAAGTTATCATCAACCATCCTTCGATAAAGGCACGGTACTTGTCCAAGGCTTTCCACTGCTTGGCGCGCTCTCCATGGGGAATTTGTCGAGCCATGGCAAAATGTTGTACACTGGATCCACAATTGTGTCAACCAATGAGTCGTACATCGCGGTTTTATGGTTGCCAGGATTGCGCAGAGCATCAAAGCTATAGCCCACGATGATATGGCCCAGAACGTCTATAGCGGCTCTGCGAAGCATTGGCAGCACATGAATGGCTTGTCGGCCTCGCCCTCCATAACCTCTACCATGTCTATTAGCGGCTTTTTGAATAGCTGCGTGGGCCATGCGCGGCGGAATGCTAGGTTGACAACCGCACGGTGGCCGCGGTAAGTATGCCCATTTTCAAAAATCAGTGACTTTCGGACGACAAGCGGGCCAAGGGTGCCCGGCATCAGATCCATGGGGTTGACTTTTGGTAGACGTTGGACTGCGTAAACGCCTTGCGTGCATATTTGGCGTTGCTGATGCTGTACTCGCATGTGCCAAACATCCACATCTTGATAACCCTAGGTGTCTCAAAATAGGGTTTGTGCAAATTCTCCATGATTGTAAGGCGATCGACGGTGCTCTTGAGTATCTAGAACAGGGACTTGTACACGGGGATGTAAGGAATGCCTCCATCCTGGCAGGGAGGCGGCGTGATTGCAGCATGAATGTGGTAAGTCGCGTAAATGATGGCTAGTGGGAGTACCCAATAAATGAGTGTCTAGGGAGATGTTGTTGGTATAGTCAGCGATAGTGCTTAGCAACAAAGGCATCTTGAAATTGGATAGTAAAAAAACCATACAATGGATATATGTAATAGATGTGTTAACAGACCAATATAAAATGTGTTGGTTCTAAAAAGCACTTTGAGAGCCCTTTTATACAATTTATTTAAAAACACCTAGTCGAGAATAATTGTTGTGGTTGTGATATTATTTGCTATGCGTATAAGCGTTTATACTGTCCATGGAGTTAAAGTTGCTCATTAGGTATGTTAATGGCAAGAATATCATAGTATATGCAGTGTGTTTGGAACTTTTATATACCGATGGACAATAATTTCACCGAGTCCTCCGATAAGCGACAAAGTGGTTTGCCTCTTTTTCAGCATTGCATATTACAAGCTAAGCTATATGTTTGCTGTATATAGCATATATTATCATTACTTATTAACAATATGCAATTATATGAATCCCGCCTCATTAGGCACTTGCAAAGACCCACTTAATTTTTATATTCAAAATAACTATGCAAGCCGCTGTATGTCATTTAAAACCTATATTTGGCCATTACTGTGACCCAGGTTGAAGTACATTTCACATTCCTGTGCTCTTGGTCATGTGTGTATATTACAATGTAGATATTGTAATATTTGTTAACACAATAAGTTGGCAGAGACAAGGGTACTTTCCATTCCCTCAGCACGATAAGAGATGTCAGTTGTGAATATGACGCTAGGCATCACAGGACATAAGCAATACATGCGCCCGCAAAAAAATTAGGGAATCCTTTTTTGTCTTCCAGAGCCAGCAACCAAGCTCAAAAGTTTGAAATTGCAAGGCTTAAGGATATGACGTCCAATAGTTTTATTTTATTGCACAAAGGAAATATGCACCACCGAATCAATCAAAAAATAAACAGGCATAAACCTCGACATGTCATTTGTTCATTTATTTATTTGCTTATTGCGATATTCTCAATAGCAACTGTGCACACATTAATTGTTGGGCGATAGTATACATCTAAATGGTAATTCCCAGGATGATTTTTATTTGGCAAGTGATGAAGACACACATGCCTATTCGATGTGCACCTGCACAGCCAGCATACTTTTGAGCAGCCTGATGATATGGAAGTGAATGTTAATGAAAACTCGTTTCACAATCCTTAACCTCGACATGCCGATTAACAGGGCATAGATGGTATCCTGTAGGATCAAATCAGGGGACACAAATAATGACACCCTGATATGCCCTCATTTCATAATGTATATGCTTGAACGTGCATATGCGAAGACCATAGCCTTGACACGCCAAAACATCCGTCTGCCTACAGAAGAACCAGTTCTCACCAATGGAGTGCACAATTGGCAATGTGCACAACTAAGGCGACAAGGCACATATATAAGACGAGGCCGGCGCTAGTAGTACTTTAGACACATTAGTAATAAAACCTTTTATAAACCCATACCCTCACATTTTTAACACTACTACCGTAGTGCTCCTTACACCCCCTCTTATATAACATTACAAATCAGGGAGAGAGAGAAGGAGGAGGCAAGAATACAGACGGGCAATAAAACATTTATTGTAAATACTTTTTCAGACTTCGTTTTATTGTAAACATCCAATTGATAATCAAGCTTTGATCTAATAAACGCGACATAAAGATAAACAAATGCAAACGTATTGGTTAATTTAGACCAACATTACATGACAGGTCAGAACAATTAAGCTTGCAGTTGCAATTTACGATAAGGGCATAACATTATTTTCTTGCTTTGCGGTTTTGGCCAGCTGGTAGCCATACTTTGATGAGCACTGCTGTGGCGTTCGTGTACTGACAGCTCTCGAGACAACATTCCAACAAAAGTCGTCTTTATCTTTGGTCGCCTCAACAGTCTGCATCAGCCGCTGGACCTCCTCCCTAGACCACCTTAGGGGCGCAAACTGTTTGCGCTGCATGTCCTCATACGCCTTTTTACAGTTCTGTGGTGGCACAGCCAGCGCCTGGGAAACCGCGCGCCAGTCGACCGAGCCATTGGCAGCCTCAGCACTCTTGACGCACGATTCCAGATAGCTCGGCTGACTAACAGCGTTTTTTTGCACTCTGCGCATGTGCAGTCGTAATTTGCATCTGTGCAGTTGGTTGCGCACTTGGATTTTCGACTTCTCGGGAAACATTTTACACAATTCAGGCAAAATATGCTTCTGCTTCGGGCTCTCCTGGATGTGCTGTTCGATAAGTGCAATGTTTTCAGCTGTCCATTCAGCAAATCCTTGATCCGAGTTATCCTGTTGGCGCATATGGCATGTGTAGCAGGCGCTGCGCGAGCGGGTGCCGACGTGGGCAGAGATATCGTCCCAGGTGCGGAATTTCGACCTCTGGGTGCAGGCCTCATAAAGGCGGGCAATCTCCTCAGGCTGCCAAGCCTTGTGGGCTGCTCGGATGCCGGACTGAACGCGTATCTGCGACTCGTACGCGTGTGCACAGTCTGCCGGGTGCACACCCATAAATAGCGACGCCAGGTTCATGTCCACAGGTGCGGGATCGAACGACGGGATGGGCGTGCTCAGCAGGTAATTTTCGGAGACAAACGCCTGGAGCCGCTGCACTCGACTGGCCGGCCATTTTGCCGGGTACGCCAGCCGCGGCAGCAATGATTCGGACGAATGGCTTATCCCATGTCGATAAGCTAGCGCTAGCACGTCTAGAAGCGGCCGGCCTAAATCTCGCGCTACTGCGGCCCAATCAATGCTGGTTACCCCGTCCGCATCTGTAGCGCCTGTGCGAGTGAAACTGCCAGCCACAGGCGCGCAAGGTCTTCGCCGCCGCTATTGGCCCGCGCTCGGCCGCATCGCGCGCCTCACGAATCTCCACAGTCTTGCAGTAGTACACGGTGATGCAGGTATCGGGGTGCGGTTGAACTCTGCGCCGATCCGCTCCCAGTTAATCGACCGCCGTTTGCTGATGTACTTCTGATGTACAGTGTCCACCAGCTTCTTGCGCTCGGCGCTGCTCCATGTCTGCCAGTGGTTGATTGGCACGTCTCTGATGTGCTGGGCGACGAGATCCCAGTTGCCCTCGATTTTGCCCCGGAAGTCGTTGTTGATCATCTGGATCAGTTCTTTCTGCTCGGCGGCACTCCACCGCGCCCAGGCGCACGAGGTGCTCAGTCTGGCAATCTGGGCTCGGTGCGTGTCGAGAGCCCGAAGTCGTGGTGCAAGCAGCTTGCCGAGTGCGCCCATCAAACTTTTTGTGTGTTATGTGCTGTAGAATAGAGTATGTCAAAAAGGCAGGAAATATCCAAGATAATAAAGTGGTTGAATTCAGAGATTAACATGAAAAAATATTTTCGAATGAAAATTGAATATTATTGTGAGGCAAAGTTGCGCATGCGTTTGGTGGTCTATGGGAAGGATACAAAATCCCGTGGATTTCGGGGGCGAAATATGATTTTGAGCTAAAGATCGTATTAATGACGCGACTAGTTGACCCAACGACAGCGCCCTTTTCGTGTTTGCTTCTTTTATTATTTTTATAATTTGCATTACCTTATTTTTATTTTTTAATGTCGCGAAATTCGCTGTTCGCCTCGCCCGGAAAAAACACAGCCAACAAACTTGACAACGAGCCAAAGATGGCAGCAGCAGCAGCAACCACGGCGCAGCAGAATACACAGGGCCTCGTGGCACAGCTGAAGGCCTTCGAAGCTGTGCGCCGAGACGAATTGACGGCGCTTGAAGCCATCAACAGCATCCACAGCTCCATTGCGACAACAACAGGTACAGTTTTGCACATAAACACGCGAATGCGCTTCCCTTTAAAAGCAATGCTAGCAAGATAGAAGCAAGGCACAATGTCTAATTATTACATTTTGCATTCTGAATGTTTTTGCGAATTAGGCCTCGGCGATGAAGGTTCAAGAATTGACGATGGGAGCGGCAGCAGAAACACCGAGTTGGGTGACAGTTACGCGGCAGCATCAGCGTTGGCGCTGCAGGAGAAGCAGGTGGCAGATGCAGCACTGGAGTACGTGAACATGATGCTCGCACAGCTGAGCGAGCCAGACGCGACAAGCGAGCTGCTGCACCAGCGGATGAGAAAGCAGCGGCTTGAGTCGCGGTCGTCGTCTGCGCGCCGTAGATCACGGAGCCGCGACAGGTCGGTTTTGCGCAGCGCAGATGCTGAGCCCGGCGAGAGGCGGGTGGGGACGGTCGCGCTGTCCAAGTCCCAATCCTTGGAGGTCGACCATGCGCCGGACCCATGCTGCTGCCACACCGCTATCGATGCCAGCCAAGGGCAGTGACGCGTGGGACCGGCATTCGCGATCGCGAGAGAGGGACCGTGATCGTGATCGTGACCGTGACCGCGACCGTGATCGTGATCGTGGTAAGGAACGCGACAGGGAGAGCAGTCGCGTGCGCGGCAGAGAGCGCGAGAGAGAGCGCGAGAGAGGCAGAGACCGCGACAGGGATAGGGACAGAGACCGCGACAGGGACAAGGACAGAGACAGAGATCGCGACCGCGACAGAGAACGCGAGCGGGACCGCGACAGAGATAGAGATCGCGACAGGGACCGTGATCGTGAGCGTGGACGCAAGCGCGACCGCGACAGCTCTCTTCGGCGCGAGCACTCGGACGACGCAGCCAAGGTGCAGGGCGCGCGGGCTATCGGCAAGGGCAGCCTGGTGCAGTGCGCGTGGCGACGGCCGGTGGCGGCGAGGACTGGATCCTGGCCACGGTACTCTCGTACAGCAGCGAGAAGAATCGGTACACTGTGCAGGACTACGACGTTGAGAGCACAGTGCGTCCCACGTACGTGCTTAGCCCGCGGCTTGTGATCTTGTCACGGCCGAGGCATCGACCACTCTGTCAGCACGCCGCCGGCTGTGGGACCGCTCGCGGTACCCAGAGGTTCCGCGCGGCCAGCGCGTTCTGGGCCTGTACCCGCGCACGACAGCCTTTTACCAGGGCACCGTGGTCTTGCCACCGTCGCAAAACACCACGCTCAGCAATCCGCCTGGAATCGTGCTGCCGGCCGCTGGGTCGCTCATTGGCTGCGAGCAGGACATTGGGCGCCGCCCGACCCGAGTTCCAACCCATGTACAAACTGCAGTTTGACGACGACGATGTCATGGAGGTGACGTACCTGCGCATCTAGTGATTCCGATGCCACGTGGGAGCGGCAGTGTTGGATCCGGATCCGGAGCTGGGGCCGGCGGTGGTACCACAGGCATTGGCGCAGGCAACACTAGCCACAGCAGCATTGGAAATGCCGGCCAGGCACTCTGAGTCTTCACACATCTATATGCAAAGCTTGCATCATCCGTAACCGCTGGTACTTGGCATGATCAGCGGCGCGCGACACGCTATCATGCGCTAATCGGAACTATGTTGACAGTTGTTGCACGTGGGAGCATATCGTTTATTTTCATTTTATAATTTTCTATTCCGTCCAAACCATCCTTGTTAATTTTTTTGCCTGTTTCTGGTCGATCATGTTATTTTACACCTTTGGAACTATCCTTTGTTGACATGAGATAAGGCAATCGCTGTAAAAGCATTTTATTTTCTTGTCTGCAATCAGTCACATCGTCTGATTATCCGGCTTCTTGATGTCACTGTGATCTTCCCTTGTTTCACATGGTATCCAGGAGAATGACGATTGCATTGGGCGGGAGGCTATCTCCAATTTTTTTGTTGGGGCGGAGCACTGAGGATAGGGTGAGGTGGCCGGAAAAAACAGTGCGACAGCATAATGAGTAGTGGTAAATTACAGACACAGGCACTTATTCGGGGCTAACTTCGGGGCAAGCAACATTGGCGCGCACAATGCGCATCAAATTTCCGCACAACCAAGAGCTATTGACAAAGTCCGCGCTTCTGCTCAGAAGACTGCTCGACTTGCAAAATGCCGACAAAAAAGCGCGAGCAGTGGTGGTTTCTTGGCACCTGTAGTAAGAATTTAGAATGCAGGTGGGCCATGCTGGGCGAATATTGCTCGTTTTTCCGCACCCAACCTCAACGTGGAAATAATGACAAAGGCGAAATAGCCACGGAATATTGCACAATGCAAGGTGTGAAGTAATAGGGAGGAGTCGTCTTGCCTCATGGAATATACAAAAAAATGGAACTATTCAAGGTAAGTCAAGCGTTTTATTTTTTAATTGGGTTCAAGCTCACCAACTCCGAGATGAATCCAAGAAAATAGAAGACTAGGATTACAGAAATGTAATGAATGCCACGCTACAATGAGTCCGCACAGATTCTCGGATCAGAACGACCTTGGGTTTATCGGAAATCTGTCGCTGTCGTCGCCGCCTCAATAATTTCCTATTGCAATATATATATTTTTTCCACAACTTGCGCCCAAAATTCCACATCACGGATGACATCAAACATTCTACGCTTACACATTTTATTAGCATTATTTTTCCCGTATAATCCGACATCTTTGCGATTCCAGCTTTGCTGCCTTTTTTCCTTTGCCACTGAGGCGCGATCCAAGAATAGGGCATGAATAACGGAATTCTATACTTTTTGGGGATCCGAAAAGAATGCAAAAATTGAAATTTATTATCCCAAAAAGAGGGGGGATATGGCTGCATTGGGTGTCGTCCGTCGCACACCACAGCGCATCAGTTCATATATACATATTTAAATATGACAATCTTGCCAACTGAGCATAAGAACGACCGAGAAAACTCGGTTTTTTGCTTGCTGACGACAGTCTATGCTGTTTCTTATATTTCCTTTCCTGTTCTGCCTCTCCAAATTTTGCATATTTGGTCACACAAAACATCAGAGACAAAAAACATTTCCTATTCTGCCTCTCCAAATTTATATATATATTTGGTCGCACAGAACATCAGACAAAAAAAACAACATTATTTTTTCTCCTGTTTTCGCCCAAACTTCTTATCGACTTTATTACTTCCCCCCTATTCTATTTGTTTCCCGCGACAAACACCCGTACTTATTTTCCCTACCCTAATACATATATAACATATCGTAGTCGTTTTATATTATTGTATTTTTCGTCCATCGTTCAGCGCTTCGACCTCAGTATATTTGAGTGATACTTTTGATTAGTTAGCGAAAGGTTATTGCAAGCGACCAAAGGTAAAAAAAACAAAAAACATGCAAAAAATTACAATAAAGGTCTTCCGTCATTGCGGCTGGTGACTGGCCGCAACGGTGGTCAAACCGCGCAACTGGATGACTATTCAGCAAGACAATTTGAAGACAATTGTGTTGATTGTAATCAGCTCTGAAACAACAACAATGATGTTAACACCACCCCATTTCCTCCTCCTCCAACACAAACAATCGCATTGGTATAGTAGTAGCAGATCAATGGTTCGTATTAGTGACGATTCGAATCAAAGCGCGCTCGAGAGCAAGGTCGAGAGCAGCGACAATCTTCTGTCAAGCAACGGATCCCCGCGTCCAATCCCTGTGCGCAGACGCCAATCTGTCTCTTGTGGCGCGCCGCAGGACGTCGATGAGAATGGCGAGCCTGTGATTTCGTTTGGCGAGCCGCTGCATGTCAGCGTGTCGCGCGGCACAGAGCGATTTAGGTCGATCCAGCGCTCGTACAGCAAGCCGCTGTCACTCGGTGACGAGGAGGAGGGGGCCGGCATGACAGGCCCCGGCGGCGAGCTGGCCACGGGCATGCCTGGGGGGCGCTTCGACCTGACAACGTGGCTGACGGGGCGGCAGCAGAAGCTGGGCCCGCCGTTTGCCAAGCGCATCGGCCTTGTGTTTGACGACCTGAACGTTTACGGTGATAACGTCGGAGACAGGCATATCGCCACTGTCATCACGCCTATCTACAAGATTTTCAAGACTGCAGCGCGCGGATTTGGCATCAAGCAGCTGTTCAACAAGACGGACAAGACGCGGCTGCTGCTCAAAAACATGTCGGGCGTTGTGGCTGACGGAGAGATGTTGCTTGTGCTCGGCCGCCCGGGGTCCGGCTGCTCGACCCTCTTGCGCGTGCTGGGCAACCGCCGCCACACCTACCGCCGCATTGACGGCAAGGTGTCGTACGGTGGCCTGGAGCCCGAGGAGGTCGAGAAGCACTATCGTGGCGAGGTCGCCTACAACCAGGAGGACGACGTGCACTTCCCGACACTGACCGTACGCAAAACGCTGCAGTTTGCCGTCCAGTGCAAGACGCCCAGCAAGCGCATGCTACAGGACCGCGAGGGTTACCAGAAGGAGTTCCTCGACACATTGCTCGACATGTACGGCCTAACCAGATGTGCCGACACCATTGTCGGTAATGCCTTCATGCGCGGCGTATCCGGCGGCGAGCGCAAGCGCGTCAGTATCGCCGAGCAGGTCGCGTCAGGCGCATCCATCGACATTTGGGACGGCAGTACCAAGGGCCTTGACTCAAGCTCGGCACTGGACTATGTGCGCTCGCTGCGCATCACTACCGACGTGCTGCACAAGTCGACGGTGGTCACGCTGTATCAGGCGTCCGAGAACATCTACGAACTGTTCGACAAGGTCTCAGTCATCGACGAGGGTCGCCAGCTGTACTACGGCCCCGCCGACCGGGCCGTCGCGTACTTTGAGAGCATCGGCATTGAGAAGCCGGCTCGCCAGACCACTTCTGACTTTTTGACGGGTGTCACGCAGCCGCACGAGCGCCGCGTGCTGCCGGGCTGGGAGGGCAAGGTGCCGACGACTGCCGAGGAGTTTGAGCGTGTGTGGAACCAGTCGCAGGAGTATCACAACGTCAAGCAGCAGGTCACGGCCTTTGAGCTGCAGATGGAGCAGGACGGCCGCAGCAATGAGATCCGTGAGTTTGTCGACCAGACCAAGATGGGCACAGAGAAGAACCGCCTGCGCCGCAGGTCGCCGTACACCACGACGTTCTTCTACCAGCTCACCAAGCTGCTCAAGCGCGAGTGGGAGATTTTCTGGGCAGCAAGGCGATCATCATCTTCAAGCTGGTTTTCAACATGTCCTTTGCCGTCATCGTCGGTACGCTGTACCTCAACCTGCCTGACACCTCTGGAGGTGCCTTCACTCGAGGCGGCCTGCTTTTCTTTGCTCTTCTGTTCAACTCGCTGTCTGCCCAGGCCGAGATCCCCAAGGCCATCACTGGCCGCGAGGTTGTTTATAAGCACAAGTCGTTTGCCATGTACCACCCTGCCGCGCTGTCGCTGGCGCAGACCGTCGTCGACATTCCGTTCATGGTTGTGCAGATTATTTTGTTCAGCATCATCCTCTACTTCTCAACCGGCCTCGAGCGGACCGCCGCTCAGTTTTTTGTCTTCTTACTCTACCTGTTTGTCGGCTGCCTCTGCCTGACGTCGTTCTTCCGCATGATTGGTAACATCTCGCCTAACGTCGACATTGCGCACACGCTGTCCGGAATATCCCTGCTGTTCATGATTCTCCTCATCGGCTACATGCAGCCGCCAGGCTCGATGCACCCATGGTTCAAGTGGATCTACTGGATCAACCCGCTGGCATACGGTTTCAAGGCGCTTATGTGCAATGAGTTCCGCAATCTGCGCCTGCGCTGCTCTGGAACGAGCCTTGTTCCCAGCGGCTCGGCCTTCACCAGCATCTCGAACCAGGTGTGCACGCTGCAGGGCGCCAAGCCGGGCGAGGAATATGTGCTCGGCCGCGACTACCTGGCTGCGGGCTACGAGTTCTACATCAGCGACCAGTGGATCAACTTTGTCGCCGTCCTGTGCTTCTGGCTGCTGTTTGTCATCTGCATCGCCCTTGTCATGGAGTACGTCGAGTTTGGCAACACCGGCTACTCAATCAACGTCTACAAGCGCCGCCGCCCCAAGGCCAATGTCGTCACCGCTGATAACGTCGACAGCGGGGACAGCAAGGAGGCCAACCTGTTTGCTGACATCCCTGAGAGCGGCCCCACTGACGACCAGATTTTGTCCGGCACCACGTTCACTTGGAAGGATATCGACTACACCGTCCCTGTCAAGGGCGGCGACCTCCAGCTACTCAACCACGTCTCCGGCTACATCAAACCGGGCACAATGACCGCGCTGATGGGCTCATCGGGTGCCGGAAAAACTACCCTGCTGGATTCTCTGTCACAGCGCAAGACCATTGGCAAGCTCGAGGGCGAGATGCTGATGAATGGCGCGCCGCAGCCCAAGAGCTTCCGCCGCATCACCGGTTACTGCGAGCAGCTAGACGTGCACAACCCGCACGCCACTGTGCGCGAGGCACTGCGCTTTTCTGCGATTTTGCGCCAGCCCGACACTGTCCCCGAGTCCGAGAAAATGGACTATGTTGAGCGTGTCATCTACCTTCTTGGTATGGCCGACATTTCGGACTGCCTGATCGGCGACCCCGACTCGGGCGAGGGTATCTCGCTGGAGGAGCGCAAGCGCCTGACCATTGGTATCGAGCTGGTGTCGAAGCCAAAGATCCTGTTCCTCGACGAGCCCACATCGGGACTCGACGCGCAGGCCTCTTTCAAGATTGTCCAGTTTATGCGCAAGCTTGTCGCCAATGGCCAGACCATCCTATGCACAATCCACCAGCCGTCGGCCATCCTGTTCGAGCAGTTCGACCGCCTGCTGCTCCTTGTGCGCGGCGGCCACACTGTTTACTTTGGCAACCTCGGCGAGGACGCACAGACCCTGGTTCAATACTTTGAGAAGAATGGTGCCGCCAATGCGCGCCCACTGCTAACCCGGCCGAGTACATTTTGGACGTTGTCGGCAGCAAGTCGTCGCCAGTTGACTGGCCGCAGGTGTGGGAGAGTTCCAACGAGAAGCGCGTCATCATGTCTGAGATTGACCGCATCAACGAGTTGCAGAGCTCCAATGGAAACAACCAGGGCAGCGCCGATGACGACAAGGTCTACGCGCGGAGCCACTTGTTCCAGATCAAAGCTGTCACCCAACGGATGTTTGTCACGTTCTGGCGCAACACTGAATACAACCTAACCCGCCTGGCGCTGCAGATCATGTGCGCGATGATTGTCGGATTCACCTTCTACAAGCTCAACGACGGCGCTATCGACCTGCAGAACAAGGTGTTTGCCATCTTCGAGTGCTCCGTGCTGTCCATCCTGATTATCAACCAGGTGCAGCCCGAGTTCTTGCGCCAGAGACAATACTACAGCCGCGAGACGTCGACCAACCAGTACGGATGGCGCGCCTTTGCCTTTGCCATCATCTTTACCGAGTGGCCATTCTCGTTCGTGGCCAACACGCTCTTCTTTGTGAGTTTCTACTGGACCGTCGGGCTCAACAGCATCACTGACCGCATTGGGTACTTCTACATTGCGTACATCATTCTGGGCATGTTCTCACTGACACTTGGCCAGGCCATTGCCTCATTTGCGCCCAACGACATTGTCGCAGCCATGCTCAACCCCATTTTCACGGCCATGATCATGCTGTTCTGCGGTGTCACCATCCCGTACGCCGCGATGCCCAAGTTCTGGCGCGCATGGATGTACTGGCTGTCTCCCTACATGTACTACATTGAGGGCGTCATCACCAACGACCTGCATGGGTCTGTTGTCAAGTGTCGCGCCAATGAGTTCTACATTTTCGAGCCGCCATCCGGCCAGACTTGCCTCGAGTACGCCGGCGACTGGATTAAAACGGCCAGTGGATACATCAACAACCCCGAGTCCACGTCATCGTGCCAGTACTGCTCGTTCAAGGTTGGTGATGAGTTCTACGAGTCGCTCAGCTGGAGCTTTACTCATCGCTGGCGTAACATTGGTATTCTTTTGGGATTCATTGTGTTCAATGTCGCCTTTACTGTTCTGATGATCCGCATCTACAAAGTCAACAAGCGTTAGTATTTTAATTAAATCAATGTTTTTATTGACTAATAGCAGTCGGGTTATGCCATCGATAAATATCCTAGTCGGCTTGTTCGTTTATTGGCAGCCATGCACTTAGTTTGTATTCATAAATGTAAATCTAATTTAAGGTGTAATAGCATTCGTGAAAAATACTAGAAAATAATTATTAAGCAAATAAAATAAACAATGGCTTCAGTCGAGGCAAATGGCCAATTTTCAACTATTTGTTTATTGTATGTGTTATGCTTATTTATTAACACCCTGGCTTGATCGCTCGCTTTTCTACTTCCTCACATACTCACATTAAAACTAACATAGTTTTCATTAAACACATTTGAGATTAAGTATGACATTTGCCAGTAGGTTGTTAAATAAATGGCCGTATCTGGTTTCAAATTATATTTTCTGTTAACGAGTGAATTTAATAAATGTACTCAAAATCGATATTAAGAAACTACCAAGAGAGATCGAACTAGTAAATGGTCTTATTTTGCCTTTATTATGATTTTGAGTCTTAGTGCTCACAAAGAAAGGCAACTGATGGGCGTTGGGCTATAAAGGAAATGTGTGCCCAACACCATTGCTGAGTCAAAATGGGTCTATGAGGAGGGCATTGATGAAGAGGCTGTACACAATTACTGTGATACAAGAAATTGCGGCTTGTCTCCAGCGATTGATTAATGAATCAATCGCTAGTTAATTCCTACTTGGATATGCGGGAATTCATACGCACGCATAAATGCCAATGAATATGAACAGTGGAGGCTGTTCATCCCTTAGCTTTCTTTTAGTTCATTTATTCGATATATATTTATAACACAACACTAGCCCTGGGCAAGCACAGCAATCAGTACAGCAAAAAATGGGAGGCTGGGGATGTTATTGGCACAGAAATTAATTTATATTGTGGCAGTGTTGTGTATTAAAGCAATGGCCAGTCGATAGGTAAGGAGTTTTAAAGGGGCGTGAGTTTGCTGCTGTGGACAAATACAAGTGGGGTTTCCTGCTGTCTCGCTTGCATCGGAACAAGGACCTGTTGTTTTTGAAGCTTGATGTTAAAGAGAAAATACTATTGTTGACCACAGTTTTGCAATTGGCATTCTGAGCGAGAAATGGCCGTTGATTGAGCCAACATGCTCGCTGCAATGCTGTGGCCATTGCTATAGACACTATTTGAAATGTTGAAACGCTTGCCAAGGATTGTGTATATTGAAAATAAGCATGTGCAAAATGTGAACTAGGATTGTCGAGTAAATGTTTTGTTGAAAGCTCGTGAATTTTTCCAAAGCATTGTAAACAATGCGACTAAACTGGCAAAGGTACTTAAAAATGACAAGCTCAAAATGGCATTTGTCTTTTTAAAAATAGAACCTGCCATGCATCTAATAAAATCGTATTTTAACATGTACATTTTGAACACATTAAGCCTGTTTTAAATGAATTATTTGCAGCGCCATTGTTGAACTAATATTTTAAACCGAGCAGTTCTGCAAACTTGCAATTATATTTTATTAGCTGGTCGCGATCAACTGATTAGCCAGCCTTGGTTATTTAGCCAGGCAAACACTCAATTGATAGTTATACAGAGACACACATTACATAAATGTACTGTCGCACTCCATCAATGAATAGCGCTTTTAGAATACATAATTAGATATACATAGTGTTTATCTCTTCACGTTCACCAAACATTCATAGAACTCCCAGATTCCAACAAAAAAAGCTGAAATTAATGAATAAAATTGATTTTTCTACTGCCCCACCATACCCATCTTGAACCCTATTTTAGAACCTGGCTACATGCCTCTGGTTACCCAGGCCTGTGTCTAATTTTCTGGCGGTGGAAGTGTCTGCCGAGGTGTCAGTAAAATTAAACCCAAGCACTCGATCTGTCAACTAAAGCGTCAATCATGGCCATATAGCTAGTGTGCATATATCCTGCCCTCATTGCTATCGTCTGCAGCCACTTTGGCAAGCCATCATCATCTTCTTGTCATGGATTTGGTATTCAGGATGTTTGTTGAGATTGGAGTTCTTATCAACAATCGGCATTTATTAGGCGTCAAGGATACCCTCATTTCTCGTTCGACGTGAAAGCTCACACTGTCTCTTGTATCAGCCCTGCTGGTTATGTACAATCTCATTTACAAACACTATTGCTTGCTTTTGCGTGATTCCCTTGAATTTTCTTGACCAGCGTTGTGTACCTGTACTCTGTCAGCTCCTTCCAGCCGCATCTCATACCCAGGTCCAGCTTCTTGTCCTGGTAATGGGCGTCCACATGTATCTCGAGTTTCTCTAATATGCCATCTATCGGTGCCGGGTACACCTGGAGTTTGTTAGCCATTTCAGCCAAGTGATCTTGCAGCTGGGTCTTAAAGATCCAAGTGAAAGCTCTCTTGCGTTCATAATTTTATGCTCCGTCATGGACACATGAAACATGTGGCTCTGTGTCTCAATTGGTCCGAGAGCCAGGCGATGGAGCATAAGTGCATCTCTGGTTCAGTGTATGCGTCAGGGAAGCATATTTTTTACAGCAGTGAATGGCAGAGCCACCATGCCCCAAAAGAAATAATATAAGCTCAAAATCAATGCGCAAGGAAAAGAATAATGCCGATTGGAAATTAATCCGTAAATATAATTATTTCTTGTTTCCATATTTCAGCCAACCAAATGCAAGCATGAGAAGCTCAAATTTTTTGTTTATATTAAAAAATTGTTTTTTGTTTTTGGCGCAATCCATCGCAACAAATTTTCACCTTTGCAACTTTCCACCTTTGCTTTTACTTTTAATATTTGCTTTTTTCCAATTCGCACCATTTCGTTCAATTTGTTTTTTTCTTCACTTTTTATTACTTTTACCATACCTCAGTGCTTATCACACACACACACACACACACACACACACACACACACACACTCTCTCTCTCTCTCTCTCTCTCTCTCTCTCTCTCTCTCTCTCTCTCTCTCTCTCTCTCCCTCTCTCTCCCCTCTCTTTCTATTTCCCTTTCCCTTTCTCTCAATGATGTCTGAGCTAGCTCCTCCGAATAAGACCCCGCCGAATCAAATAGGCGTAAGTACTTCAATATAAACGGATCGTTATGATATTGATGAATTGTTTGTTGTTGTTTATTCTGCGTGCATATAAAACTAATTCGGACACTAATTTAAAACATTTTGTTTTCTTTTTTATTAGAACAGCAAGACAGGTGGTACTTTCCAAACGCCCTCAAAAAATCAAAAAAGGAGGAACTGCCGCCCGGGGAATCGGAGCCCCCCGAAGTACGCGATAAGCGCCGTCAGCGGCTGCTGAAATGCCTTGGCGATAACATAAAACACAACTATCTGTTCAATGCCTTTGTTGAATCTCTGGGTGTGAAGGAGCGGTATGAACGGTTCATCAAGGGTTGGCCCAATCTCTTCCTCGACATAGCTAGGGGGTCGCCAGTGGCTGATGGCAAATGCATCGTAGCCAATACACGTCGTTCGAATACTAGACTCAAGAATTTGCTCGTTACTGACGTTTTCAAATCTTACTTGAATGAGTTGATGGGGTTGACTAAGGAAGCTCGTTTGGTCAAATATTTTATCTTCCTCTTCAACGAGATGGTCGATGTGGTTCATGACGCAAATAAAGATATTCCAGCAGGCGGAACTTTAATCCCAGACTGCAAGCTTAAGCTGAAGGACTATCAGCTTAAGGTTATACCAAAGACTCCGCACAAGCCAGATATCGCGTTTTACTACAGAGGCTACACAGAGGAGAATGCTCATTCCATCCATGCTATACTCGAGGCTAAGATGGATCCAGATCTCAGCGGACCTATAGAGGATACTCGCGGCCAGCTCGCAGATTACGGCCATTTGCTTAATGATAAGCAGGCAACCCGCACGTTTGCGCCTGTCTTCTACCTCCATGGGCACCTCCTGACGCTTCATGCATATTATCGTGATAAACTGTACATCGTCAAGCTTGGCCAGCTGTGCTTTGATACGAATAGCCCGACGTCTGATGGAGCTGAAGAAATCCAGACATGCCTCATGCGGTTCTGGTTCCTACTGACTCTTAAGTCAGACATTTTCGGGCATTTCTGCGATGTCTCAGAGGAATCTGACTCTTTCTTTTTTTCGCAGGAAGTCGATGTGGAGAGCAAGGGCGATTCGAAGATCGAAGTCTTATACTCGGTTTCCCAAGATGTCAAGAATGTCAAGGATGTCAAGGATGGCGCTGCTCTATTTTGTATCAAGGAGACAATAGCGCGTTATTCATACATGGTTGGGCGCCATGTCCATTTATTCAGGGGGAAATTCAATGGGAAGCATGATGCTGTGCTGAAGCTTTCCTGGACCCCAGTCAATCGTTTGCCCGAGGGTGCCGCATACGCCATCCTCAACAAGAGACCAGTCGAATGTATTCCCAAGGTCTTTTCGAGTGGCCTGCTCATCAGCGACCTTAATGGATACCGGCTGGAGTTCGTGCTCATGGAGTACTGCGGCCAGTCAATGGCCGAGTATCTGAAAGGCAAGGCCGACGATCAGAAAGACGAGCTGGTTCCTGGCTTTGTCAAGCAGCTGACCCTGTGCCTTGCCCAGGCAAATGACACTGGTGTCCTGCACAGGGACATCTCAGCAGGGAACGTGTGCGTCAAGAACGACAAGGTGTATGTCATTGACTGGGGCTGTGCCAAGGTCGTTGGCTGGGGCACTGCTGAGGATGCTGCTGAGGACACTGACCCAACTCAACTCAAACACATTGAGGTTGCCGAACAGTGGGGGTTCAATGCAACAACAGTGGGACAGGTGGAGGTGGCCAAGGACCCATTTACAGGGACGCCGCTTTTCATGGGAATTCCCATGCTCAGCAGCAGCCCCATCCGGGGAATCCTTGATGACCTGGAGAGTGTTCTCTATGTCGTTATGGACGCAGTGCGCCCAGCCGGCACTAAGAGGGATGACGTTCAGGGATTCAAATTCCTAGATTCTCCATCCCTTGCCATCACAAGGTGGGGTTTGATCCAAGAGGATGCTGTCTTGCTAAAAGGGTTCAGTGTTGATGGTGTTAGCGCTAGGCTCATAATGCTCATTTGTGCAATGCGCCGGTTTCTGTTTGAACCAGAAAACAAGGTTATAAGCCACCGGCTCTGGTCAGACAGCACATTTGTTCGACAGATTAACTGGGACGCTGCCCCCGAGTATATGCACCCCAAGGCGATTGAGCTCCTCGGAGAGGATAATGGCCAGCTTAAGCGACCAGCTGAGGACGAGATCAATGCTGGGCCATTCAAGAAGCTAGCACTTTAGGTTTTTTTGTTTTTAATAAATCTTTTTACGACCCAAAAAATCAACTGCAAAGAATTAAAATTTTATTAAACTTGAAGAAAATATGAGTAAAATATAAATATTTTAACTCTTGTCTGTACCTCTTGTTTACAGATTCACCGATCCACCGATCACTTTAACTGTAAACAACAAATACTTTTAAACTCGCACATTGACCAATTTTACTGAAGGTTGATTATATCCATAATTTTCGATTTCTGCTATTTTGCCAAATGATCCCATTTTAACGTTTTTCTTTCTTATTTCTTAATTTACTTTATCATTTTTTCTTTCCTTTCCAATTCACAGTTCGCATTTTACAATTTAGTATTTTTTACACACTTTCAATATTCTTTTGCTAGCATAGATGATAGCCGGTATTACCTCGCAATTAGCGTCGGAACAGCACTCGGCACATACCGGGTACTTTTGCATCTGCTGGATCAATTGCAGTACGGGTTAGATTTATGCTACGCACACCGACAAAAGAAGAAATGGCAACACACCTGCTATGCTGGGACTAATCCTGACGGGAGTGCAGACAGTGAGGCGGCGTTGGATATTCAGATGCCCGGAATGGTTAATTCCTTGGCACAATTGGCGCTGAAGTCGCACAACTTTAAGCTGCAGGATATTGCGTCTGAGCTGGTGCTCTGTAATAAAACTTATTCGTACTAACTAATTTTATTAAAAATCCACTATAAGGGAGCTTAAAGAGCTCCGCTTATCTATTCGAAACTATCGCCCGTGAAAATAGAAATCGCGATTGTAAACAATCACAATTTCAAACAATCGCAAATTCCCAATTGCGATTGTCACGTGACATCGCAATAATTGATGTCACATTTGCCCCCATTTAAGATCAGACTCCGGCGATCGGCTTGTGTTTTGGATGCGCTGCTAAGTATTTGTCGTATGCCTCTGTCTCCTCCACGTTGCTCTTATTTTCCCATGTCCGTCCTTCAACGCCATAACCTTCCCAATGGACCAGGTATTGTTGTTTACGGCGCCACACACGGTCATTCACGATTTTCTCGGCATGGTACTCGAGATGGCCCGCGACTTCTACAGGCGGGGGTTCTGAGCGGAGTTCGGCACGGTGATCTTCGGCGGCATGGTACTTTTTCAGGTGTGACCATGAGATGACTGGATGTATGTGCATGTCTGGCGGCAGCTTGAGGCGGAATGCATTTCGGCCGATTTGCTTCACGACTTTGTAGGGTCCAGCCCATTTATGCTGCAGGGAGTTGCTAGACCGGTTGCGTAGGTAAGGTGGCGTTGTGAATTTTGTGGAGACCATGACCTCATCACCCGGTACAATGTCGGGCATGGTTACCTTCTTGTCGTGGTTCTTGATCATGCGTAGTTGTGCAAACTCTATGTTTTCCTTGGCCTCATCGCTAATTCGTTTAATCTTGACAATTGTGTTGTCTGCGTCGGCATTGGGGTCAGTGGTTAAGGTGTCGAACACAATATCGGCGGCATTCAGTGGCTGGAAGCTATAATTCGTATAGAACGGGCTGTGCTGTGTCGAGCTGTTGCTGCGGCTGTTGTAGGTGAACTCGACGAGTGGCATGAACTTGTTCCAGTCGTTCTGTTTGTTGTTGCACATTGCGCGCAGCATTGTCTCGAGTATCTGGTTTACGCGCTCTGTCTGTCCATCTGTCTGTGCATGGCCGGCAGTGGACATATTAAGTTGCGTTCCCGTCCGTTTCCACAGTGTAGTCCAGAATGATGAGCAGAATTTCGGGTCGCGGTCAGAGACAATGGATTCCGGCAGGCCATGCAGGCGGTAGATGGTCTCGAAATACAGGTCAGCTGTAATGCGATTTGGACTAGCTATAATATATATTAATAGAAATGAGACTACGGGAAGAGCTAAAGAGCTCACTATTCAGAATTCGCCGTACGCGTAAAATATCATAAACATATTTTACGCGTCTGCGCTGTCACGTGACTCGGCCCCCATTTCTGATGTCACATCAGCAGTCTTCTGGGCGGTCGCGGCATTGTGTGTTAGTACAAAGTGTGCCATTTTGGACAGGCGGTCTACGACGACCATGGTTGCATCATATCCATCCTTTGTCTTAGGTAAGCTCACTATGAAATCCATGCTCACGCTTGACCAGTTGCGTCGTGGGATCTGTAGTGGCTGCAGTGGTCCATCACTTGGCCTGTTGCTGCCCTTGACTCGCTGGCACAGGTCACACGTTGTGACATACTTCTCACAATCCTGGTAAATACCAGGCCAGTAAAACAGCTCGCTCAGCTTGTCGTATGTTGGTCGGATTCCTGGATGCATTGCGGTGTCATGAAACTCAGCCAGCAGCAAGGATCTGTCTTGTTTTGAGCCGACGCAACGGCGTCCTTTCTTGAACAGGATGCCACCTTGTGTGTGGAATTTGTCAGCAATCTCGCGTGCAGCTCTGGATGTTGGTTCTTTGCCACTGCTAATTGTTTCCATCATGTGTTCCAACTTGCTGTCACCCTTGTAGGAGTCTTCGGGGTTTGCGCTCGTCTTCAGCGCCATTGCTGTGATGGCTGCCATGTGTAGCTCGACTCTCTCCCCCATCCCTGAAGAGCCAAACCCATTGGCTCCATGAAGCATAGTATTGAGGGAATCGACCTGTTCCAGGCGTGGCAGTAAAATCTTGGTCGGGATCAGCTGTGCTATGCGGTTGTGTGCAGCAAACGGAATTGACTTGGCATCTGTGTTGAACAAAATCGCCGATATCTCGCCACGGTAGTTGCTGTCAACAACACCTCCAAGAATGGTGACACCCTTGGATGCCAGGCCGCTGCATGGGGCAATACGCAGGTATGTGCCGGTTGGTGTTGTGGCAGCAATGCCCAGCGGGATCGTCAGGCATGTCTTGGGCTTGAGCATAATTTCCTTTGAGCAGAACACGTTGAAACCAGCATCCTCTGGGTGTGCCTTGCAGGGCATTATTGTGTCGTCATGTAGGAGTTGGATTTGTAGTGTGTCTTTGTTGGTCGTTGGGACAGTCAGTGCACACAGGTTCAGGTTGTCGAGAGCATTGATCAGGTCTTCGATGTCATCATCTGGTTTGTCGGTATGTTTTGGTGCTTGTAATGCGATTTGGACTAGCTATAATATATATTAATAGAAATGAGACTACGGGAAGAGCTAAAGAGCTCACTATTCAGAATTCGCCGTACGCGTAAAATATCATAAAC